GTAAAAGCAGGCCGTATGTATACCCACATAATACAGAAAACACGGTCTTGCAAGAGCTGCAGTTATCTCCATGACCGAACGCTGCACTTTTTGTGTTTTCATCTTTCAAGACGGCCGTTTAAGATATTTAACCTACCTACCTATATATTATACTTACGTGTAATCGCACGAATGTGTTACGAGTGTATTATACAGATATTTACGAAGGTTTTTTTTCCAAGTCGTGACGGTGACCAAGGAGAGTTGCTAAACGCCCGAGATGTTTGACCCGAATACCGATTGACCGTCGTCGTCACTGTTATCGTCGTGCCGCCTCGGTCGTATCGGACCGAAATATCCCGTCCGTGGGTATATGTGTACCTAGATACCTATATTTTATACTTCTCAAGTGCCTATACTATTATAGTATTATTATATGTATATTTGAATTTTACACGATTGATATACTTGACGTATATACCGTTTAATATTGTCCAGGTACCTATTGTATAGGATTTCAGCGGCCTTGCAGTCGGAGGCTTTGCGAAAACTATCGTGTAAAACGTACCCATATTACGTATTAGCCACGAAACTGACGAAACGAACATAACACAAACCTTTTAACTTGTACAAAAATATAAATAGAACTATCCGGTACAGTGCAAAACGACAGGTGAACTTGCACCGCCATCCTGTTTGAATGTGCAAATGCGCCACTGTGTAACAAGTTTGATGGTAGTTTATCTGCACGTATCGAATTTCCAGGGACCCGAGTCCTCACGTAACTTCTCCCTCTTTGGCTTTATACCACACTAGTGGTACACTCAGCTACTCTTATTCTCGCCCTCCCAGGGCATTTGTTTTTTTTTTTCAAGATTTTCTGCGTCTAAATGATCACACGATCCAGTCCAGTGGACTATTAGTAGAGTAAGCTTTTGTTTACTGTGCTTCCACTAGAAAATCGAAGAAATCAAATGTTAAACGTTTGAGTTACTTGGTAGATTTTGCAACAAATTATTTTTACGCATAAAATACTCTCACTGGAGGGGTAACTGGGGAAAGTCCAAACAAAAATCACCGAATTACAATATCACTATTATTATAATCGGCACCGTGCGCGTTGATTGTTTTATTAGATATTTATTGTAATTATTACAAACGGGAGAGTATAAGGTACAATATTATTATCGATCCGATTAAATCTGCATCGTGTTACTTTAGGTATATATAAGAATGTTCACGTGTGCTCTACTGCAAAACACGCATATACTATTATAAAACGGTATAGCTACACATTTTTTTTTTTTTTTACATGCAAGTTTAACTGTAAATATACGCGTATACCTATGCGTACCTGACTGCAGCAAACGTGTCTTTATAATATTATTATGCACAACACTTTATGAAATGTTATTCGAGAAAGTTTCACGGGTATATACCACCGCCGCGAGATGAACGAAAAACAATAAAATAAAATATGTTAAAAAGTAAAAATAAATTGACTACATATTATATACATACTTATATTATATCTACTATAATAAAATTATAAAGTCTCGTTTTTAGTCACGATTTATACAATATTATAACCATAAGTGATTTGTATTATTTGCATGTATATGCGCGTTTATTCGCCGGATACGTACCTATTATATTTGTTTAATTCGAATTACGCGTAGGTATAATATTCCGTATTATATAATATACGCCCAATATAATAAAATATACATAAATTAATAATAATGCGATAATATGCACGCTGCACCGTGCCTGTATGCTCTAACCTAATTCGCCGAAACCGTTTTTATTTTTAGCATTTACCTACTTATTATATATACCTACCTGAATATAAATACGAAGGTTACTATACGATATTTTCGTAATTATTACTAACACTGTTGAATGTGTCGTGTTCGTGATTTCAAAGCGACCGAAACAACCCGGCACGTGGCACTTTAATAATCGAAGACCCTCTGCAGCCCCTAATATATTGGCCTCTAGGCTCGCCTATGGTACGGGCCCTAACCATGGGTACGGAGCATATTCAATCCCGAAATCCCGATTGACTTTTTTTTTTTTGCTTATTAGCTTTTTTTGATGCTTAAATACGGCCCTGGCGTGGTAATCGTAAAAATCTTCTATCGTTATACATACACGGACAGTGAAAACTTAAAAACCGGATCCAGAAAAGCCAATTTGTATTCAATAAATCGACTTTTTTTTCCTCTTGGAACTCGACGAAAATATATAATATCAACGTCCAATTAAAACCAAACTCAACCAATAAACTATCAAAGTATTTTTAAACGAATTGGGGGAGTGAGGGCACGCAATATTATTTTAATTTCGGAAAAGTATATACTTATATCGCGTTTCAATCCGAAAAAAATGCATCATTTTCCGGAATGGAGATGTTGAGAACGAGAACAGAAATAAAAGTGAAAAGTATCTTAAATCGTATGTAACAAATGTTAAGAACGCGTTTTTATTTACCTACCTATTACCTGTCTATATAAATAAAACTATGTTCATAAATATTTACTTTGCAAAATATTTTCATCGTTATTGGTATGTGCATTAAAACTAAAACTATTTGTACGAAATTGCATTTTTGTATTGTGAACAAAATGAATAATACTGTTGAGGCACTGATGAAAAATTGTTTTTTCTCTCGCCGGATGATATTGAGAATCCGTAGAAATCGCGATAGAACTATTAGCAAAACCACAAAAAATTTTCTTTGTTAACATAATGTCTGTGGACGAGCGCGATATTATTTTCAACATAATTACATAGACAAATTACATAATAATACTGAAAATTAATTTTGTGCAAAAATCAACAATTTCGATAGTTTTTTTTTTTTTTTTTCTGAAAAGTATACTTAACTAAAACAATCCGGAGACCCGTTCGGTTTCTCTGTTTATTATTTAACTTCATAAAATTATAGAATAAAATACCTTCGAAATCATTTAAACTAAGTAAATTGCTCGGTCATCGAAAGAATTGCTAGTTTAATATAATAACTAAAAATTATCGGTAAATAATATATTATGTTTAAAAAATATTTTTAACGTCAAATTTAATTTCTTTTTCTTTCACTCTGTGTAATATATTTAAATTCACTTTATCTAGGTTTCCCTAACTTTTCCTTTTTCTAAATGACACTTTGTAAAATTAATCGCAATTTTATTTTATTAGTTGCAGACTTTGCATGTATACAGTTTCAATATAATATTTTCGTTTGCATATAAATTTTTTTTTCACGAAATACGCTCGGGAACGTCTAGAAATATCGATTAGCATTTAATTTCGAATAAATCGTATTTAAAACGCAGGTTGACTGTACACCTACGCAATACACAATAATAAAATTATCGTTATTGATTTGTTTGAATTATTATCGTAGTGAACTTAAATAGACAATGCGACGGGCACGGGATTTTAATTAGGATAATGTGCGTGTTTTTTTTTTTTTTTTATTACTTATTTAAAAACGATCACCACAGACGATCCGTGGGTGATGCAAAACCTTCGCATCTCCCGATTCGTATCTATATTTCCACACACAATTATACATTATTACCTATACATTATGCACGTATGATAATATTATAACCATGCACTGTAAATAAAGTATTATCGTCGAGTTAATAAAATTGTAAACAGAAAGTTAACAACACCACCGGATGATCGTAAACGATTTGTCACGGAATTTCACTGGGGAAAACAAAATTGTATAAGTATTTGATTATTATTTGTACTATTCGAAACTCGTATATTATACAGTTAGATAAATTAAATAAATAATAAATAAACGTCTACGTTTAAAATACACAATATCTGTGACCCTTGAGTTATCGACAATCATCATATCCTTTTAGCCTTTCGGTCTAAATTAGTCATTAATTATTATATACTTTAAACTGTTATCGTATAAAGTGATAAACACTTCACTAATAATATAAAGAAATAAAAATGAAAAACGAGTTAATTATTGATAATTTCCGACAGTTTAGACGCACTATCGTCGACGAATATGTTATTGCCGTGAACGAATAACCTTTGTTCGGAAGCACTATTTGGATTGTCCGAATGCGATCAACTATCGATTAGTTCGATAATAGTAATTATATAGGTATTCGATCGTGTCCATCACTATGGTTATTAGTTTTAATATTGAAATAAACGTGACGTAGCTATAAACTATATCATTTGTACCCGCGAATGACAGTGTTTAGTTGTCAACGATTTCCCATCATCCCCATCATCGATCCCGATGAAAATATTCAGGATCGACAATAGTCGATAATTATAAATTAATTAACAACGCAGTAGTGAGTGCATTATGTTTCAATGCGCGTTGCATAATAACAATTTCTAATTACTTATTGAATCGTAAAATATTTTCCATCGTAAAAAAAAAAAAACCCAACGTATTCGTATTGCACACATAAGTATACAAACGTATAATAATATATCAATTAATTAAAAAAAATGACATCGTCAATATATATATATATATATTATATACCTACCACAACTTATATTATTTCAAAAAGGTCACATTCTATTATTATTATTGTACTTACCTATATACGCGCATAACTGTAAACTTTCACTCGTCAGTTTCAAGGGGGATTTTAGACACATGAAATGAAAAAAAAAAACACCTCGTTTCACTTACTGCGCCAGAGTTGTGTAATAATAACAATAATATAAATTAATAAAGGATTAACAATTTGAAAAATGATGATTGTCAAAAAGCTTATTATTATATTGCGTCGACGCGCGACGGTAGAATATATTACCACACACAGAAGTCGTATAAAGATACTTGTAATAAACATTGTATAGGATATAGTATATCCGATATACTAACTTTTTTTCGAACTTGTTCGCTAATGACAATCGCGCGGGTCGTAAACGTCATGTGTGCCCGTAGTATAATAGTTTTATTATTATCATCTACCAGTACGTTCTTTTTTTTTATGATAATAATATTATTGTTTTTTTACAGGATGGATGGGCGGCGACGATTTATAGCTGCAACGTGGACCCGGCCATTACTGTTCTTACTTTTGTTGTCGGGCAAAGTATACCGGAATGGCGTTTCTGCAAAACCTGGTATAATTCCATTATTAACAATATTAAAGTATAACATCGTAATATTACGAATGAAATTCAAGTAATTCAATCGCATTTTTACTTGTAATATCTTACGCAATACTGCCATACTGGACAACATTTATTTCGAATATTTATACATTTTAGAACGTGCATTTGAAGGCTTTAGGGGACTGCGCACGACCTGTATTTTTGCCTGAAAACATGTTTTACTGGAAGGTTAACTCTCCTGCCTCATAGAGTGGTCTTCGATTTTCAATAACTTTTTTTTGTAAAATACGAAGACTTCTTTAAGAGTGCATTTAACATGGATTTTGAAAGTTATACTTCCAAATACCATAATTAGAGTTTGAATATGACCTTTTTTTTTTTTTTTTATTTCGTTTTAATTATTTAAAAAATTAAATATCGAAGTTCAATGCTCCTTTTAGGAAGTGGTTCTTTTTCTAGCGAAAAAAGTAAATAATAATATAATATCTTAATCGGATTTCTCTACGAGGCGAGAGAATATAAACTAGGTTTTGAGCTAAAAATCAAGTCGTGCATAGGCCCTTTAATACAAAAATTAAAAGTAATTGAAATTTTCTGTTAATCACTTTTAATACTTTTGATTATAAATGTTAACAATTTTTTAATAGCAATTTTTAACAATTCTATAGGTTAGGTTAACCAAGCATAACCCTTAATAACCTTTAATAGATTAAACTTCTTTAATAAAACAAATCAAATTCCTCCAAAATGCAATTTCAAATAATTAAAAAATCCTTAAAATTTCAAAAACAAATAATAAAACAGTTAAATACCATCAATTTTACTTTCCCCTTTTATATTAAAAGTTAACAACAAATAATAAAAATTAAAAGGTTGTTATTTTCTTTTATTTATTTTTACACGATATAATATGTTGTAGTTTAACTCGTCTGAAATATAAATTTATATTTTTTTTTTTCTAAAAATAGTACAATTTTCTGAGAAAGTATGTATTTATAGCTAGTGAAAATATTTGAAAAAAAAATTTAAATGTTAAAAATAACATAAAATGCTTTAAAAAGGGGGAAAGAAGGGGTGAAAAACTAGAACAAATTTAAAATGTTGAAAAAATTAAATAAAAATTACATAACCAAGTTTATATTATTACATAGTTCCAATTTTATACTGAAAAATCTATTTCTATGTTTTACAATAAGTATAAATTTTCAGCCCTGTTTGTTTATTATACATAAATAATATTTCTTTGGTCCCAGAGAAGGAGGCTTAAATCAATTTTGTAAACAAACTATCTCACTAAGATACTATACATATACTAATTTTTAAAATACATACACATGGTGTGGGAACAAAGTTATTACATTAAATAAAATTACACTTAAAAAAATGCCATAAATCATCGACTTGAGCTCTTCTTCCCTGGGACTACAGATTTATTACATTATTTATTCGTTTTCACCTATAAAATAAAAATACATTATAGATAAATTTAACATGTTTTTAGTACCTAAAAGTAATATTGTTGAGAACAAAAAAAAAATCCACCGTCCCGATCTCAACAAAATTGCGTGACGTCATCACATAATTTTATAACTTAATACTTCCTATCGTTATACGTAGGTATATAATATAATATGTAATGTATAAACGACAACAATTTTCTCTGTAGCCATAAAAATATTAAACAAGTTTGTTTACTTATACCTGTATTCGCGTATGGTTATTCGATGGAAAAATATATTAATTTGAAAATTAGCATACACGCCAATACTTATAATATTATACTTCATCAATCTGCTGCTGCAGTTAATAAGTTAGATCCGTGGGCTTGTGATGCAATCGATTGTCGTTTCATAATATCAGTGTGTAATATAAAATATTGTATTATATGCGTATAATTTTATGAAAAACGTTTATGGGTAATTGACGACCGGTTTATACCCATAGGGTCGTAGAACCCGTGTGAAAACCGTATATTTCATATTGTAAATACAACGATATCATATTATGTGCTCAGCTATATTATAATATATGATATGTTCAATCAAGGGCGTCCACGGTGGCGGGGTGTAGACACAAGGGGGACAACCCCGGAGGTTGTTAATACCAAAAAAAAAATCATACCAATATCAAATATCCTCGAATCCGTTAGTATATATTATGTATGATACTATGTAGCTTCTGTATTCACGCGTTGTGATTATATAGACCCACTGTATGTGTGTCAAATATGGATTTAAAATGATAAAATTTAAAACGCAGGATTTAAACGTAGAGTATAATATAATATTTTAACAGGTTCAATACAAGACCGTATTTATGTCGGAGGACTGAGGGGGTTGCTCCCCGAAATTTCTGGGAAACAGAGGTAGCTATTTTAATCAAACTAGGGCGGATTCTAAGATCTTTAAACAGTATTTATGAAAAAAAATCTGACTGGACCCTCACGAAAACAATCTCGTGCTATGGTTTAATAATATGATATTATCTACTTTTCGGATGAGAATTTCTATCATATATAATATCCAATTAAATAAAATCAATTCCAAATAATCGCTACTTGTCTATGAATATTAAAATCAAAAAGTAAATATGTGTGTTTTTTTTTCACTTTAGGACTATGTGAGATGGAAACTGGCCAAGGAAACATTGTACTGGATATCGAAGAAAGCCGAGGGTCTCGTGAGTATTTTTTTTTTAAATTTTATTAATAATGTTCAATTTGTCACGGCAATAAAAGGAGATTCACTTGTTTCCGCGGCGTGACGTGTGTCGATTGGTCACGGGTTATACCGCGATGACCCAACAGGTTCAAGTTGAAAATAAAAAAAAAAAAACATAAAATAAATTGACGCAACGAACAAAAGTCTTATCGGTGTTAGCTATATATAGAATATAATTGAATAGCAATAGAAGGGCGAGTTCACATTCTATATAATCGAGAAATATTAATTTTCAACCAGAAATAATTACTTTTAAATCGTTTTACACACGCCTATAGTTGTTACGCTTCTCATAAAAATGATATCATTAAATTAAAAATGTTTCCACAAAATACATCCGATATTACCTAGCCATAGCGTACATACCAGGGGTGGACGGCCAAACGGTCGATCGCGGACGATCTCCCTTTGTTAGAAATTAGTTTTATATGTACAATTAGTATAGATGAATCATAATCGTCGATAATTATTATCTTACTAGGTGATTTGTTATCAGTTTATCAAGTAATACAGTTCAACAGTTTTTCTTCTGCCAATTTTATTTCTGATATATTCAATTTATAATACTATATTAGAGTCTAAATAAAAGTCTGACGAAAAAAATTATTTAATTATACATTTTAGTTTTATTATTTGTGCGTGTATGTTTATTCTTAATATCTATACTTATTAATAATAATTAATAATTGTTAATAATTATACTTTTTATTTTTTTTTTGTTTATGGAAGTTGATCCTCAGAGGAAAAATGTATTATTAGTAGATCTCCGCCAAAAAAACATTCGGCCACTCCTGGTATATACCGTAATATAACTCTATTAACGAACGATTTTTTTTTTAATCACAACGTTTGGGAGATTTTTTTACGGAAGTGATATTTTAATTTACCATTCATTAACTATTAAAATAATAATTTACAAACAAAAACTGGACCGTGCGACTAAACCTGTCCGAGTACTTAGTCACGCCTTATAATTATTGTCACCTGCAACATATATTGCAACAACGACATAATATTATTATCTGATTTACTCATCACAATAATAATAATAATTGTACCGTTATCTTCAAGCTATTGGCAGTTTCACCTTGAGATATCTGATGCCAACACATTAAGCGTGCCACCTTTACATATACAATGGTCCATCATGCTACAATCACTTTTTTTATAATACCGGAACTTGACCCGATAATTTACCGAAAATAATTCACACTACTAACTATAGTAAACAATATTGCAGTTAACATTTCGTATAGTAATTATCTGCACAGTTTTTAAATCTCAACGTTTTTAACAAATGAAATTAACAGGAACTATAGACAGTTTAAATTTCTACAAGGTAATGTCTACGGAAATATGGTTTTTTTTTTTTTTTAATAATAATTATTATCAAAATCAACGAGCCGTTAAAACGACTCCCACGAATTCCCGCACATAGCATAATAATATAATGTGTTTCTTTTTACGCTGCATCCGAAAATATTCAAACACGCAATTGTATTCGAGTTTTTATATAGAAGAGAAAGCTCTATTTTTTGAAATGGCGTCAGTCGCAACCGTTTTAAGTAATATTTAAAACTTGGGATATCGGAGATTTTTATAATAATATTTTATCCGATGACTATTTTATTTTTGGGTATTTTTTTTTTCAATCATAATATATAAACGATAATTTTATGCGAGAAATCGCGTGCGTCTAACTAAGTTTCAAAGGTTCTCAGAGGTTTCCCTATAAAAATAATGATTATCTCACAATTAGGTCCCATATTATCCTACCTGATTAAATAGAAATTTCAAAAATTATTATACTATGCATGATTTTTTTTTGTCTAGCATAATTTTATTTTAATACGTTTAAATAATAAAGGTAAACACGTTGTATTTGTATTATTTTTGCAGAAATAAATCAACCAATCAGACCACCCGAATTGCCGATCATCGGAGATCCATACACCGAAATAGCTTTGCAGCTGTTGTTTCCAACGAGAAACGCAACGTTCGCGTTGATCGGAAAACAAATTCAATTGACTGAGCCGTTGGATAGGGACGCGGAAAACTTATCTCATATCGTATTTCAAGTAACTCTATTGCATTTATATAGTCACTAATCCCAAAGCCGTGCTAAGAAAAGGCCGGGACAAGTTTCCAAGGGTACCAAATAAAGGACACTTAAAAATCCAAAATAGGCTGATAGTGCTGACGGGTGTACCATTGTTTAAGAGAGAAGTTAGAAGGGAGGATACATAGAATAATTGAATTTTCATGTGTACGCAATTTACACGTTCCGTTATCGTTGCAAACGAAAAACAATTCGATTATTCCCCTAGTTTCTAAGGTAATTCAAAAATCTGAAAAAGTTAGCTAAAAAATGTAACTACATAGAAAATCAAAAATTTACCGCCTTAATATATCAACTAGATCGAAAATTCTCCAGGAAAGTATCTGAACATTTTTTGATTTGAGCCGGAATTCTGGCATAAAAGTTATTTACAGAATCAAAAAACATATCATAATCAATATAATTCTCAATTCACTCAGAATTATATACTCTCTAGGAGGAGAGCTGAACTGCTGAACACTGAAAACCACCCCGTTAGAATGTCGATAATATTTATCATGGCCCTAAATCTAATACATTAAATGATTAAATAAGTAATGCAATTTAGGTCACGTGCGTGGTGAGGGCTACTAACAAAAAAAGAACCATACCAATAATCGTCCGAACGACTGATATCAACGATAATGCCCCGATATTTTTGGACACCCCGTATCAAGTATCGGTTCCTGAGGTAACTATACACAAACACGTCAATTATATTATACCGTTTCGGTTATTTGATTAAGTTAATACGGAACTATTGTATATGTTTGCAGTTGACACCCGTCGGAACATCTGTAGCAACTGTGAAAACAATGGACGCGGATACCGGTATTAACGCTCTAGTCGAGTACTTGGTGATCCCCGGAAACGTACCGGAAGAAGAACTCCAAAAAGGCAGAGTCAGCGATGGCGTCAAACACTTTAAGATGAAATCTTCGAATTCCGGTGAAATAATACTGCAAAAAGGTCTGGACTTTGAAAAAGTACAAAAGTACTTCGTGACGATCCAAGCAATAGTATGTGATTTAATAACGAATAATTATTATTTCTAATTATTTTATTTTTAAATTAGGTTTTTTTTAAAAATATATTTAATGTTATGTTTTTCGTATTATCTTGGCGATGATCAATCTTTCGTCCGTTTTAATTTATTATTATTGACCGAAATTCGACAATATTCGACAAACATTTATGGTAAACTTTATAACTTTGTATAAGTAATGGTATTAAATAATAAAAATACTACACATAGGCGCGTATTTGGCGTATAAACGCGGCAATAAAGGTTTATAATATTATATCTATATGGTAACGAGGCCAAAGTGGAAATGTCCAATTTAAGCAAGTCGCTCTAGTTATACTGTTTTTTTTTTTTTTTTACAGACCGGTTGTAAGTTACACTTTGCTTTCTCACATACGCGTTGTTTTATCCGATATACTTCCTTCCCTTATACTATTACAACTGTATTTTTAAAAAGGAGGGATTGCACGAGATCGCGCACAATAATGTTCGTATCCGTGCTTCCTACGCGCATCTAACCGCATTGCAGGCATTTAAATAAAGCGCCACGCGCCTATCGTTTACTCCTATGACCTATTCCGTACTGTATTATAATCTACAAAAAGAAAATAACATCGAGTATTAGACGACCCGATGTGCAATCCTACGCGCGAATATTTCGAGTGTTGAAATAATTAACTATACGACATTTTAGCGTTGGCGATTATAATAATAATATTATGCTGCACGTAATACGAATTTTCCGTCGACAATGGATATTTTATGCTGCACGCATTGAACTGGTTCTACTGTATGTATATTAAAATATTCACACTACACCGGCGTAATATTAATAATATAAATTAAATACATATAGTTTTAATTTGAATATGTTAACAAATAAATAAATAGTCGATTCAAACGACGGTGACGACTGATATCAGATATACATTTTAAACAATGAAACGAGCAAGTCATTCGGGTACAGTTCATATTATTATACTGCAGTTTTAGACAGATTATTGAAGCGTCGAAAAAGTAGATCCTGGGAGTATTTCTAAGGTTTTTATTCAACCTCGAAACTAATTTCGTTTCAACGTGAATATTCGAGTATTATTTTATCTTACTCCAATTATTTTTGTTCTCATAAACCTACTTATATGGTACGCGCCTAATACCATTACCATATACCTATTAAATATTTTATATATGATTCACAAAACCTTAGCCTTCGCGCGCACCCAACGTTATCACTACATTAGATCGATATATACGTATAGATATTAAATACCTATCCTCCAAATACTGTGAAAATTTTCAGTTTTATCAATCGTAGTATTATGCAGCTACTGCTTTATATATATGTATATATAAAAAAATGCATTAATTACAGTACGGTTTTTGAATCATTCGCCATGACCGATTTTTGAAATAATAATATTCTTATGCGTGTAATATTATATTTTATTATCTATTCCACGGTTTTCGAAAATAAAAAAAAATTAAAAACGATTGCGTACAATGAAAATTGTAAATACTTTATAATCTAATATAACGATACAGAAAATAAAATTGGTCGAACGATTTTGTAAACAAATATTATTTTATGCGTATATATTATAATATAATATATTATACTATAGTCTACGCGACTCCGAAAATATAATATTATTCAATTCCCTCCCTCTCTCCTCCCACCGGTATGTGTCGAATAATTAGAACAGTCGTACATGTCGATGAACGATATGTATACCTATACATAATCCATAATAGTTGTGTTTATATTTGAATATTACACGCGTCCAAATGCATAAGCACACATACACGCACATTAGCGCGCAACTCACTATACCTATTCACAGAAAAAAAAAAAAAACCACACAAATACGTTTTAAAATAATATTATGTTTCAATGTGTAAGTCGTCGTATTAGAAGTAGATGATAGTCGCAGGCCTATAGGTACCAAATGTTAATGCGATGGATCGTTTTTTGGTCGTGTTCGGTTGGTACGTTTCTCTCGCGACGGGACAGGCGACGGAATTCAACGTCGCCCCGATTTATTTATACCCTCTGCCGGTCGGTGTGATACAATCCCTCCCAATTATATTCGATTTTTAACGATGTCCAATAAAGTATCTATATGTAATGATTCATTGAGTTGTTTTCATAAACGTGATTTCAGGATCGTGCTAAAAATCCCTTGGATAGACTTACCTCGACGACAACGCTTACGGTAATGGTAAAAGACGAGGACGATCAAGATCCGTCATTCAACTATCAAGGATGTACGCTTCAGGACGGAACTTGCGTAAACCCGGAATACTACACTACCGTGAGTACTGCTATGTAAAAATCGCCAGGCAAATCATATTATATTATATCTAGCTTTCAATTACATGTATAATTTATACCGAATACGGTTAAAACAATATTACCTATACGCTTGTCCATTGGTTTCTGCTCTAAAAATCAAAATGGTCATTCCGATACTTTACTACTCTAGTTGTTTCATTCATGGGAGAGAGTTGTACACACGTTAACGCTTAACCGGTTTCCGGGCTGCCCGCAGCCCACAGGTTTCAATGGTTTCATTCACCAATATTACATACGTTTACTCGTAAACCATATACCCATTTACAACTCGTTTATGGGATGATCACAGAAGAAGTGACAATATAAATATCATGTTCTTCTTTTTATGTTTCTCGATTTATTATACTAGTCGAACGATTATGATTTACGATTTACGAGCACATCGTTATACACCTGCATCTTTAAACGGATTAAAAATTTACTTAAACTCCCCTTAAGTTTTTTGTTATATAGTTACTATATTATATATCATAAAAAAATTTAAATTCTGAGCGAATCGATGAATACATTGGTTTTATTATGTGTTTTTCTTTTTGTGTGCCTGTAAACGATTTTCTTTACCAGAAATCTTATTCCAATTAAAAACTTTATGGAAATTTTCTTATACAATGTTTAATCTAATTGGCGTATTGAAGAGGTCTTTTTTTGATTTTCTTTGTATTTTTCTAAATGAATTAATAAAAATTGACAATTTTTGTATAATTTTTATTGACTTCTAGATAAACTTGATAACAATGGAAAAAATACGATTAGATAATAATACTCTGCACTGAATCGTTTTTCGTTAGAAATTGTTTATCGTTACGTACAGATGTTGTAAATTAAATTACTGTATATTTGTTATATCCTTCTTCCAACTTTCTTCATAAAACAATAGCACACCCATCAGCAGTATTAGCGGTGTGTTAATTAAAGAAGGGTAACAATTTTATTTTTGATTAATATTATTGTTCATTTGTATAATACAATATAGATTACGAATTACTAATTTATAACTATACTCAGGAATTTAGCGATAATATTTAAAAAAAAAAAAAAATGTATGTTTACTAAATAGGTTGCCAGTGGTGTAAATTCTGGAGTTCTAACGATAAAACCAGAAAAAATACAAGCCGTAGATATGGATTCATTGAATTACCCAATCAAATATTCGTTTGTCGACGGTTTTCCGTCGTTTTATGCGGAGTATTTTACTATTGATTCTCAATTCGGTACAGTAAAACAAATCAAAGCGGTCGATACGAGCTTAACGAAGAGATTTTCGATTACTGTCAAGGTAAGTCGCATACTGTGAATATATATACATAATATTATTATGTACACAAAGGGTTTATTAAAAAAAAATCGTATGCTAATGTTCAAGGCCGAAGAAGAATCGTCCAATCATAGATCGACAACGGCTAAATTAAATATTGACGTAAAACCTGTCGATATCAATCCACCTGTGATACACAGTTCTGCTGTTGACGAAGGATACGGATATGTCGAGGAAAACTCACCCGTTGGTACAAAAGTTTTAGACAAGAATGGACAACCAATCGTGTTGACCGTAACCGACGATGATTTAGTTAGTATTATACACAGTATAGTATCTATAGAGTTTTTAAAAATATATTATAATTATAATTATGTTATATTATAAAGGGCCCAAACGATCCCAAAGTATCCTACACGTTTGAACTCACCACTAATTCTTTCGGTGTGGATTCCGAAGGTTATGTTTATGTAAACGAAGACAAGTTAGATAGAGATCCGCCAAATCCTGGAAAATACCGTTTTCAAGTAAAAATACATGTTTATAAATATTACTTAATTTATATTATATTTACGGAAAATATGCGTACATATTTCGTTTCTTTATCAATTCGATAACATACAATTTATAAATACTTACACCTGAAGTTTAATTAATAAAATATTGTATTTTATATATGTAATTTTTAGATAGTAGCCAGAGAAATAAACGGACATGCCGGTAGCATTCCATATCTAATGACGGTTTTCCTGAAAGATGTAAATGATAATCCCCCGCGTATGCCAATGTTGTCTCCGATCACTATCCAAGCTGGAAATTCTAGAAGACAACTCGTCCAAGTATGTTTATGATTTTTTTGTTTTTGTCAATTTGATTACCGGCTGTCATCTGTATATATTGTTTGTATATAATCATAATTTCCGTGCAGATTAAAGCGGTTGACAACGACGAGGGCCAAAACGCCAACGTGTCGTATAGTATATACCACGTGTCGAACCAAGGACACACTAAGTTTTACATCGATCAGACAACAGGGTGGATCGAAACTACCGGTCGAATGATGGCGGGAGATCAGTACAGCATAACCGTCCAAGCCACGGACTCCGGGGGTCTATACACCCAAAGCATCGTTGAAGTTATCGTGATAGCTGGACCAAACACTAAATCACCGGTGTTCTCGCAATCTTCGTACGAAGTGACCGTCAGCGAAGGGTCGCCGATTAACACGACGGTGATCCCGTTGAAAGCCGTGGATCCGGAAAATGATCCTGTCACGTATTCAATATTGTCCGGAAACGACCTGAGGCAGTTTGCTATCGGCGAAACAAGTGGAATTGTCAGTGTGATACGAAAATTAGACCGCGAAGAACTGACGCGTTATCAATTGGTATGTTCGTTTTCACTATCGTCATTAATAAATGCATCGATTAAAACATAATACCTATATAACGGATTATACACTATTTACAGATGATCAAAGCGCAAGACGAAGGCGGGCTCTCGAGTACCACAACGTTAAATATCAAGATCAGCGATATAAACGACAAGAACCCGGAATTCGTCGGGGCCCCGTATGAATTCACAGTGGACGAGGGTATAGACGGAGCGCCGGTAGGGCAAGTGGAAGCCGTTGACGGGGACGAAGGAATAAACGCACTGGTTCAATATTCGTTACCCGACGACCTGCCGTTTTTAATCGATGCCAATACCGGGCACATACGCACTGCTACAGCCCTAGATTATGAGAAAAATAATGTGAGTTGAGAAAAAGTGCAACTTGATATTCGTTTCGTATTTGATTTATACCCGTGTCGTTTCATTATAGGAGTATAAATTCGTCGTAACTGCCAAAGACGGAGCACCGGATCCGCGTATCGGGACTGCTTCAGTGACCGTTTCGGTCAAGGACATTGAAGACGAAATTCCGATATTTCACAAAACCCTGTACGAAGCAAAAGTACCGGAAAACGCTCCCGATTTCCTGGTTACACAAGTTCACGTGCGTGTTACATTCGTATTATATGTTATATTAAATTGTATTGAATTGTTGTATTAAATTATACGATTACAATGTTTCCATTCCGTTCCAGGCCGACGATCCGGACACGGTAAAACGTGTAACTTACGTGATAAAACAAGGACCGTCGGATTTGTTTACCATCGATCCGACCACGGGAACCGTTAGAACGCTCCGGGGTTTGGACTACGAAAAAGACAGTCAACACACGTTAATTATCGGTACGTTGGAAAATTCGAATCAGACGTCACCGGGCGCCACGACGAAAGTCATTGTAAACGTCGAAGACCGCAATGATATTCCGCCGGTTTTTCTAACCATTCCGTCACCGGTGACGTTGGACGACGACGTGGCCGTCGGCACTAAAGTCACGACGCTTTTAGCTACCGATTCGGACGGAACGTCTCCGGGAAATAAAGTAATAATAATAATAATAATAATTCAGAATACGCGATTTTCTTTAATATTTATCCACCGACGACTATAAGTATATATATATATATATATATAATAACGATTTTGTTCATAGCCAAGACCGTGCCTAGAGGGAAGGGGGTTATGGGGGTTATGGTTCAAACCCCCTCCGATTTCGTTCGTGTTACATATTGATTTATCGATAACTCTATAACATAATATTATTGTAAAATTATAACTCAAACCACGTTTAGTTTATAACCCCCTTCGTCCCGAAATTATTTTCTAGCTACGGTCCTGTAGGTCAGAACAATATAATTATTAATCGAATGCATCTGTTACTATTATTTTTATTATTTGTTAATCTTTACGTACAAATTGTTATCGCTGTCGTAAGACGTAAGATAAAATACTACACATTTTGCGTACCACCATACGATTATATTATATTATACGTTAGACGTTAATATGAAAAATAATAATAATAAATATCAATTTTACAGGTACGGTACGAATTGAGCGGCCGCGGAAAAGCGACCAAATATTTTCACATAGACCCGGACCTCGGTGTTTTATACGTGCGCGGTGATCTTCAAAAAGAAACCGACAACGAATACCAGGTAAATTGAATTGAGTTATAAATTATATTAAAATATTAAAAAATTTATAACGAATGCCCAACGGCAATTATTGTGAAAACTCGATTTCTTTTATTTATTATACCTGATTTCGGTGCAGCCTAATAGACGACAAACCTTATTCAAGTCCAAAAAAATGTTCTCAAATAATTATCGTGTCTTTACAATATAACTATTATTATGTTCGCATTAACGAAATGCATCGGGAACAATTTATTAGATGACATAAATATATGTTTCACGTACGGGTGACTATAATAAACAACTTATCGAACACGCCTACGACTAGTCACGGCCATTATTTGTGCATATGCCTATTACAAATATAATCTAATTATCATGCTATGTATTATTTACTTATACAAATTACATTTTAATACGGTACAGTATTATATTTTTTTGTATTTGACCACCCAGATCATTTTATTTACTTCTCATTGCATTTATGTGTAATTTCGTCCTACGACTCGCCGCTTAGAAAGCAACACATCGTAACTCTTTTTTCCTCTATTTTATAGGATAGCAAAAAAAAAAAAAAAAACACATGGAAACAACACGACACGCGTCTCATTTGTTTTAAACTGAATTAAAATTTAGAGATCTATCGTAGTATTGCTTTGAAGATTTCAGATACGCTGTGTTGTAAAATACTCTATTCTAAAATTTCCTATTGATTTCATCGCGAATTTGAACAACGCCCAACAGTGTAACGTGAAATTCTTTATCAAACATTGTCAACACCTTAATTTAACCAAAAACTTTAATTCGATTTTAATTTAATTCAAAATGTTTACAAATATCTGTACTTATATTACGTTCGATATTTTAGATGATGTTGATTAAATACCTAACTCTTATGATTATAAAATATAGGTGGACGTAAGAGCGTACGATCTGGGTGAACCTCAGCTTTCTTCGGTATCTTCGGTGACGATATTTGTCAAACGTGTCACCACTCCGATACCGGAACTGGGAATGGGATTCTCTGACGATTCGTACACCGCTCGGGTTTTGGAATCCGCTGTCGCCGGCACTTTGATTAAAGTCCTCACTGTCGTACACCCGAGACCATCACAACCACTCCCACTCGTCTGCACAATAGTTTCCGGAAATTCTGAAGGTATAGTAATATTATATTAGGTATACTTCAGACGATGTTTGGCTGTATATAACATTATCACGGACTAAGATAATATAAAAGACTGAAAACGAAAAGCGAGAGGAATGTGGAGGATTCAGGATCACAGTGTAACGCTTGTGCAGGTTCTAGTGAGAGTGTGGCTCTGTCTATTGATAATATTTCACTCGCTGCTTTACAGTAGTAAAATCAATGGTTGACAACGGCACGGGCAACTAACTTAAATCACATGTTTGATTAAAAATAAGATCAGCAAAAAAATTAATTCGAAGAAATAATAACGTGCCAAATTAGTTACAACTTGATTTAACTTATTTCTCACACAAATTTGTTAAAAATAATGTATTATTGTTATCAAATGAAAAATGATTAGATCGCATAATAATATCATGATTGCAATCATTTATATGACTGTGGTCTATGAGTGGCTCGTAAATAGCGGTAAAATTGAAGTGTACCGCCTACAAGTATAGCGTTACATTGAGCTTTATTCAGCTTTATTAAATATTATAATATTTAGAAATTGTACGCATAAATCTATACGTACTTATTAAATACATGTATTTTGTAATTATTTTTCGTTCCCCTTTTGAAATATACGGTCATACGGATACACCAATCAAATAAAATGTGCACCCATTAAACAATATTGCAAAACGAATTGCTTCACATAATACCTATAATATTTGTTTGAATAATAAACGTTCTACGGAAATTTATAATTTATTATAGAAAAAACCGATTTATTCAATTTTGTTTTATCTCGCTGTGCACACAGATATATTCACGATAAAAGTTACGGCCGAGAAAAATTGCGAAGTGCGTTTGAAAGAGACGAAATTGGATCACGAACACGCGGAAAGTTATCAACTTAAAATCCGTCTAGACACTCTGGCCGGAGTAGTTAACCCGTCCAAAAGCACAACAATGGTAAGTTTTCACGTTAAAAGTCCAGGGCAGGGATTTCAATTCACTTTATATTGTTTTTCAAAACTTATCGTGCGACGCTCGTTCGGTAATAAATTTGTTCCGTGTATTTTCGAATGAGAATAAGACATTTTTTGAAAATTTTTGATTTTAAAGTCATTGTTTTCATATTTTTAGTGTTTCCTATTGACGCTTTATTTGAAACTTTTAAAGGCATAAAAGTGTTTTAATTTGTAATTATTTTACGTGACATCACATTCCCAGACCTATATACAGTTATGACAACAAAGTGCAGTCAGTACTATAGATTTAACTGCATAACAATTATAATACGGTTTTTTGTTCTGTTCCATTGTAGTTGAACGTCCAAGTGATCGACATAAACGACAACGTGCCGACGTTCGTGTATCCCGAGAGCAGTAAACGGTTCGCCAAGAACGCCTACTACGGCGCGATATCGAGCGACAAGGAAATCGGCAGCACTGTGTTGCAAGTCCGGGCGGACGACTTGGACAGCGGGAAACTGGGCGACGTGAGGTACGAGTTGACGGACGACGACGATCAAAACACCGCGGAGGGACCGTACTTCGCGATCGATTCGAAGACGGGCGTCATAAAAACCCTGCGGACACTGACCGACGTTCCGCCTCGCGGTTTGCCGTTCCGGCTCGTGGTCACCGCTCGCGACAACCCGGGGACCACGAATCCCACAGACTACAACACCGCTCAAGCGCACGTCGTCGTGAGTGTCGTCAATTCAGTGACGTGGCGTGCGTGACATTTTCGAGGCGAATTTTTCAGTGGACTCTGGCTCACTCGACGGCTAAAACAAATACTGCTCCTCGGATTTTTGTTTTTTTTAAGACCTGCGTAGGCACAAATAAGACAGAGCTTATATCGGGGTTTATTATTTTTCCGAATCCGTTCACGAACACAGCCTTCCAAAAATGTGTAAAGTGTTCACGTGCGTCCCATCGTCTCGGCCGAAAATGATCTCTCGTCATAAATTGCATTGGATTTGGCTGCCCTCCCCCCTCAAACCACGCGTGTGTATAGTTTAAAACACGCCGACGGGAACCGGCTGGGATGCACCACCCTACGCCCTATAATTTATTATTTTTAATAAAAAACTTATAATTCTCCGATAATATAATAAATTTATTAATAATTAAATAGATTATAAATCATTTTTTTTAGGTAGTTCAATTTATTATCATCATTGATTGTTTTGTATACCACCTTAATATATTAGCACTTTTTAGACGTGCTTTTTTCTTTTATGTGGATGAATTTCGCAGTTTATTTTTATTATCAACATTTTATGTTTGAATTCGTTAAAAACATAAACAATTTCAATTTTGTGGCTTCAAAATAATATTCAAATCGCAACATGTTGAACCGATCATACTCAGAGTCGTTATCATTGCGTAGATATAAACTAAATTACCCTATATTATACATATCTTACATTCCCAACTTACAACAGTGACGCCTGCCAATATTCAATAGTAATAGTTTATAATTTTTTTTTTTTTGTAAAACTAATTATTATTCAATTTCTGTCCTGAACATAAATTGTACACCCCCCCCCCCCAAAAAAAAAAAAAAAAAATCTTTCAAAAATCTCATAGACGATAATATCGTCTCTCAAAGTCTCAAATAAATGTTCGCAATGCCACAGCACGTCATATATGGTTATAATTATTTATTTATAAACGAATGCCTACTAATGTTTTCAGATAAACGTCATCAACGACCAACATCGCATGGTGATGGCCATCGACGGAGCCCGTCCGGATATCGTCAAGTCGTCCGAAAACAAACTCATTGACGAATTGGAAAAACAGTTGCAGCTCATCGTGGGCACCGAAAAGGTGTCGGTCAAACATTACAGGCGGCGGGAAAACCTCACCATCGAGACCGATCCCGGGTCAACCGATTTCTGGTTTTACGTCGTGGACCCGGCTAGCGAGACGATTTTGGAACGAAATAGCACAAAAGTGACCAGGTACGATAATGTATGTTAACGGTTCAATATCGCGTGTATGTAAATAAACTGGAGGTACTCGCGTTTAAGTAGGCGTGATACCGATGATTTTGAATAGTAGAAACATTTTTACTGAGTAGAACTCACTTAATTTTGCAATTTTACATCAAAAGCGCCCATAATCTACATTATAAAACTGAAATATTCTGAAACACACCGTGAATCTCAAATCCAATACATTAATACATTTAGTGTAGCGTAATCATCATTTTTTTTGTATAAACGTTTAATGTAAAAATTTTCATGAAATTCGTAAAAATCACGGCATATTATACGTATATTACTTAATACTTATAGTGAGTGGTTGCTACTATACTCATATAATTTCCATGTTGATATAATGTGAATATAATCTGTAATTTAAACACGATTTTTACTACAGATCCAAACTATGCTAAAGAACATTTAAAATATTCTCAACTCAAAAAGTAAAAATGCTATTAAATTGATTAGAATTTCGATGGAGAATATACATTTTTGTAGTATAATATAAATTGTGTATGTCAAAAAAGAAAATTATAAAAATAATTAATTGAAAATCTAGCAATTACGTTACTCAGAAAATAAATCGTGGCATTTAGATTGAAATCTGAGTTTAATCACAAATAACAAAACTTAAAGAACTTAGCTTTGTTAAGAAATGCATTTTGTCTGGCATTTTTTTCTTTTTTTTTTTTTTGTAAAATCTACGTACAGACCTCGGTGACATTGTGCTCTTGAAATTTTACTAGATGTGAATGAAAAAATATTACATACAGACAAATCTGCTCTTTAGTCTATTAGATAGTACTGATATTGTTAATATAGTATTTGTTGACACCACGGTTATGTAGGTTCTATCCATAACCGGTTCGATCGTCGCGTTCGTCCCGCGAGAATATTAATCGAGGTTTCCGCGTCGTCTCGCCGGCGCGCCGTAACAAAACATGGCATTTCATAATAATAATATACGTAACCGCGTGTAGTAAACTGTGTTTTTTTTTTTTTTTTTTTTTTTTTACATATTTTCCTCGTCGCGTATAGGTCGATACTGAACAGAGATTCCGTCGGTAACATTACAACCACGGTCGCCCACAAACTATCGATTACCGCGTCGGATATCCATTTGCCGCTGCAGCAGCTGCAGCCCGTCGTCACCCGGACGCAGACCGCGGGCGTTACCATACAATGGACCGTGTTCCCGTACACGTTGATCCTGATGGCGGCCCTCATTCTGGTGCTGGGCATCGCCGGCATAATTTACATTTGCGTGTCGTGGTCCAGGTAAGCGATATTATGCAAATTTTAACACGCCTATAATTCATACACAATATTATACATACGCGATGCTCACGTCCAAAATTGTTATTATTGTTCCCCGAAACAAACGTAGCGTTTCCCACAATCGCCCTTTATATGTATCCGTTTTTAAACAGTATAAGTGGATGTTACCGTTTATCATTACGTAGGCAACTACTAACTTCGCTAACTAATATCTGTAAAGAGCAACTAAATTTGATTGTGAAAAAAACGATTTAAAACGTTATCAGTGAGTGTCGCTTATTGCAATTTATAGTGTATTGGTCTCGGTCAGTGGCGTGCACAGGGGAAGGAAGTTAGGAGATTTAAACGTATATCCCCCACTGGCTTAAAAATACAACAACTATATTAGTGTTTTATTTAGTAATTCTGTCATGAAATTATAATTGGAGTGATACGTTTAACGTAAAACACTCAATATTAAAACTATTAAAGGCCGCGGTTCGTGTCTCCACACAACTCGTCGACGGGTTGACGGAAAAATCTGCAAAAATGTCAACACCAAAATGTATTTAAACTAATACGACATTAATTTATAGAACTTTCAACATAAATTGCCATTTGAAAATCAAAAATAGGTTTCACTCCCAAAAATAATGGCGATGTAACATTTCAGGGCTGACCATTTCTTTAAATGTAAAATTTTTTTTTTTTTTAAATGCATGCAAAATAATTAAAGCTGTACGTTAAATGAATCATCTGTTATATTTTAGTCAAATTTTAGGGGAGAAATGGTTAATTTATTGAATAAAAATTGCTTTTTATGGATCCGGCTTTTAAATTCTCATTGTCTGATATAAGTTATACCAAAAACTTGATGTATAACTGATATAAGGTATAAGCAGAAAAAGATTCTACGATATATCACGAATCAAAATATACTTAATTATCGTGATTATTATACTTACCTATTACATCACCCCCAATTAAAAATTTCTGGGCACGCCACTGGTTCCGGCCATATTTCACAATCGTAACGCAAACACGCGCGGACATTGTCACGTTTTTAATGGAGGTTTATTTTGTGTGTGTGTGCTGCAGGTACAAAGCATATAAGGAGAGGATGGCCAGGATGTACGTGACACAACGGTACGATCCGGTGTTCGTCGAGCCGAATTTGAAGGAATACGAGGTACAGGTAAGAAAATTATTTGGTTTAGGGCGGGCGGGACCCGTTTCCGCCAAAATAAACCTTCCCTTTTCTATCTGAAACAATACACTTTAGACTGGATAAACTTAATATTATTGTGCAGGCTCTATAGTTATTGGCGGACATGTACCAGTTCCCCTGAAAAGTACATTTTTCGTTACAAATTCCCCCCAAACTACCTAGAGTAAAATGTGCCAGTTGCCCTCAACATAATAATATGACAATTGATAATATACATGACCATAATACAACACCTGGCGTATAATAGAAAGGAAGACAATCTAACGGCACGGCGTAGTGGATGCGGCTATAATAGTATTAGTATTATTAGTATTAAATAGTGAAAAAAAGGAACATTATGTTATAATAAAATAATAAACACAATATTTTTAATGATAAGTGTCATATATTGTGGTTTGTCAAAAGAAATTAATAATAATAATAATAAAAAGTTCAAACAATAAAGAATCGAAAATTCGAATTTGAGAAAATATAGGCACAACCAAAAATAGTCAAAAAATTCAACTAGTTTTTTTGATAAAGGCTTAATTGAAACCAGATCTCCAACAAAACAAACGTCTACTTCACTAGACTGAATCTATTTTTACAGAGATGATGGGAAAGTCAAATTTATACCTATCGACTATCGAAAATTATAAGCCTTTCTACGTAACAATATTTTTGATGTAAATTTAAATTTTTTTTCTCCGTTATTTACCCGACGTGGTTTTGCCAAATAATCGAATTTATTTAATTTGTACTCGAGTTTGTGAGTTAAGTTAGCCGCACTTTAAATAATAAGTACACAGGTTAGAATTTCCCTCTTTTTATTCTGTGTTGCTGTATTCTATATATATTAAGCGCAATTCGTATATTTGGCTAAGAGCAACTAATACATTTGGTTGAGGGCAACTGGCACATTCGATTGAGGGCAACTAGTGTATTTTTAAATGCCAAAAATAGTTACTGGGAGCAACTGGTCAACACCCTTATTGGCTTGGTTGATCAACATAAAAGATACTAATTGCGATGGAGGAAATTGGTTTTTTTTTTAACTAAATGGCGCCCAAGTAACCAAAATTGTGTAGGTACGTCATTATTTTGTTCTAATCTATGTGTCACAATATATATATATTACTACGGTATTTGATAATACCAAAACAATTATACATAATCAATGTATAAACTAAAGTATTAATATTATATTATCAGTATCGTATAAATACCGTTTAATTTGTATCTTACAATACGCCACCAAATACATAAATCATAATTACACGCATATAACATATTTATAATACAGGACACGGGTCGACACAACAGTATTAAAATTGTTTTAGCGGTTTTAAGGTTCATTTTGGTGGAAAGAGTATTGGTATAAAAACGGCTAAGGACTCGTTTGGTGGAAAAGGGAAAACCGGCGACTCCCTTTTGGGCGACGAGCCGGCTACGGACGGTCGAACTAACCTCGGCGTCGGTTTTTGTCTGTCCGCAGGTACTCCAGATGAGCGTGCCGATCGACGACAACGACAGCTATAACGACTTGCAACTGGACTTTAGCCGTAAAAACCACACGTTCAGTCTGGACAACGTCGGCTACATAACCAAAGAGAACGTCGACAGCATCGGTAATAACCGCGTTGATAAAATATGTATACCGATATCGGATCGGAATTTTTTTTTTTAAATATACGACCATTTTTCCCGTTAATTCTCGAAGCTTTAACACCGTACACCTTGAAAAAAAAATGTTAAAGGGAATTCATATGATAAAATAAAGAGTAATGCATACTGTTTTGTTTCTGTTATGTATATATACTGCTATACTGCTACTTTTGGAAACTTCAGTGTCTCCCTCTAAACCGAATAAGCTGAAACTAGAGGGAATTAAAGTTTTCTTACTAAGCGGTTTTGACCACATGATTTCACCATGTTGTTGTGGAAAGAGGGTCTTTTTCTGGTTTTGTATATCCTTATACAGTCTAACCAAATGAAACCAGGGGTATGACATGTTGTATGTGCATGATGTAAGTATCAAGGATGTGATTTTTAAAACATATCCTTCAATTTCCAACCATTCTATGCTAAAATATCATTTTTCACAGAAAAAACCCGGGTTCTAAATATCTCTACAGATAGTATGGAATAAAATATATGTATGAAAACTCTAGCAACCATAAATATTTTAGATCATTTTTGAAATAAAAACGGAATATTAAAACAAAGACAAGTCGGTCGGGAGAAAATTATGTTCTAGTAACGGAGTGATCAGATACTTTTTTTTCATATATGTACCTAGGTAGTTGATAAATTTACATTGATTTTTACAAACATTTCGTTTAAATTGCATAAAAGCGATCGTAGCTCTGCTCAGATTTTCGTTTGCGACAGCTTGATAGTTGCATTCGATTTTTCTTCTTCTTTTAATTTGTATACGCCATTTAGGACCCTTCGCTGCTTCAACTATTTTCCGCCACCTTTCTCTATCTTCACTCTCCTCTAGTCTTGGTCCTGGTGCACAATTTTGTACGTCTTATTTGACTGTATCCGTCCACCTTTGCCCGGGTCGTCTTCTAGGTCTTTTCACATTTATTGTTTCTGTCGTTACTTTTTTTTTAATATTCCATCGGCCGTAGCCAGCCCATTCCAAACGTTTAGCTCTTACATATGCATTTATACAGGTCGTTCAGTACATTTGATAAATTTCCTTATCGGTTCTGACCCTGTATTCGCCATTTTCCCGAGACAGGGTCACAGATACGACGCAGTATTTGCGTTCGGTATTTAAACTGAATAATTTTACACTGACCTATAACCTTTTTTTATTGGCCCGTAGACGGACACAGCCCCGTCAGTTCGGAAGCGGCGACCACGGCGAGGACGTCGAGCGTGGGCCGGAGTCGGCCGAACGGCACAAGCACGTTCGGCCGGACGAACATAGGGTTCGACCCGGCGGAAGACGGCGTGCCGGCGTCCGCGCAGGTCATCAGCTCGACCAACGACAACGTGACGTTCCGGGAGAAAAAAGAATTCGGACGTCCCGCGCACAATGGCAACGGCATGACGACGTTCAACCGGAAAGCCGTCGAAGTGACCACCGAACTATAGCAGCCGCTCGGATGATGCCGATGAGAGTTAGGTAGCTAGATAGAGCTAGGTAGCTAAGTACACGACGACGTATACATCATAATATTATGTTACCCCCCCCCCAAAAAAAAATTAAAGGGCAAAAATTAAAATATTGCGTTACACGCGTTTAGGTAATTCACTTAGAAACAGTTTCATAAATACAGAATCATACCGAGACGATCCTTTTGCCCCTCGTCCCACCTCATAACACGGCCCTGTTTGCGTGAAAACGAGTCATATTTTCGCATCTAGTCCCCGCGCCTTCTCCTCGCCACAGTATTTAACTGCCCCGACCTTTCACTGTGATAAAACGTCGTTTCTGTACATAATAATATTATATCATTAATAATTATTACAACGATAAATTATTATGCGGTGTAAAAAAAAATATATATATACACACGTGTATACAAGCTGTGTTACAACAACATAAAGATCTGAAACAACTTTTGTTCTGTTCAATATTTTTAAGTTTTTTTTTTTTTATTGTTCTTATGATAACTATTAGAGCCTTGCGCTATGATTCCTCTATTTTCTATACATATTTGTACACACTAAAAATAAAAAATTGTTTTTACAAAATCCAGGATAGCCATTTTATAAATACATTTTGAAACAGAATTTTAGTGTTGTAAATATTTACTAATGATATTTCATGTATTTACTATAATTTTTTGAAGTTAAGGATAATTTAATTCGTTTTCATTGAGACTAAATAATATCAATTGAATCGTTAAATTTCCGTGAAAAATAATTGTATTAATTAAATTAATTTTAAACTCCGGAAAATTTCATAAACTTTACGATTCATCAATAGTAATTATTTATAACATTCAAATTTTGTTTCAAAATGTTATATATTTTGTTTTTTGTAAAAACAATTTTCTAGTTTTAGATTTGAAAATATAAAATGCAAGAATTATAGGACTCTAGAAATTATTGCAAAAAGAAAATTTCATAATATTGCACAAAACAAAAGTTATTTCTGGTGATAGATCATCGTGTTAACTTTATATAGGTGTATAATACAAACAAATTTGAAGAAAAACACCTAGTGGTATTTACATGTTATAATTATAAATAGGGACACAAAAAAAAAAAAACCCTCTTAAAAATAAATGAGCAAATTATTTTTAATAGGACAATACTTTAATTAAAAATATTGTGCTGTTTAGGTAAAATTTAAGTTTAAACCATGAACAATAAGAGGAGAATGTTTGTTTTTGACGATTATAAAATAGGTATTATCAAATAATACTACAAGACCCCATAATATCATAACGTTCTTCACTTCAAATTTGTTCATGATATAGGTATAGTGTTTGAACTCTAAATTTCTCCCAAACTGGAGAATTTATTAATGGTTTTTTAGAGGCCGTCTATGCATGTTCATGTTTACCATAAAATATCAATATAGGTACATGTAAAAAAATAAGTTAAATATAGATTCATTACAAATGTTTAATTAGCAGGAGGTGCTTTAACAGCTGCTCTTGAACATGTGCATGACATGGACATGAATCGGCAGTCCCATAACCATATCCTTAATAAATTATACAGTTTGGATAAAATTTAGTGGTCAAACACTATATGTCTATACCTATATCATAATAATAATAATAATAATAAATAAAACGACTGGTTATAGTTAAGTGTTTAGGTAGATTTTAAGTTTTACTTATCAACTGCGTTCTTTGATAAATTAATAATTCCAAAGACTTCAGTAACAACAATAATGTGGAGTAATCATAATTATAATATAAACTGTAAATGTATACCGATTTCATAATCTAAACAAGATACTTAATATTTTTAGTGAGTACCTATAATTTTATTTGTGAAAGTTCCTACGTCCGGTCACATAATAATATCTTGTTTGACAACACAGTGTTAAATTTGTACAGTTTTCTTTTAAGAACGCAGTCACGATAATATTTCAATCAAATTATCTATTACTTATAATTATCAATTTATTAATTATTAATTATTAATGAATTCAATAATATTAATATATAACATTATATTATGTACACATTGGTGTGTAAAATAATATTATAGTATTTTAATATTGATTTGCTCATGTTTATATGAAAAAAAAAAATAATAATAAAATATGTTCACCGAATAATATTATTATTTAATAGGTTACGAATTGCCATAACTAATAATAATCATTATTATTGTAAAGGCAAATGTATCGAATGTGTTTTCCTCAAGCTCAAAATATTCTTTAATGTAATAATAATATCAAAAATAAAGAGGAAACATTTATATTATAAGCAAATTAAAAAACTGTTTATTGTACATAATATGATTGTAATTTTTCTAATAATTATGTTGTTATAATTATTAATTTTACGTTCTTGATTCATTATTTTATATATATTTTTATACAATTATTTTAAATTGTTGTACATACAAATGATAATACTATGTTTGATATTTATGTGTGTAAATTTTTGTACGAATATATTTTTTTTTATTTTTACCTATTATTATTACTGTTACTTAAACAATTTAAAAAACGAGGAATTCATAATTGTTATTTCTTTTTTTTTTTAATTTTCCGTACTTTGGTTTTTTCAATAGTTTTATCGCTGCCTAACAATAATTGTTCATCTTGTTTACGCAATCTTTCCAGTTTTCCACCCATATTGAAGCCGTGTCTCGCCGCTCTAAAATAAATTACAAGCAAATATTAAAAGTGAAAAATGATAAGTAAACAACACTATTATAATAATATAGATCAAACTCAAATTATGTGCCAACCCATACTTCGGTTTAGTATGTTTTAAACTCACTTGTGACAAGTAATTCCACCGCACGCTTGAAATAACTGTTCATCTGTTAACTCCAAACTAGATTGGACATCCTCGGTTTTTACTTTCTACACAAAAAAATTAATTATTTTTTACCATACGCATTAGCATTAGCAGGTTTATGGTTATGTCCATAGATGAATATTAACCATTTAATATTTTTAAACATTTAAAAGAATTGTTTAACATACATTCATCATATTATTTTTCAACAAGGGATATTTTTGTATTTTTAGAATAAATACAGACAAAATTGGAAAAAGAGATTAATGAATTTCAATTTGGCTTTAGACACGGCATGGAAACCAAAGAGGCATTGTGAGGAATAAATATTCTTATGATGTATGTTTTTTTTTTTTTATGTCTGAAGAACATTTCTATAAGAAAACATGAAGTATTGAGTGTAACACCTTTCTGAAAATTAATTTCTTCAGTTGGTGCACCGGAGATGTAATTTTTTTGGTTTTCTAAGGGGTTATCAACATAATTGGGAAAAACCCGAAAGAAAATTAAAGGTAAGACGGCAAATATTTATGGCGCGCGGTGGCGATGCCGTTTTCATTGTTTTTAATTTTTGCAACTTATGTTTTCTACCAGTAATCTTGCTCCGATTTAAAATTGACAAGAAATCGATTTTATTCCTTTGGATCTATAACCACTTACAAAGGAAAATCGTTTTTTGATACCTGAATAATTTTTATAACAATTGGAAAAAACCGGAAAAAGATGTACAATGAAAACAGATAAATTTACGACGTTATGATTTCATTATTTAAAATTTGTATGGCTTATATTTTCTACAAAAAATATTAATCCAATAAAAAAACAACAAGATACCTCTTTTGTTGCATTTTTAATTCGGTTAGTGACCAAGTGGTAAGTAAGTCATTTTTTTATGTTTTTCTTGAAGTGTAATAATTGAGCAGAAAACCGAAAAATACGTAAAAAAAAAACAGGAAAATTTACGAAAATAATTCTTTAAATTATTTTTAATTTTGTTTTTTTAATGTAATTCAGTTCAAAATATTCGTAGAGACTTAAAATGTTGATAAAAAACTAATATTTGCTTTCCTAACGGAGGTTATATTTTCAAAATATTTGATCCATTTTTGAGCAATTTATAGAAATTTTAATTTTGCGAGTTGTTACGTAATTTTTAGTGGTATGTATACTTCGTTGATAAAATGGTTTAACTAAACAGGAATGCAATTAAACATTTGTGAGGAGATTCATTATGAGTCGTACTAAGTAGTAAAAAAAAAAATTAAGTACAATATTTTTTTTATATAAGTTTTAAAATCCAATTTAACGAAAATCGTAAATATTACGGCCTTTCAAAACATTTATAACCGAACTTCGCTCTGAACAATTTTTTCGTTAACAATGGTCTATCGTTGGTTACAGGTATAAATTAAATAACTTCTTGTATCCCACTTTCCCAACTACTCACCTACAACATTGTTTTTACAAAATCGAAGGTAGCCATTTTATTTTGAACAATTATGTTTATTTTAAAAACACATGGTCATGTATAATATTATAATCATAAATAGTATTTAAATTTATAAAAATTTTGCAATTAATAATACATCATTCAAATGGTAGTTAATATAGTTAATAATAGTTGTATCAGGCACGGGTCCATAGCAAAGATTTGGGAAGGGGGGGGGCAAACATTTTTAACAACACAAATACAATTCAAATATAATAAAGGTAATACATTATGTTGTATATTATACAGTTTTTACGTGATTCATACATCAGTGATTGGAATATAGTAATATCGGGATCTATAGAATTATAAAAAAAAAATCGGATAAATAATATGTCTGGGGGGCCTGGTCCCCCCTGGCCCTCTGGATCCGTCCCGGAGTTGCATTATAAATTATAAACTATATGGGTACCTTGGATAGTAACACAGATGAAATTATATTCGGTGAAACGTGAATAGGAATAAATAAGTGATAATATATATTCAAGAACAAAAGTAAATGTGAGGGCGCTGTAATGTGATAAACTGAAACGGGCGTACTGTGATGAAATAAACGTAGTAAACATACCTACACTCTGTAGGAGGGCCATGTCGCGCAAAAACGAAATTTGGTCGGCTCTGCGCATGTCCACCGTCGTCGACGAGGAAATTTAAATGCACGGAGGGGATACGATGGCCCGGTCGGTCGACGAACGATGCGCATGCGCATATCCGCCGGATAACTGATCTGATCATGCGATCTGTATGCTCTCTCGTGGCGTAGAGTGTAGGAAAGAATTTTATTTTTGATTTTTACATCAATCAATCGACAGAATTAATGAACCCTAATTTGTACGAATTGTATTTATTAAAACAATGTTTAAGTCAATCATTGAGTCACCAGAAATAATTATTTATGCGGGGAACTTAAAAAGGACGTTTGTTAAAGGGGAATTCACTAATAAAAAAATTAATTAAAAATGACAAATAAAATAATGTTATAAACAACGTAAGTATCATATTTATCTAACCAATAGGAATAATTACATTTTTTAGTCACCAGAAAGTCAAGAAATGTTCACTACATTGACGTTGTTGAAATTTTCATTGCCGTTCTCAACACAATTTCCCATTTCTTTTTTATAGTCCGTTTAATATAATTAGGAATTTGGGAAAAGATACTTCTCTTTCTGAACAACTATGAAATACAAAACCAAACTAAAGCATGATTCTTTCTCGATGCACGTATAATGATTTATAATTTTTAATGGAACATTTGTTTTTCAAATTAAATGTTTACCTCACATTACACTGTGGAACGCAAACAGAATTTATGTTTATATCACACTGTTAGTTTTATTAAGCCCGAAATACGTGTAGGCCATATTAAAATATTTTATGTTAAAACTACCAATCATCAGTACAACATAAACAATGAGTTTTCGAAAAAAAGTACTGAATATATTTCCCGTGACGAATTAGATTCTAACCAGAATCTAATTATTCTAATTCGTTACGATATTTCCTATACCTAGTATCTAATGTGCTATAAATTATAATCATTACAGCGCGTCCGTTTAAGATAGTATATAGCATTACCGCTAGAGGTCGGACTCTTCGCTTTTGATCGCGAACAGAAAGTTATGAATTAATGAAGCATTAATTAGCATCACCTACGATTATGAAGAAAATTATAATCGTGGCATCACCTGACAGAACCACGTTGCTAATGTAGCCGTGATTAGAGTATAATCGTGGAGGGATTAGCTATTTGTAGTTGGTAAATAAAACTCTGTTCTATTTACTCGCATTATTATCACAACATTCACACGAAGGGTATTAGGGCAACTATGCCAGTGACAAGTACTACACATCGTGCAACCAAGGTATTCTATAGGCACCGCCAATTTGCAATACAAATACATTTATGAAATATTTTTAATAAACAAATTGATACTCAATTAGAATCCTCGGCTTACTTGACTGTTCAATAAAATAACTGTTAAAATGGCACCGTAGAATAATATTGTAAACTCACCTGTAGGAAAAAATTATACCTATTTCGAATAAAGTTGATTAAGTACCAACCACGGACTAGAATAAACGGGACAGGGGAAACGATGCAGTTATCGGCGAACACGAGCACAACGCAAACCGGCACGCCGATCTAGGTACATTATTTGTAAAACTAATAATTATGTTCATTGGTTATTTGTTTAAGTACTATACTGTGTTCACTATATAGATACTTTAATACTCAACTTACTAGGTACCTCCTATATTATATTTTATTCAAATTATTTTTTTTCATAAAACATACTTGACCAAGAACTGTTTTAAATTACATATCTGGCAATATTGAAGTGGACATTTATACTAGATTACATTATACGGACTATATATTGTGACCCATAAAAATACTTGCTGTAATGTAATTAACAAAATTACACACATTCCAAGTGGTCAAAATATCGTTTTATTTTGGTGCTTTGAATAAAATACTTTTCGATATACATTAGTTTACACTACGCCGCCTGGGCATTTTGAAAAAAAAAAAAATCCGAGGAACTAGATCTTAAAAGTATACACATTACAGTAGGGTACACAACGATAATAACAATAATGTACACATATAAATTATGGTAAAGATAGACAAAAATAGATGGCACAATGAGCGTCGTGTCGCGAAGGCGTTACACCATAGACATAATAAAAAGTAAAAACCCCGCACTTTGCTAACCCATCGTGTATCATAGTTCGTGGACCATGGTACCTACTAGCATAGATTAAATATACTTCATTAATTATTGAATAATAAATTATATTTAATGTACGATACTAGTGATGGGCACTATCAAACTATTCGAATAAATAAAAACTATTTGACTATTCGAATACTTTTCATTTTGAAATACTTGATTTTCCCATTTCCAATATCGTCGGATATTTCTTCTTCAAATGATTCCATCGATTTGACGTATTATTTGAATATTTCAAAAATGTATTATACAGTCTACAATCTACATTGCACTTGATTCGGCACGTTAGGATTTTTTAAAATACATTCTCACACACACTTGAGCAATTTTTTTGTGAAACATTTTATTAAATGGATAAATTTAAAAAAAAAACGTATATTGTCATGTGTCACACGGATTTAAAAAACGAAGCGAAGATTTGTAACTGTTACTTAAATGTAATAACCAAAACCCCTAATGGATCAATGTCCAAATAATTATATAGATATTTACTATTTTGGTAAATGGAGATAGGTGAGTGTCGGCTTGTATTAAAAGGTCACCAAACCATCTGTCATTTTTTGTTTTGTATAATCAACTGTAGGGTATAAGTATAGTATAGTAGGTATTATAGTATATCATAGGATTATTTATCTATCGACCGTAACGTATAAGCGAATCGTTTTATTATAAATAAAAATATTTTAATAATATTGGCGAAAAATAACGAAGTAAAAATTTTCGAAAATTCGATATTTTTTCCGAATATAAGTATTCGATCACAGGAAAAAATATTCAAATGAAACAGCTATTTGATAGTTTACCAGACTTTTAAAATACTAAGATAATTATATTGCGAGTAATTTTCAGTATCAAATAAACATTACATATTTCTATAAACATGATAATGCAATTTTAAATAAAAATAAAAACTATTTATTTTGGTTTTGCTGTTTTTTTTTTCTCCTATCAAACAATTTTTCCAACAGAAATCTTGCTCAGATATAATCAATTTCAGACATGGCTTATGGTACAAAATTTTGTTATAGTTTATGTATTGAGATCTTTTTTTATTTACCTAATTGTTTTCTTAATAGTTAAGAAAAACCAGAAAAAGAAACATTGGAAAACTGACAATTGTACACAATATAACAGTGAACATTTTCTTTTATTTATTCTTTGCAATTCGTTAAATAATCATAGAGACCCGAATACTTATATTAGTATTAAAGATAATTTTCAGGTTATTTATAGCTGTTGAAATTTTGTTTAGTTTTATTTAAATGTAAATAATATTTTTTAAATAGGATAATATTTAACACAAGGTTTAAAATAGGCTGCAATTTAAAATAAAACAAAAAGAAAAGTTGACCGTAACATTTGACATTTTTGGTTTTATTAAAATATCTATAATATATCTTAAAACTTTCTTTATGTCAAAGGTAATAATTGACTATTTATTAGATCTACATTGGGGAAATGTAAACCACTGTTTTGGATGAATTATAGGATAGGTTAGTGTTTTAGAGAAAGTCAATCAGTTATGTTGTAGTTATTTTCAATTAAAACTTCATAACTAATTATAAGTACTAGAATTTTACCCTAAAATATTCTACTAGCCATTAATTGTATTTTTTGAATTTAAATATTAAAATTAACAGCTTTCTTTGTTCTATCAAACATAATGTTATAAGATTGCTATATAGAACTTTTTATTTATCTTGGCTAGTTTTTCGTATGCAAATTAAAACACACTTAAAAGGAAAAACTAATATCTCATCCTACACTGAGAAATCAAAATAGTATTACCTACCTTTAATTTTTGTTTCTTTTTTTTCTTTTTTGATTTAAATACAACTTCTCCATTCTATAAAAAATATAATAATATTTGATTAAAAAGCCAATGACATACTAAAAACTTAATAATAAGTATTTATTCTATATGTCTATTTTATAGTATAAATAATAATGACATTACTTTATTTTTAATATCTAGTCTATTGGCTGCATCATTGTAAGTACGAGTCCACCATTTATCACCGTACGATTCTGCATTAGCTGTATCATAACCAATACCAGTTTGATCAAATTTAAGACTTGCTCGGACAGGTGCTGCAATCCCATCTTCTTTCTTGCCTAGACCTTTACCTAATAGTAAAATATTAAACAAACAAACAAAAAAAAAAATGATATATTAATGAACATGTAACTCATAAACAATATTGTAAGGTATCATAATTTTGTACCTAAATGTGTTTATTTGCTTGTCTGTCAATCGGTTCAATGTGTACACCAATAAATTGCAGATCTTCAAAATATTCTTAGTTAACATACTGGTGATGCACAGGGTAAATGTATCAAAATTGTATAATAAACACCATAATATAAATAAGGATCGATTTTTCATTTTTATATATACTAACATAATTATATTACTCTAAAAAGATAAAAGTGATGATTTTCAAATTTTAAAATGTACCTAATCTTCAAAATTCTATACCAATTAGCCACTGTTTTTATACTACATACATATCAGTATCAATGTACCATTAAGTTTTTAATATTTTGTTAAAACTTCAAAATATAAACACATATTTGCATATCTGAACGATATCAAATTGAGGATAAGATGGAAATCTAAAACTATGGAGATTGACTACAAAAAATTAATATTTTTAACAACATTGGTTTTTACTCATGTACGCTGAAAATAATTACATAACCAAGTATAAATAAAAAATATACAATTTAAAAAATGTTTTAACTAGAATATTGAAAAATAAGGTAAGAGAGTATGGAAAAAAGTAAAGTATATTATTATGAGCTCTGCAAAATACAATATTTTTAATATGTAAATTCCTAAAAACCATAATTTTTTCTATGATTGTTAACTCAGTCGACATTACAATATTTACAATGGTACAAATAAGTTTGACGCACTTCGTCAGTTATCACAAAATCAATATTATAGTTAATAGCTCAAGACGTGTAAGATGTTTAGCTATTTATAATATTTATGTGTACGAGTATGATCTAGGAGGTCTACTCGTTTATAAAGTGAATAATGTTTGACTTATTATGTATATAAAAATAATAAAAACCAAACAAAAGAAAGGCACTTAAATTGTTAACAACACAACGAAAACAAAAATCAAGTGTCAGGAAGAGCATTATATTATTATTATATTGCACAAAGACACAGACCAGCAATCGAAACATTTATCTAAGAGAAAAAGTTTCCGTACAATTTTTTTTTTTTATGATTTTGTTCTCCAGTATTCCAGTTTATAAAATAAAAAACAAATGAAAAATAATTATTCCAACACTCGGATTTATTAAAAAAAAAATCCATGATATATTGTTTCGATTCCAGTTTACAAAAAGTAAATACTAACTCTGGCTATGACCTAAACCGGAATCAGAATCTCTTCGTTCTTTTCTATTTCTTTTTGAAGTGGTTTCATCAGGACTATGGTCTCTTTTCGATCCTCTATCATCTTTACTGATTTTAATACGTAAACTACTTCCAGACCCTGAACCACTACCTCCGATTCGTTCTTTTGCAATTTTTAATTTAATGCCTCTAGGTGGAGAATGTGGTGTTGTTATTACTACAGGTGGTATTTGCTTAATTTTTTCTTTTGGTATAGTAATTCTAATAGGTTCGGGTTCTTTATGTTTATCTTTATGCTTGTGATGCCTATGTTCTCCATCTTTGTGTTTTTTATCTTTTTTGTGTTTCTTTTTTTCACGTTTTTCTTCTTTATGTTTTTTCTTTTTCTTTTTGTGTGTATTCGAATTACAAGATTCTCCATCTATTTCTATTGTACCTGTTGGACCAACAGGATTTAACATTAATTCAGGATCAAATTTAAGTACAACATCTGTGGGTGATGTTTCAAAACTCATTGGTTCTGGTTTAATATAAATTGTATCTGAATCAGGTTTAATCATAATAAAACTGTCCGGTTCAGATGTATTGATGTTATAAGGTTCTGGTTCAGATTTAATTACAAAATTTTCTGGTTCAGTTTTAATTATAAAAGTCTCTGGCTCAGTTTTAATAATTAACGTGTTATCAACTTCCAGTTCATCTTCAGGTACTGGACTAAATATTGATGGTTTTTTAACTTTGGGTGGAGATTCTCTAGGAGATTTGATCACAGATAAAATATTTAAATCATTTTTTTTGGTCATTTCTTTGAGCACACTAGTTATCACTTCAGAATGATTATCCCGACCAACAGAGAATTGATTTCGTATAGGTTCAGATTTGACTATTACATCTTGTTTAATAATAACAGGTTCTGGAGGTTTGGGTATCGATTTAGGTCTTTGTGGAAGGGGATCATTTTTAATATTATTATTTAAATTTGTTGAATTATCAACTTTAGGTTTAACTGGAGCTAACGGTTTACTTGGAACAATAGGTGTTGTTGTTGGTTGTTCTTTATTAGAAGAAACCGGTCTAGCAGGTACTACAAATTTATGTTCAACAGGAACACCATTAGTTCTAGTGGGAGGTTGGAAGACTACAGGTGTAGGTTTGGACGGTGTAGGTCTGGCATTTACCATTCGAGAATGACCCTGGTGTTTATAATTTGAAGGTAATTGAGGAATAGGTGATTGCATTTGTTGAGATGAACAATAATTGGCTAATGCTCCATTTTTGTCCATTGTATTAGTGGCCATTAATCGCTTCTTTAGTCGCGACGGACACTTGTCAAATATTGTTAAAAATTCAGTTGTTAACTGTTCTAGTAGTTCAGTAGTGACACTTTGATCTACATACCAAAACCATGGTTTTTTTTCCATACTGTCTTTTAGTTCCCATTTAGACCATTTACACGCTAAATGTATGCAAAAACAAGCGACAATCGTCGGTTTATATTGGACACACATGGTAGTTAAATGTAAACTATTGGACGCCATAAAATAGGCTGTTTGGGCGAGATCTTTACTAGCTCTCACTAAATGACAACATCTCACTATATGAGTATGAGGGTGATCAATGGCCGTTTCGAAACCTAAGGTTTTCAATAACGTTTCTTCGTTTTTTAACAAGTCCTGTACTTGTTCTAAATAATGTTCTGATTTATAATCAACAGGATTAAAACTATGCCCCTGTTGTTTTTGTAAACACATTAATGAAACTTTGAGAACATGTTCTAATTTGCGTGGTTGTTCTTCATTCTTGGCAGCAAGAAAAAGACACGCAGTGGCCATAGCATCACGATGGAATAATGTAAATGGATGGTACATATAGAAACGATGCATATACACAATGGCGGTGTTTATACACAGTTGGGTGGTGTGCAACCGTTGACCCATCTCTTGAATGAGGTTGGCGGCAATCTGTCGGTATGACAGCTCTTTATCGGCATTGACGCCAAATCGTTTGCTGGGTGAATTCTCCAGCTGCTCTTTTGAGAAGTACCAGCGATCTTCATGCATGGCTCTCACCACCCTAAACACAATTATTCTATATGTTAGTCCAAATGTTACACAAAACAAACTATAAATGCAATTAAATAATGCATGAAATTTACCACCCATTGTGTTTCCTATAGGCTAATAGTACATGAAGATAACAAAATAAACAAAAACCATGTTTATATTTTTATGTATTTATTCCTCAACTGAATGCATGAAAAATCAAGAAAGATATTATTTTTACAACAAATTTGAAAATATAACACATTAAAATATATAATATAAATTAAAACTAGATTTATAAACTAATAAATAAAATTTGAGAATACTAAACCAATTGTTATAACAATATACCATAATAAAGCAAATGAAATAAGATATGGTTAAGGGGTTAACGTTATAAGTTTAGAACTAATCCAATAAATGGAGTTTTTTTTAGATAAATTTCCAAACTATTATGAGATTTATCTGTTCACAAATATCTACATTAAAATAGTTTATAAAAAATAAACAATAGTATAATTAGGTATATCAAACTTGTGAATCGATTGTATTAATTTGTAATTCCTTTAAACCAACAATAATCATACAACCCACAAATTTACATACAATTATAATATTTATTTATTAAATAGTTTATTAATTGTATATTAAAGCAAATAAAAATAATTTAATGATAATTTGTATAGACTTTAAAATGTAGTATTTCAAATATTTTATGATCCTCCAACATTATAAAATATTAAATTAGGTTGAACAATAATATGGTAATAACATTTAAAAGGGTATTAATTAATTATAAAAAATAAAATTAGTTAATTAGCATAATATTGGATAGTAATATGTTTATGTCTTGACAACTACAATTTATAATGTTAAGCAAATAACATACACTTATGACCATTTAATATTGCATTCTTATCTTACATAAGGACCTATTCATCTAAATAATATGCACCTACCTCAATATCACCTACCTATTAAAAAAAATAAGAACTGAATTTATGTAATTATAACAACAATTAAAACCAAACAAACGAGGCTCTGGGCAACTAATTTAAACATAAACATAAGAAAAGTAATAAATTTGGTAGTTCCATCAAATATTGTGTAAAACACAATTAACATTTCTTTTCAATATATATTACTTATCACAACCAAATATATTAGGTACACACACAATGCAATTTACTCAGTAATCCAAAGGAAACATTAATATAAAATCAAAAACGTTTCCTAATATAAATAATACCTGGGTTAATAAGAATGTATATCGATTCAGAATAACCAGGTGCCGATAGCAAATTTAAATAACTAACCAAACTGAATAGTTTTATGTAAAGCATTAATTAATTACCAGCACAAATTATTTTAGGGAAACATTATACACAGAGCAGTGAACCTTTGAGTATCAAGTGAACTAAATTGAAACTCATTTCCAATGCCAAATCCAGCAAATGCACTGCGATTCGAACCGACAGACAGATTGCAAGCAAGTGCATTGGTACATTATTACACAGGACACACTATAAGTCTATAAACTAAAATGATCTATTAACTATATGTTGACACACAAAAAAATAATACGTTAAAAACTGCGTGTTTTCGAAAAAAAATGTTATAACTTTGTTTACCTTGGGTCCAGCCGTATTTACGTAAAATTGTTTCGCCAAAGCTCATGGTCTTGGCGATTAATATATTCAACAATCACCTATGAATACAAACGAACATTTTTTGAATAAAGGACAAATGTCTTTTAGGATAGGTACTTATTTAAAATTTGACTCGAAAATCGAAGTATAAAAATTATTGGAAAACCTACTTGCTTAACACAAATCACAAATGCAACATCATAGACCCAACCTAAAAAAAACAAGTTTACGATTACGAAAATGGATCCATGGATGATAAAAACAAATGGAATTTTTTTTTATCAAAAATTATATAAGTTTTTCTCGGAATAAATATCGTAACATTCCTAAATTCTAACTTATTAACGTTTTTAATGTTCAATTGTCAGTAGTTAATAAAATTTAAAAAGTCGGATTTCGATTAAAAAATAACGTAACTCAAATTGTAGCGTTACGTAAATTGTGATATTAGAACGTTGTTGGGAACCACTTAAAATATTTACCAAAACGTGAACACACTGTGAACGACAATGACGACAACACTATAACAACTTATATATGAACATTTAGCGATAACAACAGTTACTGTTGAACAATCGTACTGTATTGTTGTATTTATGTAGATGTGTTTGTGAAGGAAAATAATTGAAACTGAATTGACATCCGACAAGTGCGAAATATTATACGAATGAAAATATCTATTCTCTACAATCATACGTTACCAAATCACAGGTAAATTTACATTCATTTACAAATATTTTTTTTTTAATAAATGTAATGGTCTTCAAAAATAGATTTAATATTAAAAACATAATATAATAGGTAGGTGGTATGTATAGCTATATTTATGTATCTATACTTAAATACTCAAAATTATTTTTATTCCATAAAAAATCCCTGTTAATATTACTTCTATTAACAATAATTATAAAAATACTTTTTACCCAGGTAGATAGATAGGTAAGTTTATATTTATTATGACTAAATAATATTTGAATTTTTTTTAAAACAAAATAATTTAGTATTGTGCATACCTACTAAATTAATTTTAAATATTTTTTTCTATTACCTATTTATTTAAAAAAAGATTTTTAATGTTCTTAAATTACATATAGGTACATATCTTAGGTGAATTTTAAATTAAAACTAATTTAGTTATAGAAATATAAGTAAATTAATTTTAATATTAGAAATTAAATCCCCTAGTATTATTTAATGCTATTTTTACAGATTATTGAGCGTTTTTTATTACATATTTTATTGTAGTAACATGAGTACATCAAACTCCTACATTGTATACACCTACCTACACATAATAAAGACACTTTAATAAGTATTATTAGGTAGGTATAATAGGTATCAATTAATAATTATTAGACATACACATTTGATATTAAATGTTTTATAAGTCATTTTTTTTTATTAAATACCAATTCATTTTTGTTCAGAATAACATTTTAAATTCAGATTAATTATAAGATTATATTCTTGCCTAAAGTTCATGTATGTTTCCAACAAATTATATTAGCAATAATTTGCTTTGTAAACTGTTATAAAATACAAATTTCAGTTACTCCTCTAATATCAATATCTTAAGTTATTAGTGAACTTAATTATTTACCCATTGTTAGTAAAAAGTCAAACTCTCTGATCAAATTACATTTTAATAATTTTAGTAGTTAATATTTGTCTTTTATTATAAAAATGACAATAGTGCTTCTAATATACTAAGTCTATGTCAACAGTGCTCTTGTAACCATAATATAAAGCTAACATTTATCACCTTTATTTAACAAATTGTTTTAGTTAATTTATACTTTATTGCATTTTTTAGTATTCATCTCAATAGTATTCAATTTAATTAACACAATAGAAAAAAAATTCATGTATGCTAGGTGTGTACAAATTTTAAATTACTTCTATTAATAGATACTAATTAAAAATATGTTTATTATATCCATGATCTTATAATGTTATTTATTTAAACATAATATTCATAAACATATAATATTGTAAGTACTAAATAGAAAATAATATATTAATACCAATGCATTAAAAATACATACCTAATGTTAACATAGTACCTAATTACTTACCACTAAATTTGATTATTTTAAATGATTAAGGTACATCTAGGATTCAAGTATTTTTTTTTTTCATTTATTCAAGTTCAATAATTTTATATTCTGGTTATCTGAGCCAGAAAGCTGGATAAGATTTAAAATTAAAAATTCTAAAAATATTTCATACATGTTTTAATATAAATAATAAAGGTACCCACTGTAAATTGGTCATTTTTAAATAATTCTTTGTTGAATGTTTTGAAAGTAATTCATAACTGAATGTATTCAAACAGGTGTCAAAAGTATGTATAATGTTTATACTGAAGATTTATGATTGTTTAATTTACTTAAAAGAAACCATCCTATCTTACCACTACTGTCCCTTACCAACCGTTATAATTTTAAAATAAATACAATTTTATTTTGGCTTATATTATTGGCTTAATAAATATTAGCTACCTTGAACTTAGTAATTTATACTGACATAAAATGTTTATTTATTCTGAAAAAATGTTGATGAACCATATTTTTATTTTTAATAACTATCTTTATTAGCCAACCTTGTTGTATTAACCTGTGATCAAACATTGCCGTTTTTAAATGACTATATTACAATGTATTATTTTTAACTTACATAAAAACTATAGATTGGTGAAAATTAAAAATAATAAGCACAATACAAAACATGTATTAAATATTAACAAACAATTTTCTTGGTATTATGGTTTAATCAGCTTTTTAACAATCAAATGTATGATTGTTTTAAAATTTAGTCCAAAATTTAAATAATTGATACATATTTATATTAAGCCGTTGGATATATAGTATGTAAAATATAATATGAACAAAATAATACATTTTTGAGATTACAACTAAACAGATGTGCAATTAACTGTCATAAAAAACATGTCTAGCATATTTGCATTGCAAAATGAATTATTAACTGATAAATAAAGTACCTAGATAATAGCTGGAGAGTGACGTGCATAAAAAAAAAGGATACAAAATCCTTTTAATGAAGAATATAAAATATAATTCTATTACGAGATGATACTAATATAAGTTTGAGTTGCAAACAAAATTTTTAGTACTTGTTTGATTTAAAGAGAGATCAATATGATTTTACCTATTTATAACTCTTGCCTATCAAAATGCCAATGTTTTAAATACAAATATTCAACTAATATTTTTATTTATTTTTTTTAAACCAACAAATTATTTTACGGTTAAATAGTGTACAAGTGATTTGTATTTTTTTTTTTTTTAAAAGCAGTTTTATAAAAATAGTGATACCAATAAAACCAGAGGCTAATTGCTGTACAAATATTAGGTAACCATGGACAGTCCTATAGGAAACTTGGTAATCATTGGCAAAGTCCACAGGATTCTGAAATCTGATGTAAAATATTAATCAGTGATTTACCCTCTGGATAAAACCAATTATAATCATAAATATTGTAATTTGCCAACCCTTAGTAATTAATCAGCTGAAATTCAAATAATAAATAAATAATCTTTTATTTTGAGTAAAATTAGAAGAAAAAAAAGTACAATAGTATTTGTATGATACATTAGTTGCATCTCAATATAATTGAGAATTTTTAAATTTTTAAGTTGTTACACTAAATATAATTATTTAATTGATAAATAAATGGACACGTTTCATACTTGAAAAAAGAAAATATAAAGCTTAAAAAAATTAGGATAGTGAGAATTTGGATAAGCAGAATACATAGAATAATTTAATTATGTAAAATCATTGCTAACAAAAAAGAGCTGATACTGGGGACTTGTGCAGTCACTGTTGTAAGTGGGAAGGTAATTTATATCTGTAAACAATGTTAACTCATTACTAAAAAAAAAAAAACGATTTTGAACAAAAAATTCTGTAATTTTTACGATTTTTTTTCACAGAGTTACAAAAATCAAATTTATACAAACTGTTATTACATAAATATTCCTGTCCTTTCAAATCCATTAACTAAACCAAATTTGTTACCATAAACCTCCTCTGGAGCAGTAGTGGATCCAGACTATAGGCTATACAAAAGTTTTTACTTCCCCAAATAATTAACTGTGTAACACATATATTATTATACAGGATTTTCAAGGAAAAAATGCAGAGTGATGAATGTGTTGATTGTACTATGATGTATTTTGATTGTTCAATTTTTTTTTTCTGTCAGAACATATTTTCCACTGTACCAAAAATCTTACTCCAATCAAAAGAAGAAGTTAGTAATGGTTTATCGGTGCTTGCAGTTGTATATTAAATAAACCTGTGTCCTACTTTCAACCTACAAAATATTTTTTGCTTAGTAATAATTTTTAGGAAGCCTCCCTTCAAAATCCAACCCTAAATCTGCTGCCAATGCTCAGGTATAATAACAACATTGCAAGTCTTGGTTTAAAAAACACTGGGTACTTATTTTTAAAATTAAATCTCCCTACAAATAAATATCTTGTCCATTTACTATTTTTGGGAATTGCGTACCTAACTGGCAAAACTTTATTGAAGGTCATATTTATATGCTAATTTTAATAAGTGTATTTTCTAATTTGTAAAATAATTATTAATCTAAGATAGCCAATTTGTATGTCTGTTTTGTATAAAAATGTTAAAACCTTATTAGTTAGTAGTAGAATAATTTTTAAATAAACTGAATTTACGATTTAATGAAACTTTTAAGAAAAATTCAAAACAATTTATAGAGAGAACTGAATGTAGTATATAGGCTATCTTATACTATCAATGTCTGGACCAATTACTATGTCTGACTTTTCCCCATATAATACATTTTATCTTCATATATGCCAAATCCGAAAGAAATTATCTGTTCTGCAGTATAAATGTAATGTAAATAAAATTATAATAAATTCTAAATGATGCGTGTACATTTTTATTTTAACATTTACAGAAAATTAACCAATTAATTGCTCACAAAAAAAAAAAAAAATATGAATAATATAATATTATAACATTATCTAGTCTTTATAAAAGCATACACATACACATTTTCCAAGGAGCGGTACACACTTTGCAACACAAATTTGCCTGTGGACGTCCATTAAAAGAACAAAAGAGGGAAATGAATGTCTCTTTAGAATATATTTAAACAAAGGTAAAATTGTTTTTTTAAGCTTTGATATAAAGCCTGAATAATAATTGATTCACCCGCTCATAATAGACCTATCATAACTATAGCTTAACTTAATATTTTATTCAATTCTTGTATTCTCATATCCATATATCTATCTGTATAATAGTCTTTGAATGCATGTTTGGAAATCAAGTTCCAATCTGTCTCTACAGTGGAAATTAGATTATGGTTGCCCAAGAGTAGGATACTGTTGTAGGTCAAAAGTTGGAAGACAGGATAAATTGACTAATTGAAGTTTATATTTCTAAGCAGCGATAAATCATTACAAATAAAAAATTAATTTGGTTACATTTTTTGATCAATTTTAATTTAAAACTGTTTTATTAATTTGTAACTAAAAAGTAAATTAAAACACTTATAAAAATACATTTTAACTTTTTTATTCTCCTAAAATAAAAATTTCAAATTGCTATTAATAATAATTCATAAAACAGCTGAATACTCTGCAAAGTGTTAATATAAATGTATGTACCAGATATACTTAGATAGTGAACATTTGAGGTTTTTCTTTGATGATTTCACTGAATTACTAAAAAAATATTTTAGTTAATTAATTTAATAAAAAGTTATTGTGTAAATACTCCCATTAGAAATTACCTTTGATGTTGATGGTTGGTACAAAATGTCTAGCAGTAGTGTGGTTGTTCACTGACCAAATAAAAAAAAAGAACATCAAAGTAAAATCATTACTTTCAGAAATTTATTCTAATATTTATTTTTAAATTCTATATTTAAGCCTCAAAATGGGGAGAGGATTCTAAACAGATTATCGTAATTTCTATATCTGTTTATTTTTAACTTGTGTAACTATTTATATTGAATTTTTTGTGTTAATTGTTTAATCTTAAACAATAATTGTTTTTTTATTACTAAATATAATAATAAATGTGATTTACACCGATTCAAACTAAATGTGCATTTCAATATTTTATAATTTTTAATTTTTTTTATAGGTACCTCAACATTTACTCTAAAAAAAAAATGAAAATTTTAAAGTCTTCACGAAAAATGGATGTTCATGGAATGAAGGATACATGAAGATAAGTGGCCAAAAATGGAATCTTAAAATTTAAAAGTATGCTCATTAAATTCAAAAACAAAACCAAAAATTGCAAAGACAAAAAGTAATATAAAGTAAAATTTTCTGTCTGTAGCATTTTATGTTAATTAAAAACATTTGAATAACAATTTGAATTGGTAAGAGTTGAAAAAAAAACTTGAGTAACAAACAAATAAGTATGTAATACAATGAATTTAATTGTCATTAAGTACAAAAATACAGAAAAAATATTTATCTTAAATAATAATAAAGCACCCAGACTGCTGTATTCAACAACCATTCCGTTTTAACGTGTTTGGTAGCTCTAATTGTTTATATTATTCTTAATTCACTTATTTCAGCACCCTAGTTATCAAGTTTATCTAATTATAGAAATAAGTATTTTCGATGTTAGGTCGCCATACATATTCATTATAAGACCTACTACCAACAAACAATGTGGTTTGGCCATAAATAAATCAACAAAATAAGCAAAACATTTTGGCAATTTGATCTTTTGTTTGCTTCACAAAAACACCCTTAATATAATAATTAATTTTCAATAGTTTGTATCTTATAATAAATTAATAAAATTAAATAATATAGAATACTACTCTAAAATAAATGCTGTTATGAGAGAGAAGTTAGGAATTTAAAATATAGCAGTATAGTTAATATACTGTTTATGCATCTCCCGACTAAGGTTCAACTACCAAAGAAAACTTGGTGGGCTGTTTGTGAGTTGACAAAATTTCAAAAAATATAAATAGTAAATGGTTTTTTGAATGTTAAAAATTACTGCAAAATTGTTTGAGTAATGAGTATAGTGGTGAAGAGTGGGCTTTTAGACATGTAAATTTATATGGGCAATCTTACCCCAATCTGTGTAGATCAATAGATCATTGAAAATAATTCTGAGGGTTATCCTGTTAAATTTGTATTAATACAATTAAATTGAAGTAGTATTAATTAATATTAAAAAAAAAAAAAAATACAATTTTTGTATTCATATTTCAAAATTCTCCAAAAAATCCTTTTAGAGAATTTAGTTAAAATCATCAGTGCACTTGTGTTTAATATTGCAAATGTCTGTGTGCCTTAAATTTATATATACACACTTTTTTTATAATACACATATATATAATTATTATATTTAATTTATAATAAAAATTGGAAATATCTGAACATATATTAAGTGTGTTACTACAGTTTATAACAAAAATTAATATTTCAATCAGAATTTAACTCAATAAAAATATGATTAGTTGTGTATATTTAAAATTTAAAATTTTAACTAATTTACAAGTATGTTATATTTAATGTATTGAAAAAAAAAAATGATATTTTATATTTTGATTTATTGAAATAGTTATAATTACAATATTTGTATAGCTTAAATAAAATACTTAAATACAATATAACTCTAACTTCTCTACATTTACCCGAAAATATTAATATTTTATTCTTAAATAATTAAAATAGGCTGTGGACTATATTAAATATATTATCATCTTGAAAAAAAAATGTATATAGCTATTATATTATACTTTCATGACAATTTAATCACTTTACAGTAAAATTAATTTTTGAAATATTTTATTAGTCTTACAAAAACTATAATTATTTTCCCTACTTTAATATATAACTGAGAAAAGAAAATAATATTTTTTTAAAATTGTGTTTTTATTATACTTATTAATATTTTTTCACCTTAACGATGTAGAATTATTAGGTACCTATTATATTATAAAATAATATAATATTTGTTTATGAACTACTTAACAAGTTGACTACCGCATTATTTTAAATAGCTTGATATTATACTGAAAATGATACTCAAAAATTACAAAATAGTGCCTCAAAGCTTAAGAATCAAATTGTGTACCAGCAATCATACTCAAAATATGTAAAATGAAAGAATTAAAAATATATACTATGACTAGGGTATAAACTATGTGAGTACCAAATATGGTACTCACTGTAGTCATTAGTGCAATAGTTCATAAACAATTAATTAATTTGATACAAATATATATGACCTGGGTTTAAGACTTATAGCATAATATACTTATTCCTTTGACTTGGTATTAAATCTAGATAGTTTATACAAATGTGTGTATTATATAAATAATTCAAATATGAATTTTGTAAATATTCTTTTTCCTCTTTTTATACTTTATAATTACATAAGCCATTGACATACCCTGTCCCCCATGATTTTTAAATAGTTTTACCTTTGTAATCCATTACCCACTTTGTATATTTTTTTTCTACTTTTCACATGGTACAATACGAATCCATGAATGTAGTTCTAAAGAGATACAAAAGTTCAAATATGAAAATTAAAAATTCTTTTTTGTTGTTACTAGATTCTGTTGGTTTTTTAAAAATATTTCTAAGTATTTTTAAGTACTTTTTTTATTATTAATTATCAAGTGCTATATGTCCCAATCCTTGATTATATCTATAAAACTAAAAGTTTAATATTATTTATGTTAAATTAAATTAAACAAAAGAGCATATTTTTAATACCCATGTATTTAGTATTTACAATAATAATAATAGCTAATATTAGCGTATAATGTATTTTATTGTTTTTAGAGCAATACAACGAAGGCAGACAAGAGTACAAGTTTAGAAAACACTTCGTTTGGGTTAAATTTTTACTCAACTTGTAAAAATAAATGAAAACCTTCAGAAAATATTTTAGTTATACTACCATTATATTTTAAATAAATTATAATACAATTACTAATTCTACAATATAATTTTATGATTATTTAAAAATAATAATTAATCAATGTGTATTTCATTAAAATAATTATAAGTTGGTATTCAACAAATTGTAAAATGTTCTATTGCTAAGAGTTACAAAATTAAAAAAGAATTTACAATTACAAAATTTGGATTATAGAAAATTATACAAAATAGTACGACTGAATAATAGTAAAAATATTTTTACAGTGTTAGTTTTTATTATGTATTAATCAATCTACTTAAAATATAATTTCATATGTTTAAGTAAAATAAATTTAACTTGATTAAAATATATCACACTTAAATGTATAAATCAGCATATATTATAGCTATGGTCAATAGTTAATTTGTACAAAACAATTTTACCATTGCACACTGTAAAAATCATTATGAAGTGATAAACATAACTGCAAATATATTTGCAAATTATTATTTTTTTAACACTTAACAAAAACCAAATAACAATTAACATTTTCATGTAACCAATGTTTGTCCCGGTATGTTATAAATCATTTAATAACTAAACATAAACATGCTAAGTATGTGTGCCAAGTCTAATTCATAATTTCTTTATTCATAAAAAATTGTTGCGTACACATGACAAAGCATTTTATGTAACACCAAATTTATATTCAAGTAAGGATCAGTGTGGAATTAGGTTTCAATAAACATGAATAATTATAATTCATTAATATTGTTTATTCATAAACACAAGGTTAAATAAGTTTGATGTAGCAAAATTAGTAGCGATAAAAGATGGCCTATTTGATATAGCAGCTAATCTATCAAGGTATCAAGAAAGTTTGAATATTAACTATTCAATAGTTTTATTTATTCCAATTAAATTCCATTAAAATGAACAAAGCTTACAAATAATGGTTGACAACTTACTTCCTACAAATAATATCATTTTCTAATGACCCATTTTCCATGTTACACTTGTAATACGAAATACCCACAATACCATATAGTAATACAAACGCTCAATAATATAATAATTGACTACTTATTTCAATATTTAACTAATTACTGAATTACATATTTTTAATTCAAACCATATCAATCTACTTAAATATTCATTACTTTATCTCAACTTTGTGTAAATAAAAGGATTTATTCATGAATTTCTTGTATATTTATCAATTATACTAATTTATCAAGTTTAAAATCATATATTTTGATATTACTTATATAGATATTTAAAACTACATTAATTAAATAGAAATTTCATATGTTAACAATTTAAAATATTGATGGAATTTTAGGATTATTTTAACTTGAACTCTAATCTCTCTCTGTTTATATTTATACTTTATTACATATTATAAAACAATTTATTTAAATTTAAATATAATAAAATAGTATGAGATACCTAATCAGAAATTGGAAAAGATTTCATATACATTTTGTATAGTAAAAATTTCAAATTGATGGAATACTCAATTGGAAATAAGTAAACTCTAAATATTATTGAATCCCCACTACATTATCGGAAGATAAACATTTTTAATGTGAGCCAAATTGTCCAATGTCATTTATAGAAATAAATATAATGGATACAATAGATATTGCTATTGATCAAGTTATAACATTGAAAAATTAATTTTTTGTTTAGAAGAACATTTTCACTGACAGATAATCCCTTAACCATACCATTTCAATGAGTTACCTAATTACTTACATTCAGTACCTATTATTAAGAATCAAGGTAGCTTACAAGGGAAAGGTTTATAAAAAAGAAAAGACGACTGAAGTTGATTATCTTTTAAAATAATACAAATTTACTTTTTTTATTTGTTTATTTTTTTATACCAATATATACAAAATAATTATAATATATTTAAAAAAAAAATGTTTGACCCATCGGCCAGACGCATTTTCTGTAGATTGATAACGCCATAGCGTAGGATATAATGCGTTAATATAATATAATAGCCAAGAGGTAAATGATATTTGCTTATTTTATATTTGTGTTGTATCTATTTACCTTAGGGTAAACTGCAATATTAACGGCCTTCTTTCTTAATTGGAAAATTTGTGATGGCGAATACCTAAAGACCAAAGTTCGGTTACACAACGAGCACGACCGACGGCTATATAACGGTACTTCTCTTTTGCAAAAGAAACATAAAACATATAGTTATGAAGTTCGACCAAATAATATAAATGATTAGCGTTCAACTTGAACGAAATGCAGAAATAATTATTTGGGAACAACACATATAATAGATAATATTATAAAAATATTGTAGGAAAATTAGTAGCAATGAGAAAAAGAAACGCCAAAATTATTTTCTTTATCATACACTACCACGCTGGCCAACTCCCTAGGAAGACCGTGATTCATAGTGTTTTGACAGGTTGTCTAATGCGCGAGTGTAAAAAATGTGGTTGGCCACGTCATAACTACGTCCATTCACACAGTGGTCGTGAACACCGCGGTACTTGGTTCATAACTCGTTAGAACCGCGATCATTTTAATAATTAATAATGTAATGCTTGTCAATGGCCGAGAGGAGGCCGTATAAAAATTGGAATGGAATAAAATAACGAAATAATAATGAAATCGTGACCATGAAAAAATTATATTATCAAAATAAATTATAAAACGTATTGGAACGAATAGCATTAGGATAATAATATTTATATGAGATATTATGCAAACAATACAAATTATACATTTTTTTTTTTCTGCTACAATAGTACAATAGAACAATATACCTATTTGGTATACACGCGATTGATAATAATATCTAATAAGTATTGTGCGATTATGATAATTTATGAATTTTGGTAGAACTTATTCTACCGGACGTGAGCACGCATGAGCCGAAAATATCATATGGAATATTAAAACGGGAATGATAAAAATGAGTATACATCGTCCAAAAGAATAGTATTGTGCAAATCATCAAAGCCTGGAAATACTGTTACATTGAAGTTTAGGCTTAAACAATTAATTTGATATGCTATACAATATTAGTTAGGCAGACGTTTTGAAATCGCACAATAATCATTAATCACTAACGTACATACAATATTTGATTAAAACAAGGTGGATCCGTAATGGGTTATTAATTCTAGAGTAGTAATTATAGGAACATAGGTAGGCATATCATTTAAACGCGTTTTTTATCAATGTCTGATACTTTCGCACACGGTTTTTTTTCCAGCAACTCTTCGTTCTCATCGCCGTTGGTCTCGGCCGCTTGATCATCCCCGGGCTTAATGTTCTTTTTGTTGATACAAGGACAAGACGACAGTAACGAACAGACATTGTCACTTTGATCGTCGACGGTGTTATTTTGGTCCGTGGCGATTTCGTTCGGTCTTCTGAACCAATTTATTATCGGTTTGATCATGGCCCATAAGAACAATAACATCGGCACCATGATACACGGTACGCAAACCATTGTTTGGGATTCTGGTGGAATATAGCCAATTGACGGGCTTGACAATTACGACAATCGCAGACGGTCCGACGAGAAAAAACTAAAGAGGAAAAAAACGACAAACCAATGTCAAAAACTATAACAATTCTGTACATAAGAAAAAAGTTGAAATATTATTATCAAATACGACAATAATTATTATACTGTCTAATGCGATCGATATAATTAGTATCTAATATACCTATCAGTTTAATACCTATGGCCGGCATGGACAGGTTTACGTTACAAAAGCCGGGCCAGTGCGTTTTTGAGTATACGACCAAATAATATATTACAACGTATTGATACAATTATTCGGGCGAACAAAGATTATTTTTAATGTAACGGATTGGATTTTGGAAAAACGTCATATGAAGAATCACTTTTATCGCGTTTTTCTCTAACCGCTCCAGCGACGTGAACAGTGACGCGATTAGCTCGTAAACTTTGGGATGTTTGAACCCCGTTTATAATATTAAAGAAAATGTTATTGACGGGGCTCTGCACCGAGGAACCGTCAGAGATTTCAGTGGGGGCCAAACTCCGTAACCACTCGACGTGGATCTGTAATTGTCGACACCTCGTCATCATCCAAACATCGAGAATCACTTTTAAAATGAATTATTATAATCGGTGGTTAAAGTAGATCGAGGTATAGACCGTGTTAATCAAGCAAGAGAGGAAACTTTTGAAAAACCGAGTACACATGCACGTACATCATAGAACAATGTCGTATTTTATTATTTTATAAACTTCTAGAAAAATATATTGGCGATGGCATGACAAATGCACGCGTGGGATTCTATAAATACGGCCCCGGTAAAATTTTTTTTTCGGCCGAACGCTATTCTGGTCAAGATAATAATATTGTTATTATTATTACTATCCCCAGGCCTCGGCCTTCGTGGTATTCATAACTAGTATTGTAATGCACATATATCTGCATGCATATATTTATATGTATTATAATTAAATAATATGACGTAGGTGCCAATATACCAACATAATATAGACGGAATGGCGAAATATTACACTTACTATTCTATAATGTTATGTCAATACTACTGCACATCGCAAACACGATATTATTTGTAACTAAAATATCAAATTGACTAATAATTAGTAAACTATTGTAATAATATACCTTACGCGTATCTTTACGATAATAAACACGACAGTGAATCAATGACACTATGACCGCCGTCCACCGTCAATCGACCCGTGTCTCAATGTTTGTAAATAAACCTTATCGTTTTTTTTTGTTTTTTTATCTTATTTCCATATTCCCATTATTATATTCTTCATTTCCGAACCGTGCTTCCGGGGTTGACTTTGCAAAGTTCATTATTTTTGTTGTTATCAAACATAGATAATACATACTAGTCTATTACCGTGGTATTATCATGGCTATAGCTGATATCTATTAGCCGTGGTAACTATAGATAATAAAAACTATATAAAGATAAATATTATCTATAATTGTATCATACATTCATACCACATTAAATCAAAGACTTAAGATGTATATTTTCTAGAAATTCGTTGGTACAAACCTATGTAAATTTCTCCTTGAAAATCAAACCGGTGTCAATTTAAGAAATATTTTGGAGGAACCAGTGTTGAAATTAACAACACTGTTTTAATTTATCTGCACTATCACATGCATATGGTGGAAATTATTTACATCGATTTCTTCATCCCTTCTCGTTTCCCCTTCGAAATAATAAAAAAACAGATAAATGATAACAATAATAATTTAATTGATAACAATTAATATCTATTCAAATTAATTTGCATTAAATATGTACTTATTAGCGAGAAATAGAAAGTATAGTATATGTAATACAATAATAATTTAAATAATTGATTTATTTTTTTTATAGTATTATCTTTGTTAATATTGGACAGTGGTAGGGGATACACCGATTTCCATCATCGAAAATCTATTCTGGTGTTAAATAATCGGTATCAAATGTTAGTAAACCGGTACAAAATGTATAGGTTTGTACCAACACATTTCTAGTTTAATTTTCGAGGTGATTTTTTATTACATAGTCACATAGATCATGAATTAAGAATATCTTTAAGACAGTGGGAATATATCTAATACAATAGGTATACATATGTATATTATGATATATGTATCTTAATTCGTGATATACCTAGTTACTTATAGAGGTACCTTTCTAAAATCACTATAAATATAGATAATATATAATGCATCAACAATAAATTGCATATTTTTGTGATATGAATATATATTTTTATTTAAGTATATAATATATATATATATACATAGATACGGCATTGAACCATCTTGAACCTCTTTGATTATCTTTATGCCTCGAATTACAGAATTTTAACCCAAATTTAAATTCTAACCTATTTTATATTAGCCAAATTTATATTTGTATGACAGGTGACAACCTGTTATAGATAGAATAATGACAACAGCTAATACTATTACTAATATCAGTTGTTATACTGATGTGAGAGCATCACAGCCAGATTAATTTATGTTATGTCTATGAAGTGAATCCATCTTTTCACAATAATTATCATTGTCTTTGTCCTAGTCTGATACGGATGTTTGTAGATCATTATAGATCACCAGGTAAATGCAATTTCGGCAAACATTGAAACGTCTCTTATGGATACCTAACTGCTTCTAATATAATACAGGGTTATGAACTTTGAGATTGTCTTCGTAATAAATTTCAGAAGTAAACATAATAATGCGGGCACAGATTATATAAAATTGAATTTTCAATGAAATTATTATTTGTTTTAGGCATAATTACAATTAAAAAATTTGTTTTTATTTTACAGATACCATATTCCCAATCTGTAAATTAATAGATTTTCAATAAGTAAATAATGTAATCTTTGAAGAAAAAAAAATTATTGAAGATAGGATAAGAACCACAAAATTCACAAATATCAAATTTGGATTCCAGGTTTATACGGTTGAGAGTTCGATTACTATCTATAAAACCCCGAATTCCAGGTTTTTACACTCAGTCGCCACTAGACAAACGTTAGATTCTGATCTATAACATTTTCAATTTTCTTCCAATACAAAGTGCCTATCTATGTTAATAAAGTGACCAATTTAAATTTCCAACTAAATTCAGAATGCTACAAAAAACTTCTTATTAAGTTTTTGATTGGAGTGAGTCTTCAAATTAAATCAGAAAATCTAAAAAAAATTTACTTACCTGTTTAGAAGATGGGTGTTAATGAAAAAACTATTCACAATGATGAAGAGGGTAGTTAATTTTCAAAGTTTTCAGTTTATCCTTAGGATTAACAGATCAATGTATACAATTTAAAATTCAATTGATTCAATAATATGAATCATGACCAATAATCGTGAACCTAACTGATTTGCAGTATTTGCATTAGCGAATTTGAGCAAGCATCTAAGTATCTATGTACCTATCAATACAATAAATAATTAAATAACTATGAAGTATATTTAGATACCTACTATTAAAACTAATAATATTTCATATTTGGAATTCACACGAAATTCATTATCTTGGTGGTCCGTATTATGATTCCATCTATAAGGTAATGAGGAAATTATGACTGTGTATAATTTATTTTAATAAAGGGTGATTCATTTAGAGGTACTTTTATAAAAAATAAAAAATAAAATGTTATTGCGTAATTTTTATTATCATAAAAAGAAACAGTCTTTACATTTGTTTTTTAAAGATTACTAAGATAAACTATCGATACCTAGTCAGAAACACTCGGTTGTTTTGTAAACCAGTCGGTGTCAATCATGAGCGGATGAGGCCTACCGGAAAGCCGGGAATTTCATAGTGGGCCCCCAATGGGACCCTTAGATTGCTCATGATAGTGATAGTCATCATCCAAATATTAAGCCGATAAGCACACATAAAAAGAAAAAAACATCAGTATATTTTTTCTTTTTTAAAATTTCCCTGTAGGCCAAAATTTGCTTATCCGTCCATGGTGCATTACTGCCATGGTTACAGTGTACTACTTAAAGAGAACCTTCGACTGGGTATTGGACTATCGAATAGTTCATTCTATTATCTATTCAGTCGAAGAAATACTTTTTTGGTTTTTAAACTATCGATATCTAGTCAAAACTAGTCAATGCTACTGCTCAATGAAATCTATCGACTAATTCATTCGATAATCAAAACTAGTTGGTTCCACCCATTACTAGTATGAACATGGAACTAAATTGTCAAAATGTCAAATACACCATACCAAAAAGTACGCGACGCATATATTCTGTTATAAAATACAAACTTAAAATAGCACCTGATAATGAATCGCTTATTTTATACATAAATCATAAACCATTTTATATTCCACGGTTAAAATTGTTTAATTTAAAAAAAAATAAATATAATATAATGTCCATAATGTAACATCCATGGTCGAATTTAGACTTTCGGATGCCCGGGGCAAATCTTTTTTGGAGGTCCTTAGCGGTAAAAAAAATTAAAAATATTTTTACAATATCTAAGTAGTTAAGGAAAAACTTAAAAATTTGCAAACTTGACGTGTTAATCATAAAAATACAAATCAATCTTTAATTTTAGAAGTTGATATTTCTTTTTCATAAATTTCCTAAGCCAAGGGTAAACCATTTTAAATTGTTCATATAGTATTCCGATATCTGGATGCCCCCCAAATGTCTACTGCCCAGGGCAAGTGCCTTTAAAACTCTCCGTCAAATACGGTCCTGCTAGTATCTAACTATTTGCTAACGGTTAAATAACCGTGTCATTTTGTATTAGGCTTCAAATTCTAATTTCTACTATAGCCTATAAAGATAAGACAGGAATATTAACAGACAATATAATAATTAGTAAACTATCCAAGTTTTATTCAAATAAATATGACAATTATTTCAGTAAAAATAAAATTTCTAATGATAATTAATATATCAAATATTACAAATTACTATATAATAATTATAATAATATAATAGAAAAGGTAAAGAAACCAATTATTGCCAATTGTTCCCGCTATCATAAATATTTTATCTCCAAAGAGGTTGCACATATTTTCAGAACATTTACCGCAGATCAGATGGTGTTGGTACTAGATGACCGAATTTTTTTTTTCCTGGAGATATATGTATATAATATTATCAAAAAGTAAAAAATAAAAATCAAATTTTTGATTCAGGACGATTTAGTCCTTACAAATTCAATTTAGTGACTATGTAGACTACTGACTTAGTCTTTTTTGAGAAGAATCTGTTTCCACTCTATATCAAAATGACATCGGAAAGGTAATTGTAATTCAAATTTATTTACGATAATTTATATAATGTGTCTTGATAATTATACCTACTCTCTTTTGTTCTAACCAATATTTAATTCTAAGATGATCAAATTGTTTAATTCAATGTATTATTATGCAATTTTAAGGGTGGAATGGGTGGAGATTATTGAACCCAGGACTAAAGAACCTATGTATGCAAATTTAACTACTGGTGAATGTGTTTGGGATGCCCCAGTAGGAGTGCCCGTGTAAGTATTTTATAATTTATTAATTTTGTTGTTATTACTCTACTTAAATTTAACAGTATTTATTAAACAAATGCATTAATTTAGTTATAACAGAAATTGATTTATTGTTTCTAATGAACTAGGTATTATAATCAAATGATGTATTTACTGATGTTTTAGTGATTGTAGCTTTTAAATAACCTTTAGTGAAATTTGAGTATTGAAACAAAAAAATTTGTTTATCTGTTTTCTTTGATCAATGTTACTGGTATTATGATTTGTACAAATCTTAACATATATACAATATAAACACATTCCAAAAATGAACTAGTTGCAAGACATTCAAATTGTTTATTGTATATCAGTACTACCTAATTATTTGAATAATAAATTATATTCATTTATTATTACATTAAAATGTACAAAAAAAAAATAAAAATAATAATAATAATATAAAATATCTATTTCAATTTAATTGCTGTTTTTATCAATTATTTGTTAATGTTATACATTATATAATAATTAATAGGTGTATATAATATCTTCACTTAACATTTAATAATGTACATTTTTTTTAAAATTAAAAACAAAATAAAAATCTTTAGAAATAATATAATAGATTCATAATAATTACATTTAAAACAATAATATTTGATACATTATTAAATAGAAATTGAATAGTAATTTAATTATTGAATGATAATATTTTAGTTAAAATAATAGTATAGTAGTGCAATATTAATGTTTTTTTTTTTTTAATGTTTAATTTTCTATACTTGTTCTGGTAATTTCTCTAAAACATAAACTGATGTTTTGTTCTATATGATTTTTAAAAAGATATTTAATTTTTCTAAATTTTCATTAATTTGTTATATAATTACAAACTGTTAACATAATTAAATCTAAATAATTTTCAACAAAAATATTTACAATTAATAGTCATGTAGGTCATACATTTCATATTTATATAGTAATGATGGCATGTCTTCCTAACCATAATATTTGTTTAAATACACATGTGTATTAAAAAAAAAAAAAACTATAATTATAGAACTGTCAATATTATTAATAATGTATATTTCTATTCCTATAGGGGTTATTATTTTCTCAAATTTAAAGTTATGTTTGTTTAATTAAGACAAAATAATGTAATTTTCATCCAAATTATTTAATTTTTGTATTTTAATTTACTATCAATATGAAATATAGTTATATTCATACTAAAATAAGCCAATTATGTATTTATTTGTATTAATTACATATTTTTATTATGGTAGCAAAAAAAAAGACAACAATCAGTGGTGGGAACTATTTGACTCTGTCACCGATCGTTTTTACTACTACAATACAGCTTCTCAAAAAACAGTTTGGCATCGACCTCCTAATTCTGATATAATACCTTTGGCTAAATTACAAACTTTGAAACAAAATACTGAACCAGCAGTAAATGATGAAAATGATCGAAAACAATCTAAAGAATCTGTATCTACTCAAACATCCGGGCGCAGTAGAATGGTGTTACCTCTTTCATCAAGTAATCAAACTGTGGTAAGTGTTTAAGCTATGATTATAAATTATTATTTTTAATTTTAATTATTATTATAATATTCAATAATTTAATTAAAAGTGTGAAATATGTATACCTATAAACAATCATTTCACTTACATTAATTGTTCATATAGTTTTTAACAACTTATTTTTATTTTGATAATTTTTAAATTTTTAGTTCAGAATCTATTTATTATTATACAGTGATATATTTAAAAAAAAAAATTGAATGTATGGGGTTTAAATGTATTTAATTTATCCATTATTTGTAGTAATTAAAAATTGTATTAAGACTTTAATAAGACAAAATACTATAACACATAAATCTACTTATCACTATACTCTATTCCAAGTATGGAAGAATGTATGATGAAACAGGTGCAGGTATGTAACATAGTCTGCTGGTGACAAGTGCTGTTGGTGACGTCAGGTTGTATACAACCGGTTTGTGAATTTTTACAAAACTCTGCGTTCTACTCCTTATAGAGAGCTTCAGCCACCGAAACAACAGGCGCTGATAATTGTAGCTAATGATAGTGTACATGCCTGCACAATTTTTTCCAGACTTATTTAGAGTAGAGTATACGAGAGCATTTAATGCATATATTTGGTACTAAATAAAGGTGAACATTTTATAAATAAGTACATTGTTGGTAACAAAAAAACACTTTGCCTTTGCTATAAATACATCATTGATGTTATAAAATATATGAAAATATATACATGCTTTTTCATGTTTTTTTTTTGTTACTCCAATAGTTTTATTTATTTGTTTAGGGAAATGTAGAAAATGTCCGGACTTTTAAATTAATGGATCCTGTTGCATCAACTAAACGCTCTGTGGATTCCGAAACACAAACTTCTCCAATAACACCTCGTAGATCTCATCATCACCACCATCACCATCACAAGTGTGTTAATATAATATTTTTAATTTTATTATTGAAAAAAGCCTAACCTAATTTTTACTTTTATTTAGACACCAACAACAATCTAATACACCAAGTAGAGGTCGACGTGGAAATCAACCTAATGTTTGGTACAATCGTACTGCTTATTCACAAGTGAGTTGTACGCTAGTATTAAGAGAATGAGACATTTTGAAAAAAAATGTTGTTGGGTTAATCTATAATTTCAATATGTTAAATATAATTTGGCTTGTATATTTTTCAACAAACAGTTTCTTAAATTCAAATTCAAATTAAATGTTCACAAGTTCAAATAAAACTATAATAAAGCATCATAAAAAAAATCTAGTTATACTGGTTATAGGTTAGTTAAATAGTTATAAAATACAAATTATGTTGGACAAAATTAGTTTTAACAAGTGGCAAGTTTAAAATAAATTTAAAGTAATTGCTTTCAAATTATTACGAATGATACATATTTACATTTAGTTCTATAGTTTTTTTAATATTTTATAATTTGTATATATTTTTTAATATTTGTAGGATTCTGGTCGTTCGAGTGACTCAAGTTGTGTTTCAATTCAATCATCTAGTGGTAAAGATGCTACTGTAGGTTTATCAATGTCTGCTAGTACACCATTATTTAGAAAAAAAATCTCTCAACCACCTACACCACAAAATAATCTTCCTATTCAACGAAGTTCTTCCAATGCTTCTCAGTATCAATTATTATTAGGTAAACAAAAAAGCTTTGATACTGATATAAGTATTGGAGGTGGCTATAGTCTTGGTCACGATAATCGTAACAACAGTTGTTCTCGTCCTCGTCCACCTGCTGTGCTATCTTCCAGTTTATCTAACAGTCAGATTTGTAGAAGTCAAAGTTTTGCACAAAAGTCAATTGCTACAAAAACATCGATAGAAGTGGAAGAAGAGGATTCAATGCATGAAAAATATTTAGCTCCTAGTGGATTACTTGGAATGCCACCTCGACATGGAAAAAAATCTGTGGAATCCACTCCTTTAGTAATATAAGTTATTTATAAGTTATTTGTTATTTATTTATTCTATTTTGTATTTTAGAGTTCTCGTAAATGGCATTCACATTCTGATACTGGATCTCCAACAGCATCTAAATCTAGACCTCCATTAACTCCAGAATATGCAAACTTTGCAGCTCCGCCTCCACCTCCAATTGCCCCTAGTCATTCTAATTCAAAATCATCACTAACACAATTAGTGAAACATACAAAAAATTCTAAAGACGTTGGACTTTCTAGTAGCGATGAAGACGATTCTAGAGAAAATGATAACTCTAGTTCTAGTGTATCAAGTAGCCCTCCAACAGCTGGGAAAATTGATCAAAGATTTAGGTCTGATATTAAACCCGTTGATAGTCGTAAGTTTCAATGATATTTTTATTAACATATAATATTATTTTATAATAAAAACTTGTTAAATATATTTTATGTTTTTAGATTCAAAAGTAAGACCTGTATCAAACCATTCAAGCTCTTCTAGTCAACACGGTGGACCTATTAAAAAAAGTGTTAGTCCAGCTATTTCAGATCAAAAACAAACCCCATTATATAGTAATTTAGATATGTATGAAGGAAGAATTTTGCCACTTCATCAATATATTTTAGAACAAGCAAAATTATCTGGTATTATATTTAGTTTTATGTTCAATATATTTTTAAATAAATATCTTAATATTTAAATAATTTTATATTGTATTTTATAGGATCTTCATATAGGTTTGGCGATGCAGCTGGTACTTGTTCTGAAGATGATGATGCTGAAATTGAAGATTTAATTAGTGTTATGGGTACAGCCACCGGATATGATAGTGATGAGTTTGCTGATGATGAAGGTGCAATTAGTCAAGGTGACCAGTCGAGTTCTCCATCTCCATCAAATGCCTCTTCTAGACATTATTTAAGGGATGAATTAGATTATGATCATTTGACAGCAATGAGAACATCTCAACCTCGTTCTTATACCAATGGTAAAATAATAAATAATTGTTCATTGCAGTAGAAATAAGTTTAAAACAATCATAAAGATATAAAAAAGTAGTGTTTTTGTGCAAAATGGAGAAACTTAAAATTCACCTCAGGAGGGCTTATGATGCTACAGGTTTAGTAAACTCAAACTGGAATGCCCAGTTGGGTGATTCCCCGGCATATGATATTTTTCTGTAGATCTGATCAATTCACTTTTTAGTTGACAATATTCATTCACCCTATAGAGGGGATCAGAATACTCCCATGGTACCCCTATTTGTCATAAGAGGTGATAAATAGGGTTGTGCCCAATCGAAAGCCGGTGTAAAATTCTGTTATGTAATAGTATGAGGAGTTCTGAATAAGAATTTTGGTAAAGTGGTTGGATAAAGTGAAGTTAAACATCAGGTATTTTGTATGACAAGGGAATTCCAATGAGATGTAAAGTTCTACAAAAGTGTGGTGAGCCTGGTGTTATATGGTTTGGAGTTATAGGCAGTAAATGAGAATGCTTAAGTTGATGAGTGGAGTGACATTAAAAGACAGGTAAATGATGAGTACATAAGTGGTAGCTTAGGCGTGCATGGTTTCGATAGTAGAGAAATTGAGAGAAAATAGACTGAGATGGTTGTGCATGTCTTTAGGAGAAATGTAGTTAAAATTGTAATGAAAATAGTTGTAGGGGGAAAGAGGCAAAGAGAAAGACTGAAAAGAGATGGTTAGATGCGATTGAAAATGATGTGAGAATGACAGGTGTATATGATTTTGAATAATATAAGAACAACTAGTATATACAATGTGGGAGATCAAGTCATGTGGAAGTTTAGAACAATGGTTGTCGACCCCAAATAATTAGTGAAGGTGAAGGAGAAGATGGTGGGCTTAAAATTTAGTTTTATAAAAAATAATGTTTTTCATGTGCATTAATATTGTTTTAACTGTTATTGATCTTATTAACTTTTTTGACTGTGCTAATATTTAAGAATTTTAAAAAATATATTCAATATTTTTATTTAAATATATGCTTGAATATGGCTGTAAGAAAGTGTATCATATTAATATTAATGAATTATTATTATTAGTTATTGCACATAGAGTAATGTGACACTTATTAAAACATTATAATTTTTAGATACTCGAGTCAGTGACTATGTAGTAGAACCAAGTAGTAATCAACATTATTATAATACAGTTACAAATACTTTGTCATCTCAAAGGTCGATAAATCTAGTCACACCATCAATGTCTGGTAAGTAATTTTTATTATTATTATTTTTTTTTTATTAACTAATTTTTATTTTTTATTTTTTAAAGATCCATTTAGCAGTTCTGCGCCAACTCTTCCTTTAGAAACTCAGCATACATCACTCAGAAGAAGAAAAGATCAACGTGTTCAATCTCCAGCAGCTGCTTTATATTCTCCAATTATGGAAAGAAATGAGGTATTTACATAGATGCTTTTTATGTATTTTAGCACGTGTCTAAATTTAAAATAAATTGTTTGAAATACTAATAGTTACACGACAAAATGGCCAATATTTGAAACAATTCTATTTTTCTCATGGTCTAACTTATACCAATCATGTTTTGTTTCTGTGTTAGGTTAATGTTTGTACATACTTATGCAACAGTTATATGAATATAGTAATGAATGCTAATTTTAAAACTGATACAACTAACATTATTACTTATTATTTTTGGCTCAATTTAGATTCTTTGTCAAAAGTGTTTGAAAAAGAATATGTTTCTCTCAAATACAAACATTTCTGAGTGCAAAACAAAATTTTTTCTGTTCTTATGCTGGTACACAAATATATGCGCAATGTGTTATAGGAAAATGGAATTCCCCATGTTTAATAACTATGTGGTTATTTATGGTAATAGTAATATTATAAAATTAAATATTGGTGATACAGCAATCTTGTATGTTTTAAAATATTAATTTTCAGTAAATTTTGGTATAAAGTTTGATCATATAAAATTTATTTACCGGCTAATAATGATAATTGTGTTAATTGTGACCACAAAAAATTGTGTTAAATTGATCATTTTCTGTTACAAAAAAAAAAACAAATTTTTTTTTTAATATTATAAACTTAAAATTGATAAATTGTTAAATATTTAACTCAGTATTGTTTGTTCATATACATTGGATGAAGAAGCCCTTTTTGTCGTGTAACAATTATTATGTTGTTCGAAATAGGTATATGTTCGAATATGTTCACTTGTACTGTAGTAGCTTATTTTATTAGACCAAAGATATGATATATAGTAATAAAAAATCAATATTGAAAATTATATTTTGTACAATTATAATATAATTATTGAAAAAAATCAGATATAACTTTTTGTCATATAATTAAATAAGTTAAACAAATTTGGTTTTCATTCTTTTAAATTTTCAAATGGCAATTCCCAGATCCTAATACTTCCAGAGAACTATGCTTTAAGTTTAATATGCTATATTTTAGTTTTTATTTAAACTTAATTAATTTAGGATAACATGTAATGGATTAATAATTTTAAAATTATAATTTTAGCTTTAAATCACAAATTAATTTTTACCAAATTAACATTTTAGATATTTACTTATTATTTAATGCTAATATATTAATACATTTTTTTTTATATGTAGGTAATAATTACAGAACATTCAATACATAGTTTTAATACTTCATAATATTTTTTCTGCATGTTTTGCTATTGTTTTTTTTTCTTTTGTGTGTGCTTTTAGTTGGTGGCTCGTTATGCCAACTCCAATCGTGGTGTATTCCACCCATCATTATCTCAAGATGCTCGATCTTCTTCGCCTGCCTATTACTACGAACAGGTTTTTATGCTTTTGCAAATGCTACTAGAATAATCCAAACATTTTTTAATTTCAATAAAAACTTCTAATTTTTTTTTTATAATTAAACTCCATTTACAGACATCCAGAACATTATTGAATCGTGATAAAAAAAATACATCTGAAAGTGATATTGAAAAGTATGCACAGGATAATTTAAATATCCATAAAAAGGGTATTTTCCGGAAAAAATTTTCAGTTAGAGATATGCTTTCATGGTCTAAGGTAAATAAATTTACTGTGAAATTTAATTTAAATTTATGTATTTTTTAATTATTTTTTTTAATTGGTTCCAATTCAGGATCCAATTCGTAAACCAATGTTAGTCTTATCTGATAAAGCATTAAAAAAAGAAGCTTGTGATTTATTTAAACTGGTTCAAACCTATATGAGTGACCGTAAAGCAAAATTAGGCATGACTTTAAATAGTGTAGCACTAGAAATATGTATGACAGGTTTTATGAAACCTACCCTAAGAGATGAATTATACATACAAATATGTAGACAAACAACAGAAAATCCTAGAAAGTATGAATATATCTTTAACATTAAAAATTAAAATATTTTTAATGACATTTATTTCTTAATTTTATAATTTTTAGAGAAAGTTTGCGTCGAGGATGGGAACTATTGGCTATTTGTTTATCGTTTTTTCCACCTTCACCTAAGTTACAAAAATACTTAGAAAGTTACATGGAAAGACATAGAGATCCTGGTTTAGACAGTTATGCTACTGAAGTTGGGCGGTGGCCTGTTCATGTCCAAGTTAGCCATTATGCTAGTATAGCTACAAAAAGGTTACACCGAATGGGAGTAGATGGAAAAAAAGCTGTCCGAAGACCCACACTGGAAGACATTGAACAAGCCAGAGTAAATTTAATTTTAATTATTTTTTTGTTACAAAAAATTAATTATTTATCATATTAGATGCAAATATTCAGGCCTAGTCTTTTTGGAAATACAATTAATGAAATTATTGATCTTCAAAAAGAACGTTTTCCACACTATAAATTACCTTGGGTACAAACCACATTATCTGAATTAGTGCTAAGACACAGAGGTGATCAAACTGAAGGAATATTCAGGTAACAGAAATTGTATAGTTATTTTCTGTTTTTAAATGTTTGTATTGTACTTACTAATACCAACAACACTGCATAATGTTACCCATTACACTCTATGTAAGTTTTATTAGATTTTAATTTATATTTAGTATAATAATAAAATGTTCAATTCCAATTATAGTTAAAAAATAAATATAATTTTAAAATTATAATTAAATATAATAATATTTAATATTTTTGTTATTTGTTTAAGAGGTTTTTAATTTCTAAATTCAATTATTTTTTATAGTAGCTGCCATTGTGTCTATTTATTTTTTTGTCAATTTTCTAGACACTATTTTTCAGGTTAGATTAAATTATGATACATCACTCAAAAATAGATAGACAAACATTTCCTTTTATTATTATTGGTTTTACAATGTGTTTTGTTTTTCTGCCTGAACAACTTTTTTATCAAAAATCTTGTTCTGAAGAATCAAGTGTATTAAAGATAATTTTCTCTAGGTGGTGGTTTGGGGTGATATTTTTTGATTTTCTTAGGTTTTCTAAATTATTTTGCTTAATGATAAAAATTTTCAAATTACATTATTTGATTTTATTATTTTAAATTTTAAACTTTAAACCAACATGAAACTTTTTTGGTTGTATTTTCAATCTAGTCTATAAGTAATTTTTTTTTATTTTTATTTTTCTTGGTAGTTTTTGGACTAATTAAGCATAGCGAAAAACACCTGGATAGAATGTGAAAATTTACAAAAATTATTTTTTCATTATTTTAAATTTTGTTTTTTTAATGTAATTCAGTCAAAAATATTCGTAGCTTCTTGAAATTTTAATGGAAAACTTATATAAGTTTTTTCTAAATGTGGTAAATTTTTCAAAACATACATTCCAATATGAACATCCCTAGTATCAGTTATTTTTAAAATGTATTTTTCTTTTTAATGATTTTTTTATGAGGAATATATTTCGAGAAAGGATAACACTGTAGGGACACTGTATGTTAACCATTAAACTTCCTTCATTCAAGGCATCTCTTTCCATACTATCCCAGGTAACCCTGGTGTTTGGCGTTTGGTGCCTACTTGTTAACAGCATTCTCGTCATGAAGTCCTATTTATGAATATAAATACTTCCAATCAAACCCATTTACTTACAACTTAAATTTAATTTAATTTGTACTAACCTTCTACTGGTTACAAGGAGGTAAATAATCTCCCAGCTTAAATATAGACATTAATACAACTTTCCCAAAATAATATACCAACCTAATATTTTGTATAGCTGTTGATAACATGTTTATCTAAATTTATGAGGCAATTAAAAAAATGTCTGTATAATTATATCTGTATTTATTATAATCTTAACCTGTATAATCTAAAAAACAAAATTTTGTAATAAAAATAGCTAAATGTACTGAAGATAATATAATAAGTAACTATTAAAAAAATAATAACAATAAGTTTTGAAAAATTCACCCCATGTGACCAAATATGAAAAATAAACTGCCCAACCAGTAGAAGGTTAAATGATAAATAAGTAAAATAACATACTCTACCCATATTAAATATGCTTATTATAAAAATATATGTACAGATTACATAATTAAAAATTTATATGATTATGTATTATATACATAAATAAAGATATATATAATAATTTATATAAATTTTATTACTTGATCTGTATGTAATATATACTTTATAGAGTACCGGCCGACATGGATGAAGTTATGGCTCTTAAAAGTCGTTTAGATGTATGGGAAGTTCCTGGTCCCGAGGAGTTAACTGATGCACATACTCCAGCATCTTTATTAAAACTGTGGTATCGTGAACTATATGAGCCACTTGTTCCTGATCATATGTATGCTGAGTGTATAGCTGCTCATCAGGACGCTCGTCGAGCAATTGCTATTATACATCGATTACCACCAATAAACAAAGCTGTTTTAGCTTATCTTATTCACTTCCTACAACTCTTTACCAAACCAGAAGTCGTTCACGTAACTAAAATGGATGCTAGTAATCTAGCTATGGTTATGGCTCCTAATTGTTTGCGCTGTACGTCAGTCGATCCTCGTGTAATATTTGACAACGCTCGCAAAGAGATGGCTTTTATGCGTTTGTTGATTTTACATTTTGATGCGTCTTTTATGGAAGGCGTATTTTAAACAGATCTGTTTAATGACTAACTACTGGAACTGTATTTAGTTTCAGAACTACACAAACCAAAGGTTATTATTTTATGGCAACTTAATTGCACACTTTTTTAAGTATTTTTAAGCTGATATTACTTACATTTATACTATGCATATACTTAATTTAATTTGATTATTTTTAATGTTTGTCATTAATTTTGTAGGTTAGATAAGCGTTACCATGTAAATGACGTTCAAAATTTTAATTTAGTGAATCTTAATAATTTAAGTACTACTTTAATTATATCCCCTCCCACTGCCTTTAAAATTTGTATTTTTTAAATAGAGAGTTGTATGATGTTTGTAAAGAAAAATAATTTTTTTATTTTTGTTTTGCTGTAATCATCGTAATAACAACAGTATTTGATTATTTATATAATAATTTACTATTCAAATTTGTTTAGACTAGTCTATTGGTATTAGAAAAATGAAATGTGTACAAATAAAAAAATTATGAATATACCTTAATATTTTAATTATTAAATTAATTTGAAACATTCAAAAACATTATATTTTGCATTTGTCAAATTTCATAAGGCTTCATTGACTTACAGGTATGTACGAAAGTTTAACAAAATGTTTTATTTCATTAGTAACATGTCTTAAAACAGATTAGAAATGTATGTTATTCTATTTTAAAATTAACTTCTGAGTTTAGGTAAACATGAGATTCTTAATTACAATATTATGATTTTTCTTCTTTAATCAAACATCAGAACAATGTTGTCATTTTAATTTTTATACATTTATTTTCTTTCAATCTTTTTATGGTGTTATTTTATAAATAATAAATTTGAAATTGTTTTTTTTATTTTTTTCTTATTGATAAAACATCCTAAGGCAAAAATGGTGTGTACTGAAATTTTTCATTTAAGGTTGGTTCTCATTTAAGTGTATTCAAGCTTGTAAGCTTGTAGTGTTTGTATTACATTTTTAAATATACATAGATATCTAATTTGTATAGAATAAATATTTTTGATTCTATGAATTAGAATGATAATATATATTTAGATGTTTTACTATAATACAATTTTCAGATTGTTATATGTGAATCCTAGGGAAAATTCTCGAGTGTAGAGGACAAAATTTTTGATTTTTCAAAAATAAATAATTGTTCATTGCAATATTCATTTAATTTTTCTTTTTTGTGCAATACTAAATCGGCAGTCATTTATTGGCTGGTGTACTGTACACACTCGCCCTCAATGGTCATCTTTAGTATGATCATACAATTACACCATTTGCTGTTATAAATGTTATTACTTATATTATTGTTTACTAACTTGAAAATTGATTTTTTTTTTAATATGTATATTAATTATATATTGTCTTCCTTAAAATAAGCAAATTATTGAAATAATAACTGAACTTTTATTTATAATTGATGTTCTATTTATTTTTAACACACTTGCATTACATCTAAATATCTATCATTTAAAATTACATACTTATTTAGAGTAATACAATTTTAAAATTAAAAAACATCAATAGTTTTTATTTAATAATACAACTTAGAACGATAATTAAAAAAAATTATATATAACAATGTTAACAAACATGAACTAAACAAGAATATAAACGTATTTAAAACATTAAGTCTATCTTCAATAATTATTACTTTGCTACTCACACTGATATAATTCAATTATTAATTTACTGTTCAAAAAAATAAATTTTAATTATTTTAAAGAAACAGGAACATGCAAGAAATAAATGCTTGATTGTATTAAATATTCAACGTAAAAATTTTAAATAGGAAAATACTGACAATTATTTTTGCTAAATTAAGTTAATTTTTTTATTTGTAAAAAATAACACGATAATATAGGATAATATTGAACACCTAATTCTTATCAAAAGAAAAGTATTTACAATATTTTTATTTACACATAAAATTTAGTCTTATGATTAGAATACATATATATGTGTGTGTATATATATATATATACATACATATATATATATATATATAATTTTATTGTGAAGATGAAGGACGGTGGTAATTTGGTGGATAATTGTTATTGTAAGATTGAGGCATTCTCGGTGGATATTCAGGTCTAACTGGATACCTGTCAAACCTTGGGTACTCTAGTGGATACCTGGGTACAAAATTAGAGTTTGCTGAATCTGCTTGTACACCTATTTCTGATGATTTGTGAGTTATAGGTGATCGTTCAAATTTTGTCAATGTTATTGAAGGAGGTAATTTAGGTGGGTATGTAGATGATATGTTAGTTGAAGATTGAGAACCAGCAGCAGATGAATGCATAGTCTGTGGCATATATGAAGGTGACTGAACAGATCTGGAAGTTGGAGGCATATGTTTGGGTGTAATTGAAATGCTAGGATTGTTCCTTAATAGATTTGAACGATTTCGTAACTGTTGCATAGAGACATCTAAAACCATACTGATTGAATTAAACATACAATTGATATAAAAAAAAAAAAAATGTATACTCAATATAAAAAATTAATAAATAAATATAACTAGTAAAACTTTGGTAAACCTTTCAGATTTAAACAACATTTTATTTTTAGGAAAAAATAAAATACTAAGAGACATACAATGAATTCTATGATATGTGATAGCCTGAACTAAAGTAATCTAAATTCATGATATTCAATAACAATAGATACAAGTATGGTGCATATTGATTTTTTAATTATTCAATTCCAAATAAAAATTGATCTCGTAATATATTAATTTAGTTAGTATGTTGTATAATGAATTGATTTTTTTTTAAATAAATATCTTATGTACACAGTAACAGAATTAATATAAATATCTTTTGAATGATGAAAAGATTTTAAAATCTGAGAGTTAAACTTTACTTGTTGTTTACTTTCCATAACACAACCATGTAAATTTGAATAGTTTTATTCTCCATTATTGCTACATATTTTTATTAGGGTGGTCCGTCTTTTACCTATAGGTGTTGAATATTTGAATTCACTTGCTCAAAATTCTGTTAGGTAAATTTTAAAAATAATTTTTGTAAATTTTGGGTATTATAGGTCAACCCCATCATGTGCATCAAAGGGGTTGAATTTATTAAAAAAGGTGTAGCTTTTAAACTTTTTTATTTAATTTTAAACACAAAAAATGTATTAAAAACTATATTATAGTAAAAAGGATTTCCTACTTAAAGCTCACTTTGAAATTTCAGTGAAACTTACCATGATATGTAAAAAAAAATTGATTTAAAAGTTAGTAGTTTTGTAACAGAAAATTCAAGATTAAGCATAATTTTAGATCCACCAACTTTAAAATTGATTTTTCACTTACAACGGTAAGTTCACTGAAATGTTTAAGAGTGCTATTTCATAGAATTTCTGATAATTTTTTTGTATGATTAAAAATTTAAAAATCCAAAAACAACACCTTTTATAAAATTGAATCCTTTTGAGGCATGTGAAGAAGTTAACTTCATTTATCAGTATTTTTACAAAGTACCTAACAGAATTTCAAGCCCAGGACACAAAATTATTGAAGTTCAAAAGTAAAGACCACCTTAATTTTAATATTAAATATACTTTTTTTTCATTTGTATATTAAATAGTATTTATCACAAACCGTTATTTTTAGATCCTGAATTAAAACTGGTTTCTAGAGGTTGTGGTTTATTATATGGTGTAGATAAGTGAGTAGTTGGTGGCTGTTGTTGCTGTTGTGAGGTAATTGATTGACCTGGAAGTGATGGATTATTGGTCTTATTATTAGCTGACGTACGAATGGCAATTATTTTTCCACTTTCCAACTGCATATATATTCCTTTAGGACTTTTAAGAACCATTACTTTTTGACCAGCTTTTAATACAATTGAACCTCGGTCACCAGCATTTGTTGGAATTACCACATCTTAAAGAAATAGTAAAAATTAAACATGTTTTGTAATTTAATTATTGAATAATTTTCAAATAATCACCAAGTGGTAATGTCATTTCTTGTGCACTCATTCCTTGTTTTTGCCAGACTTCGGCTGGTATCCACCTGCGATTCAAAGCATTTCGACTTGCCATTACAGCTGTATTAGACATTGATTGCATTGGACGCACACTGGCCATTGGTTTACCCATTTGATTTCTATAAAAATATCTCATTAAATAATACAATAAAAACAGTATAGTATATTTTTTTTTATCCTCACCTATACAATGAAGATGCAGGATTTTGGCCATAATAAGAATACACAGGTCTACTGTTAGCTTTTTTCTCCATTTCATAGCTTCTTTTAGCCAACCTTTTTTCTGCCATTGATAACTTTTTTTCTTTACGGTCCACAAATAATGATTCATGTTGAAATGGTTCCTGTAAAATAAAAAACACATGATAAATACTAAAATTACATTGAATTGTTATCATATACCTTAGTAAGCACAGAACTGAAATTTTCAACTATATGTTTTATAACTATATCATCGTAATTATCTTTGAGTGATGAAAAATCTTTTTCTGGTTTAGATTCTCCATCATCCCAACATAAATTAGTTACTTCTTTGATGGATAAATGAGCATCTGGATTACATTCATCCACGACACGGTCCGCCATAACCTGTTTATTTATCTGTCTATCATAGATTTTTTTTTCTAAACAATTATCTGTCACTAATCTGTATACAAAACAAGGTTTTCGTTGACCGTAACGATAAACTCGGCAAACAGCCTGTGTATCATGGCAAGGATTCCAAGAGGCATCAAACACAATAACTCTATTTGCTCCAACAAGATTAATGCCCAATGATCCAGCACGTGTTGATACCAAAAACAAATGAACTGTGTTACAAATATTGAAATCGTTAATTAACTTTTCACGTTCTGATGCAGATGTACTACCATCGAGACCTAATAATAATTAATCATTTTTTTTTTTTTTTCATTAATTATAAAAAAGAAAATTATACAGTATTAAAGTATTATTGTACTTACGATAATAATCACAATTTCTACACCAATTTTCATCTTTACCAGGTATTTTAGTTCGCTGTAAAAATTCCTCAATTAAGTCTAATGTGAACAATGATTGACTAAACAACAAAACACGATCACCAATTCGAATAGATTCTTCAACAATGGCAAATAACAATGACATCTTGGCTGAAGCTTCAATCATACCCGGTACATAATCGTTGAATAATTCAACAGCCTACAGAATATTTAATTGACAATAAATACAAATGTGTATCACTTGCGAAAAAAAAAAAATTACACTCAACTTCTTAGTTTTTAATATTAAGTACAACTTACAATGTATCTCATATTACATTTTCAAGCATTTGTGTGACCAAAAATTGCATCCATATAAAAATAAAAACTCAAAAATACCTAACATCATTAAATAGTTTATACATTTTTAGAATGTTATGAACATTTTAACATGTTTACAGAAGGCTAATATAAATATTCTGTAAACATTTCAAATCTCTACAATAATTTTTTTATCAAAATACAGCAAAATAGAAGATAATGAAATTGATAATGCTGTTAACTTTTTTATTTATTTCTTAATTATTATAAATACTACATGGAAAATGACCTCATCTATGCATCAGCTAGATCCTAAATGCAACATTTTGTATTGCATTTTGGTTTCTAGTAAAAATGTTGCTCATAGACAGAAAAAAATTGTGTACAATATTGTAAAACCAATACTTTCCTTGCTCTGCTTAGAATCTAAATATATCCAATTGATTTTTAATTAAACAATGTTAATGTCTTACCCAATCATATGGTATTCCTGGCTCCTCCCTACCACTTTTAATTAAAAGTGATGGGTTTTTTATTTCACCTTCCTCTAATGTCGACATTTTTGCATCAATATTATCGTCCATGGATCTTGATTCTTTATCCACGGAAAACAAATTATGTTTTTCATCATGAGATTGATCAATGTCTGTAGTACTAGTTCCTCCATATTCATATTTTGTTTTGGTTTCCAATGAACGAAATGGTGGCAATGGATTAATATCTTGACTGGTCATGGTACAAGGTGCTGGATTCTTACGTTCTGGAAGTTGATATGTACGTTCGGGTCCAGGAATGTTATCTAGTATATCAGATATACTTCCCAGAGGCGTACTTGTACTTGGATTATATTGCTGGTACATTGGAGAATAGTTTGAATACCTTGGATATGATTCATTTGAATTTGGTAAACTGAAACGATTATTAAGTTCTGGATAAATTTTTGATTCGTTTTGATTATGAACTCCAGGCATTAAAGTGATCCCTCTTCCAATCATTTGTTGATTGTTTGGGGCTCTTAGATATTGATTAGATTCAGAATCTGTCTTTGCTCCTCCAGGCAATCCAGGTTTGACATTTGGTGGCAATGGACCATAAGTAGGTTGATATTCATTAATTTGATTGTTTAACATACTAGGTGGCTCTAAAAGACCAAGTAAACCATGTCCATCAGGCTGACCAACCATAGCATTATATAATAAGGCTTGTTCATGGGCATCAGTAGTAGAGTTAAGAACACTTAACATGGCTTGATCATTAGCCAATAACATTTCTTGGTCATGTAACATCTGATCGTTCAAAATATTTTGACTTTGAAATGGAGAATCAGGTAATATGGTTCCATAAGTATTATGATTCTGATGATTAGTCATTTGCTGATTGGATTCTAACATATAATTGTTATAACTATTATTACTAGAATTACTAGGGGTCATAATTGGAAGCTGTCCTTGATTTGACAATACGTTTTCTGAATTTTGATATTGTTGTTGATGGTGCTGTTGCTGCTGCTGTTGATGTTGTTGATGTTGCTGCTGCTGTTGATGTTGTTGTTGCAACTGTTGATGTTGTTGATTCACAAATTTTTGTTCAATTTCTTGATGTCCTGTCAACATACTGCGGTCATGAGAAATGGATCTTGAGCGGTTATGCTGTACAGTGCCCTGATTACTTGTTAATTGTCCTTGATTATTAGTATCACATAACAAATTAATTCCTTGAGTTCGAACACTTTGGTTAACAGTATTGTTATTCATTATTCTTGGGCTATCAATTATTTGATGATTTGTAACTTGATTTTGAATACTTTGGTTATTTAATGTACTTTGGTTACTACTCAAACTACTGTTAATATCTTGTGGGCTAATATTGGTTTGAATGGAATTGGTTTGTACAATGCGTTGTTGACTCAAATTGGGTTTCTGGTGATTTGCCATTATTCGATTGTTGTCAAACATTCCTTCAAAACTAACAGCCATACCTCCAGTACTATTGTCATTCCCCTGTTTCATTAAATTACCCCCATAAATACCTTTATTACTTTCTGACAAAGAAGTACGGCTATTGTTAAACTGCATATCTTCATTATTTCTCGAAGAATTTCCAAATATTCCTTTGTTGGAATTAGTTAACATATCTTGATTATTTGTAAACAACCCTTGGTTACTATTAGAATGGACTTCTTGGCTGTTGACTTGATTAAACGCTTGCCTAAATGATATTTCTTTGGTATTAGACAACACTTGTTGATTAGTTAAATTACTATTATTATCATTACAACTATTATCAATGTTTACTCCTGAATTAGCTATAGTTACTGATTGATTTTTTTGAATTTGTTTATTATTAATGGTTGATTTGCGATTACGTACATTTTTTGGTTTTGGTTTTGTCATTGATATTTGATCAGAAATATTATCTGCTTGTCTTCCTGGAATATTTGGAATGGTTTGCAAAGGTGTAGTTTCTTGATTTGTTCCTTTACTTTCAAAATTGCTTTGATTAACTTTTTGGATATCTGGAGAAAATCCTTGATTGTGTAATGGTTGTTCGGATTGCTGTGGTCCTTGTGTAGTATCCTGGCTAAACCCACGATTTTGATAATGATTTTGATCATTTGAACCACTAAAACTAGTTTCCTCGTAAGTTTGATAACTAGGCTCACTTTTAACCATCCTAATTTCTCCGACTTCCAGTCTAGGATCTTGAGGATAGGGATATTGACTTTTTGTTTCTGAATTTGGATTAGATTGATAATATTCAGAATTACCTCGATAAAAGTTTCCACCTTCTTTCCAGTAAGAAGGAGTATAATTGTTTTGATTATAATTGTTAAATTGCTGGCCTGTGAAATTGCCTTGATTCCCATATTGATGTGATTGTGAAGAATAATCATCATATTGATTAGACTGCATAGGTGGTATAACAGGTGTGGTGCTATGATTATGAGTAGTAGGAGTATGCAGTTGATTGTTACTTGTATTTGGCATTACAGTAGCCACAGCTGGAGTCTTCATTAGATCTTTTTTTATGTTCTAAAATGTATTAAATAATATATAATTAAAAATAAATATTTTTAAATTAAAAACAATTCTAGTCATTAAATAATTTATATTCATGGCTTCATTAAAACTGCTAACTTCATTTAGTTAATATACCTAAATTTTCACAGTTGATAGGTATTATTTTTATTTTATTTTATTTTTTTTATTAAATTTTAGATGTTAAAATCTACATATCAACAATTAATATTTCATATTATTAAGTATTAGTGTAATATTTATTACTTAAATAACAAAAGAATTTTTTAGAATTATGTAACCAAAGTAATAAAATCTGCCACATTAAAATTTGGTCTTGTCAGCCGGTTAATCTGACCATAAACTATTTTTCAATTAATTTTGATGACATATTTCAGATAAGTGTCTTATATGAAAAAAATATCAAAATATGTATGTACATTTTCTATAAAATTAGGTAAACATTTGATTTTTTAAGCTTTCTATTTTGTGAACAATGGTTCTTAACCAGGGTGACATAGACCCAATATAGAGGTGACATAATATCCTCTGGGAAAAGATATAAAATAAGAGATTTTTAATTTTTTTTTCGAACAAAATCATATTATTACTATCCTATAATCGCCCATGACTGTCGGAACAACATAATACACATTCCCCATCAGTCACTCCTTAACAATAAAGCTGTTGCTACTAAAATTGTGTTCACTAAACGGGCCTACCCCAAAGTTCTTATATTTAAACTATTTCAATTTATTCAAATATGTTAATTATTTTTCTGTGTACTGAATTTTTTTTTTTCAAAAATCTACTGTTTAAATTGCTTAGATCATGCATATTTTGATGGTAGGCTATTGAATATTGCAATATACATGTATTAATTAGATACATTTGCTATTAAATGTGAAATACCTTCCGAATTGGGTTGATTTTTAACTCTTTAGAATTTGGATTAATTCCTCCTCCTTTCGGCCATCGGTTTCTAGACCTTTTAGATGCTGCAGAAGGAGAAGTAGCTAGAGTTGGTCCTAAAGGTGTACCAGCTTCTTCAAGATCTAAATCAATTTCAGCTTCATCCAATGAACGTTTTTTTAGAAAATAGTAAAGAATATCTGGATGATTCCAAATCTTTAAAAAATGCATGAATATAGGTATTTATTCTGTATAAAATATAAGAAATACATGTTGTTTTATTACAACTTACTTTACAACAAACTGCAAATGCTTTCAATGGATTAGGAACTGCTTTTTTCCGTACTACTTCATTCATGAAACGATCATATAATAACCGCTGTAATGGAGTCATACGAACAAGCAAAACATATTCTTCTTTTTGAGGCAATGTTTTTTCTAAAACGGAATGACTTCTCCTTTGAACAAAACCTTCTAAAAGAGAATGTAAAACATGTGCTCTATGTCTCATCAATCTAATATCTTGAGGTGTACTGTCAATACATTGACCATTCTGAATAGGCCTTTCAAACATATTACTAAATTCCGTTTTTGTTCCTAAATAATTTGGACGAACAAAATCTACCATACACCAATATTCTAGCAAGTTATTTTGTAAGGGATATCCTGTTAATACTACACGTCGACGACTTTCAATTTCTTTAAGTGACTGTGAAGTCGAAGCATGGCTGTTTTTAATTCTATGTCCTTCATCGCAAATAACTAGATCTGGCCCTGGTTTAACTAATGCTTCTCTCATTTCTAAAAAAAAAAACAACAACTAAGTTATTACTAAAATTATACTCAACTATATAATATATAAATTATTTACCATCAAGCAATGGTTTGTTTTTTTCATCATACAAATCTTCATCAATTTGTTTTTTATTTCGTTTTTTTCGTGGTTTCCTAGAAGTTAATTGTCTGTAGAGTTCATACCCCATTAGTAAAACACCTCCTTCAACTCGCCAACTTTCAATAACTTTTCCTCGAGCCGATATAGTTTTATGGAAGTCATTAAGTACAAATAGTGGAAACTGCCTATTAATGATATCACCAGTTTTTGTTGAATCTTCTGAAGAATTGTTAGTATCATCAGGTAAAGGAAGCCACATATTAAATTCAGCCATCCAATTTTGTAAAGTGTTTATAGGCATTATACATAACACATGTTTTGCAGGAGTATGTCTTAGAAAAACGTCACAAAATGAAACCACCTAAAAGAATAAATAAAACACAATTAAGTAGTCAAACATACTAAATAACTTAGTATTTATTGATAAATTACCTGAAGTGTTTTGCCTAATCCCATTGAATGGGCAAGAATACAACCAAATCCTTTGGAAGATTTGAACCTCTCAAGAGATTCAACCACATTATCATACAAAAATCTTACACCTCCAATTTGATGAGGTTTTATAATACGAGCTATTTGAGGAGCTAAGAATACATCTGGCTCATTATCTGGATGACCAACATTTATAAGAACTCGCCCAGATTCATCTGGTAGATTATAAGCATCATTCGTATGCATACCACAATTGTTAGTATCATCATCTGGAATATCTTCTTCTTCTTCATCACCAGAAATTAATATACAATCATCATCTGAACTTTGCGGTTTTCTATCTACTTCTTCTTCACTTCCACTACTTATAGTTACAACTTCAGCTATTTTTGCTGGTTTTATTGGAGCAATTGAAACAGAAGAAGTAACCATGTGCGGCTCATTAACATCTCCGAGTTTAGAAGCAATGGATGATAGTTTATCAATTTCATTACATTCTTTTGAGGCTTCTGGTTGATTTTTCAATATTTCTAACATTTTTTTATTAAATATTTGAGGTGATCCTGAATCAGTCGATATCACAATAGTGTTAGGTTTAGGTTGCATTGGTGGTTCAATAGGTCCAGCGCTTTTTTTTATAAGTGTGGTAGTACCACCTTGAAGCAAAGACATAACACGATCTTGAGCTTTGGTATTTTGTTTATTAATTGCAATTTGTTTTTGAACCTATAAAATAGAACATTATAAAAAAAATAGGAATGTTAATTAAAAGCCAACGATACCGTTCATACCTCTCTGATAATACGTTGTTGTTCTTGTACACGTCTCAATCTTTCCATTTCTTGTCTTTGAGCAGACAAGGTAGATTCATCTAATTTAGTTTCATCCATTACCTCGCGAATATTTCGTCTTAAATTGGTTGGTCGTTTTTCTGATGAATTTTGATTATCAGGATCATCATCACTGGTTTCTAGGTAAAAAATTAAAGACAATTAAATTACTGTTACATATTTATAATTAAATTTAAAAAAATCATACTTTCTTCGTTCATTTTGGCTTTTTTCGCGGTTTGATCATCTTCTTCTTCACCCGATTTCCGTTTAGAATTTGCTTCAATTTCTTCATCGCTTTGTTCATTGTTTTTGCTCTTCTGTTCTAATTGATTTTCAATGCTTTCTAGGTCTAATTTAACATTTACATTTTCATCAATTAATTCAGCAATATCAGATCTTTTAGAATCAGCTTCAGTTTTTGTAATTTCCCGGGTTTTGTTAGCTTCATCTTCGCTACCACTGGAATCCTCTTCTTCATCACTACAGTCTTCTTCTTCGTTTTCTATATCCTTAGGAAGTGGTTTTTCTTCAGGTGGTTGAACCCTTTGAACAGTTAAATTCGCATAACGTGATAAATTGAATGGATCCATGAGAAAATTACTGTACTAAAACTAATTCCATTCTATTCTAACTAAGTACGCCAAGTAAGAAATAAACATAGATAGATAATAATAAAACAATAATATTATCAAAACAACAAGACGTCTTTTTCTACACAAGTCCCTATCATAACATAACTACAGGATACACGGCGTTAGTGATTAAAACTAAATATTGTACAGTATTGCAATATTGGACCATTAGAAAATCAACGCTAGGTCATAGAAAATTATAAATAATATACTACAAGTAATGAATAATAAAAATCACGAATTCCGATAGTTTTCAAATTATCTATAAGTATTAATATTACGTCCGTCCATTTTCTTCATTCAATAATTTTTGGAAAACATTAATCTCTGTGAACTACAGTGTGGGTGAACAGGTATTATTCCCGCCCCTAATTGTTTTCTGTATGATTATATATTATCTATTGCTTGAATGTACAATTAGCTTGAATGCATTTAATTAATATTTTTTATACAAAACGTATTTTTATGGAAAATAAAACAGTAATCAATTTTAAAAACACTGCTGATTATAGAGGCAATCAACATACTTCCTTTATAATTTAGTTTTTACATTAGTATTAATTGATTCACAGTACTAAATATGAATTGGGAAACATTATGACTTTATTCATGGCTCCCATGCCTTGAAACTATTTTGTAACTTCGAGTTCCGACCAAATATGCCAAAATACCTAAACAAAAAATAATTTTAAAATCATAGATTTTTTCAGTGGTTTGGACTTTAGTTTGGAATGTATTTACAAGTTTTAAATAAGAAAAAGGGAAAGTTTTTGACAAGTTTACATCCGGAGAAATTGGCAACACTGCAAATGTTGACATGAATGAAGTATTGAAAAGTGTGTATGCGTAAAAAATTTAACAAGTTATATGAAAAATGAGAATTAATTAGCTCTTATCTGATTTTGTAGACGATTTTAATTCATTTTTCTTTTCTGGTGTTTAACTTTGTATATGTATCTTTATATGTTCATCGACAACACTTTTATTTTTTTTTTCGAAAGTGTAGACAATTATATGACGTTAAGTAACTTACTACTATGTAAAGTGAGATGTTTATGATTGTCTGTATTATTTAATTTGACTTGTAATTAAGTACTTTGTATCTAGTTGGCATTATACAATTTGTATAACTTCTCGAATGGATGTGGAGTCCACAGAAAATCCAGTAAGTCAATCTATTGTTATGTTATAACTGATATTTGAACACATAATTTATCTATTGAAATTATATACATTCATCATTATAAACAATTAATATTTATATTAATAATAATATGATAATATCGTATTGAGTGTTACTTTGTTTTAATATTTTATTGAAAAGTAACTCTTTATTTTAAGCAATTAAATCTCTTAATTTGTGTTTAAAATGATATTAGTTAGTTTCTCAGTTGTAGATATCTATTATTGATAAAATATGAGAAATACATATAAATAATTTAAAGAATAACAACTAGTAATGTTTTTTAATAATTGCTTAGAATCTCTATTTTTAAATTAAATGAGTCATTCTACCTATTATTTTTTAATAGATTTTTTTTATTCTGTAAGAAAATATCAATGCAATTTTAATCATTCTATCAATTGAAAACTTGACAATTAAATATATTTTTGACACTACTTTAAACATTTGTAGATAATATACATTTTTCTGTTAGCAAGTTTAATCTACTTATATTAGTACTTTAGTTTTGTGTGTTTTTCAACAACTTTTATCATTAAAACTAGATAATAAAATAGTATAGGTAATCTTTCAAAAAAAAAGATTGAAATCAAAATATTAATTCACTTCATTATTCATTGTTAGGATTAATTAATACTTATAAAGTATATTAAAAAAAGATTTATTAGAAAATAAATACTCTGTTAAAAGTCAATAATAATTTACCAAGATGTATTTGCCAAGAATATAATTTTAAAATATTAGTGTAATGGTAAGATAAGAAATAAACGAGGAAATATATTTAAAAATCTATTTTATTATTTTTTTTTTTTTTTATCTGATTCATTTTTATTTTTTCAATCTATGTATGTATTTTCAACAGGGTTTATTTTCCTGAATTCTATAGAAGTACACACATAATAAATTATTTGTACAGAGTATTATTATTGATAGATACATAATTTGCTTAGTATACATTTGTAGTACTGAGCCATTAAATGATGCAAATGTATTAATCCATTTTTACCTGACTGTAAGAAGATATATGTGTTTAGATAATTAGATCTATATATTTTTATTTCTTTATTTAATACAATTTTACAGGTTTTCTAAAAAAAATATTTTTAAGTTAAATATTGATCAACTATAGGTAATAAAACACAAATTAAATTAAGTATACTTGTTTGTAAAATAATCTTAACCATTTTTGAATTAACAAAGTTCTATTTACTTACAATCACTTTAACATGTAACTATTTTTAATTATTTTTAAATTTAAATATAAACAATATTTTAAATGTAGTATTTAGAAAAGAATATCTTAGGTCATAAGGTGAGCAATTTGAGACAAAGATTCAAAACATAATTTCTGTTAAAATACTATTTAGTTTTTTGATTCATGCCCAAGTTTTGAAGTTATAGTTTGTGTTTGTTGTTTTAACTCTTTGTGCGTATATTAGGCGCGTTTCCTAAACAGCTAAGTATCCATGGCACAAATTAGACTTTGATATTGGTTTAAAAGGTGCCAGGTGTAAATGAGAAAGAGTATCTAGACATTTTATAAGTATCTACTTCTATTGTTATAAAACTTAATGAGTTACTTAATGTTAAATCATTTAAACTTGAAAATTATTATTTAATTAAATTTATTAGAATTATATTTATTATAAGTTTAAAATTATTTGGTCACATTTTTAGTTTAAAAATTTTTATGTACCTTATTTGTACAGGTAAGGTGATCACTAATCAATTTTCTATAAAACACTAATTATTTCTATTAAACTTTTTTCAAACTACATCGGTATTTACTATTAGCTTATTGAATAGATGAAATAAATAACCGACAGTAGTGGTATTGCTTAAACATAATTATTTTTTATTGTATATTATCAAAATGTTAAATTTACTAAGTATTAAAACTTATTTCTTGGATAATGAACTATCTAAAGACATACTAGATACCAACTCCATTTTCTAATGACTTATTGTAATGTGAATTTGCAAAATTTATATGAATGTTTATGAATATTTTCAGGTTATTAAAATGTTATGACAAATTACGTAACGACTATGGAAGAGAAGGCTGAATTCCAACGTAAAGAAGGCTGTCAATTAAATGGCAACTCTTGTTGTGCTCTTAAACATGCTGTGCGTTCACTAACTAATTTGGATGATTTTGTTAGTGAACGTATTGGTGAAGGGTTTTTCTCAGAAGTGTATCGTGTTACTCATCGAACCACTGGAAAAGTTATGGTACTCAAAATGAATATCAAACAATCTAACCGATTCAATATGCTAAAAGAAGTACAGTTAATGAACAAGCTTTCTCATCCTAATATACTTGGGTATGCAATTTAAGATATTAAATTGAAACTAGCAATTATAACTACAGTAAAATAATTTTAAATCAAATTTGTTCACATTAAATGTAGGTGTATATTAAACAAATAAAATTGTAATATTTCAATAAATGATCTAATATCTCTTGCATAACTTGATATAGAATAATAAGCTATTGATGTTGAAAATTAAAATTTGATTCAAAAAAATAATTAATAATACTATAATACTTCATATAGTTAATACAATAATCCGTTTGCTGCTCATAATTCTAATTAAATGAAATGTATTATGGATATTTAAGTTAACTTTTCTCCATCAAAAAAAAAAGTTAGATCTCATGATTTAATTTATATTCAATATTAATTAACATTTTATTATTTTTAAAATTTTTAAAATTTCATAAATAGTACTAAAAATTTATAGAAACAGCCAATCAATCAATGACCACTTTTAGCATACTCTTTTATACATATAATATAAATTATAGTATTTAATATTTATTGTTTTTAATTTTATTTGTCATAATTATTGAATTCTTATGTTTATTATTTATTATTAAACACAATTTTAGTTATTTATTTATTTTAGTAATAATTAACAGGCGGTATTGAATACAATTAGGTAATATATTTAAGCTTCAGTAAAGAGTAAGGAAAATACATAGTAATAATCATGCTAAAAAAGAAAAAGAAAAATAATAGTAATAATAATATTCTACATAATCAACAATATAGTACATATTAAGGATAATTAGATTAAAAAAGGGGTCTTCGATGGCGATAGATATCAGGTGTCTTAAGAATTCATTTTTTAGGTAATTGCTTTTAGATTGGGAAATATAAAAGGACATAGAGGTATGGGTAGAACATTGCGGAACTTTAAAATGTATAAAGGATAAAAGAGTAGAAAAATCAATACCATTTGATAACAGACTTAGGAAGTCTTACCTAACATCCATCTATGGTCAGCTAGAGATTCAATGTCAAGAACCTTTGAGAATGGACTGTAATTGTGTGGGGGGCACTGAATGCCTAAAATGAAACTTGCGTACTTTAAAAATTTACGTTGGACTCTTTTAAGCTGAAGATATATAACATATACAACGATACATTATCATTATTAAATTATTGTATAAATAAAAAGCTGCAAAGTATTAATTTTACTTGATATATAAATATCTATTATTGTTATTTCAGATTTGAAGGCGCTTGTGTTTATAAAGGACAACTCCATGCATTAACTGAGGTAAATGTAATATCATGTTATAAATTATTGTATGTCTAATAATAACTATATATCATTTATTCTTTTGAAAAAAAAAATTATTTGTGCAATTTCACTTTTTAGTATATCAATGGTGGAAGTTTAGAACAACTAATTGAGTCTGATACTGAACTTTCATTTAAAATAAGAATGAAAATAAGTCTTGATATTGCAAGTGGCATGATGTATCTTCATTCAAGAGAAATATTTCATCGTGACTTAACATCTAAAGTAATTTAAGTTATATGTTAACTAAATACTATATTTTTACTATCTAAATCAAAACTATTGTTTAATATTACTCATGTAAGATTACATATACGATAATAGTTTGTATATTATTCTATAATGATTTTAGAATGTATTAATTAAGAAAAACGAAACAACTAGAGATCTGACAGCTGTTGTAGCTGATTTTGGACTAGCTGCAAAAATACCAAAGTAAGCTATACTTTATTAAAGTTGTATTACATTTATACAATTTGATTATGATTTCAAATTTATAACACACATATTTTTAGATTTGGAACGTAGTAAGGGATATATTAGATGCATTATGTGTTCTTTTTTTCTATCTGTAAATAATTTGTTTACCAGAAATCTTCTCTTAATCAAAAAATAACAAGAGACTTAGTTTGTTCCATTTTGGTTATAAGTGTTACATTAGAGAGGTTGTTTTTTGATTTTCTAATTGGTTTTCATGTTAGAGAAGCAGGCAAATATTTACTGCGCATCATTTTGTTACAGATTTTATTATTTTGAATTTGTAAGCTTTATGTTTTCTACCAGAAAGAAATTTTACTTCAACAAAAAACACCAAAACGCCTTTTAATATTTTTGTTGCATTTTAAGTCTAGTAGGTTAGTAGCAAAATCGTTAATAAAATAAATAAATAGAAAATCGTACATTTTAAAACATATATAATTGAAGTTGGTTCAGAATCGTATTTCATTAGCAATAATACAGATAAAAATTAAATAACTTAATAATGTATCCTACCATCTCAACTTACCACCTACATCAGTGTCACACTTATCATTCAGTAACGTATCCAGACATTTTTTGGGGAGTGAGGCTAAAAACAGCCCTTTTGCAACATTAATATTCGTGACAAACCAAAAAAAAGGTCATTGTGTCTTGTGACACTATTCAAATGTGGCATGCATGGTCTTCACCCTCTCTAAATATGTCCCTGGGAAACTGATCAGTTACACTTATTATAATATCATACTATATTTCAACAATGATTTATGATTTCTTGAAATTTCATGTGGGGGAGAGGGGAGATATGATTGGCCACTGTTATCAGCAGTATCTTCTCTTTTTTTATTTTTTTAATCATTTAGATCTTAAAATTAACCACAACACTGAAAATTTAAAAGTTAACTTTTTAAGTTAATAAATCATACATTTTTTTTTAGGAAAGGACAAAGGTTACAGCAAGTTGGATCACCTTGGTGGATGTCACCAGAATGTGTGAAAGGCAATGTATACAATGAAAGCAGTGATGTTTTTAGTTATGGAATTATTTTATGTGAAATTATTGCAAGAGTTAAAGCAGATCCAGATATTTTACCTAGAACACAAAATTTTGGCCTGGATTACATTGCTTTTGTTGAGCTATGTTCATCCTGTCCCCCCCCTACTACATTTCTTAAATTAGCATTTTCTTGCTGCCATGTAAGATTAAAATGTAAAAATATTCTGAAATATAATTATTAGTGATTTTATATTATTTTATGTACAGTTGGATGCTAAGTCTCGTCCGACATTCAAAGAAATTGTACAGCAATTGGAAGAAGCACTTGCTTTTACACCTATTACTGTAAGTTCAAATTTATCTGGACCACGGAGATGTCCAGTTGCTTCAACTCGGTCAAATCCTTGTTCATCAGCAATGGTAGAAGCACGAAGTGAAGAGTTCCTGATAAAGAGTGGACCCGAGGAAAACAATCATAAAAAATGTAATAGAACATTTTGTTCATTATATTATATATTAATAATTTCTACAAATTATATATTATTTAATAGAATATATTAAATTATTTTATTTTGTATTTTTACCAGTGTGTCATAGTAGATCATTGTCCGAAGATGAAGGCATATTGGCTTTTCCAGCACATACTGCTCCTTCAGACAAAGCTCGATGTCATTTTGTGCAACCACTACGTTATGTAGGTGAAAGTATGTGTCGACAAGATCCTCATTATAAGCCTTGTCCGTCCAAATCCAATCCTTTTCATAAATTGGATGCAAAGTTTCAAGGCGTTAGAAAGATACTTGCTTCAACAAATGGTTCAGATTTATTTTCATCGTGCTGCGAACTACCCTCACCTGGTTATGGTGGTGATCTTGAAAGACGTTGTTCATTGAGTGTATCAAGTGGTGGTACACTTATTGCTGATTCGTCTTCACCTAAAATGAAACACGAAAACATTTTGAAACCCTTAAAAAAATGTCAATCCATATCTTTACCAGCATCTCCTCTAATGTCCAGAACAAATGGAAGACGATGGACATCTTTAGCAAATATAGAAAATACTGCTAAAACTTTTCCTACAGTTACAGTAGATTCATGTTGGACTAATCTCACTATTCCGGTTAATTCTGGGGTAGCCAATCTTAGACGAAGAGGTTCATGTGAATCAGGTTTCTACAGTAGTGTTTGTGATGATTTCTGTTTACCAGGTAAGATATATATATACAGAATTGTAAAGTTTATTATTTTTGATTTTTGATAAAACATATTTAATATAATACTAAGAATATTAAGACGCTTTTAAAATAACAGTTGTATGCACACGATTATTTTCTTGCTGTATGGGTGGAGAGCGAAACAAATATTAATGAACGACGTTTTGGTAGGACTTGAGTGTCAGCATACGACTAATGCTTCATCAGTAACATTGTCATCTGGTTCAGCTACATCATCATTGTTCCTTGACTCTACTGGTGACGAACACCACCTAAGACCTGGCGGCTATTGCTTTCAACACAATAATACACACCACAGTTCAGATGACCTCTCCACGTGTAATGAATGGGATCACCAAGTAATAATTATGCACATTTTATTAAATATTTTTTACACCTTATACTTATTTAAATAATCAATATTTATTCCAGAAAACTAAACATATTAGTAAAATCGTAGAGTATTTTGAAGAAAAACAAAATCAACGAGAAATGCAGCCCTCTATACGACCAAAACGCTCAGGTCTCGTATCTGGAGTTTTACGACGTGCGACAAACACAGCTAGTCCAAATATCTGTGGAAAACGTATTTTGGTTTGTGAAGGAGCTGTAAGATCAAAATTAAAGCTTTTTGATAGAAAATAAATTTCTAATCAGGGTGCTACTTACCATTTAAAAATATTTATTATTTTTATTTTGTATGGTAGGTTAATTTTCCAAAATTTGTTTTTTCTAGTCATAGGTACCACAGAATGCCAAATCAGTATATTGTATATTAAAACCATAACAATAATATTTAATTACAATAGTTGCCATTTTGTTTTTTTTTTTTTTGGTAATCATGAAAGGGTCTAAATGTGTATAGAAAATATATATGTATTATTTTGTTTTTTTCTTTTTTAATATTTTATTCAGGGAACTATTATTATATTAGTGAGTTCAACACAAAATTAAAAAGAACTATTTTTATTGTATGTATCTGTTTTTTTTTTTTTTTACTATGAATTGTGCATAAAACTAAAGAAATTCAACTATTTTCTATGTGATCAAAAACTTTTTATATTATTATGTATTGATAGAGTTAAAATATTTTATTTTCTGAGTGGAGTGTGAGCTATTGTTTATTTTTACAATAATATTTTTTTTTCTTTTTCAATTAATTCTCTTCGGGGTAGTAAACTTGCTCAAAAATACATAAATAAACTTAAGTTTAGGTTTTCAGATATTCAGATCTCAAATATTACATTAAAGATAACATTTTTTTTCCTAAATTGATCAATTTATCAAACTAAAAAGATGTATACCTTTTAAATTTTAATTGAGTCCACTCAGAATTTTTTTCTTAATGTGATAATATTATTATAGTTACATAATAAAGAATACAACATCTCTATACTATGTTTAAAACTGAATATAGTATTATAATCATTGCCTACTTTTATTTTATTTTGCAGTCAAAAAAGTATTACTCATACATATTCATGTAAAATTGTAACTGTCATAAATCAATGGAATAATTAAGATAAAAAAACTTAAATAAACTTTAAAAAATGTGTTCGCAGTGATCCATACACAGTTTTATCAACCAAATACATTTATTAAATTTACCTACATAATAATTTAATATTATTTCAATTGAATACATGAACAATTTGAATACTTCATAATTTTAATTTATTTTATTGAATTATGAATTGTTACATGCTTTATGTAGATAAATATTAAAGTAAGCAAATAATTTTATTTCCAAAAAATGCCCATCTCAAATGGAGTTCCTATATTGCCTAATTTTTCCTGAATACTTAACTAAATTGAAGTCTAAACTTTGACTCATTTTTCAGAACTACCATTTTGTATAGATCAAAATATTGTAAAATGTCAATATATTTTATACTGGTGCACTGTATTTTATCAAAAAATGATATTGCAGTATACAGTGGAGAATGTGGCGACCTTAGGTCCGTTGTGCGGAATACGTTCTTGTCATAGGCTGGGTCATATGACAGGGAGAGAATCAGGTTCCTATATTAAAGCATATTAAGAGGACATTATACCCGCAACCGCATTTACTATCTCAGTCCAACTACCGGGTAACATGCAAAAACAATGCATATACAGAATAAGTAAAACTAGCTTAATTTTGATTTTAGAGTAAAAGTGCCTATTATGAAATTTATAGAAAACAATATTTTAGATGAAATGTTATAGAGTTTTTTGAATTATGAACTATTAAAAAAGAAAAAATAAAGATTTTTATATTGATCTGTATATTTTGAATAGGTAATACAATAACCCTATGACATAATAATAGTAAATTAGTTAAACCATCTTTGATTTATTTATATGCATTTTCATTTTGCTATTATTAACGCAACATTTAATTGATAGATATTCTGTATGGATAAAATTATTTTACCAAATAGAAATGCCAGAAAATTGACTGGAGGTTCATTTCACAAAACATGTTTAACTGAACTTCAATCCTAATTGTTTTTCACTAGTAATGGTTCATTGTTGCTTACAGGTATAATTTAAATAATCTTATGTACCTATCCTACTTTCCCAAATATTCACCTGTTATAGGTAGCGTATCAAATTTGTTTTCTATATTATTATTGTACTTATAACTGTACAATAGATATTTTATTTATATAAAATGATAGTTTTTAAAAGGCAGTCGAAGTACCAGGTTTGTGCTTCAATTTATGAAAACAATGGCTCCTCTATATAATTCTGATCTATGCTTCATGACTAAGTACCTATATTATTATGATATAATGTATTATATATGTATAAGTACATTGTTATTACTTGCATAGCCACATAAGTATTATATTATTAATTATTCTAGTATTTTGATGTAAATTTTTGTTATAGAACGATTATATTTCAGGAATTTGGAAGTTGAAATTGGATAACTTCCAAATAAAATTCGTCGGTTGACAGCTTTTGGTACCTACCTACCCGGTCTCTTTTATTCTAAAGAACGGTGGCTTTGACGAGATTGTGAAACCAGATTAAGTGGAAAAAAGCGTCAAGTATTTTAGATGATAAGGCGATTCCAACGAGATCTTCAAGTCTCAAGTACTTAAGTTCTAAAAGAGTGTGGTGAGACTGACTGACAATGTTGTACCTAAGATTCGGAGTGTTACTAGACATAAATGAGAATGTTTAGGTAGATAAATGGAATGAATAGGTACATAAGAAGTAGGTAGGTAGCCATAGACGTGCTTCCTGGAGGGGGGCCGCTTTCCCTCTTGTGGACTAAATTTTTCTTCCGTAAAACTTTGAAATTTTAATTATTATATTAGATTTATAATTGAATTAGTTACAATGTGATGTGTAAAATTAAAATACTTCCATCACTAATATTAATTGAACTATAACTATCTAATAACCAAAATAATATTAAATTAAATAATTGAATATTTATTATACCTATAATATATTACAATAAATACCTATATATATATAATTCTGCCGCCCTGCCAGTAATTTCTGTGAATGCCTATGGGTGTAACTTCGATATTGGAAAAAATGAAAGAAAATAGACTGAGATGGTTTTGGGCTTGACATGGGCAGAGATGAATCAGAAGCAGTAAGAATTGTAATGAGAAAAGGGGGAGGATAAGACCGAAAATTGGAGGCAATTGAGAATATGAAAATGTGGGGTGTATGCGAGGATAATGTAGAGTATCTAGTTAAGTAGAAGTTTAGGACGAGGGTGGCCGGCACCAAATATTAGGGATGAAGACAAAGGAATATAAGTGTACAGCATCTTATCATCAATTCTAACTAATGATTAATAGTAATCAACTTATTGGAACATAAAATTGTAGAAGACAAGAGTAAACTGGAGGAACTGCCTTCTCTAGGGAAATCATAAGGGGCAAGTTTTGAAGATTAGCTAAAATACAAATATTTATAGGCACCTGAAAATGAAAAAAAAAACTGTTATTTATAGATTTATTTAAATATATTAACCACACCATACTAATACATTAGGTGAACAGAGTAAGTGGTAAAATAAACATGATCTCCATTTAAAAATTTAATTTACAAAGGCCTATTTCTTACAAATATTCCTATGACCCTATGTGTTGTTAAATCATTATATTGTAATTTATCATAGTTATTTTAAATGATAATTATTTTATATTGGTCACGAGTTAACACTTGTCCATTTATTTATTTTTACCTAGGTAAGTACCAATTAATTGTATACAAAAATAATTATATGTAAACAAGAAAATACTAAACCTAGTGATTAATATGAATAATTTAAAATTATATCACAACAATTTGTATAGGTCAGTTTTAAAAATATAAATATTTTTTATTATTAGGTAGGTATCTAATTAAAATCTAAGTAAGTACTTTATGAAAAATTGTTAAAAAACTTTAAAAAAAAATTATTATCGGCCATGTCTTCTGATAATGAAATAGCATAATCAGACTTATTGTGATTTTGGAGTTATTATTAAATCTAAAATAAAAAACAAACACAAATTATGTTCTATTTAATGATATGTTACATTATTGTCTAAGAATTTAAATTATGTATGTGGGTAATGTAATTAATTTTTACAAAAATATTGGTAACAATGGTAATGCTTAAGTTAATACTACAATAACTATTATTTAACAAGTATCTACCTACTAATTAATGATTACGTGCATTTCTTTTATACGCCCAATGAGTTATAGCTTACCGTTGATAAAAATGTAGGTACCTATATCGTAAGTATTACAAAATGTGTGTGTAGTTTTTCAAGTTTTCATTTATTACCCTTTAATATTGTGATAAACTTATGATCATGGTTCAAACTGAAATTAAATATATTTTCAACCTTATGCAATAATGAATAAAATGATTGAATTATTAACTTTATATAAAAATTTATACTCGTAAAATTGGAATAAGATTATAATATGGAATCTAGGAAGGCTTAAAAAACATACCTGTATTCTACTCATTCATAATCTGTTTATCTTCAATTATTTTAGATTTCGAGGGAAACGATGGAGCTATTGGTTGGTTTTACTAAGATGTTTATTTCTTTTTTTTCTTTGTTCTAGTCTATGGATACGTATTTTCCTAGTAAACTTGCTCCAATTTTTACGTGTAATAACTTTTCTGAAAACTCAATTTGTCTAGATAATACTATAGAGAGGTTATTTTTTTATTTTTCACGCCACTTTTTAAATAAAAGCACTTAAGTGGGGAAAAAACGTAGAAAAAGTACAATTTCACGATTTCATTATTTTATAAAACACGGACGACGTTTCTACCAGAAAAATGATCTAATCAAAAATTCATAAGATACCTTTTTTGTTTACTTTCTTATGGTATCATTTTTAAAACTTTTGAGCTTTTAAGGAATTAAAATTTTCGGGAGTTTTTTGCTGTATTTCAGTTATAAATATACATAGAGACATGAAACTTGGTAATAATACTTACATTGGACTTACCTAGATGTGGTATAATTTCCATAATCATCGGACGGCTTTTTTTTTTTTATTTATTAATAAGTCTTGAAATTAAATTTAAACGAAAATCGCAAAAATTATGTACTACCGAACTGCGCTGGGAATCATTTTTCGTCAAGCAATAGTTTATAGTTGCTACAGATATAAATGAAATAATCTTATGTATCCTACCTTCCCAACTTCTCACCTACAACAGTGGTTGCTCCCATCCCTAGTAGCAGCTTTTTTATTTTTATTTTAACTGTATTGAATTGAGATAAAGTTAGATTTATACAAGTAAAAATATAAATGTACTTATATTAGTAGTTCTGAAAGTATATTTTCTCAATTAATAACTATAATGATAAAAAAAAAGGGCCAAATGATGAATTTTGAAAAAAAATACTAGTTTTATAGTAAATTGGAAATATTCATAGGGCCTTTTAGATGCTTTTAAATTGCCTATCTATAACCATTCTCTACTCCTCTGGTTTAAACTTTAAACTGTTATAACTCATAAACAGTAAATCTGATATTGTTATGCATATTAAAATTTCTAAAAAAAATATTCTTTATTTAAATTTGTATTCAAAGGGGGGGGGAATCCTTTTTTAAAAACATAAGTGTGTACTTATTTAAGGTATATAGAATAATGCTAAAAAATTTAAAATGGTTTTAAAATAAAGCTTAAACAATTATTCATAAACCATCATCTATTTCTTTGCCTCCATCCCAACTATTTGGGGTTAGTCACCCTCATTATAAACTTCCATTTGATCTGATCCCCGCACTTTGTGTACAAAGACTGTCCTCATATTATTCTCAATGACATCCAACCACCACTTCTTCAGTTTTATTCTCCTTCTAGGTCTATTTGCATTGGAAGTTTATTGCTTCTGTCTCTTCTCATGGCATGCACAAACTGTCTCTGTCTATTTAGTCTCATTTTGTCCACTATTGAAACTACACCTATATTACCTCTTGTGTACTCATTCCTTATTCTATCTTCTCTCATCACTCAACTCATCTATCTAAGCATTCTCATCTCTGCTACACTCATTCTCAGTAGTATTTTACTAATACCTGTACAGTATTCAAATATAAGATTAATGAAATGGTTTCATAAAAAAAAATAATAATAATAATAATAACAAATTATGTATTTATTTTACCAATATTTGCACATGTTATATTATAATATAACTGCAGAATTGTAACAAACTTATTTCAAAATAATTATGCATAATATTATATCTCTAATGATTTGTTTGCAATAATTTTCAAACTTTAGATGTAAAATAAATGTTTTTAAATATATTCAAAATATATAACTATAAAATAAGTCAAATTTTTCAATATTTGGTGTTACTAATTACTCAAAAACAAAATAGGTACATTATCTTGATATTAAAAAAATTTGCTTTAAAATATAAAAATTTAACATTTTATTTAATACAATATTTTGAAAATATAAATAATACATTATATTAAAACGAAATCATTTTTATCACACAGTTTATAAAAGACAAAATGAGTTTGTAAACGTGCAAAATACATTGACTACGTCCATAGGCAAGCAGTCAAAATTCTCTTGTAAAAAATATTTCTAACGGAAATATCTTCGAAATGAATGTCTCTCAAAGAAAAAATTTTTAGGACTAACATTAATATTATTTTTATACAGATACTTTTAAAAAAAATATTTGTATGTATAATTGTTTATATTTTTGTCATATTTCTTGTTTTAATTGAGTATGTTACATAATAGAATTAAAATTAAGTCTAACAAAAATTAAATAAATAAATAGTTTTAAGTTGCAATTTAAGATTGTGGGCAATCCTTAAAATAATCATATATATATTCATAATGTAATGAATTGTACATATATTCTTGTCATACTCACTGACAAGTATAAATAGTGGTTTATTGTAGTCATCATACTTTTTGCGGTTTTTCTGTTGTTTTGGCTAACAATAAATTATAAAGGCATTTTTGTATCTGTTCAAACATACAATAAAACTGAAATTGACGAACTGTCATAACGAGATATATTCATTATGTCGATATTGTCATTTATGATGTTATTATTGCATGTGAGGAAATTTATTTATATTTTCATAGCAGATTCGTTATATACCTGTAGCATATCCATAATCATTAAAAGTATTTGAGATAATATACATTTTTCAATATAATAGTGTGATTAGTACTATTTTCTGTTTTTGTAGCAAACATTATACTATACAAATAGCAACCACATTTCAGACATCAGTTTTATTCTCACTCACTTAACAAAAAAAAAAAAATATTATAAAATTAACTAAACAATGACCTTCCCAGTGTACCAACTAAATCCAAAATGCAACACAAAAAGTCTCTTGTCTTTTTTTTGATTTGAGCACATTTTAAGATAAGAAAGTTATGAAAACATAAAAAAAAACCAATACATTCCTCGTCACGTTCCAAATCTAAATAATAAACAAAATATATTTCCTAGTTTTTTTGTCCAAGAGATTTTCAGTTATAAGACATATTTTCATCTGAAACATTTTTTACTAAGATATTTTGACTTATAACCTGTCCACATAACCAATAAAAGGATAAAACAAAGAAAAGAACAAAGTAAAATATATGAATTATAATAATTAACTGGTATATGATTCTAATTTAACTTTTGTTTAAATAATATTTAATTAAAACACCATTACACATGTTATATAGTTTTAACATTGTATTTGCAATTGTTAATTTTTACAGTGATGTTTTAATAACTTAATATGTTATATAAATATATATATATAAATATATATATGTATATATATATTAAATGTTTTTATTCATGAATCTAAATCATTTATAAAGAGAACTTCTCTTTTTTGTAATCCCGATTCTTTAAGTGTTTTATCTCGATCTTCAGTGCTAAGAACTCGTTTAGGAAAATTAGTGGCTACTTCAAAAATATTTGGGGAATTTGGATGACAAAATACAAAATCTAAAACATCAGATAGAGGGGATATATCTACAAATCGCCTCTCTATTCTTATGCCACCAGGCATAATAAACACAATTGTTAGTGCACCTGGTTCTTCAATGGATGGCTCCTGAGGGATTCTAGCTAACATTTCTATTTTCTTTTTTTTTAGTGCCTCTTGCTTTGCTTTTTCTAATTCTTCCAACTTTTCTTTTTGTAAACGCTGTTCTCGTTCTTGGTTTTCTTTTGCTTTTTTAAGTTGTTCTTTTTGTTCATCCGCACGTAGAGACTCTAAATAAGCTCGGTCTTGTTGTTCACGTAGGGACTGATTAAAACTACGTTCTATTCGTTCAGCACGAGCAGTTACGAGATAAGGTTCATTAGCTTCAAAAATTAATTTTAACCTTCTTATAAATTCTACAGGTGATACTGGCCCTTCCATGCGTCCAACAAGCGTCATACGACTTTCTCTCAGCACAATTACAGCAATATAAGGATAGACATTTGCTTGAAGAGCAGTAGCTACTCGTTTACCTTCACTGGTGTCTTGTTCACAAGCCCAAAATAATATGTTGCTTTCATTTAAAAATGAAATAACATTGCTATTAGGCAATACAGAAGAACTGAAAGTTGAACAATCAGTTTGATCGTTTTGGTGTAAATAAATTACAAGAAATCTTAATTCTTGTTTAGCATCATTCAGTGCTTGCTTATATGACCCTCTATAATAAATCGGATGTTCATTGCCATACATAGATTCATAGTTTTGAATGAATTTTCCTACATCTGCAACAGGATCTGTAATTGGTCGTCGAGGTTCTGGCCATACTAAACTCCATGTAAATCGTACTACTGATACAAAAGTATTGTAAAATGTTCTCAGTATATAGTCTATAACAAATGGTAGGAAATTTCCAGATCCAGAAGCCTCAGACTGAAATATTTGCTGTCTAGTAGGATCAACTAAAACAGTTGGAGCAGAGGATGTTTCTGATGTTCCAGCAAATACGGATGGACGACCTTCTCGAAGATTTAACTGATCTTGAACTGCAGATTCTAGATCCCAATTATGCCTTTGTAGTACGTCTCGACATGTAGGCAAACTCTCAATACCCGTAAGATCCTGAAATTGGAATAGTTTACCAATCTGCTCAGCACACAGATCAGCAGTGAAATCGTCTTGGTCCATTCTAGAATATAAAATTTCTCAAAAGAAGGTAATTACAATAAATAATGATATTAAGATGAAGAATAATTAAATAATTGACTCACCTCAGTACCTAATATAATTTCATTGAATGATAAATAAACCAAGTTTCATTAAAAGTTTATAAAATATTTGAAATCTGATATAATATACTTGTCAACACAATAAACTGAAGTTTGGTAATGTATAAGGATGTTTAACGAAAAAATAAAATTGGAAAGTTTTAATGAATACTGAATAAGTAAAATAATAACATTATTATGATAAGCAAAATCAACGTTGATAATTTTAAGTGTTACCAATGTATATACCTGAATGTTAATAATGAAAAAAAAAATCCCTTTTTAAATTTAATGAAGAATGTAAGTTATATTTTTGATATTTAATATTTATTAGGTTTGCTTCCTCTCTTCTATCTAAATAGTGTTAACTTTCAATTAGCTATTTAAAATTGAGTAGTTACTTAGTTATATATAATTACTACAAAATAGATTAAATATGGTCTAAGGTTAAAACAACAAAAACAAAATGTTAGAGATATAATATTTTATAAAAGATGTTTATTTAATTGCCTACAGTGTATCAATGTTAAGGAGTAAAATATACTAAATACCCAGTATTTTATAAACTAAATTACTATTTACTAGTATATAATATTACTAATATAATGTCCAGAACGATATCTCAGAATACATTTCCCCGAATTTAGAAACTAAAAACAGTATTTGTCTAGAAAGTATAATTCAGAAATATATTTCACTGAAACGTATTTCTCTAGAATTGTAATAAATAATTGTGTTATCTATATCAACATTAATAGTCGACGGGGAATTCCATAATTCCGGCGATATAGTATTATAATCCGGACAAAGGTTTTTATATTTTTATTTTCCGGAATAATATGGCAATGATAATAATGACAATTCATTTTGCAATTAATTTACTTAATATTATTAATTTGCCCAAAAATCCACAAGTTTCAGCTAATAAAATGTATCAATGCTTGAGTTAGAAGCAAATTAGTTATAAACAAAATTATAATAATAATAAAACGATTTAGATACATAGGTATGATAAAACAGAAATTGACCCAGAAAGTTTTAAATATAACAAGACCATTTAAAACTAGTCGTTTTGCATATTTAGAGAATTGAAAATTTTAATCAGATTCTAATTTTTTCTTATATAGGAAAAGTATATCCCTGAATCAGGAAATCTGATGAATTGTTAATATATAAATTATTTCATTACAACTCCATAAAGCATATTACTTTGGTTAAGTAATATTTATATTATATTTTATTGATTATATGTTAAAATGACCTATAGTTTACACAAGAAAACTTGATCCGATATATGGTTTATAAATGCAGCACTTTCTTCTTTGAATGGAAATTCAATCTAATCGGTGTTTTAGAGATAATACATTGATTTTCAAATTAATTGGAAAAATCGGGTAATAAATTACAGAAAAAACGACAAATATTTACGGCACACCGCGACGTTATTGATTTCATTTTTTTCAATTTTTTCAATTAAAAATATTACTTTAATCGAAAAATACCAAGTGACCGTTTATGTTGAATTTTTAATCTATGCTCTATTCAGAATAAGAACATACCAGGCAGCGGACGAAAACATGTTGTTAGCGCATCTATCATCCCCATTCATCCCAGTATGACTTGCTGTATAAACGTTGGTGAGATTGGTGACGGCGCACAATCGCAGACGATAATAATTTCCGAAATCTAACAAATCTGTCACCAGGTGGATTATCTTCTGGCAGCGCTAAAGCCGGGTCCACACAAGGACGACACTACTATGCTTTACAACAGTGTTTGTTCAACTTACACAAACGATTTCCCGCGTTATAAATTGGCGACTTAATAATTTCCCGCTTGCATTATTTATTTCCATGTTAGTACATCTACGAGTATTTCAGTCTAATATTTTAATAACAACAATAATGATTGTCATTAAATAATAATTATAAATTAAATGCATAAGTTTTAAAATCTTTATACAATATTTAAAATTAAAGTTTAAGGGTTTAGATAAAATAATAATAAATAAAAGTATGTATAGTTAAGCTTGATCAACAATTATTCATTCTTGTAAACTGTTTAAATCATAATTATTTATTCAGAAATACCTATTAAAGCTAAATACAATTTATGTATAAATTATAATTTATAACTAATTTGTTGATCACGTCCACACTAGAATCGGCGTTGCCAAACATTTTTTTTTTTGATGTTCGTTCATATACCACCTGTTGAGCGAACATTTGTATATTATACTCATACATATAAGACGTATGGACTAGGGGAAAAATTATCAACAAATATGTTCGACAACAATATTCGTCCTAATGTGGACCCGGCTTAAGAGCTCAGTTGCGATGAGCGAAGGCGATCTGTTCTAATTCTGAATAAAGTTGGTGATTAGTAATAAGTAATAATAATAAGTAAATCGTTTTTTTGACTATTTAAGTAGTTTTCGTAATAATTGAGAAAACCTGGTAAACGTAGAAAGAACGGGAAATTTTACGACAATAATAGTTTATCAGTCTTTGAGCTACTTTTTTAGGTATTTTATGTTTGAGAGTTTTTACGAGCGTGAAGTTAAGGGACTAGAGTCAGAGGACAGTTTTAAGAAATGAGTGTCACAGTGTCATGTAATTCAAATTGCTTATACCCCAGATACATAGACCTTATATACTAGGTGTATGCCTAGATACTCGCTATGCTCAGAATTTAAAATATATTCAAGATCCAAGATATTTCGATATTTTGTTATGCATTTATGATACAAATTGGGTCAGGGGAGAGTAGTGGATCATAATTTTGTGTGACGGCACAGCACCACTACTATCCCCCAACCCAAACTTAAAAATGGAATATCTCGTCAATAGATTGACGAAAATCAAAAATTGTAGCACCAAAATGTATTTTAATTAATACTCCATCTATTTAAGTTAATTTTAATATAGGTTGCTACTTGAAACTCAAAAGTAAGACGTGGTTTTACCCCCGAAAATAAGGGCGACAAAAAATGATACATGTGAAACTGAAGAGCTGCTTGTTTCATAAATGTTCTATAAAATAAATTTCGAAAAGGGTTAATAGGTACTTTCGTAATTTTTCATAATGGGCTGAAAAGAAAGTTTACTACGATTTTTTATTATATGTTATTAAACGAATTTCGTTTAGGTATAAGTACAAATTACATATAATACATTGTGTAAGTATACTAAAAAATTATTATTGACTTATTTATCAATTAGATTTAGATCATCTGCAAACCCTAACACATCCAAATTCGATCCACTGACCACATCTTAGCCCACATCTAATATTATATAGCACACTCCATGTCACCTTTTCCATTGCTATATTATTAAATATCCAAGGAATGTATCTCCATTTTAGAACTGAGATAACTAGAAACTCTTTAGATGTGGTTAGATCTACCCTTATCTTATACCTTTTTACCTTGAATACACATTTTGTTAAGGAGATTGGAAGCGATGAGTTACTATCTTTGACTTATACATGCGAGATATAGTGATTTAGACGTTTTCTAACTCCAAACGTAAACCTATCTCATTAAATTCTAAAAAATATCACACTTATAAAAGAGTAATTGACAAATTGGAATATTTTAATTTTTTGAGAAAAAGTCGATCTCAAGTAGACTTTACAAGTTTGAATCTGCTTTCAGAATTTTTAACGCTGCACTAGATCAATTGGTACATTGGAAAAAGAACACGTTTAAATCTCTATATCTTATGTGTAAGACAAAGACAAAAACTAGTCATTTCCAATCCTCTTAACCCTATTACATTGCTAGAAATCCAAATTTAGCTATTATATTTAACAAGTTTTACTAGTATAGGCTGTCATAAGTTGTTTTGCAATCGAAAAATACTTGTCATACATTTTGTCGAAATTCATATTTCTTTTCTATTTGTCTGATTACAGACAGCTAGTAAATTGTTGATTTATCTTTATGAAATCCACATTGAAAACTATTAATTTACTAGTGTAATAATATTATTAACCGTCAACAATTTTGAGTAATGGTGGAGATGAATGATAATGGAAAAGTCGCCTTTTGCTAGAGTACACTGAAACGTAAGCTAATGGATTTTTTTATGATATTACCTCTCCATTGACAAAATCCTCAATACACCACTTATACAGAAATAAAGGTGTTCTAATTTATACATTTGTTCTTTAATTAAAGTGCAACTTTTAATTAATGTAGTGAAAAATAAATACTAATGTATTAATCCATAGCATTGAGTGACTAATGCATCTAGCAAATGAGTCCTCAACCTAAATCTTGGCATTGGTCACTCTTATTGTTAACAATTTGTATTATTACTTAAATTAACTCAATAAAGTAATAAATAAACTATTAATTAATCATTGAGAAAAAAAAAAAAAATGCAATGTTCTTTGTTATATTATAATAATACTATAAAATATTATAGAAACACTATAATAGTAGTTACTTAACCTAAACAATAATAATCTGATGTTTCTATAAATAGTAAATATTTAATACTAAACATAAATTATTTCAACATCTTATAATAATACATAATTATAAGATGTTAAAATAATATGAATGACAAGATTTTAGGTTAAAAAATGTAACAATTAAAAAAAAATAGTTAACAAAAAAAAAAAAACATTCAAAATAAGTTTAAAGATAATAGTATTTTAAAATAAGAGTTATAATTTATACTAATTATTCAATTATAATTATAATTTTTACTCAAAATAATTAACATTATTCATTTTTTAGTTATTTCCAGATAATTTAATTATGTTTACAATTAAAAAAATAAAAAGTAAAGTTAATCATATTTATAATTATCAAAATTATCAAAATTAACCCATTCACAGCCAAAACACTTTATGAAGAAATATTAATTAATACAATATTATTTTACTTATGTTTGTTTTGTTTGGAAACTGAGTAGTTATGTTCCCGCTGAGGTGTTGATTTTTCATGGCATATTGTGTAACCACCCATTGCTTTTATCTGAAACATAATATACATAGGGTTAGATTTGGTAAATAAATATATATTTCTAAAAGTTGAAATTAATAAAAACTTACCTTTTTAAAAGATTTAGTTTTTTTGTGGACAAAAGGTGGCTTTAAATTATACTGAGATTTTAGTATTCTGTTATTAATTAATTCTTGTTTTTTAATATTTTTATTGTATTTACATTCACCTAAGAGCAAATAAATAATTTTAATTCAAATTATAATAACTTGTAATAAATTATATCTTACCACATCCAAAATTTATATATCCTCTATGTTCAAGATATGTATGGATCTGTCCTATTTCTTTTGCTGATGCACATTTTTTTAACTTTTGTTTAGCTAATGTTTTTGATACATAACATGGTTTATTTGATTTCCAAATTTCTAAAATAGTATTTCTAACCTAAAATATATAATACAAATTAAAGATCAAAAACAACAGTTATATATGATTATTTGAAAAATGATTCTGAGCAATGTTAGATTTATAAAATATAGTTAACTATGTAAATATAACTACTAATTTACAAAAACTAATTATTTTTAAGACTAGATCCTTTTTATGAATATTTCACCTATAAAGGAAAAACATAATTGACCCCCCCCCACAAAAAAAAAACATATACCTATACTCTGTTCATGAACTTTAGATTAATAATAAAGTCTTATTCACAGTATGAAGTACTTATGTGTGATTTTATATTATTATTTAAAATAATATAAATATATTTAAATATTTTACATCAGCTATTGTTTGTCAATTTATCATTAATCATGCCAAAAGAAATAAAATGTGTTGAGAGAAGTTTTAGATTCAGAATATAAAGAATATTCTTTTTAATTTTTCACAAAACTCTTTTACAGTTATTAAAAATGATTTGATTTTTCAAGTCATACCTAAAAGTTTCTGATTTTTTTATTTAATTTTTATTATACAGGCTGTCCTTTTTAACACGTAACATTAAACATTTGTGATAACAGAAATCACACATAATTAGATCAATAAATCATTAAAAGCAGAATCTGCATTGGCATGACATTAGACTTCTTAAAGATTTATTAGTCATGTAGTTGGTGGTGGTGGCATGCAGGACATAGATGATAGCAGTAGAACAAGATGAACCTTGAAACAGGTTCAAAAAAGAAGGGTAGGCGAATCGATAGTGTTGTTTAATAAACCTGTAAGGAACTTAATATTCGTAGATCAGCGACGCTTGGCTAAAGAGGCTAAACTAAGGTGAGAAGCAATCAGTGTATAGTTATGAGAACACAAAGTATCTTTAGTGTAAAGCTAGCATAGCAAAGGAACCTGCATTGAACACTTTCAATTTGTCTTTCATTATCAGCAGTATGGGGATACCAGACAATGGCTCCATATTCCAAAATAGGACGCACAAGTGCATAGAAAAGCGTTTTTAACGATGATTCTAGCTTTAAGTCCTTTACCAAAAGCATGACAAGACCAAGGGTTTTGAGTCTTACAACCAACGCAATTGATGTGAGCACTGTAAAGATTAAAGCTTAAGACCGAGATTCATGACAGTCTTCAGAAAGAGAAACATCAGAACCATTAAGGAATTATGGGTACATAAGGGGAGAGTGGGATCGAGTGAATGTCATAATTTTAGATTTATAGAGATTAAGTGATAAACCTAAGGTATTGAATTAATTATTTACAAAATAATTCAATTCAGATTGAAGTTTAGTGCAATCATTGGGTGTGCTAACACACAAATATAACTTAATGTCATCAACAAAACAAAGAAAACAACAGTGGTGTAGGTGATGGAGGTTATTAATAAAAAGTGAAAAATAATATTGGGGATAGATGTACCCTTGAGGGACATCCAAAGAATCTAGAAACAAATTAGATTTTACATCAAAAACTTTGATGAAAACCCATTGATACCCGTTGCTAAGAAAGGTTCTAAATCAAGACAGAAGTGGATTGCCAAAATTAGATTCTTTGAGAATATGTATGCCTACCATATGATTGACTGGGTTAAAAGCTTTTCGAAAATCAATATAGACTAATTCAACTTGACATTGAAAATAATTATTGGATACAAGATTACATGTAATAGTAGATAGACAGACTTGGATGAAAACCACGATGTTCATTAGCAGAAATAAAATTTACAGTAGGTTGTATGGCATTTAGAACTAAAGATGAAAATTTTAAAATATGTGATTGGATGGAAATGGGACAATAATTTTAAACATAAGATGGACTACCAGATTTAGGTATCAGTGTACAGAATACATCATCTACACTAAAGGTAACACTATTAGGCAAGTCAAAAGTAGAAGTTTTAAGTTTATTGGCATCTAAATTAATATGTTTAGTAGAATATACTGAGAAATATTCAGAAAAGACATTGGCAGTCTCTTGCTCATTAGTAAAATTAAATTTGTAGTAAAATAAACTTTATAAACATTTTTTTTAACATTTCTGACTTTGGTCATAAGTTACCTAAACTTCAGTTCAAAATGGTCACCTGCAACAAAGCTAGGCAAATGCTCAAATTCTTTTATGCAGTACCTCAACATATTCTGCCAGTTATAGTTTGTTTAAAAATATGTTCAGCAGTTTATTCCCTTTAATCTTATTTTTGCTATTGTTGCATACAATATATAAACTTAAGTAGGTATATAAACTAATGTTGAATACCCTATACCAACCAAGAACCATATTAAATTTTATTTTAAAAAGGAAAAATAATAATTTTAAGATAGGTATAAAAATTATACAAATATATTTTACTTTCAAGTATTTTTTATCATCTCTTTTTCCAAATAAGTTTGGATGATAATATCTTTCATCAGCAGTAATAATATTACTATCTAGATGTCGTTCTTGGGTCGGTGCTGGAATATTGTCAATATCTCTGGTAAAACCATGCGATACGACTGATTGCCAATCTTCAAAATTATTAATAGATTCTCCATCCATAATATCAATTTCTGAATCAGAGCTAGAATCTTTACGAACTCTAACAATCTCTTCACCATTTGGTAATACAAACACATCATTCTCTTTATACTTATTGAGAATTTCACGATATTTTGACTCATCACAAACATTTTCTGATAAGCGTTTTTTTAATTTTCTAGAATCATTTTTAGGTACACTCTACAAATAAAAAATAACAATGAACAAATAAACCTTTTTTATCTTTATAATTCACACTTAACACTCACATGTTCAGAATTCCAGTCTTCAGCCAGTTGTATTAGCCATTGAGGACTAATTGGATTATAAGACCTAAGGACAAATAACTATCGGTTTAGAAACCAATAGAAAATCATATCTGATTAATTGCTTACGTTGTATCGACTTTGTTCCATGGTTCGTACAGCGATTCTAAATAATCAAAATTACATTCAGTGATCACGTCTATTATTTCGTCGTCCATAACACTCGCGTTTAGCTATAGTTCAACAGAAAAATTAGGAAATCAACTAATATTGAAAAACGTATGCTACAGTTAGGCTTTGAATCAAAAATGAAACCTTATTAAGGGGTAACTGTACAACGTGAGCTGAATTGAGTTACACTAAACGTAATCAAATGTGTATGAACATTGAGTAATATTACAAACTGAAATCCACGCCAACGTGGACAGAAGTGTTGCGAGTTGTAAAAGGCGAAAGGGAATTCATATTTCATAGACATGTGGATCTAGAAATCAAAACATATGTTCGAAACTATTGTAAACGTTTAGTTGCCGGTCGGCGATCACGCTACTAACTTCATATCTATTTTCATTTATGTTTGAATTACGCATGCGCATTGATTATTATTTAAAGACGCCATTTTAACGGTTTTTCAGAAATCTGAACGATTCAACACAGAATCATGTTTAATTGTCTACTATGTTTACATATCATTTTTTAAATTCTCCATAAGTTTAATGTTTTGTGCGTTTTCAAGTTTTAAATATAATTATTTCTTTTAAAAATTGTTCAGTTTCTTTTTAAGTAAGTTAATTTACTTATGTAAAAATTTGGTTTCATTGAATTATATTAAGGTTCCTATAATATATGGCTATTTGTGTTTGACAAGGTTTTTTTTTTCTTTTTTCTACGAGGTCTCGATATTGTCTTGTATAAAATACAATTTTCATGTATATTAATATATTATTTTTGTTAAAGGTTATTTAAAAACAATAATAGAAAACAGTTGAATGAATTACAATAAATTATTACTTTGGAGTAGTGGAGTTAGTATTTTTTTTAACTGTTTAGATTTGAGGTTTAAATGTTCTTTATAAGCATATTTTTTTCACTATTTATTGTTCTACTAAGACGTATAACATCACTCACTGAAATATCAATGGTGTAATCAGAATTTTAGGGTGGCAATTAGTTTTGAATAATGCCCCATTCCTAGTGTTTGGGGGGGATTGTAAAATATATATATTTTAAAGCATAAACACTGATAATCGAAAATATATTTAAACCACTTTAACTTCCAAATTAATGATTATAAATTAATCTTTGCTTCAAAAAATCTGAAATTACCTTCACAGTTTATACTGAATAAAATTAAAAATTAAACTAAATAAGAAGGATTTTTATAAAATGTATATACTGTAGATAAAAAATGTATGGAAACTATTTATGTTAGTTATACATGTGAAATTCACTTATTGATTAAGTTGGATATGTTTGGTAAAATTTGTATAGTAAAATTAATGAAATTAGGTATCACAACAGGTACCCTATATAATATTATGAAGTACCTAACTCAATTATTCAGCCATCACTGATATATATATATACAGAAAATACAGTAGTAGTAGTGATGGGAGATTACTTTATTGGCAGTCGTTAACTTAACCAGTTTGTTGCTATATCATGACATTAATCGTGAGAAATTATGTGTAGAGATACCTTAAATTCTATTTTATAGTTAGATATGAGAAGAGGTTATAATAATAATACAATTAGCAATAGTAATGTAATACTGAAATATATTTTGATTGTAAATAAGTATTTGTATATTGCAGATTTGGATATCTATTGGCCATTAGGTAGGTATATAATACTAAGGATTCATTTAACTGGGTATACTCATTATCTTGGAAAATATTAACTTTTTTCGGAATTCGTTTTCTAGAACATTTAAAAAACAAACAGCTCTACAATTTTATATTTATGTTATTTATTGTCACACTTTTTTTAGGGTTAAAACCACTACTTTTTACTGGGAAATGGCAACCTATACTATTATGTTCATGAATAGATTGAGTGTTGGTTAAAATAAATTTTAGTGTTGAATTTTCTGGTTTCCATAAATCCGTTAACGAAATATTCCACTTTTAAGTTTGGGTTTTGAGGTGAATAGTGGAATATCATTTGTGTGGCAGTACGGAACACGGAGTGTTAATAATGCCATTTTTTTTATATACTTATAGCTTTTAAAAATTGCTTTCAGAATGAATAACGATAATATACCTGAAGAATTTGATTACGATGATGGGGTGGTAAGTTTTGGTACCTTGACTGAAAATCAAATAGAAAGGTTTAAAAGATTACCACGCCATACTGTGCTGCCTTTAGACATACAATTAAGGTAAGTAAATGTTTAAGAATAACATTATTATTAAATACTAAAGAAATTTGTGTTAAGTACCCTTGTATTATTTTGATAATTATTATAATCATGTTTAAATTATTCAATTTCCATATAGTATTTACTTGGCATTATTATATTTTACAAATTTAATTAAAAATAATGTTTTAATAGTATCTACCCATTCAATTATTGATTTTATATTCTATAGATTGAGAAATTAGAAATATTAAAATATAACTATTATATAGTATATATTTTCCACGACTAATAAGTTAACCAATATTTTTATAAAACCAATAGATACATTAATCTGATTATTTATTAAATTAAAGTATTGGAATATTTACTCAATTGAAGAAATTAATATTAGTTTAAAACTTGCTCAGCTTGAATACAGCTACCATTTTAATTCTAATTTATTTTTTTAGTTTGTGATATTCAAGGCATAATAATTGAGAAATTAAAAATTCATATTTCTAATGGTTTATTTAAAAAATGCTGAATACCTGAATAGATCTAAGCATGTTTACTGTTTTTTTAAAAGTTCCTTAGAATTAAAATTTACTCCAATTCTATTTTCCTTGATTTGTTTAAAATCGAAATGAAAACATTTTCTGTATTATACATTTTATAGTTAATTTATGAGTGGATTTGTATTAGCTCTACTTTTTATGCCAATATAAAATTTAATTTATTTTCAGTCAATCTTTTTTGGACACGGACAGAGATGACCACGACAAACGCCATGGTAAATTTCAATTTATTCTATTTATCAAAACTACTTAAAACCACTTAATATATCTTTATTTTATAATTTATTTATTTTTTTTACATTAATATTGTTAACTTCTTTAATTTATGTATTAAAATGTAGATCAATCAATAGTCTTTTTAAATGAGTCTCAAAAAAATTCAACAACTCATTTTGACAACATGAGTAAGTCGTGTTATAATTTTACAGTTCAAAATTAATTACACTAAGTTATTTTACTTTTTCAATTAGATTGTACAACCCAGTTAAAGAATTTTGACAAGGAAAGAGAAACTGGTACAATAGAATTAAAACAAAGCTTTGTTGATGAATCTTGTAAGTATAAAGTACATTTTTTGTAATATAGGATACCCTGTGTTTCTCAGGGTTTATCAGTTAAAACCGTCAGCACATTATCCCTATAACTGTGATCGTCGTTGCCACAAAGTGACTGCATCACGAGAGTTAATAGGTATGTGTTGCGGATGACCTGCAGCTTCCGCTCTAGAAGCTGCCTGGGACAGATAAAAGGTAGTAGGGCTTCAATAATCTCGGATCTGACTATGACTAGTCCTTGTCGCTTACTGAAGTTAGTTTACACACCCTCTAGGGCATGGGTCCCACTGTTTAATAAAATAATTGACCTATCAGCACCAAGCATTATTTTAGTTTAAATTATGCGTTTTGTTATACTAAAAATAGATTGTATACCGTGTATAAGAATAAAATAAAACATTATTTCCAAGAAATACAGTGGCACCATATGATTACACTAGGCGCTATTACTCTATAAATTAATGTAGGTATTTGGGGACATTAAGTGTTGATGGGTTTAAAGTAATGTATTAACAAGTGTAATTATTAAAATTATTTAATATTTTCTGTTTTTATTGATCATTTTGTTTGAATATATTATAAATTTAATTAATTAAATAATATTTTTATTGATATTTTACTCTAATAATTATGATTAATGTTATTTCTTGTTAAATACAAACAATTTTAGTTATGAAAATAATAACTTAAGTGTACAAAAAAAAAATAAAAAATTATTTACTCTATTTTTATCAAAAATAAAACAATTTATTGTACACATTAGTATTATAAATAAATAATAATAATAAAAATACTAAGAGCCTGTAATTTACTGATCTTGAAATATTACTTTTACAGCATCATTTTCTTCACCGAGTGCAGTAAAATTCTTTCCTTCAACAAAATTGCTTGATACAGATGTTGTTAATAGATATATGCATAAAAAGTCAATATCCTCAAGTAAGATATATTAAAATTATAAATCATAATTTTCTATATATATGTAGTTTTTCCAAGCTGATAAAATTATTTGAATTCCATTCCAAGAGCTGAACAGTTTCTTCTGAATTCTGTTGTCCCTCTTTTTATCTATTAACTAGTAATTTTTCCCTTCAAATTTTAGGATTAGGACTAGCAGGATGTTTCATTCCCATAAAAAAATTGAGTTTACTGATATTTTGTCTTCGGCAATTATTAAACATAGGACATTTTAATTAATCTAAAAATTAAACCATAAATTCAGGTTTCTTTTTATTACATTTAGCATTTATTACAATGCTAATTTGGGGCTTTATCAACCCACCAGTCTAGTTTATGCTGTCTAATTATATAAATTTGACTTGTTCATTTTTCTAAAATTTAATAGTTATTACAGTAAATCACTATGTTAAAAAATAGATAGTAATAATATTTAAAAATAGAATTATTTTTTCAGATGAATCCTTGTCTGAATATCAAAATACAACTACTATTGAAGGTAATTGTTCTATTTATTTTTAATAATATACAAACTGATTTACTAAGCGTGCTCACCCTATTTTTTGGGTTAAATTTTGCATGCATTAAAATTCTGATTTTTGGAATATTTAAGTGTAGTTAATGCTGATATTTTCAAATCATTTAAAGAGTATCCTTTGGCGATACCAACTTCAGTTTTTCAAATGAGAACCTATATTGAAAATTCCATAAATAGACTGAGTATTATTTTAAACAAATGGGTTTGAATTTTTGATTTCCATCCACTTGTTGATGAGATATTCCACTTTTAAGTTAGGGTAGTGGAGTATCATTTGTGTAACAGCCCAACCTTTTATTAGTGCTTCACTACTCTCCCCCTATCTAAACTTAAAAGTGGAGTATCTCGTCAACTGGTCATTGAAAATTTTAACATCAACATTTATTTTATTTAATATTCAGTCAATTTATGGAATTTTTAATATAGGTTCTCATTTGAAAAACCAAAGTTTGTATCACCATAGGATACTCTTAAAATGTTGTGAAAATTAGAATTTTAAATATTTGTAAAATTTAACCGAAACAAAAAATAGGCAGAGCACGTTTAATAAATCATCCTGTATATATATATATTTGTTATAAATTATATTAATTAATTTAGTCCAATTAGAATGTTGGGTTTTCTAAAATATATGAAATAATTTGTCTAACTATGTTTACTATGTTAACTTAGTTTCTTAGTTTATTATATTATGTAGAGATATTTATTAATTACTATTATGTCTATTTTAAAAAGTTTTTAAACAATTTTGAGTACCTTGTATTAATATAAATTATTCTGATAAATTTAATTTTATGAACATTTCTATGTTTAGTTAAATATTACATTTAATAACTTATCTTATTAAATCATTTGTTTTATTAGCTAAAAGAGTATTACATAAGACAAACTGTGTGTTTATATTTTATGGCTGTAATTTATAATTTATTTATTTTTCTTAGATGAATCTCTTAATTATTTGGATGATCAAGAATCATGTGCGACTTTGGCCAATTCTACCCGTATGTATTCAAATAAATTTATTGTTTGAATTACTAATTTTTCACAAAATAGTACATATTTTAATTGACATTTTTAGATAATGAAACTGAGGACTGTGAACAATTGTCTGTTCTAAATGTAATTGATCAAAGACAAATTCAACAGAACATACCGGATAATGCCAATAACATATGCACATTGAAGCCTTGTAGCCTTAAAGGAGAAGATGAAGAAGAAGATATAAGTATTTACAATGACACAGAACTTGTAAATACTAGTGATAGTTCTGAAGATTCAATAATTGTAGAAAAATATAGTGTTACACCTGGAAAACAACGATTATATGATGTGCGCCTCACCAAACCAGCATTTCATACCAAAAACCTAGGAACAGCTGCTCCATTTATGGATAGGATTGAAGAAACTGCCAATTCTGTTCCTAGATTACTTGATACTCCTTTGGTATTCTTTACATCACCTAATAATAGTATTATGGAAATTAATTTAAATGATGAATCATGTGCTAATGTTTTACTAAATAATAATGGAATGAATTTAAATAAATCCTTAAATGAAACCATCGACCAAATTGAAGAAGTTATGGATGCCACTGAATTTAATTTTGATACAAAAGAATCCATGAACAATATATCCGAAATATCTGTTAAAACGACAGATTTAACTGATTGTAACAATGAAGAAACAATACCTGCGGATTTAGAAATTACATCAACTTATACTAGTGTTGTGGATACCAATTTTGATAATGAATTATGTATTAATAAACTTTCAGCGAACAATGATAGTATGTATTTAAATAAAACCAACAACCAAATTGAAGAAGTCATGGATGCCACTGAATTTAATTTTGATACAAAAGAATCCATGAACAATCTATCCGAAATATATGTTAAAACGACAGATTTAACTGATTGTTGTAACAATGAAGAAACAATACCTGCGGATTTAGAAATAACATCAATTAATACTAGTGTTGTGGTTACCAATTCTGATAATGAATTGTGTATTAATAAACTTTCTGCGAAAAATGACGGGATGCATGGGATGCATTTAAACAAAACCACCAACCAAATTGAAGAAGTTATGGATGTCACTGAATTTAATTTTGATACAAAAGAATCCATGAACAATATATCCGAAATATCTGTTAAAACAACAGATTTAACTGATTGTTGTAACAATGAAGAAATAATGGCTGCGGATTTAGAAATTGCATCAACTAACACTAGTGTTGTGGATACCAATTCTGATAATGAATTGTGTATTAATAAACTTTCTGCGAAAAATGACGGGATGCATTTAAACAAAACCACCAACCAAATTGAAGAAGTTATGGATGTCACTGAATTTAATTTTGATACAAAAGAATCCATGAACAATATATCCGAAATATCNTAACTTATCTTATTAAATCATTTGTTTTATTAGCTAAAAGAGTATTACATAAGACAAACTGTGTGTTTATATTTTATGGCTGTAATTTATAATTTATTTATTTTTCTTAGATGAATCTCTTAATTATTTGGATGATCAAGAATCATGTGCGACTTTGGCCAATTCTACCCGTATGTATTCAAATAAATTTATTGTTTGAATTACTAATTTTTCACAAAATAGTACATATTTTAATTGACATTTTTAGATAATGAAACTGAGGACTGTGAACAATTGTCTGTTCTAAATGTAATTGATCAAAGACAAATTCAACAGAACATACCGGATAATGCCAATAACATATGCACATTGAAGCCTTGTAGCCTTAAAGGAGAAGATGAAGAAGAAGATATAAGTATTTACAATGACACAGAACTTGTAAATACTAGTGATAGTTCTGAAGATTCAATAATTGTAGAAAAATATAGTGTTACACCTGGAAAACAACGATTATATGATGTGCGCCTCACCAAACCAGCATTTCATACCAAAAACCTAGGAACAGCTGCTCCATTTATGGATAGGATTGAAGAAACTGCCAATTCTGTTCCTAGATTACTTGATACTCCTTTGGTATTCTTTACATCACCTAATAATAGTATTATGGAAATTAATTTAAATGATGAATCATGTGCTAATGTTTTACTAAATAATAATGGAATGAATTTAAATAAATCCTTAAATGAAACCATCGACCAAATTGAAGAAGTTATGGATGCCACTGAATTTAATTTTGATACAAAAGAATCCATGAACAATATATCCGAAATATCTGTTAAAACGACAGATTTAACTGATTGTAACAATGAAGAAACAATACCTGCGGATTTAGAAATTACATCAACTTATACTAGTGTTGTGGATACCAATTTTGATAATGAATTATGTATCAATAAACTTTCAGTAAACAATGATAGTATGTATTTAAATAAAACCAACAACCAAATTGAAGAAGTCATGGATGCCACTGAATTTAATTTTGATACAAAAGAATCCATGAACAATATATCCGAAATATCTGTTAAAACAACAGATTTAACTGATTGTTGTAACAATGAAGAAATAATGGCTGTGGATTTAGAAATTGCATCAACTAACACTAGTGTTGTGGATACCAATTCTGATAATGAATTGTGTATTAATAAACTTTCTGCGAAAAATGACGGGATGCATTTAAACAAAACCACCAACCAAATAGAAGAAGTTATGGATGCCACTGAATTTAATTTTGATACAAAAGAATCCATGAACAATATATGCGAAATATCTGTTAAAACGACAGATTTAACTGATTGTAACAATGAAGAAACAATACCTGCGGATTTANAATGTTTTACTAAATAATAATGGAATGAATTTAAATAAATCCTTAAATGAAACCATCGACCAAATTGAAGAAGTTATGGATGCCACTGAATTTAATTTTGATACAAAAGAATCCATGAACAATATATCCGAAATATCTGTTAAAACAACAGATTTAACTGATTGTAACAATGAAGAATCAATAGCTGCGGATTTAGAAATTACATCAACCAATTCTAATGTTATGGATACCAAATTTGTTGATAAACTATACAACACTGTTGACAATTTAAAGGACACAGAATCTAAAATTGATACAGACGAATCTTTGAATAATATATATAACATAAATGTTGATGAAACATCACAATCCTGTGAACTCGATAATAGTACTTTAAAAAACATAACTAATATAGATATTTCTTATGCTGAAGAAAAAAATCTTACACATTCAAGTGAAAATTCTGTTACTAATAATGGAACTTTACAAAATTCATCACGTGCTATGAGACAATTTTTAGATTTTGAACAAACTCTTTATGAAATTTGTAATCCAAAATTGAATGATTCAACATTTAATGACAGTCAAACAAATAGAAATATTTCATTGAATGAACAAACTGTAGAAACATATTTAAATACATCAAATGAAAATGATAGTTTTTGTACATCTGCTAATCCTTTAGAATCCAATTTATCAGTTATAATTGAAAACCGAACTTTAGAAGAAAACTCTAGTGATCTTGTGATGCAGAATGAAGAATTTGAAAACCCTATTAATACAGTTTTAGAAAACATTGTAAATGAAAACTTGGATAATATTGTATTAAATGAATCGGTTATACTAAATAACAAAGAATCTTTAGTTGCGAAAGATATTTTACTACCTGAAGTGCTAAAATTATCTACAGTGAATGAAATGGAAAATAAAACATGTGAAAGTGTAATGAAATCTAATGAAGGTATTTTTATTGATAATAAAGTCATAAGTTCTGATGAAAAAATGAATGAAATAAAATGTAATGAAAGTTGTTCAATTTCAAGTTATAAATTTTTAAAACCAGAATCAAATGTATTACTAAATAAAGATATTCAATCTCTAGATTTATTAGATGAAACCAGAAACATAAACAACAGTTTAAATGATTTTATGAATATGGAACAAATGTTTAATTTTGGCGAAAATCGAACAATACAGATGTTAAATCTTGATACTCCAAAAACTCAAAAGATACTTGATTTTAGTATTGTACCACAAACACCCATCGTTGAAAATCATGCAAAGAAACAAAAACTATTAAATTTCAGTATTGTTGACCAAACACCAATATCGAAAGATACACAACAGAAATCATTTAATAATTCATTTACTAAAAATAATTTGAGTGGGATAAATGAAATTTTGGAATTAGAAACTGATTCTATAAATAAAGATTATCAAAATTGTATTAATAATTCTTCATCAAAAAATCTCTCTACAATTTCTGCTCCTGATACACAATCGTTTATTGATATCTCAATAAATTCTGATAATTCAATTATTAATCAAACATTAACTGAAACTAATTTAAATGAATCCAAAACTAATACAGTTGGAAGTAACATGGATTCAATTGAATATTGTATGAAAGAATCAATACCTGAAGTAGTGAAATCTGTAATAAATTGTGCATCGAATATTACTTTAAACAAAAATTCAAAAAAACTTGATTGCTCTACAATTTTAACGGATTCGGATGAAAAAATAATAACAAAGTCTAATAAAAATGCCATTGTTGATTTCAGCATTATTGAACAACCAATACCACATACATTTAGAATAAATAATGATACAAACATTACATTTGTTGAGTCCAAAACTAATATTTCTAACCTTATTGATAGCTCTGTTGTATCTATGATTGACGCCAAATCCAAAGGGTATGTATTTGATTCATTACAAAACCCTACTATAGTTGTGTCTTCTGATATTGAAATTGAAACTGAGAAATCCTTGACTAGCACTTTAGACTATTGTAGTGTTAATAACTCTACAACTCGCCTTGAACAGTCAACATTTTCTCATAATTCTGAACTTCTAACTGATGTTCAAATGAATGATTTATCACTTTTCATAGAATCTGAAAAAAGCTCAGTTAACGAATCTTTTCACAGCATTGAATTAGATCATGTTAAAGAAGATAAAAAAAGAAAATTAGAGCCTGTTCAAGACTATAATAACTTTGAAAAAATAATGAAAATAGAATCTAAGGACCCAGAATTGGATCATGTACCAGAAGATAGTAAAATAAAAATAGAGCCTGTTCAAGTTAATTATAACAGTGAAAAGAAAATTAAAGTAGAATCTAAGGACATCGAATCATATCATGTACAGGGAGATAACAAAAGGAAAATAAAGCCTGTTTATGACTTTCATAACAGTGAAAAGAAAATGAAAGTAGAATCTGAGGAACCAAAAACACCAATATCAATGCTTTATAAAATTAAAAATATGTTTAAAAGCAATGAAAAATTACCACAATATAAAAATAATACAAAATCTGAAAACCGATTTAATTTTAATAAACTTAAAGATGATAAACCTGAAGTTTTAGTAAAGAGTAAAATACCTTATAAAGTAACTAACACACCAAGAGCACAAAATGATGAATTTAATAATTCAAAATCATTAAATGATAACAAATCAAAAAAAGGTATACCTAAATTTATTGGATTACCAGCGCTATCTGATTTATCAAACAAAACATTTCCAGGGCAAAATTCCAAATTTCATTAATTTATGTTAAACAGCAGTTTTTTTTTATAAAATCTATATTTCTGTATATATTTTTTTCAAATTTAATAATTTAGAATTTAGATTATTTCAACAAGAGATCTATCTAGTTATATGTAAACATTGTGTTTTTTTTTATTTTTACTTTTATCATAAAAACTAAAAATAATACCAGTAGGTATATTAATATTTTTTTTTACAATTATTTTATCATTTAATTAGAAAATAATCATATTTAAAAAGGAAAAATAAGTTTCTTTTATTTGTAATAATTTATAGTGATTTTTCCAAATGTATTATTATATATTATACCATGTATTTATATAGGTGTATTTGAAATTTAAATATACACAGTTGATTAAAATAAAATGTATACATTTTTTTTACTAGTTATGAAATAGTTAGCGTTAAGATTATCACTACAACTTGCTTGGTATATATTTTATATCATTACCGCAAATATACCAGTTTACGTCTACCTTTAAAAAGGGTAACCACATTTGCCACGAAAAGGTCTTGATCACTACAAATGCTCATATCGTAATGTTCCTGAAATCATGCCTATAGATTCACCAATCAGAATATTTTTAAGTTGTTACCAAGCCTACTTTGGTTATAGTAATAATTAATTTCAAATTCTTATTTCCTGATATATTATCAGGTTAATAAAGAAATAGGTACCCAAACATATTGTGCTTTCCTGTCATATATTTCTGCTATTGTTCATTTTAAAGTCTATGTTATTTCTTTTCACCTATAGTTGTATGTTAGTTAATACCATTGGTCCCATCAATTTTAAATGAGTAAAATATTTAGGAACTACCTATTTATCTCGCAATATTTGGTGCTGCCATAAACTATGTCTATGCTTATATAGATATATATATATGACATTTAACTTTAATTAAAGATGATGGTTTGAATACTGGGATTTTTTACAACACTTAAGGAGTATCCTATGGCAATATCAACTTCAGTTTTTCAAATGGTTTAATACAAATTATAATCAAAATTTGAATGAAAAGTCTCTGAGTTGTTCTACTTTAAATTCTAATAGTGATCAATTAAATTTATTGTAAATAAACAATGATGTAGATGTGTAGCATGACCCCCTCCATTGGTAGTTTTTTTTTTATAATTTTGTTAAAATCATTTCATGTGTATATTAATATTTGTTGTGGTGTGTTCAGTTTATATTTTCATATTTTATTTATTAAGTAAGTTTAGTATATTTTTAAATGTAATAAAATTAATAAACATATTAATTTTTGCCCCTCCATAAAAAATCTTGGCCTAAGCCATTGTAAATGGATACCTACAAGTTTGGGAGCATTAACTCAAGGGTATTTTATATTAAAACATTTCCTGAGTAGGTATAGGTATTTGACTAAGTAGAAACTCTTAAATATTTTACTTATATTGCATATTTAAAATAGAATAACTAAGAAAAGTTACGTTCAAATTTTAATCACAATACGTTAAATATTTTAGAAAATCATTTATAAACAATTTCTTTTAAAATATGTAGATTCATATTTAAAAAAGAAAATTTTATATCTGCGCCAGGTAGATATTTTTGAATATTATGAAAAATCAAAATTTTTATCTAATCTAAAATATTGTTTTTAACTTCACCCAAAAATTCAACATTTAAATAGGTATGTAATACCTACACAATTTAATCAAAAAAAATGAAACATACTTAATTATGTATATATTATGTGTATTGTGCATATTAGATGTTCTATATCCAATAAGTTTTTTTTTGTACTGTTAGCAAATTTTTTAAAATCTTGCTTAAACTATCATCAACTTCAGGGGTGGTTTCTGGTTAAACATTTTGTTTATTTGGGGATGGGATTATTTTTGATTTATCTTGTAGATGATTTTTCTAAATTTCCTATTGAGAACTATGTGAAGATGTACTCAATGAAGGTTTCAGTTATTTTTAATTTGGTTTTTTTGTTGTAATTCGGTAAAAATAATCATAAAAACTTAAATGTTCACCAAATACTTTTATTAGTATTTTTTATGTATATATAAAATTTAAAAAAATGTTGGTAATTTTTGATCTAAGAATTTATAACCAATTTAAATTATTTAGTTTTAATTAGGTTATATGTGGAAAATATTGTTTTGGTCGGTCAAAAGTGTTCGAAAATTTAACACGAGATTCATAATTTGTGAGTGGTAAAAAAATTAAGTCGATCCTTATTGCAATAATTTTTTTAAAAACGTTTGAAGTGTAAATTTTGACAAAATAAGTGAATTTCAAGAACAGTTGTATGTAGTTAAATTATTTTATAATTAAAAATGAATACAATACAATTTTCAATTTAAATTTAACAAAAAGATAAGATAAAATGTTTTATAGAAGTCCACTTAGAAATCATCGTATTTTATTTGCTTTCATTATATTCGGGATTTAATTCAAATAACTAAAAATCTTACTTTATTTGGACATCTTTTCAAATTTGTATTTACAATAGTGGCTTACTTTGTATCCGTCGGCAGTAAAATATATTTTTGTGTCTTTAAACATCAATTATTGTGGTCACCTAAACAAAATACTGTATGCCCTTTATTTTATTCTTCAATCGAATTTTCTTTTTGTGGGGATGAGGTCATTAATCAATAAACAAAAAATAATAATTTAGATTTTGAGTGGAGCGAAGAAGCTTATGGTTTTACCAAGATGTTTATTTTTTTTTTTTCTGTGAACAACTTTTTTACCAGAGGACTTGCTCCAATTTTTATAAATGGAAATCGGTGTGGGGAGGTACCTTAAAGAGATTAGGTTTAGTTTATTTATTCACTTTCCAAAATTTTCAAAATAACCGATTTGTATTAAATAATATTCTAAACATTAATAATTTCGTTTTTAATTTCTAGAGAAAATGGAGAGGGGGATTATATTCAATAGACAAAAAAACAACCACATTACACGATAAGGAATCAAAATGGTAATAGTATCATATATATATATATATATAAACAAATATCTCTGAATAGAAGACAGATTATGGATATTATATGGAAATTGTTTTATAACACATTTTGTGGCAAGGTGTATTGATACACCTTGATCCTGTACTCAGTGGAATAGAATTAATAAAGTCGTCAATTGATAACTACCTACATATTTTATCACGTAATGTAGTTGCTATAGAGCAGCGGTTCCAAACCTTTTTAGTTACGCTGACCACCAATTTTGTAAAAAAAACTTTGAGGCCTACTAAACTAATATGCAGGTAAAAATAATAACACCTATATATGCAGGTATGACTAATATATATATATATATATATATATATATTTGTAATGTATATATAATGTGTATATTGTATATACGTCATTAAAAAATTAGAATAAAATTTACAGCACAAGACAATTTTAAAAATAATTTTTATAAAAAAGAAAAAAGAAGTTTATTATTGTATTCAACTTATAAATAAGTGGTTAAAGTTAAATTTAAATTAATTCGTTTTTGACATTGGTTTTCACCCACGAAAGAGTTAATGTTGAGATTAAATTTATCGCACCGTGTCACACTCCATGCCAAACACGACAAAATACTATAAAAATTACAAAAATCTTCAAGAATACTTACTAGATAAGAAAATGACTATTAATACAATTGTGCGATATCGATAATTATCTGAGTAATACTATAATCTCGATCGAAATATTGACGTGTATATTATAAATAATATAGAATTTGCCAACCCTTATTGGCTTACACCCTCGACCAGCGTCTGCGGCCCAGTACCACGTTGTTCGAGGCCCATAAATGGGACGCGGCCCATGTGTTGGAACCGCTTCTATAGAGTATAGGTATCTATTATAAATTATTTGTTTTGTTGAAAATTGAAAATGTTAGAAATTAATAGATCAACTATTCATTTTACGTTCTGTTTTGGTAATAATAATAATGAAAGGTTATAAAACCATGTAGCCACAATCAGAGGCGCCAAGTTTTGAAAATGTCAAATGTCAATTTTACTTAAATTTTACCATATATTTCCTATTTTTATTTTCCTTAAATTATTCGTTAAACAATTAAAAAACTAAAATTATTTGTTGTGTTGTGTGTTATAATATTTTAATAGTATTGGCATCATGAAAAATCACAAGACAAAATTAAAAAATGCCTGACATCAGACTCCAGTTAACCAAAATCATCTTTTCTCTGCTATGAATATCAAAAAAAAATATTTTATCTTTCTCAATTAATTTGTTATAAATAAAATTAGTATTTTGAGGATGTACATGACATATATTGATATTTTTTTTATAATGTGAGAACCGTGGGGATCTGAGCTCAGTCTTATCAAACTCATAAGGGAGGGCTGCAGTCCCAGACCTCTGGCTATAATCAATATAAAAAAGATTATACTGGGGACGTATGTACCTGGAACTCAATCAAGGAGGGGGTGGTTTAAAAATTGTAATACATCACAAAATGGAGGGGTTTCCTCGTCCTCCCAAAAAAGCAACAGTTATCATTTTTTTTTTATAATTCTCTTCTTCTTGGCAATTTAAAAAAATAGTTTTTAGAAATAAACTATAAATATTATAAAAAAAAAATATTGTAGATATATATATATATATATGTGTGTGTTAGGATTAAAAGCCGAAATCTGGCAAAACTTAGAAATGTGAAAAATTGAAATTTATGGACGTTACAGTTCTGCCCAAATGATGTTAGTCACTACTATACAGATTTGTTTGAAAAAAAAGCTGAAATTTGACGTTTTGCCCAAGTATCGAAGACATTTCGAGTTTTGCCAGGGCATTTCTGAGATGTGTACGATTTCGATGTTTATACATAACGGCCGTAGCATAATATACATATGTATACATTATATATTCATATCGAAAAATTATACACAAACATATTTACAACGATTTTAAAGCAATATTAATCATTTTTTCTCCTACAAAACAATCTATGATGATTATTATTTGGATATCCACATTTCTATATGTATCATAGACAAAACATTGCCCTATAATTATATCATTATCACTAATTTTTGGTAACGCTGATAAAAATCCCAAGAAATAATAAATAACATGGTTATAAATACTATATTATTTCATTGCTTATATATGTCTTGATTGAAGAATCACACCTAAAAAATTTCAAAGAGGGGGTGATCCAGCCATCACCCACGCTCTCAAATACACAACTGTGTGTACCACTTTTGTAGGATGGAAGTTGGGAATTATTTTTGTAGTTTTGGTTTTTCCCAATTATTTTGACAACACATCGAAAAAACCAAAAAACGTTTTCTCTAATACACCAACAAGAGACAATTTTCTTTCAGAAAAGGTATTATACATCAAAGCAAGATTTATTTTCGAAATAAAATTTCGAAATATTTTTTATAAAAATAAAAACAAAAAACAAACATCAATGTAAAACTAATACATTCTTTGCTCCACTCATAATATATAAAATAGCTGCCACTGCCTACAGGGGACAGAGGACAAGTGCAGCCATTGTTGTAGGTGGGAACTAGAAAGTTAAGAAGGTGGAATGTATAGAGTTAATTAATTTAAATTTGTAATTATGCAAAGATAAACCATTGCTAACGAAAATCGATTCGGAGCGAAATTCGGTGAGTAAGACATTTTTAGATGCCGTAATTTTTACGATTTTCGATAAAATTTAATTTTAAACGCTTATGAAAAAAAAAAAACTAATGCATTAAGCTCAGGTTTGTTTTTTAGACCAATAAATACAACTTATAATGTACTTTGTGTTTAATTTTCAAGCATTTTCCTTAAGCCCTATAATTTTAATAACAGATACCTACCAAATAAAAATACATATAAAAACATGAAAATATCGAATATTTATAAATAACCTGAAAATCTTACCACGTCTATAAACGACCATATAAGTATTTTGTGAAAACTACAGGTCTCCACAATTATTTTAAACCAAATAACAACAAAAAAACATTCCATACACTTTGCCGTACTTCACACGTTTTTTCCCGGTTCTTTATAATTATTAGGAGATCTATACAGAAAAACAACGACTTTCTTACTCACAAACTAGAGAAAATATGCTATTTTTGAAATTTGGAGAAAGATTTTTAGTAGTAGATAGCTATAATCTTAAACATTTTAAATAATTAACGAGTTGCGTCGTAATTTGAAAAAAAAAATCGACTTTTTTGGTTTATCCCAATTAATGTTCCCCATCATTGGTTAGTTATTAAATGAAACAAAATCGATCTCATGTCATTTTTTGATTGGAGTAATATTTTTGTCAAAAAACATAGGTTGCAAAAATGAAAAACCTGAGCGCTCGCAAGGGGTACAATCCCCAACTAGGTTTTAAAAGAATTCAGACACAAAATATCGTAGAAAACTACAATTTTTGATTAAAATGTAAATAACACTATAATGGTTTATATTTTACAATAGTTAATAACCATTTTCAATAAGAAAAAAATTCGTAACAATGCTTTTGGTTTCTAATGGAAATCGGGGTTCTTCATCTCCCCTGGATTTGTGCCTGCCCCTTGCACGGGTGCAGCTAGGTATATATTGTTATATAGGCAAGTATTTATGTATCGCGAAAACAATATACGCGGCGGGTAAGGCACGAGGTCTCTCGTACAAATCAAGCGACGAATTAACAACGACGCAATAACAAATATAATGGTATTATTTTTTTTAAATGATTTTTTTAAAATAAAAACAAAAAATGCTACGCCACCGGCGGTGACGGCCGTCATCGTCGCTTTCGAAAACTAACGGCGGATGGAATATTTACTTTCCGCATAAACAATATAATATTATAATATATAGGTAATGTATATAAATATAATAATAATGTTAATAAACACGTCGTCCAGTTTCTTCGTAGTTCCGGTATAAAAAAAAAAAAAAAAAATAATAAAAATACGTAAGCGACGGCGGGCGTAAACGTGTGCCATGTGGACCGCGGAGAGAGACAGACGCGGCGCGGTGACGGTGTTTGGCGATACATTTGGGCGGCGGCCAATGGGAACGCGCGAAATAATCGCGGAGCGAGACACGACCACAGTCCGTCCTTATCAGTTTCTCCGCAAACATCGGCCTCGGCCCAGACGACGTTCTCGTTCTCTACGGCTCACCGCGCTAACGGCGTGTCTAGACTTCACTCTACATCTCTGCCTCAGAGATATATAGATACGGCGGATATTGTGATATATATAAATATATATACATATATAATAAATATAATTATAAACACACGTACGTGTAAGTGATTTGTTATAATTTTCAGTGTTGTATTTACGAACACACGTTTTAATAGTAATTAACGAGTGATATTATAATGATCACGTAGTAAATTTTGTATTGTATAGTGTTTACTGTATACGCAAGTATTTTTCTGTAATACAATAGTAATAATAATACTAATAATTGATATTACGCCTTTGCCAACGATTTCGATTGGATTTGAATATCGCGAAAAATTATACTGTAATGAAAGAGCGGTCCGGAAGCTCGTTGACGATGATCTCATTGTTGTGCCGTTCGCGGTTAACTTTACGGATTTTCTGACGTTACGCTTTCATGTATTACTGCCAAACATGACATGTTAACCTCACCGATACGGAGCTATGGTCATGCCAGTGTGGAAGCTTTGGACTCGTTTGCACTCTAATAAATCTAGAGGTAAGTTGCAGTATTGCAACATCAAATATATAGTGATGTTCGATTACCTATATTCTTTATGATAAACAAATCGATGTTTTGTAGGGCGAAACGATTGTGAAGATGATACGATTCAATTGGATTTGGTATCTAGTAAGTAGCCATTCATAGTATTAATGACTGTGTCCAGTATAAATAGAATATCAATATTTCCAGAACCCAGAGAGTCGTTGAAAAGGATACTGTCTAATTTAATTCAAACCCAAGGGTTAAACGATACTAAAAAATTATGTTCATTGAATGTACTTGTCAAACTTTTATTGTCAGTAGACTCAAGTGAAAATTGTAGTGAAATATTTGGTTTCTCTAAAAATGACATAATGTGTTGGTAAATAATATAAACATTTATTTGACATAATATAATTTTGTTATATTACCTATGACAAAATTGATAGGTATGAACACAGTGTGTCATGTTTTTGTTCAATATCTTCCACATTTAGCTTACGTTTTAATTCTTCACTACTATCTGCAATACTAATGCCAGCCAATAAGAAGTGGAGAAATTTGAGAATAGGTGAAGTGAAGAAATATTTTAGTGGGCTGTGCCTATCAAAAAACTGTGATCATACCTATCCATCTATTTTGTTATGTCTTACTATTATAATTTGGGAATTTTCGGTAGTTGAATAATTGTATATGTTTACTGTGTAGTCTATATTAAATTAATAATTTCTATTTACTGACCTATATTAATATTTTCATGTTACAGCCTTACACCAAGTTTGGTAAGTGATAGTTCTGATGTCCGGGCAGCTGGTTTAAGGGCAATACGACATTGTATTCAACAGTCAGAAGACGTAATTACTTTAGTACGTTTGCGTTTAACAATACTAATATGCCGGTAAATAATCAATTTATTTAAATGTCTATTAAATCTAGTACAATGTTATTAAGTGAATCATGTATTATTTAATCCTTAAAGAAGTTTAGAATTACTGCTTGATAATGAAAACGAACGTTTACAAGCATTAAGGATCATTCGTAAATCGTGTATTCTTTGTCCTCAAGAATTTCCTAGTGCATTCACTCATTCTTTGACTGCTATTGCAATGTGTTCACATGGCCCTACTAAAGATCAATTACATAGAGCTTGTGTTGCTACCCTTTGTGAGTTATGTAAGTATTGATTTATCTTTTTGTACACAATTTCATTAAACAAATTCAATTGCATAATAACGTAATATATATTAAAATTTAATTTTTGAAATAGGTTTGTTGAATCCTCAAGCTTTTGTAATTGGTTGTGGTATGAAAGCTTTACGACATAATCTTATTACATCTGAATTACCTTTAAGGATGGCAGAATGTGTCTTAGGAACTTTACTTTGGATGTTAAATAATCCAGATACTAGGAAATTAGTGTCATTTGATTTTGGTCAACTTGCTTCAACTTTCACAGACTTTAATCCAAATACGAAGTATGCTATTTTATAAATCAATTTGTACAAATTGTATTTATTTTTAGTTACATTTTTAGGTCAAATGAGAAAAAATGTTTAGCTGAAACAGCACATGGCACTTTAGTGTCTCTACTGCGCTCTTGGATTGGTGTTTTATATTTCTGTGACCCATCGAATGACCGATCAATAAGTGGGTTATCTTCTATTGTACAAGCTTTGCATGTTCAAAATTCTTCTACTAGAGTAAGTCATCAACTTATCTGATTTTTAGAAAAAGATAAACATAATACACATGTATATATTTTTAGATTGCCATAATAAATTTACTTCGAGAAATCCTTGGTTTTTGCCCTGCTGATTGGATAGATGATGTGGATACTGCAATAGAATCTATTAATCCTTATAAATATCAAGACAAATTTAGTCTAAATAGTGGATATATTTTTACAGAAGCAATAGATCTTATACCTAGTTTAAGTAGTAAAAGGTATGTTCATCACTTTTTTACACCTTTATAAATTAAATTAAAATTATAAGTATAAAATAATTATGCAGTTATTTCAATTATTATTTTCAAATTAATTTTTTTCAGGGTAAATTTAGTTAATCTGCCTCAATCTCTTTTAGTAAGTTGTTTGTTAGAACTTAAACTAGATGAAGCTCTTGTTCAAGTAATACTTACATCTGATAAAGTTCTATCCGTACAATCAACAATTCTTCTTGGTACTTATTACCTCTTATTAATAAATAATATGACACTAAAAACAATAATTTATATTTGACATTTTTAGGAGAGTTCCTTCATCTAGCAGATAGTATAGTTCCAAATAATATTAAATCATCACTGTCTGATTTAGTTGCATATGCTTTAGAAGGTCGACCATTATTGAAATGTATTAATTATAATAGTAATAAAGTAATTGAAGAATTTGATCAAGTACTATGTTCATCCGAAGATCGGTTGATGTTCTACCCAGTCATTACTGTTCAACCTGAAAAGTCTGAAATATTTATAGGAGATGATTTAAAAAAAAATAATGCTATGACTGCCATTTCTGCTTTGGCTAAATTATACAAAACACTAAACCATGAACCTACTCCAGCTACCATTGGCTTATATCATGCAATGAATTTATTTGGTAAAAAAGTTAGTATGCTAAGATATGTGGCACTTAAGAAAAATTCAAAAAATAAAGGAACCCAAAGTGTGATAACTAAAGAATGTGAAGACTTTGTCAAAGAATCTGGAGTTTTAATTGTTAAAGACTCAGTAGCTTGGAAATGGGATCCGATACGTTCTGCTCTCAAAGTAAATGTATAGTTTGGTCTTTTTTAAAATTTATAACTTCTATGATTATTATCCATAATTATTTATTTCAGACAAAAATTAAAGATGTAAACAAATTGGACGATATCTGTTACAATTTATTCATCCAAAGATTAATTGAATATTTTAAACCATCATCTAAAATGTATGGTGATGTTGAACTTAGACCAGAAGTTCTTCCACTGAACTTATTTACATTAGCGTCATTTGATTTAATTGATGATTTAATGGATGCTCCAAATGTAAGTTATTTAATATCCTTTAAGTTAGATTTAGGTTCATTACATTGTATACATTAAAAATAAAAAAAAGGTTTCTTTGTTACACAAAGAATATTGTTGTATTGTGTATTTACTGTTTTAATAATGTTAAATTAAACATGTTTAATTTTATGAAATTAATAAATATTGGTTTTATTTCACTTAAAATTCAAATATAACTTTTAGAAATCAAGAACTTCACATACTCGTGTAATATAAATTGTTGTTGTACATTAAATATGTCAAGGTTTCCTAAATGTACTTTTTATTCATAATTTTCGAAATTGATTATTTACTATGTATCTATTGGTATAATTTTATATTAGGTATGATTATAGATTAAATAAAATAACAATGTATTTTTTATCTACTAAGTTCATACTATTTTTTAACAGGAAAGTGGAGAATGTTATCTAAATGATCTACTGACTGATATTCATGCACAATTAGAAGCATTAACGTCTTCCAATTATTCTTATAGTTGTTATTTAAATCCTCAACGTTTATCTGTGACATTGAGTCAACATTATTTTCTAATGCTTGGACGAATAAGCTCTACTGAAAGAGGACGCTATTGTCTAGATAAAACCAAAATTTTTCCTTTGTAAGTAAACTTTTAATTATATATTCTATGTTAATATTAATGTATTTAAATTGTTTTATAATGTTTTAAAATTTTCTATGTAATACACAAATGTATTAAATAAATATTTTTTTTTTCTTAGATTATTGAACATTGCTGTAAATACTAATATATGTTGTTATGTCAAGCTCATTATCTCTTGTTTAGATTACACTACAGATTCATTTCCAAGGTAATAAAATAAATTGTGATTCTATATTCTATTATGAGTTTATTACAATCAATTTTAGACTAATAATTAATCATTATTCAATTATCAATTACTTTGATTGCAATATGATCTCTAATCTGGATTTAGTAGAATTAAGACAGCAATATTTAAACATTGTAAATCTATTGAATTATTATCAGATCAGACAATCAATCTGATTTTTTAATCTGGGGCCATGATATTACTGTTACTTTTGTTTATTAAATTATAGTACATTATACATTTTTTGTTTTTATATTGAATTATTGTGAAGTATAATTATTATTAAACTAATATATTTTATATTTAGAGTATTATTAGGACGTGTTCTTTCCTGTTCCCAACAAAAATCTCGATTATATGCTACACGTTTTTTACGTGTACTTTTACGATTCAATGCCCACCGTGCAGAAGATGTAGTGGCAACTGGTTTTTGGATACTTGAATTGCTCATATCCCAAACTTCCGATGATAATTCTGTTGTATCTATGGCTGCTCTAGATGCTCTTGATGAAGCTTGTGACTATAATGTATAGTTAAAAACTACATAAATTGACCATGAAATACATAATATATAATTGTTTTATAGGATTATTTGATAATGTTAATTGGATTGAGGCCAAACATTATTCAACTAGGAGACAGAGGATTACTATTACTTGTACGGTTTTTGTCAAATATTGCTGGTTACAAATATTTGTCTGAATCTGGGTTTGTTACTAGTCAGTTGTATAATTGGGGTACCAATTTCAATTTTAGGTAGTATTTAATTAAATAATAGTATGATAAATAACTTATTGTAACTTGTTGTTAACCTTTTATTTTTAGGTATGTTTTAATAGTTGAAGGGGAAGTACACAATCAATTGACCCTTCATCATCGTCATGAAGATGGCCACTTTAAAACTAGACTTGCTAGTGACATGTCAAGAAATCAAATTCCTAGTATTTGTTTACCAGCACACCTTTATTCTCAAATGGCCGCACATGATAATGGATTTCAAGCAGTTGTCGATGATATTTATTTTCAAATAATGTTTCAATTAGTTCTTAGTCCTACCAATGAAACACTTAAAGATCAATTAAATTTAAAAGCAGCTTTGTGGGCTGTTGGCAATTTTGGTAGTGTACCTCAAGGAGCTTGTTATTTGTCTAACAAAGGTGTTTTGGAAGCCATGTGTACAATAGCAGTTTCATATCCAGTTTATTCAATACGAGCAACAGCTTTTTATGCATTGGCTTTGATTAGTTCAAATCGAGCAGGAGCAGCTCATCTAAGAAATTTAGGTTGGAATGTATTGAGTAGGGTTCTTTTAGAAGATGAGTTTTATAAAATTAAAGACCAACGAACTGATTCTAATTTAGTATCTACACCTTCTGATAGTTCGCAAGTATGTATTTAACATACTTAAAATTATTTAACAAATATCCAAAAATAATTAATAATGTTTAATTTTCAGGGCCTTGTAAGTGACTGGGTAGATGATGTTGTTTGGGATCCAACTGCTCAAGGTTCTGGGAAAAAAAAATGGTCAACTTTACCTTCAAACTGCGCTTCTTGGTCTCGTCAACAATACCACTTAAGAAGTATGAGCGAAAGTAAAAAAAATGATGATAACCAGCACTTGGAACTATCTAGCTCTCCTCCTGAGAATATGTTAGTGTTTTTATTTTTCTGAAAATGAATACCAAATATTATAATCGTAAAATATATTCTATGGCTTGTTTTATTCAGGTATGCCAGTTTTCGGGTAAGGTCTGACAGTAATTGTACAGTAGACAGTAGTACTAGTGGAGTAAGTTCTGGTGAATCAGGAAATTGTACCCGCTATACAGATTTTAGTCTTTACCAGTAAGTTTGTTTTTTATTTCATGTTAAAAATTAAACCTTTTTTTAAATACATGAATATTTTATTATATTTAGTGAAAGATATCAAACATTAAGTCCAATACCAAGTTCAAGTTCTTTGTCAACTATCCATCATCAATCTCCTTCCAAAATATCTACCTCGGAAGGTAATTTTTACTAGTTTATGTTTGATATTTCCTATTGAAATATACATACTATATGCATTCTAGGTTCTAAATTACCAAGAAGAAATTCTTTTGGTTATAGAACGTTAAAAATGATACAGAAAGGTATGAGTCGGAAAAGTAGTTCTAAAAATATGACAACGCAGTGTCAATCGTCAGCAGCTGATATGTTTGACATGTTGGCTGAACAAGAAATGGATAGAATGTCTCCATTAATTCGACCTAGAGAATTTAGACAATCGTTCAGTACAGATTATTCACCGTAAGTACTAAGGGTACATTGTGTAAAATGTAATATTTATAGAAAATTAGATTATACTTTTTTTATTTTTTGTTCATAGATTTGATCCTGAATCTGAGAGGATTTCTCTTAACTCCAATAAAGGTTGTCATAATATTATTAAAGGTAAATTAGATAAATTTATATATTTTTTTTATGGATCTAAGTATTTATCATATTTTATGTTGATCTTTAGATCAGTATAATGAGTTAAGTTATGGCGGAATTGCTTTACCATCTGATCTTGGTATGATTTTTTCTAATATTGAAAAAGAATGCGGATCTGTTCCTACTCCAGCTACACCAGATTGTGAAGATTCGTCTTCTTGTTTTAAGCATTTATCAACTGGTAAATATGTGTTTTATTTTTGTTTTTGATCAATATTAATAGTTAAAAGATATTTGATTTTAATAATTATAATTAAGGCATAATTTGTTATTGAACCAGTTGGTGATCAGTATCTGATTACATAAGTTATATTTCTAATGAGCTTCCAAAATTTGAACCTAGAAGATTTCAAATGATTTTGATTTTCAAGTAGTGAAAATTTCATTGTTGAAAGGAATTTTTGGAAAATGTATAATGTATTCAAAGTTTAATTTTACAAAATGTATTTTTTAACTTTAGGTTCTGAAGCCCTCAGTACTGATGATTCAGATACTGAAGAAGTTATAGCTGATCCTTTACCTGTTAGAAGACAACGGAGTCACAATCGTTCTATGTGTATGTTATGTTCAGTTAATGAGCATAGTAATCGAACTGCAACACGTAATAGAAAAGTATCATCTAGTTCCCTTAGACGATGTCGAACAGGTATATTTATTGATTTTATTTTCTATACACAACAAACAGGTTACATATCTGAATTTTAACATTTTTATCTAGCTAAAATTATGAAAATTTGATAAAATTATCAAAAATTTAATTAAAAAGTATTCTTTAATTTTAGAGACTGAAAGTAGTTACGGCATGGGTGTTGAAGGAGAAAGCCCAATATTATTACCATGGCAACACAATAAGTCTTCATGTCTTCATGAAGCTTCAGGTTTTGGTACTGGGAGTAATGAAAGTGGTGCTAGTTCTGATATCAGCAGTAAGTTTAACATTTAAATTTAAATAATTTCTATTATTATTGTTATTATTAATTACTATTGACAATTATCTAATGAAAAAATAGTTTATTTCTTTATTATTATATTCTTATTGCATCACTTGACCGATTAGTATGTTTAGACTTGTCTAAACTACTAATTTTGTCCATGTGTAACTAACACAGACAATCTCCTGTTTCATTTCCTTAATGAAACTGTCTTTGTTGTTTAAATTAATAATTATGCCAACCTAAAGTGTGTGAACATGGTGGAGATTAACAAAATGCTCAATGAGTATTAGTTTCCTAATATTACAGAATCAATTGAAAATTCAAATTTCCACTTAACTGAAAATTGTTATGCTTGGATGATTTTTATATTTATATTTTGTTTGCTCATGTTTTTTCAGTGAAGTTACTTAATCATAAAATTAAAAAGATATTTGTTAAATACAAGGTAGTTAAAAACCTATGTAAACTTCTAAATGTGTGCAACACCAGAAAGTTAAAAATTGATAAAAAATTGCACATCTATTGTTGAAGTAACTAAAATGATTATAATAACTTAAAATCGAATTGAAAACTGGCGAATGTCTGGAAAATAAGTAACGTCCCTAAATTAGTTATAGTGAAAGTACTCGGAAAGCATTGACATAAGAAAACTTGTTAATAAACTCTTCTTCTTCTGATATGTTTATCATTAATTTGGGGGTTGGCCACTTTGGTTTTAATTCTTCTCTGGGCTCCATTTTTTTTTTTATCATCAATACTTATCCCGCAGTCCTTATATTACCACTCTAAATTATCTATCTAATCACTCTATATACTCCTATATACTTAAAGTACTTGACGTCTTTTCTTTATTAACTTGTAGTTAATTAATTTAGAACACACAGATTTGTAATAATACATCATAAGATGATCAGTTCAATTTTCATTGGTAACATCAATTTTATAGTCTTGTTTTTTTTTTAAATCTACAACTTGTAATACTCTAGCTTTGTTTAATCATAGTATGAATTGTAGATTGTAATAAACACAAAAAAACATATCAAAATTAAAAATTATAAATAGGTCTAGTGCAGAGGTCAACTTTAGCAGATAGAATTACCAAAAGTCGTTCAGCCCTGAGACGAGATATATTGAAACTCGTTGAACAATTACCAAATCCTGTTTTGTACAAAACTTCAACTCAAAGTCTTTTACAGTAATTTTCATATTCAATTTATTTTTTTAATTATCTATGTAACAAGTTATTTAAAAAAAAATTTTTTTATTGATATTTTGAACAGAATGAAACAAATGTACGGTGACTTGTTTCATGATATATGTGTTTACTCAGATGTGTGTAATTTATTAGCTGAACATCATTATCATATACAAGCTAGACGTTACATGCATGAACTCTTCTTAGATGCACCTTTTAAAGAAGTAAATTATAGTGTTTTATAAAAACGCAAAATAATTTTTAATTACTGTATTTCTTTTTCATTTTAGTTGCACGAAGAACCGGCATCAATATTAGGTCGCCAAAGTCCTTTAGAAACTTTAAATACAGATTGTATTTTTAATGATGAAGTAGACAAAGGACACGGGGAGAATGAACTCGAAGTGATCATGGAAGCTGAATTGGAACATAAAAGGTTGTCTTCCGAAGTCACGGCAGATTGGAAACCTCCTGCAAGCAGTACTAGGCAGCGTAAACAAACCGTGTACGATTCTTCTAGTCATCGATTACAAGAATAATAATAAATATAAAAATCAAATAGGTGGTATTAAAAATAATAATTAATTGTTTTGTTTTTTAAATTTAATTTATACATCGTTTTGTTCCCATAATAAATATATATATATATATATATATATTTATAATTGAATATGTACAAATTATGATTACATTAAATGATAAATAAATATTACATACAATTGTGTTTTATTTACAAGCATAATGTTATAATTTATATATAAAAGGCACTAATGATACAATGTATTACCTATATAGTGATTTTTAACATTTTTCTTTAGGTTAAATTACCCAAAGTTTAATCCAAATGAATGAGCTCATACATTTAAAAAAAAAATTTCATGAAATTCAATTAAAATTAAATTTAGAGGATTACATTGTTACATATAACAAAAATTATTCGACATATTGTTTGTATAATAGCAAAAACTTGTGTTTTAAGTAAATTGATTTAAGCATTGAAGCCAAACAAACTGTTAGTTTGGACAGCATTTCAACAGTTTTATCATCTCCAGAGATAATGATCGTTAGTTTGTTCAGTGTTGATAAGGCTTACTTTGGTTTGTGACCAATTCACAAGAGGTTTGGCTCGCAAATGTTTACTAGGGTTTATTTTTTTATGAAATTTTCATAACTTATAATAATATTTATCTATAAGGAAATATTTCATCAACAGCCAATGAACTGCGACCCGAAAGTGAGATTTTTCTCATAAAATATATTTTCAGGTGTATGTTTACTGTTCATCAATTTGAATAAAATAAAAAATATTAGTTAATATTTGGGAAAGATAAAGAAACTGATTTTACTGATGAATGTGTCACTGTTGTTAGTGAGAAGTTTTGAAAGTACATAACAATAAATCAATGCTTATGAAATGCGATTCTGAGCAAAGTTTGGTTAAATATGTTTTGAAATGCAAAGTGCTTTAGAAATAATACTCAAAATAATTTGATTGTTACTATCTCCATTAAAATTTGAACTAAGAAAGCTTATAATTGCTTGGAAAAACGAAAAAAAACTTTCAATATACCAATGCGCTATAAAAAAGCTCTCTTCGTTTTGGATTGGTGCAAGATTTCTATTAAAAAAAATTGGCAAAAAACACATAGTAAGTACCAATTATTATAACATCAAATAAATAAATATGTATACGTATATATACTCTAAATACAAAAACATGTAATAAACATATAAAATTGATAAATAATTATATTATTATTATTTTTTTTTTCATTAAATAACGCATATATTGTATTATAGTCAGCACTATTATGCGATACGCATTTTTAAATATTCGTAAATATAAACAAATTAAAAAAATGACTAGTATTCTCCCTTGTGATATACCCGCATGTGCTGCTGTGTGCGTCTTACAACTGCGCGGAATAATAAATGAACTACAAACATGACCTATTATCAAACTTAAAGGTAAGAACATTATTTGTGTCTTGTCATTTTTTTTTTTTTTAGTAATTTTAATTTTTAAGCAACAATATGAGTGTGAAATATCCATTGAACTCTATGTGATGTATGTATAGAGTGTGTTTTTTTTCACCATGAACCAGTAATTTTCTCTGAAGGATTTTGATTTCTGTTTTTTCTAACCATTTGGAACCTTTTAAGCTTTATTTCAAAACCATTTAAATTTCTATCCCTACTCCATATTTAAGGTAAGTATCTAAAATAAATATATACTTTTGTTTTTCAAATAGAAACCTCCTTTTTGAACACAGATTTGAATACAGAATTTTTTTTCTAGACATCTTGATGTGCATGACACTAATATCAGATTTACCGTTTAAAGTTTAGACTAGAGGAGTAGGGTAGATTGCAATCACATAATTTATTACCCTTTTTTACTCCTCCAGTTTAAAATTTAAACGGTTAGATTAGGTTTAAAATCCTTAAAGTTAAACTTTAAAATCCTCTGAGAAAATTGCTGGTTCATGATAAAAAAAAAATAAAAATCACCTTGTATATACATATATAATATTATCATACAGAGTTCAATAGAAATATCACGATTTAAAAATGCTTAAATTTCGCTCGAAAATCAAAATCACGAGATAAAAAAACACGACGCAGATAGGGAATGTTTTTGCCTGTAAGTATAGGATAACCGGCGTTTCATTCTTAAATGTAAAAACTAACGGCACAGAGTTGTCCCTGCTAAACGAAAACGGCGTCTCGCAGTCGTATGACGGTGACAGTGCACGACGCGAGCATTAAAGTTCTCATAACGACACGGCCCAACGAATGACCACGCGCGTACAGGTCACTCTCTGAACTTGGCCTTGATGTAAGCGGGCAACGGGGCCACGTACAGCAACACGTTGAACACCATGGCGGCGACGGGGAACACGAAGCTGGCCACCAGGTTGATCTGTGGGTCGGCCACCGCGGCCGGGTACCGCTCGTTCACGTACGAATCGCCGTCCGGATACCGGCACATGAACGTGTCGGCCGCCGGTATGGTGCAGTTTTGCTCGGCGTTCTGCGGCAATCCCACGTACTGCCGGCGGCCGTCGAACGCCTGGGCCGTCAGGTACGCTCCGGCGTACCGGCTTTGCATCGCGTACGTGATCCACGACAGCCATTCCGACATGCCCCGGTACGATCTATAAGCAACATACGTACGCACATACAAATTGGTAATAATAATACGACGTTCCACATTGTGAGTGCACACAATAATAATATTACATTAATATTATACAGGGTGATTTTTTTTATTGTGACCAGCGGTTCAGTGGCGCAACCAGGATTTTTTGAGTGGGGTTGGGGGTGTCACATTGTCTTCAATTGGTAAAAAAACGTTTTTCTTTTTATTAGAGCTTTTATAGAAAAACTAGAAAGCTCGACGATTAATTACATAAGAGTTCAGATACAGACAAAAACAATGCGGTACCAGAAATAAACAATTATAAACTTTTAAATAAGAAAGCCAACCGCAGAATAATAGACTTGGAATTTGATTTTAGAATGTCGGAGACGTTAAAAGAGATGTTAAGGAACTTGAGAGAATCGAACAGAATAAGGCGTCGGGCAGTTAAAGATGGATAATTGAAAAGAATATGGCGTGATTCGCAGATGCTTTTATCTAACCGGAATGTGCAGAAAGGAGATCGGAAGAAAGGAATCGTTGAGATTGAGATTATAAGAATAGGAGGAAAGGAGATGATGGCTCACGCATAATCGATTAAATTTGATTATTTGTAATCTTTACAGGTGAAGGATGAGATCCTTGAACCAAATATTATTTAGAATGACAGGGACTATAGATTTGAACTTTGAGGCAAAGTTTGCTGGTAATCTGTTCCAATGAGTAGACCAGAATGTAAGAACATAACGTCGAAGGATAGTTGTGAGATCTGACCAGGGAATCAAAGAAAGGAAAGGGCTTATTAAGCTCGTGGAGAATTTAACCAAGCTATCAGCTATCTCGTTATCGTGGCTAGGAACCCGGAGGAACTGAAGGATGGAATTTTTCGACAAAGTTGAAACAGGATGGATTTGATTCGAAGAACGAGAGGAGTTTAATACACTTATTAATTATAATACTCAAACACGGATGGTAAGGGGGGGTGTTCAAACACCCAAAACGCTACACACCGGGTTGTGTCGTTTATACTGTTATTATGAAAAACCTTGGATACCTACTAAATTTGATTTCGGGTTTTTCCGAGACAATGTGGTGACATCATATACGGAACCGGTGCTTGACTTGGAAAAATAAAGAATGGAGACTATGAGACATAAAAATAAGTAGCGTTCCATGCAATGATTGACTTAACGTAACCCTTAGAAAAATTCATAAAATTAAAATGTCTATTTTTCAAATTTTTTTTGGAAATTTTACCACGTCTAGAAAAAACAAATATATGTTTTCCGTCAAAATGGCAAGTCTCTAGGAATATTTTTAACTGAATCACATTAAAATAATAAAATAATTATTTTTTCATATTTTTCAGTTTTGATAAACTATTAAAAAAAACTACAAAGAAAATCAAAAAAACGACTTTCTCAGTAATCAACTAGATTAAAATGAAAATAGTGTAAATAAGATGATTAGACGATATACTGGACAGTGGTTCAATTCTGTGATGACTACAAATCAATAATCAAAATTGAAATTTATTCTGTATCTTCGCAGATATTACGATCACTGGTTTATGACAAAATAATCACTCAGTATATAATAGACGCATAGTGGTAGGTCGGAGAAGAGGTGATTTGTAAACCTTAATAATAAAATTACGTACCTATAGGTAGGTACTATATTTCGGTATTAGTATTGGTCATCAACTCGTATTTGGACGATGATATAATATATCTATATAATATTGATAAGTCGATCCAAACTGAAAACCCAAGACGTAATCCCGATTGTCAGAAATAATCTGGATTAGGTATTATACATTATTACAGAATAAACTGCAGCAGTATTCAGAATTCAAAGAGCGTTTCACATTTTAAAAACCTTAAAGTTTAACGTTATACTACTTGTTTAAATCGTTGGTATTATATTAAGATTATAGTGTTGTCGTGATAAAAACATACACATTGTACGGAGTTATTTATTCGTCGTTTGAAGCGAGACGTAAAGGATTAAATTTGAACCGTATAACAAAGCTTTAATCCGAATTCCAGACAAAAATTTAACAATATAATTGTTGTTTATAGCATCTATAAAGCCGTAAAAGTAATAACTACGTTTTTCTGCTGGTACCTATATACTATACGTTGTAGTCGAAAATAAGATAAGCTGAAATACCAACTACTAATGGATTGTACCATTGTTATAGGTGAGAATACGAGAAAGTAAAACACATTAAGTTGTTGCGGATAAATCGTTGCTGACAAAATACGATTCTGAGTGAAGTACGGTTAAATGTTAAACATGTTTTGAAAAACTTAAAAAAGCTTAAAAAACTGCGTACTGGACTTTTGTTACTATTATACAAAACTTATCCTCGTGGTAGATTTGCAAACATTTTGGCTTAATTAAAACAAATGTTGAAAAAAGTCTCTATAACGTTACTAGGTTTTAATGTTAATCTCACATCGCACGAAAAACGTTCATAGGACATCTCATGCACTGAATTTTTCACACTGGGAGGCCTCAAAGTCAATAACGCACAAGGTTTTTATTTCTTTAAATCAGGCCTTATAAATGATACATGGAAGTTGATCCATTGAAAGCTCCTATGAAGTTTTTGATTTCAGAGTAATACAACACCTACACTGCAGTCGAAAACTTGTTTATAGATAGAAAAAAAAAATGCTCGTAGTGCAAAACCAATAAAAATATAATAATATACGACACTAAGTCCGTGTATAGTATAAAACTACAATATAATATTATACAATTAACAACGATGGTAGTCATAAAGAATTGTATATTGTCCCTCTACCCCTGCACTATCGATAAAAACACAGAGTTGCGAAATTAATTATTTTTCAAATACGTACGCCGTCGCCTCTGTAAAGAAAAGGGAACGGAATGGCACGCTGGAGGTAGGTGTCATTGTACTCTGCTATATTGTACACAATCCAATTCAGTGTTTCCTAACTTTTACATATATTATATTATGTTCGGATAACTTGATATATCTAATCATTTTTTTCAGTGGCAGTTATCCTAATGGTTGCTTAAGAGAATTCAATACAGACCATTTGGTCGGAGGGTAAGTAATATATTTAAGCGGTATCTAATTAAATTTATAACATGGAAGTTGATTTTTTTTTCAGTTTTTTAAATTGTATAATGTTCTTCAAAATATACGTTGTATATTATATTCTTTTACGATGGACGAAAGTAGGTGGGCGGGTCTTCATAAATGGGTATCTTCGAGAACACATATTTTATTAAGAATAGCCTTCACTGCCTCGATTCCAGGGACTTTTGTTTTCGATTTAAATTTGGTATGGCAAACCGTCTATGATAAATCCGTCGGTTTGGAAACACCGATCTTATTTAAGCGGACGTTATAAATCGCATGCACTGTCTCCGTCTAACAATCACGTGACATGGTAAATTTTTGTTCAGCAGGGATAATTCTGTGCTATATTGTATAAATGTGCTATAAATATTAAAGTGAATTGACCTATCATCGAACTTAAATATAAGAATATTTTTTATATTATGTCGTCGTTTTTTTTTGCGTAATTTTAATATTTAAGCAAGATATGAGTGTGTGAAATATCACAGTTTATAAATGCTTATAGTTCGCTAAAAAATTTAAATTACGTAAAAACACGACGATACGACACAAATAATTTTCATATGTTTAAGTTGGATATTAAGTCAATTCATTCTAATATTAAACATAACATCACAGAATTTTCCCCGTTGAACAAAAATGTTCTATTTCGGGATAAGGCGGAAATAGCAAATGTGGAATAACGTGCTTTTAACAGGTAGGAAAAGTGGCGTACCTGCGTGAGAGGGAATAGGTTTATTTGCCCTCACCCCTCCTCCCGAGTTTTCTGATGACATGATTAATATTTTTTCGAGCTAATAATGTATATTTTAAATTGTTCCATGATTATAATATCGGGTAATCAGTTATAGATTTTTGATATCGTTTATTTAATCAATGTAATATAAATGCAAAACTTCGACCGAATTGGGATTAGGAGTCATGGTCACATGTGGTTACATCATAGAATAGTTACACGAGGATGTTACCATTAATATTGTTATAATATTGTATCTACGGTTTCAAACATTAATGTTATCAGCTGTGTTATCAAACTTCGAAATGTATTATTATTATAACTTTGGTATATTAAGTTATAAACGATTTTGTATTATACATGAATATTTACATTAATTTAAAACTTGGTTGAGGTCGAACATGGGTGAAGAACGCTTGGTTGAATTAGCTTGCTTAATATCCATACACATAGAACAGTTTAAGTTGAAATGAAATGATTGACTTATTTGCTGGCAGTAAAAATCGAAATTTAGATTTTGATTCCAGACACTTTGTTCAATTAATATGCACCCCTCAAAAACGTTTCACAGGTAGGTACGCCACTGGGTAGGTAATAGAACTTCCTATTTCACATGTACCCGTTTTTATGTGTTCACATGAAATTCACATTCGAATCTATAAAACCTTGTACCTCATACAAATCTGTGTACACGTGCAATTATTGACGCGTACACGGACATTCACATAACATTAAAACACGAGAACACGGATAATAAATTCACGTGTGACAGGTAGGCACGTGTATTAAAACGTATACGCGAGTACACATTTTTCATTCACACGTACACGGACTTCGTTTTCACGTTTTTAATCGAAACCTCTAGTAAGTACTCACCTTAGCATCCCACTGCCCAACACGACGGTCAAGCTAATGACGTATATGCAAAATACGCTGGTGTTGTAAGCGTTTTTGGAAATGGCCATGACGGCGATGACCATCTGTTCGGCAAACAAGTAACAGCTTAACATAACGGCTGCGAACAAGCTTAATTCCGTCAAGTTGTTGAATTTCATCAGCCTGTGAGGGTAACGATAAAAATAACACAGCTATTATGTTTAATGTCCATATTAAATATAGATAATAATCGATACGCTGCGCGATTGTCTAATATCGCGAACCAGCGATTATATTCTATTGGAAAATTACAAATAAATTTAATTTTGGTTTTTTCCAATCGCAATATTATATTATAAGTGCAATAGGTGCCTCATACATTAGAATCGTTTGATGATGATTATTTCATATTCTGTCGTTCGATTCGGAATTTGAAAATATTGGTTGTTCGGTATTAGTATTTGGAAATTATTGCTACAGTTGATAACATGTATCCGATTTAATATATTATTGGTATTTATAAGATTGCACGCGCGCAGTAGTGATTTTAAATTTCGACAAAATTATTGTAAAATGTACCTATAGTGCATTGTACGTAATATTATTAAACGATTATATTATAATGACGACTGAACAGAGAGATGAAAAAAAAAAAAAACCAAACAAATTTACTCGAAATCGAAGAATAATATTATTATAATCGCCGGTTCGTGATCAAAGAATCGACCTGTACGGTTATATACAATTATACCTATACAATATAATATTACTATTATACATAATATAATGTGTATAATTTGCCATTGACAGTCCGGGGCAATTTAGCGCGCGTGACACTTACTGGTACAATATGGCCGACGATCCGGCCACGGTGAGAAAAGCGAGCGGCAACGAGAAAGTATAATAGCTGACGAGGAAAAGTGGTCCGTTGTACGTGCCGTCTTGGTTTTCCTGATAGTACCGCGTCCTGTGAGGAGCGACTGTGGAATGCGAGAAAAAAAAAAACCGCGTTATTGCAGGACACGCGGAAAGAAATATTTAGCTCGGTTAACAAAATGCAGTTTATATTTTGTTTCAACTATAATATATTTATAATAATTGCGCTTTAATTGGCTAAAGTCGCTGGTTATTATATTTAGCTGAACATTTATAGTTGAAAATTCGGAATAGCAATAAATATTGTAAATTGAATTACCGCGTATAATTCGTATACTATGTTGTGTACCATGTAATTTTTACATTTAAATCAATTCATATTATGGCCATTTATACCAAAATAAATATAGTTAATCGTACTCAGCATTACGATTCTATCAATTAAACCTGTTATAGACTGTAGTAGCATAATAATACACACTCATAAATTTATTGTAATTGTAATTTTAATATTGGTAGTACGAGATTTTAGATTTAAATAATGATAGAAATTGCCGCCGTTCAGTCAACAAGACGCCATAGATTAAAATATAATAATATACTAATCTATGCTGCAGAAAACAGCAAAATTACGTTACTGAGAACGTTAAGGTTGAAATCAGAGTTTGAAAACAAATTTGAAAAAACTGTCCTAGACGGGTGCAGCCACTGTTATAGATAATGTATATATGTAAGCAACAATTATCCATTGCTAACGAAAAAACGATTTTGAGCGGAGTTCGGTTAATAGTGTTGTTTTGTCAACAATATATATATATATCATAATACGGTAAAATAATTACATATGCATTGTACATTTTCTTTAATAATATTTGTTTAATATTGTACCTATTTTCCCGTTTTCCTACGTTTTTCCCGGTTTTTCTCATTTGTAGGGAAAACTCCTGGGAAAATCAAAAAATGACCTCCTTAAAGTACCTTTCCAGTCAGATTTCCTTTTAGAAAAAACGCTATCATTGAAAATCGGAGCAAAATTAGTGGTAGGAAAGTTGTCCATATAGAAAAAAAAAATAAACATCATTATAAAACCAATACTTTCCTTGCTCCGCTCAGAATCTTAACAATTTAGAGAAAAGATAAAACTTCCATTATAAAAAGTTACAGCTATTTAAAAACAAAAAAAAAAAAAAAAACAATAACAAAATCTAACATGCTACAACTTTTTACTGTGATATTTACTCTTAGAAAAAAACTACGCGTACATTCCTCGGAAATAGTCTCATTTTTATATTTTATTTGTTTTTGAACTCTAATTTGCATTTATACCTAACGCAATAGTTTACGTTTTAATTAGCGTACCTAATTTGCGTCATTTCAGTACTTTGGTAAACCAAGGAAAACTTGTCGAATTTACTGACTGATAATTTATTTACTGTATTATTGAAAACTGAATGTTCGATCGTAGATTTCCTATATGTGTGAGGGCATCATACGAAAAGTACCTATGTATTATATGAAACATTTGCGGATATTTTGATTGTTTTTTTTTCTCGGTCCCAAAAATCCGCAAGGATCAATCAAAATGCCAACATAAGATAAGGCTTAAATAGTTAGACCGAAGAAAATGCCAGATTTGTTCTCCCCAAATGATTGATATTGATATTTTTCCGTAAGACCGACGACGAATAATACGTAAATATTTGCTTTGTACAGGATCGCAGTCACTATGGGAAGTAATCATTTGCGTTTTTAACATATTTTTTGACCGTATTTGGAAGGAATGCAGCTGTTGTAGGCGCCATTAAAAATATTTCTTACACAGGATTCTTAATATTATAATGACAAATTGGCGCCAGTCGTCGGCGTATTATAACCGATACGCAATTCGAACTACGTCAAAGATATTAATCTATTTGTCTTGATGTCATAATACAAAGATATGCCCGCGCGGCCACGCATAAAAAATGCGTCTAAATCATCAAAAACCATCAAAAAAAAAAATTTGGTTTTATAAACAACTTTCTCTTATACAGATATTTTAGATATAATTTGTGTAATTATTAATAACAATAACAGTAATCTCTACGCTACATATTATGTTTTCCATCTTAATTACAAGTACCAAAAAAAAAAAAACAACGTTCCGTCTGTATTTTAAACGTAAATACCGAGCATGGGTACAATAAAAACACTAAAAAGTTTTATTTAAATAGAATAAACATATGCATACTTGCCGTACATTATACATAATAAGTAATACAAGTATAATATACAACATTTTATAAAATGACGTCATAACAAACGAGTAGTTTGTTTTTTTCCCTCTGACACATCAGGCGACATTACAATAAAATCAGGTTTCGTAATTATAGTGTTACTTATTGGAATTTTATGCGGTCGATCTTTAGTTTGGTATACCCAACCGTTTTAGCGTATCATGCCGATATTATATAAATGATAATTTATAGGTACGTACCGACTAAATACGTCCCCGATACTAGTGATGCTATATCATACTAGAGTTTTAGTTTTCTTAAAAATACCAGGGGCAGCTCCAGACTTGGTTGAGAGGGGGAAGGGTAAAAGTCATATTTTTCAGGAAACTGTATTAAAAACATATTTTATAAGTTTATTTATACTTCGTAGTATACAGAGTGATCAGTATATCGTATGTCACTCGTTATCTCGAAAAGTATTTAATTTAGTAGTATTTAATAGTATATAATTTATTTATTTTTGTATAGTTATTTTTAACAAAAATACCAGCTTGAGAGAGCCGCGGCCCCTATCCCCTCTGAAGCCGCCCCTGAAAAATACACCAACCTATCACTTTTACGAATTTCATTTTTGAAAAAAAATATGAAGTGAAACTATATATCATAATAGTCATTATTCAATTTTATTATTATTAGCGAACGCTGATAATAATAGGTACAATGACTATAATGACAGGTGTGCTTAAAAATTAATTTACCGAACAATTTTTTTTTTAAGAAAGTACGTATATTGTATTACCGAGTATGTTATTGTTTTATTCTTGTATGTATATTTTTTTACTACGCCTAATCTATATTCTAATCGTGTCATGTGATCGTATTATAATTATCTATCCAAAAACTCAATCAATATATAACTCGCCATCATAATTTGCCCGAATTTGTTCGAAACCTGATTTTGTTGATTTTCGTTAGAAAGAAAGAAAGTAAACTATTATATTGTATGGTTAAAAGTACAATGACCCAAATAGGTAATATTTTCATTAAACGAATGGAAATTAAATTATTATTATTATTAAGCAAAGAGGCTGGTGTTTAATTTTCTATAGATATCTCGAAATATTGATCAATTGCGAGAATACTATAATTAAGAGAACGGTACACAAGACGCATTTGTGTTTTCGTCTTACGAACGCACGATATAGTCAAAATATGCTTACGCAGACTACGCAGAACTCGATTAATTTTGGTTTTAGAATAAATATACCTATTATAAAATCAAAAGACAACAATATTCTGGAAGGCAAGACGCAGCGTTTTTTTCCATTATCTCTGAATATAACAGTCAATTTACCGTTTATAAATAATGACTTTTTCAGGGTTTTTTTAATTTCTAAAAATGTTAAAAAAATAATTTTTTCAAAAAAAAAACGTAATGTCTTGCTCTCCGGAATATTGTTTTCTATTAATTTTATAATAGGTGCTTTTACTCTAAAACCAAAACCAAGTTAGTTTTGTGTAGTCTGCGTAAGCATGTTTTTACTACATCTTGCGTTTGTAAGACGGAAACAAAAAATGTACTTGTAAAATCCTCTTAATATATTTTTATTATTCGTGTTTTATTTATATCAAACATGTATAGTAAAAGTATACGAAATAATTGCATGGATATAAATTTTAATTTGATATAGGTAGTTTAACCACAAGAATCTGAGCTTGTGACGGGGCAAACGAGTTACGATGAAAGTAAAAATAAAAATAAAGTAAACTTTAAACCTGGAAAAATATTGTACTTTCTAAATTGAATACAATAAATTTTATAACTGTAAAAATATTACGGTTTACAATTTCCCATCAAGAAACAATACAAATTTTTAAAATTGATCAATATACGAGGTCCTTTTCATGTTATTATTTACACAAGTACTAGCCAAGTACTGACAACTGATTTAATGTCTCTACTTCCCTACGTATTATCATAATTTATTTCGGCATAATCGAAATACCATACATATATATGCTACCGTATAATAATATTATCTATCTATCGTAAATATTATAGATATCAGATTGAATATAGTTAAGTTTTTTTTCCGTAAGATTTTTTAATGGGTTTCTACGTTTGCATATTTAAAATTTATAAATATTGTATTATTTTTTTCCTGTAGGCAAGGACTGACGAGATACTTCAAAATGAGTATTTATAGTTACTCGATATTTTTCAGAACTGTATCGCATCAAAAGATTCAAGATACAACTATTGTGTCTAAGATACGGTCCAACTAGCATATGTATAAATAATAATAGACAGGTATATACTTACACGTATACGCCGTAGTAAATATCGACGTCAAATACGTCGTTGTTATGCACGTTAACAACAGACCGCTCCGAGACATGAATGTTGTCTGATAGTCCTATTTGTTTTTTTTTTCAGGTATAGGTAATATAAAATATGTTATTATGATGACAACGCAAATAAATATTAAATATATTATAATCACGACTATGGAATCGATGAACCACGATAAAATATTTCGCGGAAAAACTCACTTTGATGTCGTGGTAAAACGTCCAGATCAACAAGAAAGCGACGGGCAGAGCGATAAGTCGAGCCGCCAAGTAAAACAGTGCTTGCCAGGAACATCCAAAAGTGGACGCAAATTGACGTCTGTATAAAAATAATATCATAGAAGATAATTTTAATGAGTTCAAATACACGTATTAAATAATAAACACATATAATAATATTGTGTTATACAAAAATCGTGCAAAAATAAACGAACACGGGTAGGCACATTAGGATATTAAATAACGCAGTTATGTACAGCGTATGTTCCGGTATTGCGCAGTCCAATTTATCACTATAATAACAATTATTGTTATTATTATATCCTATAGTTTTTACTAGATTTTTTTTTTTTTTTCATACGTTCGTGTCGAGCCAATTATATATAGTATAGTTGCGTAAGAGTATAAAAAGAAATTATAGATAAAAATCGCGTTAGCATTGCAGTTAGGTATATAGTATAGGTAATACGAAAACATTTCAGCCAGTAGTGCACGGTTATGAAAATTACACTAGAAATCAGAACAATTCGGTTGACACGACATAGATTTTACGTAGTTGTGCAAAGAGATTGCGGCTGCAGTCGATGTCGATTTACAACAATTATAACGTGTAATAAAGCTTGAAGTTAAATGGTGAGAAAACATCACTGACTACAGGTAGGTGCCTACCTACGGACGGCGATACGAGGTCGTCGGAGAGTTCGAGACTATCGAGTAATGGTGTAATAATCTACGATATTATTATGAAAATCAGTAGGTACAGCTGGATAAAGGTACCATTATATTATTACATTAATAATAGTTTCAATACGATCTGTTCAATGACAATTTTGATTTTTTTTTTTTACAAATAGGTAGGTTATAGCTTTTATAGTCTACTCTATTATAGGTTTAGCTACCTATAGGTACCTATAATAGTGGGCGGGCCAAGAAAACCTTCGGCTAATTAAATTTCGAATGTAATTTATAAATATTATTATAGGATATATTTTTTTTTAACCAACTGTGTATAGATATCAATAATATACCCGTTTTATTTTTTATTAGGTAATACATAAGTAATAACGTATAATAACAGTGATACGGTCGGATGGATTAAGCATCTAAAGCCATAAAGGTAAGAAATTGACGTAATTTGCTCCGCAAAATTATTTTAGGACGTTTTGAGGTTACACATATTATATAAAATGTAAAATATATTATGAACGTCTTTAACATCCTGAGCGGAGCGAGAAATGGATATTGGTGTCGTATGTTTTTGATCAAGTCCGTTCGGGAGATCATTTTTTGAAATTCCTATAACCTTTCTTCTTTTAGCAAATAAGGAAAAGCTGATTAAAAAAAAAAAAAAAAAAACATTACGATACTTCAAATGTTTGACATCAATGTTGCGGAGAGATACGAAATTTCGAACATAGGTGGACCGTGGACAGATTGGGGTCAAATGACAAAATAGTATTTTAAGAATATGCGTTAAAAAAGATGCAAGATTAAATTACGACGGGTATGGAAGGGTTTAAATTATCGATATTATACGATGATAATGCATAATTATGCATTATATAATGTATAATATTTTAACTGTTGGAAATGTCAAAAAATATTTCAAATCAACTACTGAATCATCTTATAAATGTGAATGCTTGAAAAAATCGAATCATTTTTACAATATTTTACTAATCAAAACAGTATTTACCGAGAAAAAAAATGTTGTTTTTTTTATTTTGTAAGGAACAAAATATACCTTAAATCTTCTGTTGCTTTCTATATACCTATAAACGTGTTATTGAAAGATGCTTAAGAGTAAGTCCGTAAATACGGTACTAACTAAATATCTGTGTTATACGGTATACACGACCGTTTACTTTCAGTAAACATACCGTAAAATACTCAGACACAATGGATATTTTTTTTTCTCTAAAATTAAATATCTAGAAAAATGGAGGTATTCAACATATACACGAATTGAAATAAAAATCGAATTTTATAGGCGTATGAAAATAACAGTTACGATTTTATTTATGTATATTGTTATTTTATATGTACATCCGATTATATTGTATACCTGGTATTATTTTAGATTCTGAGCGAAACGAGGAATGTATTGGTGTTACAATGATGTTTATTTGTTTTTTTTTTATACTGTATACAAAAAGTTTTACCAGAAATTTCGCTCCGATTTTCAAGTGTAGTAGTTTTTTGAAAGGAAATTTTCCTGGAGTGGCACTTTAAGGAGGTCAATTTTTCAAGCAGTTTTCAAAATAATTATGAAGAACCGGGAAAATTTACGAAAATAATGCTTTTATTTTTTTCAATTTTCTTTTTTTTCTTTTATGTAATTCGAAATGTTCGTAGAGACTTGAAATTTGTACAGGTTATAACTCGTACCTTTGCCTTTTCTAGATACGGTAAAATTTTCAAAACATTTGACCCATTTTTGAGCTATTTATAATCATTTTAATTTTGCTAGTTTTTTTTACGTTATATTTATTTGGTAGGTAGTAGGTAGGTACTCTGTGGATAAAATTGTTAGACCAAACAGAAATATTTGAATATTTAACAGGAGGTTCATTATAATTCGTACTTAGTGGTCGATAAGAAAAATTTGAGTTTAATGTAGTATTTTTTTTTTTTTTTTATTATAAGAATTATAATATCAAATTTGTTCGAAAATCGTAAATATTACGGCCTCTTAAAACAAATTGTTTAACAGAACTCCGTTCGAAATCGTTTTACGTTAGCTTATTAATCGTTGCGTACGAATATACATTAAATTCCCCTCTATATATCCTATATACGTTCCCAACTTCTCACCTACAACAGTGACCCACCCATGTATCGTGCGAAGTATGTCCGTCTTTTTTACTATCACATTTCGTTTTGATTCAGCACCGTCGTTTATAATAATAAGTATGTATATAAATCGATGGCGTTTTATATATTATACGTTTCGAAAAATATATCCGATTATTGTATTATAACCGCGAAAAGGTTATTGAAATATCACGACAAAGCGAGAAACATCAAAAATAATACGGTATGAAAAAAAAATAAAAACATATCGGGTTAAAATGGCTTGTGGTAAAAATAATGTCGTTTTTTTTTTATATTCCTCGAGGGTATACACAAAAAAAAATAAAACGACAAAATCAATTACAATAAATATTATTCGGTGGACCGCGAAAAAGCATCAATTCGTTTTATTGTTGTTATACATGTATACGCAGCCGTTTTATGTATATACACGTGCCGGATATGTATCCATACTGCAGTAATATTTTATTGTTATTTTTTTGCGTTACTATTTTTCGGATAATATATTATTATTATTATTGTTATTATATATTTTAGCGGGGCATAGCACTCACTGGTAGAGAGTCATGCCGATTTGTGTGGTCGAAGACCCCTGGGCGGAGTACGGGTAAGGATGCGAGTTGGGCTGGTGGTCACTAGCCGGCGATCCGAGGAGCACGGACATGGCGGACGATTTTCTGTACGGCGCCCCTTCCATTTTGAACTTTTCCACTAGTGCCACGATCTGTGCGTTGGACTCGACGAACCTTTCGCGCGATCGCCGATCGACCGTAGACAAGCAGACTGTAACAATCAACGATAACAAATTATTGCGGTTTACCAATGAAATAATCTACGCGATATTATAATATTGTTCATCATTAATTCGTCGGTGTTCCACATTCGACGCCGAGATCAGCGATATGATTTATTGCAATATACAATAAAATTGTTTTTTTTTTTTTTTTTTGTTACAACTCTAATGCTCCATTCTAATCGATTGCTCGCCTTTTCTTTTAGTTTTAGTTTTTTTTTTTTTTTAAACGTTTTAAATCTTACGTAATTTAAAATGTGTCCTATGCAATACATAATATAAGAGTTACGAGGTCACACCGCAATTCTCTTCCCAGCAATCGTGCCCTCAATAGTTATATTATACCAGCACTTTTGGGCATATCGGGCCACGAACGCACGTTTTTCTTTTAAAATTCCTATACTATATCTCTTCGTTTGTTTTCCTCTGTATCCAACTTGTGTTTTTCATACACCTCCGGCACCACGTCTTAAAAGCTTCATATTTTTTCCTTTCGATACTATATGTAATCGTGTCTATGACAATGTAGTTAAAATTAAAACACTAAACATGCCGGCACCTATGCACTTAAAACCCCTATAATTAATATACACTAAAAATATGCTTTAATTATTTTAGATTCTGAGTGAAGTGTTGTTTATTTTCATTTTCATACTGTGTATAAAATTTTTCCTAGACAACTTGCTTCAAAACATAACAAGAGACTTTTTTTGTTTCATTTTCACTTTAGTTTACTCTCTCAGTAATCGTTTTGGTATACTATAGGTATTTTCTTTGAAATTCTTATTAACATTCGAGATAGTGAGGAAAAACTGGTTCTTTGGGTTAAAAAAAGAATTAAAGGATTATAAATAAGGTTATCGTTAACAACCATTTTTATTTATTTATTGTTATTATCATTTTAAAATCTTTTAATTTTTTTTTAACAATCGTCGTCGTCGTGAAAACGCACATTGTTTAAAAAGCAATACTATTGACCAAACTCCACTCAGAATTGTTTCCCGTTAGCATTTATCGTTGCAAACAGACATAAGTTAAATTTCCCTTTATATCCTACCTTCTTAACTTCTCACCTATAACAGTGGCCCACCCGTGGTGCGAAGTATGTCCATCAGGTTTTTTTTTCCAATGATTTCATACAACATATTAATGATTGAAAAACATCTAATTCAATTTCATGCCAAACAATGACCAAATTTTTTCTACGGTTGTGCAAAAAAAATATGCAAATTCTAGAAGTCCTCTGTTCTACTCATGACACACGTTTCAATTTCACATCCACATTATACGCTCCAAATAGGTATACTATGTTAACAATATCAAGGTACGACACGATTATGGACCGTGGATAGGTTTGCGATTTGTTAAATAATAATATTGTGATAAATAGAGTTCAGAAAAAAAACCACTTCAACAATAATAACTATTATACATTTTATATTATATTTATGTAAACGGCCAGAATTTCACGATTACCGTCAATTTTTTACGGACCATTGACCCTTACATATTATTATGATAAAAACGTAAGAAATATCTATTTATATAGCTTTAAAACGTTGATAAATAATAAATAATCGTCGATTTTAATAACATAATAAAAATATTATACTCGCATTGTATAGGCGCACGACAAACAGTGTGTGACGTTAACGAGTGGGGCTTCCGTGACTATATAATATAATATATTGTTTATGCTTATGTATTCATTTCCCATATTATCTACGGTCTTGTACGACATATTGTACTTGTATATATACACAAGTATTCAATGAACACATTATTATTGACGATTAGTTACAGATAGTTTACGCGACGCGACGTGGTCTCATTGAAATTATGCGCATTTTTAATTGTGCCTTCTGTAAACATTTCGTTGTTTTTTTTTTTTTTTTTTGCCGAAATATTATTAAATTACGAGTATAATAGGTACGTAAACCTCATTATAACTTCTAAGAGATATGTCATTATATACTTCGAATTTTACGTGTATTTTAATATAGATAAAAAAATGGGTACTGCAACCTTGTAGTTTTTATTTGTCCACCGTAACAAATAAATGTATAATTATACGATATTATTGAGTATAAAATATATGGGTAGGCTTTATACGATAGCAAAAAAAATTCAAACGGACGGTTTTTACGGGGAGTGTTTACTTTTAGTAAAAATAATCGCCGTAGATTGGACACGACTCCTATATAATCGAGTAACTTTTAATTTTCCCTCTTTTCATATTTATCTAGGTCGTTTTTCACGAGTATTTTAATAAACCTGTACCATATTCATTTCTTTGTATTATTAAAAATTCCCTGCCTTTACCCATTATTGTAATTTTGTTATTCGATTCTTGTAAAATACGACGTGTTTTAAAACGTAAGTTTTTTCACAGTAATTATTAATTTACCGTTCTACAATATACATATTATAAAATATTATGAAACGAGTTTACTCAGTTTTCTCACAAATTTATATGATAACATCTTCATTAAAAAAAAAAAAAAAAAAAAAAAACTAGTGAGAATTCAATTTAATCGTACCATTCAACACGCTCGTAGATTGACATTTCATATAGAATTTAATATTTATGTAAATATAGTACACAGAAAATGATCAAAACTGATTATTAAACTATTTCTCATAGACCATGTCTCATGTAATCATGTCCGCATCTCATATACCATGTGGTTGAAATTATAACTTATAATCATACAAAAATAATTTTTATTGATTATTTTTTTTATATATATATAGGTACTTTTACAAAATGATTTGTGTTAATCAAAGGATGCACATGGATATAGTATAATGCAGTATTAGAGGTCTTATTTGAAAGTAAAAGTATTTTATAAGACGTAATAAAAAGGAGAAGATTACAATGGACACGACATGGTGATTGTAGAAGTCAGAATGAGCTAATAAAAGCGGCGGTGACACTGAATCGTCGTGGAAAAAGACCTCCAGGAAAACACGGAACAGAATTGGAAGATGTAATCAAATTTATATGGAATTACTAGAAATTCGAATTAGAGGTTTGGAAATATCCAAAATCAATGGACATAAGAAGAATGGGTATTGGTTGTTAAATGAGGTGGGCTAACCAAGGCTAAACCAGGGTAAAAGAAGAGAGGTATGACATATTGGTGTTTATTGGTGCTTATTAGTATTTGAATGATATATATATTGCTATATGAAATTTATCAATTAAACACATTAAATGCATATATCTCACTTCCTTACCTACTTGTTAGTCGTTACGGTAAATAAAAAGAAACAAACGAAACACAAATTTCGTATTATTATAAAATAATAATATACGATTATGTACGAGGGTTATAATTTAACGAATCGTCTACAATTTATTACAGAAAAAACGATAATATTTTTGTACTAGTACACCTACACCCGACACACTGAAGTACTTACATGCATATTATAATAATATATTATTTTTTTTTAACACGCGAATCTATTGGCCGTGTAAACTCATACATACGTTTATTATTATTATGATTATGAACTCCGGTAATTCATTTTAACGTTTAGTCTTATGTAATTTATAACATCCTATTAATATTCATAATAATTTTACGATTTTGCATAAAATATGTTTACAATAGCATTGTAATATTGTTATCCATATTATACGGTAATCCTACGCGACCATTTCGTTGATCATTTTGACACCAGTACAGGAACTATTTTATTTCATTCTTCGTATAATACACACTCTCTTTTCTGGGTAAGCGGACCCGTATTTGGGGGCATGGACCCCGGCACACCTTATCGGTCTCATAATACAGTTTATGCCACCACTTTTTATTAACACACTATTTTTAATACTAATTAGGCCGTATAAATATCAATAAAATATCATCACATTTTACGAGAATATAGTTTAAATTTTACAGATTTCGTTGGGATAGGATCCAATCGGTTTAGTATCAAAGTACGATACATATAACTTTAAAGCTATACGAATATTCTAATTGTATAATCATATTTGTTATTATTATGTTTATTATTTTTTTAATATTAATGGAATCAAAGCCACATAATAAAAGAATAGTTTATATTTTATAATATAATCGTTATAAAGTAATTTTAATTTACTTCAATTAATTTCTGAAAATTATTTTCATATAGGGATCATTTAAATAATTATATTTGACGTAGGTGCACATATAGTGATGACCACAGGGGAAAATTTGGGAAAGTAGGATATATGGGAATTTAACTTATATCTGAACGAAACTATAAACCATTGCAAACAAACAACAATTCGGATCAAAATTCGGTTATAAATGTTTTGAAATGCCGTAATATTTATGATTTTCGTCAAAATTTGATATTAAAATTCTTATATGAAAAAAAAATTCTACACTAAACTCAATATCATAATATAATAGTAAGAAAATATGCTATTCTTGAAATTTGGACAGATATTTCTGGCAGAATAATATAATCTTAATAATTTTAAATAATGAAATTGTTGCGCATTATTTTGGCGTAATTTTTCGTCTTTTTTTTTTATTTTCTCAATTATTTTAAAAACTACCAAGAAAATATAAAAAAGAATTACTTTTTCAGGAATAGATTAAAAATGCAACAAAAATGTTAGTAATTTTAGTCCTTCCACGGCCTTAGTCGCCATCAGCAAACCAAACAAATAAAATCAGACAACAACATCACCCCACCAGCAAAGGCCCGGAGTGGTTAACCGGTCTTCGGCCATCACAGAAAGCAAAGCAAAGGAATGCAGTGATTTTAGTAATTTTTATATTGGAGCAATATTTCTGGTACAAAACATAAGTTGTAAAAATTAAAATAATTAAACCGGGACACCACGTTTCCGTAAATATTTACCGTTTTAACTATAATTATTTTTCCGGTTTTTCCCAATTATTTTTAAAATCCCCTGGAAAATCAAAAGATGACATCATCAATGCATCCACTAGATAAAATGACCTTTTAGAAAAGATGATACACGTGATACTACAGAGCAGAATTTCTAGTAGAAAAATTGTTTTTGGCTTTGCTTTATGTTTGGAGATGATAACACTGACTGACCCTTACTCGCAATTCAATCAGAGCCTGTAATATGCCAGTATCGAGTTAACATTGGCCGCCAGTACTAATTTTCCAGTACTAAAGTAGTACTGGATAAAATTGTGGCCAGTACTATACCCGTAAGGACCAGCCAACTGTTGGGTAGTTAGTGCAGGCATATTACTGCGCCTTTTGTGAGTGTCGGCGTGTCATAAATTTTCGATTGGGATTACGTTAAAAATGACTATACATTTTGATGTGAACATGTCAGTTAACGAATTTATCGATTTTGTATTTGTTAGTTAAACGTATTTCTCAAAATAAAAAAAAAATAAAATAACGGTTTTTTTCAGGATCATCAAAAAAGTAGAATATTTATTATTTACAGTATTATTAGATGGTCAGGCAAATCATAAATAAATAAAAGTGGGGAATCGGGCATACATACGTATATGCATACGCCTACCATTAAATCCATCAGCGGAACTATAAAAAGAACATTGTTCGATAGTTTAGTTGAAGAGCTGTGGACGCTGTGGTATGCATTTAAATTAACGAATAATTTGATTGAAATAGGAGTTTTGAATCTAATATCTAATCGCAAAATTGTATTGTTATTTAAGTGTGAGAAAGATTAAATTCGACATTAAATGCATTTATATTTATAATAGTAATCGATTTTGATAGCTTCAATTACGTATTTATTCTATTTATTTGATTTTTTTTGTTTGTAAATATAATGTTCCTGTCCAGAGAAAATCGAATAACGGAATTTTTTTTTTTAGCGTCATTGGAAAAATAAAGTAGAGTATTTACAGCCGGTACCTACAGAATGTACGGTTTACAGTATCTTTGTACTGTAAACAATATCGGTTCAATAATAAATAAAGAAAATTAAAAGGCGCGAAATAGGACATAAATGTAAATTATATAATTATAATTGGTACTTCACGTACCACATAAATTATGTTTAACGATTTTATTTAGAAGAAGAAAATCCATTCTATCAATTTTTTTTACGGCTTTTTTATTCATAAATATTATATGTGTAGATCATTTTATTTCAATTTTACTATAGGTATTTATTTTTTTTTTTTAAATTTACATAGCTTTTTAAGCTATCACTATAAATTGTATAATATAGTCTTAAATTTTAAAAATGTATAAATAATTAACAACTATAGATGTATTTTACTTACGATAATACATAAGTGGATTTTCCATTTCTGGACATGGGAAACCAACTGCTCGAAAATAATCCAACATCATCCTAGTTGGCCCAGCGTATACCAAGTCACCCAAACATAGGTAAGCAACACGTTCGAGAAACGGAAAAACATCAGACCGTGGTTTTTCCATAGTTAATATCACAGCCCTACCTCTACGTTTAGCATGACTGCTGACCATTGATACGACTAAGTATGTAGTCAAAGGATCTAATCCAGCGGTTGGTTCATCCAATAACAATAATACTATAAATAAGTAATAAATATTATTAGCGTATTCTCTACCAAGTGAAGGTTTTCATACAATTTCAGGAAATTATTTTTACCTGGATCTTTAACTAATTGCGTTCCGATCACTAGTCTTCGGTACTCGCCCTCGGTCAAAGCTTCTACACTGTGTCTAGCAACTTGGCTGAGAGCTAAGTCAGCCAACACTTGTCTGACCCTAGAGTCTTTAACATAACCACTGACTTGTGAGCCAATGGATAAATTGGCAGCATAGTGTAATGTTTGTTGTACGGATAATGATGGAACAAGATCTGCTCGATGACCAACATATGCACAACATTGATTGAACATAGCTTGTGTAAGTGGCCTGCCGTCTAAGAGAATTTGTCCTCGAGATAGTCCTTTACTTCGTCTGGCAATGACTTCTAGAAGTGCTCGTTTGCCACTACCTAAAGGTAAAAAGTAAACAATCTTAAAATAACAGCACCTTTTTAAAACATCTATGTACAAAATATGTAAATAAAATATTCTAAAAACAATAAATGAGTATTTTGTTTTGATAATTTTGAAAGATATTTACCTACATATCATACCTACATACCTATACATCATACCATACATAGTTATCATACCTATATATTTATGTAAAATTTGTTGAAAATTTCGAAAAATGATAAAAGTTAAATGATAAAATAAACGGAATAAATTGTTGTTTCCAATATTAGAATAATGAAATTTCGACTAGTGACCAGCGCTTTCGTGACTCACCCACAACAGTGACCTACCTACTTTAAGTAGATACTGTATGTAATTTTTTCTAGTGGTGAGTCGATGAAACTTTATTTCTATATCCGATATTTTGTTATAAATCCAATATCCGATCTGATATTTAACATCGTCACGTTGATAATCATGTGTTACCTACATATCAGTTGAAAAACCAATTTTTAACGCTTTTTTCGTTCCTCAGACATCTTTTTTCCCAATAATATCGAGTCGAATATCAGTTTTTAAAAAAAAAAACCCCAATGTCCGATATCCTTAATATCGGCCGTTATACGATATCGGTTTACGCCGATACTCATCACTCATTGTTTACAATCCTTTTTTCCACATCTATAAACGAATTATAGTAATTACAAATATTGTTAGAATGGTAGGTAAATAGAAAAATAATACAAATTTGATCATATTTGTTGTTGACACCATCGTCCGTCTAACAACAATACCATTGTAAAAGTATTTAACACCCGGTAACAATATTTTAATATAGTAATATTATTTTACCTTTCGATCCCAGAATGGCCATTACTTCGCCAGCCCTAACTTCCAGTGTGATATCCTTGAGTATAAGCCCGGTTTGTACCGATCCAAAAAGTCTCTGGAAACACGACGCCGGCTCTACTTGGCCCGTGTGAAAAATGTTATTCAGCTCTAAAGAATAATCGCCACCAATCATTTTGGATGGTTTCATTGTAACTGAATGGTAGACAGTTATGTTGCGTGTGCAGCACAAGAACTGCTGGACCGAAACCTCTATCGTTCTGTGTAGTCACAGAAGGTCGTTGCCACTGTAGCCAACCACATTTAGCCATTTTACTGTGCGATTTACTCTAGAGGTGAAAGACCGGTTTAGTTGGCTGCCTTGGAGCGTACCTGCTGGCCGCCCTCTCGGATACCTGGTATACAGGTGTCTCGGACGATTTCACACACCACGGCAGTCCGTAGCTACCGCCGCTTACCTGTCCGTCGTCAGTGCCGCGATATTCCCTCCAAATGCGTGTTATAATTTTATAAAAACCGAATTTCAAAGTGATGATATTTTGAAAAAAAAAAAAATAAAATATCGATTTTAACGATGGTGTAAGTAGTATTTCAAGACCAAACAGCACAATAATTACAGTGAATTGAAATATCACCCATAGTGGTTTAAGGATCCTTCGATTATGGACTGATAGCTGCTACACATTTTAGTAAGTCTATATATTATTATGCACTTATATGTTTTTTTTTTTTTTTCATAATGTTAACGATTATTTTATCTGCGTGATATCTGCATACTGTATGGGTATCCTACGTATCTATACATCTTTATGTATCGCATATAAACACTAGTTCGATTTGTTTGATTGGGATATTGTTTTACAACGTTGCATATCGAATTTAAATCATGACTTTTGTGGCAATGTATAGTGGGTGAGCATAACATTATCATTGAATAACACTGTCCTTGTATAACACGACGGGATGGTCGTACGGGTCGTAAGGGCATCTCTCTTTTTGCCAAACAAACAATAGTTACCTATAGTTCAATGCACGTTAATATTTATGCGTTATAAAAACGACAACGGGGCGCGGTTGAGTTGAATAGCAAATGTATGTTATAACAATATCATGTGGGTAGTCAAATTACGAAAAGAAAAAAAAAAACAAACGGTGACCAGTCCCGGAGGAATGCGACACGTTGACCTCTAAACTTGGCAAGGGGCATAGTAATGGGAACCTATAGTTAATATTTACGTGTTTTCACATTCGTATCGGCACTTGGCATTGCACGGATTACTAGTGGCCGGAAGTTTTATCACTATTGTTGTATTTCATTAGTGTTAATTATTCACGTAGTAACGTCTATTGAATTATGAAGGAGTTAAGCCCGGATTTAGGAGGATGCTCGGGTCTTGGAATTTCCATAATATATGGTGACCATATTATATTGATATATTATAATCTTACTTGCGAACAATTTATATTTCGATTACACTTGTAAATATGATAAACATATTCACAAATTCCATTTTATATGAGCGTAATTATAGAGCAAGAAATTGCACTTCCTTAAACCATCAACCGTAACCGACTTATATAGATTATTGAATAACAATATTATCTAAGAAAACATAATTTTAATGAATTCATAAATAAATAATAACCTACTCGCCAACTATCCAAGTATCCAAGAAGAATAACTAGTTAGATGGTCGTGGAGATTATGGTAACTATAATATACACAGAGACGTGTTTTAGGACTAATCTATAAAGTACAGACATCTCATGGTTTTTACATTCCTAACTATTTAAATTGTAAAATAAGTAGTAGAAGTTAAATGACAGATTTAATATTTTAAATTTGAATATTTTTTACTGTTTTATGTGCATAATTAACTTTTTAAAATACTATTTATTATTGGAACAAACAATAAATTTACTGAGAAATTTATATTTTAATTTGTATGTAATTTAATTTAAATAGGTATCCACTTACATAAAAATATTTCAAACAAATATTTAAGTAACTAGGCACCTATGAATTATATTTATAATATGAATTTTAAAATATCTATGTTACGCATCCATAGGTATACCCGATTTACACTTACACACTATGCGGTTGTAAAAGTTCTAGGTATATTACCCATAGTTAAAAATTTAAATAAGTTATGTAAAGTATAATCATTATTAGATATTTATTCATAACTTTTTTACTTCTACATATATTTTATTCTCCACACTATTTTTTGTATTATACATTTCACACACAAATAGGTAGTATAGGTTTGGCTAATAATGGTTATATTTTAATACAGGTAGGTACCTACCTAATTATTTTGTATTATTCGATTGGGGCTGTAGATTTTAAAGTTATACTTGCACGAGTTCTACGAGTATTTACAGGTTAGTATAGCGTTAGAGACAGTAAATATTAAACAATTATAATTATTATAATCAATAGACATACTGAAGGTGGAGGTAGATATCTATATACAGACACCTACCTATATACGGGCTATACTCATTTATCATTTTACTGAATGGTTATGTTGGCTTAGGTTAGGTACATTAAGTACCTATTATATTATTTTTAATAAGTAGTTGTGCTCGAATAAATCTTCAAAATAATAAATAAATAATAATTAGGTATTTCTTGTAAATTGCGCGATGTGCAAATTCAGCAATAAGTTAATACCTACCTACATAATAAAGACTGAAATTAAATTTCCGTTATATAATCTATGGTAGGATAATATTTCGAGAATCGAGGTATATATTAAGTTTCGTCATGAACATAATATCATTAACATAATGTTCTTAATTTTGATAATAAAATTCAAAATTGAATACCTAATAATTTTTAAATGACAGTCAAATCAAAATTTAATTTAATTGGGATAACTCTGCTGAAGTAAAATAGTATTTCATTTTGATAAAATACACTTTATTCAAACTAATTATTGCAGTTACAAATGAATCGAGTGGAGAAATATTAGGGTCAGTGAACTATACCTCCGTATATATAACTATACCACGGGAGTTGGGGAGATATATTGTGTTCTTGGGTCGATGGCGATGCGAAATAAACGTGTAGTATCAATAAAAGTATGGTGATAATTTCAAATTTTATTAGTAAAAAGGACAGATGTATAGAATAAATAATTATAGTAAAAATAGACTGCGTTAATCTATTGGCAATGAGTAATAACAAACTAGTCATTTATGTTTTCCTTCTTACATAAACATTTCGATTTTTTTTTATTTCGTATTATACTGTAGGCTGGTAAAAAATGCTGTCACTTTTTATTACTTCTGTTATGTTTTTAACGAATCTAATCATACATTTGAAATTAAACGCCTCTTAAAATAAATAATATTATTAAGCTTAATCTTTTTTTATCGCGTAATACAATATATTATGGTGAAACTTATTCTATCAAATTATTCAATCTAATTATTAGCCTTTTTACGAAGTTAAAAAATTGAATTCACATACATTTGAATTTGTTCGGTCATTATTTTAAAATTAATAAACAAACGGACATACTTTGCACCATGAGTGGGTTACTATTGTAGGTATGAAGTTAGGAATGTAAAGGGGAAATTTAATGCATATCTGTATACAAAGATTAATAATTGTTAACTAAAACGATTCTGAGCGGAGTTTGGTTGTACATGTTTTAAAAGGCCGTAATATTTGAAAATAATTTCGTATATTTTCTCGTTTTTCTTATGTTTCTCTCGATTTTTTCCCATTTATTATGAAAACTCCTAGGAAAACCTAAAATACCACTCCAGTCAGATTCTCTTTCAGAAAAATGCTAGGTACACTAGACAAGTTGTTCATAGAAACAAAAATAAACATCATCATTGTAAAACCAATACATTCCTTGCTGCGCTCAGAATCTAAAATAATGGACCTAAGACAGCGACAAAAATATGGACCACTAGTTTTTTTTAATCCTTGTGGACCGATCTGTTGCCAGTCCGTCACTGAATGACTGTAAACTAATGTACATCCTATAAGCACTTGTATCTACAATTACTGCTTATTTATGCCATTGAATATTTTTTACTAAATCAACATAAATTATGATTTAAATAATACTATGAAAATATGGTGGAATATTTATTAAGATTAAATTTAGTCAAATATAACGAAATTTAATAATAATTATAATTATATCAGAAACCAAGTAGTTATAAAAATATTGTTTTTAAGCTAAAAGTTAAATAACAATTAAATTTTAATTACTAGTGTACCTCGGTATTACATTGTAATATTGTAATTTGTATGACCTATGTATTTATAATATTACATTATTTTCCCACGTGATACATTTTTCATTACCGTAATAAATTATGGACATCATCCACTTTAAATCGAATTGAGCTATTAACGTACATCATATTGTCTTATATGTTTATAGTTATTACTAAAAAAAAAAAACTGTTTTTAACTAATACCGAGCAATTTACATTAAAATTAAAATTATAAAATTAGATTTACGAATTTAAACAAAACTATTTTTCAATATTATCCTGTCGGTAATCGACAATGATGTATACGTTTACAGTTTGTTTTTCCAACAAATATTTAACGTTATTCAGAAATGCTTGAATGAACACCGTTTAATACAAAACAACGAAAGAAATCAAAACAGAAGGGTGGGAGATTGATATGTGCACAATGCATCTATTATGTGTATTATATATTTTATTATAATGCATAAGACACCTGCATTATATATTTTAGGTATTTTAATATTTAAATTTGATATAAATTATATAAAAGAATGAATGTGATATTATTTTCTATACATTCAATTCAAAAATTCAAATCAATACAATATTTCTTTAATTCATATTTGTTTTCTATTTGGTAGAACCATTTTAGTAATAGTACTGATATAATACTATAATAGTAATTAATAACTAATGAGTTAAAGGTTAAAGCTGAAATTGCATTGATACAATCTTTCGTTTAATTATACCAGTGGCCAGTGGGCTACACGTTGGTTATTTTTAAACTAGTGACAGCTATAATTTATTATTATTTAACCTGGCCGGCGACGTTGGGTAATGCCAGCTTTCACGTGCAAGACCATAATACTATAAACTTTATTATTACTAACAATCCTTATTCAGCGTGCAGGCGTTGTCCGACTATATTTTATTAATCCCAATCTTCTATTCGACAAAAAATGAAATGAATCCCATTAGAAGTTACGGAGATAAGAGGCGATGAAAAAAACACCTCCATCAGTAAAAAAAAAAACATAGTTACAAAGTAAAAATTGTCCAGAACTCCAGCATAGGTACAGTTTGTGTAATTTGTTTGTCTAAAAACATGTCCAGTTATTTTGTCAACTTACAGTTCTCCCTTATTTGCGTATGTGAACTCCGCGCAATTATTACCTCAAGCGATTCCACCCACTGTAAAATTGTATATACAGTGTAAATACCGGGATAATTATTGGACCGTGAAAAACATTAAATTCGTTTGTTTACCCGTGTTGTCAAGGGAAACTCAAAACGGAAAAAACAATAAAAAAAATATGTATTCAGTTTTCGTATTCAAAGTCCAAAATTTAAGTCTAAGTATGTGAGTTCTCGTTAGCCCGGGATTTTAAGAGTTTTTACCATTTGTTTTCTTGATCATAATTCACACGTGTACTCTATAATAATATACACATTACGCAGTCAAATTTAATTTTCTTTTTTAGATTCTGAGAAGACCGAAGAAGCTATTAATTTTACTAAAATCTGTTTTTTCTTTAAAAAACATTTTTTCATTTAGGTAAATACTCAAAATAAGAACTAAAAAAATAAAAATCTATCTCATCTCAACTCTAAAGTACTATTTGATTATTATTATTTTTTTGTCATTTATAAATTATCTATCTTCATGATGTGCATTTTTTTCTGTTACTCTACTGCTTCAAAAATGATTACTAGAAAAAAAATAAACACACTACCTTCTAAATCAATAGCTCCCTTGATTGCTCTGAATCTTAAATTAAATAATTTTTATATCACAAAACATTATGTGATAGTTAATGTTATAATGTATTATAATATTCGTAAAAAAATATAAAAAAAAAATTGAAATTGAAAATAATAAAATGCCTATTGTATCTATAATATACCAGGTAAATACTCGAAGGTATTTCTTATTATATCTTGTGGTTTATAATTTTTTTTTTTCTAACCATATGGTTCTCTAAGAGTTAATTATAAGTATAATAATTATAAAACACTTGTTATTTGTTATTAATTGTTTTAAAAATAATTTATACTATTTCCAATGCGAATAAAATGCAACATTATAATAACGTGTTACAAAAAAACTGTTCGATAGTTTATACGAATTTTAATGGCACCTAGGTGTCTATATTATAATACAGAGAGTGCCGAACTATGTTGTTCTATTATATTTATTAAATTGAATATTTCTAATCATTTAATATTCATGTGTCGTGTGTATAGTGCTATTATATATTCATGTTTCAACTCAATTGTATAAGACTAATCGATTTTCTAGTTCACAAATGAATATTAATTAAGGCTATAAAGATCTATTTTATAACAGGTCATTGAACGATCTGTGTCCAAGAATGTCATCGATTCCACGGTCAAAGACGTCGATTTTGTGATGATAATCGATTCTGCAAGTGCATTTTTTTTTTCTGTAGGCTTGTCCTTGACACGGATATAAAAAAGATCATTTCGTCGTTTGTCATTTAATTTTAGGTTTTTTTCTTTAACCGTCTTTACGCGATATTTCCATACCGTGAACAATCGCTGCTTGGGAAGAGAGCATTGACATGTTCCTGCGGTGCAGATATAATATATATATATATATATATATAGCTACACCGAAACAGATCTCGTTCCCAGGATCGTTCTAATTAGCCTCAAAAATAGCCACTGAATGCTATTAACGAGAAAAAAAATACCAATTGTTTGGTTTGGGAACAACATTACATATATATTACAGTATACATCACCTATTCCTGACATGAAAAATTCCAGGACAGCATTAGTGGGGGAGAGATACTGATGGGGCGTATCATCATCAATGTGCAATCATAATAGATATAATATAATATGTTATATGCGTGTGAGGAACGGTACTTTTATGCGTATAGGTATAAACTGACGTCTGACATACCTATACTCAATCAAACATACGAGCTAGAAGTATTCATATTATATTTGGACCAAATAGGTTCATGAATAGAATACGACGATTATGTAGGTAAGCAATTTAATGATTCGTAATAGTTTTGACACATATGCCTGCAGAAAACTTCATGTACTATTTAATTAATAATTACATGTTTCACATTGTGTTTACATAAATATTTGTGTTACGAATTAATAAATAATAATTTAACAATACAAAACAATTTTTTTCAAAAAAATACTATAACGTTATATAAAGGTCGATAACCTCCTAATAGTTTTCAAATACAAATCGAACACCACTATTATTGTAGGTACTGCCCCGTTAAGCAAAACGACTGGAAGTAATTTTGATACTTTTTTTTCCACGGATGTTAAGAAGAGTACAATAGATTTGAATTGAACGACTTCTAGATATGTTACAATAGTATAATACGAAAATACTCATGAATTTTATGTATACCAAACAATTTCGGAATCCAAATTTACAAAATATGTTAACTATATTTACTAGGTAACCTTTTCGTTATTCACTTATAATATAATATGATTCAATATTACAATTTACCTATACACAATACAATACACAATATAATCTAAGTAAATGCATAAAATATAACTGTATAATGTATAAGTAGGTAACCAATAAATATTAGAGTTCCATACAAATGGAAGTATGTAGTATTAAATATGAATAAATTAATATAATAGCATATTTCACTTTATACTATTATAATATATCATACGGGGTTATGTGTTAACAATTTTTTTAAAGTAATAACACATTGATATACGAGAACAGTTAGAATTGCTTGAACTAAACTATCTATCCGTGTTATGAGACTACGTTATTTTAATTTTAATTTAACTACGGATAAAGTAAATATCTGTGGAGAAATTAGGAAAAAATAAACACGATTTTTTACAAGAAAAAAATGATGTAGACAGTAGATATGCAGTAATAGTAGGTACATAAAAGATTACAGATAAAAATAACTTTCATCTTTCTCTTTCTAGTCTACAGGTAGATCGACGATCACTGATCAGTTAATTATAAATAATTGAAAATAATTAAAAAATTCTAGTATAGATATATGTATTCTATAGTTGACTTGGAATAAGTTATAAGTGCATTTCCTTTTTGGAATTAAAAAAAAAAATTGTGCTCGGTATATTTTCTACTGTAATCAATTAACAATTAACTAATAAAAATCGATTTATTTCATTTATATAATTTCATATTTTATATTAATCGCATCATTATATTTAATAAACTATAGATAATTATTTGGAAACTTCATATACAATCTGTTTTTATGATAAAATTAAATAAATTAGATTTTGATTAAGTAACTTCTGGGTAGGTATACCGACGTAAGAAAAGAATGATAGACATGTTTCAATTACGTTGTCTAATACTTTCGTTTGCTCATTGTTGGTCAAACGATATAATTTAGAAAAAAATGTGTATAATGACATCACGATGTTATAGAAATGAACAATAGAATCGCGTTAAATAATATACTATAACAAAACCTAAGTAGGCAGAAAGATAACGTTTATCGCTTTCAAAACAACAATTGACCGTAAGTATAACTTAAGGAAACAAAATATAATTTATTTTAGAATTAGAATCTATGATCATCTGAAACTCGTCCAAGCTTAAAGCCTAAGAGAAAGTTAATAAAAATATTTGTTTAACATTTATTGAATATATACAAATTAAAATGTTGGAGTACATTTTTGAATAAACCGAAGAATTTATTAATAATAGTTAATAATACCATAAAAAATACCGGTTTATGTGGTTTACTATAAGAATTACTACCAACGTTGGTATGCCGTTGAGATGAGTAATACCTATGTCCTATACCCATCAAACATGTTTTGAGTTAATAACATGATGACTGATGGAACACGATGAACTTTTATCAAAATACAAATTAGGTTACTACATTAATTGTGATTTCCAACTTTCATTTTCCGATAATATTAAATGTATTGCAGTCCATTTTTTTTTTTTTTTTTATGGTTATCAATAAATAATTAATTTTGTATGCAAAAAATGACATCGGTTCAGAATTAAATTGCTAAAAGCGTCATTTGACTTCTCAATTGTCATTCGTAATTGATTGTTTTGTTTGAGCACTGTTGTACGTGACTAAAATCACCAGAAGCGTTAAAATGAAAGAAAATTATTCTGTGTTGATTTCCTCGTCAACCGGATGCGCTAGTCGAACAACAGAGTATTTTTTTCGACAATCTTCTAAAAAAGATTGGATATAATACGCAAACCTGTTGAAATAGTTGTAGAATATCGCCGTAAGTGATTATACACACTACCGTGTTCCATTCGGATGCTTACTAGCTATCATCTTGTCGATAGAGGAAAAAAGTTCCTCCAAGTCACGTATGACAGGTGTACCATGACTGCCGTATTGGCTGACAAGAGAATTATATTGCCAGGTGGTCTAGTCTCGTCACGGTGTTTTGAGTAGTTCATCACGGCTGTCTATTGGTTGTTGTTATTGTGTTAATGAACGATGTTAAATTGTTCATATACACAAACCTGGAAAATATATAATTGCATCGACATATACTACGGTGGTAAACTGGTTTCAACTATTTATATGCCGGTTCTAGGCTAGTAGGACTGTTGGTCGTTGGATGTCGCATCACACGTGCCACGCATAACCAGTTATTCTTGCCCATATCAATGGAATTTTTTGTATAATAACTGGGACAGTGAGAGATCAACAACTTTTCCTGATGTATACCTACCCTACCTACCTATACAATTATATTGCACGTTTTTCCTGCAGTAGAATCCTGCATTATACAGTGTACTCATCTCTCGTCATTAAGCTGCAATCATGTATTGTATCATAAATGAGAAAATGATTTTTTGTAATTTACTCGCAGACAAATAGGATATACGGACAATCGGGTGGGATAATGATGTAGATGTAATTTTCAGGTTCGACGGCCTACCTTGTGTGGGCGCTTCGTCTAATCTACCGCAGTCATCGTCCAATGGCTATTGTTATTTAACTGTATTCTTGTAAGAATAGCTAATGGATTTTACATTGTAATTTATAAATAATCCACCAATGGGATAACAATTTGATTTTGATTTTGATTTCACATGCTGAGTTACTGTTTAGACTTTAATGTTATAAATATAATGTATGCATATTATTCTTATGAAACAACACTGTCCAACAACAGAATATAGTCCGACGATTACTCATTCAATACATGTATTCTAATGCATATGGAATGCAGTTTAAATATAAAAAATTAAGTGTAGCTAGAAAGTATTGATCATGACCTGACAAATAATATAAATCAATTGTCATTGTGCATTTTAGCTTACGAAATATTTCATTTTATGCAATCTCGATTAATGTTTTTTTTGTTTTGCCGATGATAACAAATGTTTGGCAATCACTATATCCGGTGTCCGAACTGGTCTTTAATTATTTGTGTCAAGTATGCATCTAATTAAATAGCTATCGAATGGACATTATTGTTTCGGTTGAAATGGCCAAGGGCACTAATACATGTTTTGGTCATTTAATATTTATTATTACATTACATTATTCAGGAATACAGGAACGTAATAAGTGTGTACGTACAATAATACGTATAATACTATAATATTATTATGTTCTCACAGACGGTTAATTTTGCAGAACCAACATGCCAGGGCCGAGGAGGTTTAGTAGTGGGGGAGTAGGCGGTGGAGGACAGGCGTGGGAAATGGGCGAACGGCGATATTCTGTAGCTGGTACAGACCCTCATTTAAGTCATCATGCGGTCACATCAATGGGACCACCAGCATCTGAAGATCTTCACGCTTGGAGTATTTACAGGTAAAAATCACTTTAAATACGTTTTTTATTCGTTATTATATTGCATGATTTATGGTGCTGTTTTTTTTTTCAACAGGCAAAATTTAAATTCCGATTTTACGGATTCTGCTCTTGGTTCAAGTGAGAAGTCCCCCTTACCATATGGTAACTTTCAGTTACGTGAATCTACCGTACAGTCTATACTCAGCCATCCACGATATGGACCAAAGTATGATGTACATAAATCACCTTTAAGTTCAAATATGTACACGTATCTCAAGTTTGGTTTACCAAGAGTATTTCCACCAAATAGTCGTAGAGATGGGTCCAGCGGTTATGACTCTAGTGATGATGGAGCTGCAATGCGTACCCAAAGGCCTTATACGAGAACTAGGAGTGATCCAGACTTTTGCAACCATGCATTGTATCATGGCGGGGTAGACTAATTTTATCACTGAATTCGAAAAATGTATATTTTTTTATAATTACAAAATAATAAATTATTTTTTTAGCCTACGTTACAAAGACATCACCCAGGTCGTCGAGGAAAAAGTATAAGTGAGGCTAATTTACTTGCACCTCATGGATATCCTATTCGTCATGAACTTCCAACAATGCGAAGAAGCGTCCATGACTTACGGGCATTGTCCGAAGTAAATCATCATCACCATTATACTAATCCAGCACACCATTACAGGTATACATTTTAGTGATACCTACCTACAACTTTAGCTGATGTATGTAGTTTAAATTAAAATTGTTCTTTAATAGTTCTCATCACTTGACGAGCGGTAGGCCAGCTTCCATCGCTGTTGTCGGTACAACTGCTACCACACCTAGAGATAGAAGTATTAGTATGATGAGCAATTTAAGTCCAAATCGGTCAGACATATATGGCCAACCCGCAATTGTTTATCCATATCTTCAGGTATATTATAATTTTGTTGCCATCTTTCTATTTTCGAAAATTGTCATGTTTTCATCATTCCTGTTAATGTAGTTAAAGAGCCGCATCACTTACATTTGATTTCTCTGTCTGTCTCGCGCGTAATATATCAACAGAGGCATTCCGCATTTTCACTATTGTGACTCTCTGGTTGAGTTTAGGGTAAAGAGATGTATAAATTTTATAGTATTTACTATGATTTACTATGATACTTTACTATAGATTTTACGAATGATTTTATTTTAATATTATCATTTTTTAATTTAACTTAATTCTCTTAATCCATATCATTAATAACGTATAATGAAATTTAAAATTTAAAAAATAATTATTTGTAGAATTCATAGTAAATACACTTTTTGTAAAATGTATACCTAGGTCTTTTTGCCTTTAACTGTATCAGAGAGCTGATATTGCGAAATCCGAAATATCAATAACAGATAAAGAAAACACAATATGTTAGTACGAGGCTCCTTAATTTTATTGAAAAATAAATATTATTATGAATAATTTAATTGTATAACGTCATAATATTTTACTTTAAAGTATATTAGTGTTCAAATTAATTTAATACATACGATGTATTAAAAGCGATGTTAATAAACTCAATTAAAATTTTAGGTAAGAGGTTTAGAAGTACCAAGTAGTTCAGATGGAAAAAGGCCAAAAATTCAAAGCATTTCATTTGAAGTTCAAGCTGGTGAAGTAATGGCCTTTATGATGACATCAGGTATTAACCGTACTAAACATAATATACTTATATATAATTAATAATTATATTACATACATGACAATATTTTTATCATAAAATAGCAATTTTCTCGGAGTATTTTAAGTAGATTCGATTTCATAATATTGTCCATAACGATAAAAAAAAAAAACAGAATCAAATTCACTAAAAATTCTCACAGAAAATTGCTGGTTCATGATAAAAGAATCACTCTGTACATTGTTATTTATAACTAGGGTACAAATGATGTTGCAGTAAAAAAAGATAGCATATATTTGTAGTATTGCACTGAAATGTACCAATTGAACTACAAAAAAATGCCTTGAGTGCAAATAATATGTTGCAAATATATACATTTGCAAGTTTGGACCATGCGTATTTCCTATTTAGGACGTATGGTTAAAAAATATTTGGTTTTTATTTGTAGAACGAGAAGGAGAAGCTCTTTTAAGTAGTCTTGCAAATCGCCATCCATGTCAAGTACAACACATATTACTTAATGGCCAAAATATTTCTCTTTCTTCATTTTCAAAACGAATTGCTTACATACCCGCTGAAGCTAAGCTAGCTCCTAACTTAAGTGTAGCACAGACTTTAGCATTTTATTCTCATCTGCGTAAAGCTCCTGCTCGTGCCATACCCAAAGTATCTCAAAATGATCAGGTTTGTAAATGTTGATATGCAGGTATATTAAATAGTGTTTCAATTATATAATTTAATAATGAATATTTAAATAATATTTTATTTTAGATGGGAGTACTAATTGAAGAGTTGGGTCTTGGACAAGTGTTGAATACTAATGTTTCTGAACTAACTGCTTCTGAAGCCCAAAGATTAAGTGTAGCTTGCCATTTAATGTCAGACGCAGAAATTATAATGCTTGATAGACCAACAGTAACAATGGATATATTCGATACGTTCTTTCTAGTTGAATTTCTTAGACAATGGGCTGCTGGCGCTCCTAGTACGTATTTATATAATTTATACAATAATTATATTAAGTATGAATAAAAATGATAGTTATTTATTTTTAGCTGGTGTTAATCCACGTATTGTAATGGTCACCTTGCAGCCACCAACATATGAAATCTTTACTATGGTTTCCAGAGTGGCATTAATATCTGTTGGTCACCTAATGTACTGTGGTAGACGTAGAAATATGTTGCCATATTTTTCATCAGCTGATTATCCATGTCCTGCATTCAAAAATCCTTCAGATTACTACCGTAAGTCAAATAAATAATTAATATTTATTTAACAAATTATAAAATAATTTATTCATTTAATATATATTAATATAAAGTGTAAATATCTTTCTAGTTGATTTAGTGACATTAGATGACTTATCAGCAGAAGCCATGTTAGAATCAAGCCAAAGGGTAGAACAATTAGCGGATTTATTTAGAAGAAGAGTTGAACCGTTACCAGATCCTGGACCACCGCAATCTTTACCAGGAAAACCACGAACTGCATCTGTGCCAATACAAATCGTTGCCATAATACTGTATGAATAATGTGTTTACATATTTCAATGTTTTATGAATGTCTTATTAAATATTATATCTCTTCATATTTATTAATATTTAGACGTCACATGGCGTATTCACAACCCAGGAGTAGTCTACGATGGATTTCTAGGTTATTTATTGCAGGTATATTATCCATAATTATTGGTGCAATATTTTGGGATATTCCTGCTACAGATCCTCAACTTTCATTCGGTGACAGGTAAATAAATGAAACATTAATAGTTTATAAAATGTATTAACTACTTACCTATATTTGTTCAGGATGGGATTTTATTATAGTACTATGATAGTTGGAGCATTGCCACTCATTTTACAAATTGCATTAAACGATACTCATGGTAATGATCGGAATGCTATAGAAAGTGATATTGCTGATAATTTATACAGTCGATTTGTGTACATTTTAACATCTGTAAGTTACATTTTTATTATATTTTAAAAATATAAATATAAAACTAAAATATTTTACAATGTCTTTAGATTTTCTGTAGTATTCCTCCATCTGCTTTAATTTGGGTTGTGTATTCTGTGCCAGCATATGCAATGTCAGCTCTCTATCAATATTTGAGCGATCCAGAGCCATTTTTTGCATATATATGTAAGTATATAATGTTATAATGTTTTAAGACATATTACAATTATAAACAGTACCTATCAAACATTTCAAAACTTTTTTTCTAGAAAGTTCAGTGTGTTATATTGGTATTGTATTAATGTATAACAAAATATTAATAATTTGAATGTTCTATATTTCTTAAGTGTACATTGTGATTCATATGAGTGCTCTCCAATTAATGGCTACAGCCATAGGATACCTTATGCCAGATCGTCTCAGTTCATCAGTATTGACAACAATAACTGTTTTTATATCTGGTATAGTTAGTGGGGTACCACTCAACTTTGCTGATATAAAGAAAATGCCAGGAATCCGATTTCTTTCTACTTTGTCTCCTACTAGATACTTAATGTTGCCATTGTTACAAAATGATCATACACATGAAACTCTTGTTTCACTTGCTTCATCTCTTGTATGTCGCAACAAGCAGGTACACATATTGTTTGATTGTAGTCAAAGGAGATTTTATTGTTAATTTTGTTAATTTTTATTTAGATTCAACATCAAGATATAATTGTACAACTACCGTGTCCTATCCCAAATGGTACTGCAGCTCTCATTCATCATGGTCTTCTTGCACCGGCAGTAGAACCATATATGATATTGACTAATCATGATCCATTGTGGTCTGGACTTCTTCTGTGGGGTTTTTTTGCTTCAATTGTTATAATTTTTTTTGTAAGCATTGGTAGGTTTTGTAATAGATTTCATAAAGTTTGTCGACCGCAAAGATAACTGTAGATTTTATGTGAATATGTTAATTTTTGTTTATAACAATCAATAACAAATTAGATATTTATTTAAAAGAAATTATTTTTAAAAGTACGAGGTATATTTTTTACTAGTTTTGTTTATATGTTTTTAAAGCGGTTGTTCAAATAGATTTTATAGAATTCATAAACATATGTGACATGAATGTCGAGATCGAACATCGTTATTACTTGTATTAATCATGTCAAGTGCTAGATCAAATTAAAATATGCAACGAATATAGTTTTACAAATATTAAATTGAACTATGTGCAATTAAATCAATTAAATTTAAAAACTATGATTATACCGTGTGGCGTGTTCTTTTATACAAATCGCTCAATCTTCTATGATTTTATTGACAAAATCAACATAAACTATTAGTAAATCTATTTAATTTAAAATATGTTTGTAAAATATATTATACATTAACTAAATAATTACCTATATAATAAATAAACTATTACTATTACAGCTGAATTATAGTCTATATCTATAAATATAAGTAATTACCTACCTACATGATATCTGTTAATATTAGTTTAATGTATAATTATTAAAATTGCTCATTATAATAATATATATATATATATATACATAAATATAATATAATTAAATGTTACAATAATATTTTATGTACAAATTTGCAAAATAAATACAACAACGAACATTGTTTTATAAAAATGTTTTTTTTTTTTTTTTTATTTGACTATTATAGTTATAGTTTTTGTACATATTAATTTATGATGTATGTACCTAGTAAAGTATTAACTGTAATATAATAATTAATAATTATCGTATATAATAAAGCCCAAATTAAATATCCACACAATTTAAATAATATAAGATCATATATCATTGTATGTTTAATTCACACATGATACTTGTACCTAAATATTGAATTGTATGTTATATTAGTACCTACATTTAAAATTGTTCCTAATGCGCTACAATCATTTTGTAGATACATTACTGCTGTTGTACCTATTTGTTTTTGGTTTTTTTTTTTTTTATAATTCCTCTAATGTAACATTTCGCGGAGCAAATTTGTTGTACTTTATATCTCTTTGAAATTTTAGATTTAAACAATTTTTTTACGGGTGTTTTATTGTATGTTCTTCGAAAAAACGTTAACGGATACGCCATGTGTTAATTATTAAACCAGTAATTTATTGATTATTATAATTTCATTTTAGAAAAACGGAAGTATGTAAAACTTCACCTAAAAGTGAAATTGGAACTCATGGCCTACACCTTGTAAAGTTTTAACAAACTTTGTGCGCGGTAAATCGAAAAATCTGTATTTTATTATTGTGTTTATAGATTCTATGCACAATAATAAAATTATAAAAGCGTTTATCTAATCAAAATACCTAGGTACTGATTTCACTATCTAAACTCAAGAGCAATTATTATTGGACGGGCAGTTAACTGGATGCGCCGAATATACTAGTGGATATTATTATTTATATTTCTGTTCGTGAATTTCTATAATACTTCCCGAGTGATTAATATTATCGAGTGCCGGCGCATAATGTACAATATCAAATATCGAGTTTTAAACGTAACTTTTATAAATACATACCGCTTTACGTATTTTTTTTTTTTTTTTTTTCCAATGAAAATAAATCGCATCCCGGGTGATTTAATGCATGTTCGTATCGCGGGGTATGGGGATTATTACTATTTTAAAGTGGCGCGGGCATGATCGGACGATTAATGCGAAACCGTTGCGTGTTACAGCATACCGCTACAAACTATTGTCAAATCCCCGTGGAAATATCGGCGGGCGGGCGAACGAAATTATCGACATTTTTTTTTTTTTTTTTTTTTTTTATTCATGTCCATTGCGTACGAATAATGCCCGCGCCGCCCGCGGGTGCGCACATAAACGGCAACGGTTCGGTAGACGTTGAAAACACGAATCTTAAATGGAAAAAAAAAAAAATCGGGCCGTTTTCGCGTTCGCGTCGGCGTCTATTTTCGTAACAACATCAAACGTCTCGGAAAACCGTAGGTAGATGTTGCGGAAAAAGAAGAAGAAAAAAAAAACAATAATAATAACAAACAACCGAATTCCGAGTAACGACGCTAACCGTACGCATATACAACTGTGCACGCGGTTCCTAGAAACCTATTGATCTCGGGACCGTCGTACGGGGTATAAAACTATACGTGTTTTCCGGGAACGCGGACCGGAGACGCCGGATTTTTTTTTTTTTCGCTACACTTTTGAGAGAAACTTTTTTTTTTTTTTATTCCCCTTCTTCTTCTATGTTACACTGTTACATCGTATACCGGCTGCAGCCGTAAACATACATTTGTTTAATTGTTTTGTTACGCTCGCGGGCGGTCCAATTTCGCGTATCACAGAACCGGGGCCCCGAATATCGGCGAAATGCGGTTTATGGCAATAACGGTTTTCAGAAAGTTAAAAATAACACGCCGATTATACTTACGTTGCGTGTACGATAAATTAACGTTCGCCGTGCTTGCGAAAACTTGTATTTCTGTACAGTGGGGTGAGTACGTTACGTGTGTGTGTGTGTGTGTGTGTGTACGTACACGTATACACACAGCGTGTCCCACCGTGTTCGAGGGATTTTTTTTTGAGAGGGCGGGGGGGGGCTGTTCTGGTGTTCAAACACCACCCCGCTTCGATCGTATTTATGCCGAAAATCACGATAGTTTTTACTACACGCAGTCATGCGTAAGATTTCTACGAGATGTGCTGTGTAACGCGTAGATTAAGTACCTGTAGGTTACGTGTGTTAGACACGCACAACAAAGTTGTGTCTATAAACAGAAAATAAGATCCCCCGCCCGCCTTTGAACAAATCTAGGCCACGCCACTGTGTTACAGGTAAGTACCGTCTATGTACCTTGATAGCTTCAGTCTCGTATGGTCATGCAAATCGGAAAAATAAAAACACAGGAATCATAATTTACAGGAATGATAAACACAAGATAAGTATTTTGAGGAGTATTTTAAAAGTGCATGGCATATTTTAATCAGGAGAACGTATTCGGGAAAAATAATACAACGGAAAGTATAATATTCGGCGTAATAAAAACAAAGAAGATAATGTACGAGGAACTAAAATCCGGGAAAAATATATCGTTGGAATGTTATTGACGTGTAAGATATTTCGCCGGGAAGTAATTGACGGGAAATTAATTGCATACGAAAATAAAAATCGATTATTTGTTAGCTCTCACAGCTCATTTAGGACCTTCGCTGCTCCCACCATTAGTATAATACGAATACGTATGTTTATTTTATAAAATAGTTTTCTGGACATGGTATATACTATACATTTCAACAAATATGTTGACGGTTTTTGCATCGTTTATAACTGTTTAACGAGTTAACGAGTTTCTTTCAGTTTTTATTTGAGGACAATTTCGTTAGTATAGGACGTAGGTATAAATGGAAAATAATATGCGAATAGATTAGTCGTATTTATCTAGTGCCTTGATTTTTACAATCTTCATTGAATTGTGAACTTTAAACGTTTAAAAAAATTCCAATTTATCCCGTCCCCAATAGTGCACTACCCAACAGTGTCCTCAGTGTTTTTTTCATTTAATTTTTAAAAATGCGGTTTCGTATGTTAGGCGGCCAACATTTTTACTCGTGAGTTAAAAGTTATAAAATACAAGACCATCAATTAAACTCCAAACCAAGACTCAATACGCATCAATTCCACTAATGCGTAACCAATAATAATAAGCGTAAACACGCATTAAACTACGGTTATCTAAGGAGATACACCTACCATTTACCGAAACATAACTAAATCGTACATTTTAATATACGTACCCGGGGTACCTGTATTATGATTTACGGTACATTAAAATTTCTGGACCGTTGAACTCTTTATATTTAATAAATATTTGATAGTTTATCATTGATGAGGTTGTGAGTGGGTAAACAACGGAGAAGAACTAGATCGTGACAGAGGTGGGTGAAGACAAGTGATTGTTGCGGCAATGGACCCAAATGGCCCGTAAAAGCCCACAAACGAAAGGAAGATTTGATAATTTATCATTACGGTGTAATAATTACGCCATAAAAACTGTATTATCCGTCTTGTCGCAGGTATACCACGCTCGTACGCAACCGCCCGTTAATCCCTTCAGACGGCTCCGCAAAAACATTGTTTACACGCCACTAGAAACGCCCTTGTAATTGATTTTTCATAACAAACGGAGTATTGATATTGAAAAGTATTCGGTCCATAGTTACGCGACGTATCTGTCCGTGGCCGTAAACGGTCACGTTGATATTACGAGAGAGAAAAACGGGCCGCGCACCGGCCGGCGGGCGGCGCAGTGAGTCGCGTTCCGTTCGGAAACGTGCGGTACGTAATATTTTCAATCGACGACCACGGTGGAAACCGAACGGCGAATACGACGGCGCCATCTCTGCGCGTTTTGCCCGCGCGACGCCGGACCGGCAGAATGCGCTGGCGTCCGCGGTCGGATGCGTGCCGTTGCCCGACAGGTGGCGGCGGATGTGCCTACGGCCGTCGAGAGGGGGTGGTGGGAGGGGTGACGGCATGACGCGCGGGTTTCTCGGTATTTGTCGTGCGCGGCGTCCATTCCGTCGCTCCGCAGTCCGTATCCATGTTTTTGTCATCATCGCGTTCACTACGTTTCAGTGTGATCAACAGTTCTACAACAACCGTGCGCTCAGCGAACGCATTGGCCGCGCTTTACGCGAACGCCGTCACAGAAGCCGCTTGTGCATGCCCGAATAATTATATTAATTAGCCGAGTTTTGATATTGTTATATAATATATTATAACGTTATTTATTAATAATAATAATAATTACAATTAAAAATTATCGCGGTGTTGTAGTGAATCGTTTTCGTTTTCATTCATTCATTGCCGCGGTGCACCTACAGCAGCAGTCGTCGTCGTCGTCGTCGTCGTCGTCGTACTTATACTTGTTACATTGTCCGTGTGTATCGAAAATTTAACCTTTGTTTTTTTTTGTTTTTTTTTTCCCTTCCCGTTTTTCGATTTCTCGCGCTTAAACGTATCGTAAACCGCAATATCATTGCGATCGTCCGGCCGTCGTTGTCGCGTGTCCCACCGTCTCGATCTCGGCGGACCGCGGAACCATAACCGAAAACTCCGCAAGTCGATTAGCACGTTTTATTCTTCGTATATTCGCCGTGGGCCGCGGCACCGTGCGTCGATGTGCTTCTAGGGAAAAACGTATCGCCGTGTACTTAACCAACCGCCAACCGAGATGCCTGCCGAAGACGATTCGTCCTTGTTGGCGAACATTTGCGTCGGTTGTGAATGGCTGGCCACCGAACTGTCGTCGAGTAACAAGTGTCAGTTGCTCATTCTGGACTGCCGCAGTTCAATGGATTTCTCCGACTGTCATATCCGCGACGCGGTCAACTTCAGCATACCCACGATCATGCTGAGACGGTTGGCTGCTGGGAAAATCGATTTGGCGTCCACAGTAAAGTGCACCGATCTCAGAAAACAAATCGTGGACGCCTACAAGCACAGCGCGTTCGTGTTGTACGGCGACGAACGTTTGGATAACCGTAAGCACACATCTTCCGTATCCGATACGATGGTTGTGTTGGCAAAACGGTTGCTGAAGGATGGATGCAAAGTTCACTGTCTGAACGGTTAGTCGTTTCTTATAATTTTATTTTCATACGAGTGCGCCAAAGCGTCCTAATAGGTTAGTAGGTACCTGCCACTTATCTATCAAACAGTTTTGGTTATTTTTTTCATCTCGATTCATTTACCGGTATTAGTGTTTCACCAATACTTGTTAGTTGATCATTATGAAACGCTTCTGTACTTCAACCCATATCTACACCATGAATGTTTTTTTTTTTTTCATATGTATATATACGTACATACATAATTTTAAACATTTTTTTTAGTTTTTACTTAAAAGATAACATTTCAGTTATTTTGAGTGATAGTATTAGTAATGAGGTATTATACACACACATTAGCATTGGGTATAGTTGTAATAATGATAATTCTTATCTTATGTGCATTGTCAGTTGGGAAACCAATTAATAGGCCTTTAAATTAATAGAATCTCTATGAGAAAATAATGAATTGAAATAAATCATTACAATTTATTAATAAATAATCACTAAGAAAAATGTTTTTTTTTTTTCCATAGAACTACACGGGTTAAACTAATATACCTCGGTACCTGTCGGAAATATTCTATTACATATATTATTATTATAACAGTGTTTAACATGTGACTGTTTTATTCTAGGCTATTTAAAATAATCGTTTTGTATTGTTATTATTGTATTATTTTTTTTATCTGTTGGTCCTAACTATTAGTTTTTTACATTTCTGTATACACTACACACACCTTATATCATTTTTTTTTAATTATTAAATATTATAATTTATCTCTTGTAATTAATGACAGGAGATAGAAACTATCTCAATTAATTTTAATTTCAATGCATTGGTAACGCATGGTAGGTAATACACTTTAATTATGGAATAGGTATCTAGTGTTTTAACTCATTATCGACTATATAGTACACCTACCTAGGTTATTGTTAATACTTAATCAGTAGAATTAAAATCGGATATGTTAATAATTTAATAGGCAGTAGAACGTTTTGTATAAGAATATATGACTACATTTAGTAATAGGCGATGAACTGTAAACTGTAGGGTACCTATGTCTAACAAGTGTTGCATGGATACTTTATATTCTTTAATTTATCTGGTATTTTGCCAGTGAAATAATTATAATAACGATTGCTTATTAAATTAAATTATTTGAACATTTTGCATATTGAATAGGCACTTGGCATTGTTAATGCTGTTTGCGTTCTGTGGTAAAACGTTTAAAAACCCATGTGGTTATTTTTGCAAACTATCATATTTATCATTGTTCAAATAACACACCGGAGCACATTGGTGCATAAATCATTTAAGTAATGTCTTTTATTCTAATCTGCTTTTATGATTTGATTGTAATTTATATTCGCACACAGCCCTACAGCTACACGGAACCAGGCATACAACTATTTGGTGTACGATTAAAATATGGTTACCTACCTATAATACGGTCCAATAGGGTACCGTCTGTTCGATTAATTGTGCTATCAGCCATTATTTCTATTCTAAAAAGTTGTATTCATTAGACATTATAATGTTGGGTAGGTAGTATTAGAAGACATTTAAAATGATATTATTTAAATACTTCAATACATACCTGTATAATAATAATATTGTCATTGGATATTTACACATGAGTACGTATACCTATTCGATTACGGGTTTTTATCACGAATTTAAATTAAATTATAATGTTTCTGTAAACTAATTAACTAATTATATACATTGTATTTCGAGTTGTTATACCTACATTGTAATAGTAGTAATCAACTAATTACTTTTGACAAAATATTGCATTTTAGAATAATGTCATAATATTATACCTAGTAGTAATATAACACCGAGTACAATACATTAGTAATATAATATATAGGGTATCACCGGAGAGTGGTATCACGCAATAATTTACTAACTACCGTGTTAATAAAAAAAAACGCAAATTTATTCAAAAGATATTTTTAGATTATAGGTGCCCCTGTACAATGTTAAACCATAGATCTATCTCAAAACTGTAGGTGTGTTGATTTTTATCTTAATGGGTTTCATTTTGTATTTAAAGTCAATGCGAAAAACAGCGCTCGAATTGGAAAATTAAAAAGAGGACTGTGAGACTTGAACAAAATTGGTTTTCTCTTGTAATCATTGGACTCGACATAGCATTAGGGGGATTCGCCCCCACATCACCACTCTTTAATCGCTTTTTAATTCTGTAATAGATATTTTATAAAAAAAAAGACAACAGACTTGTTTTCATTTATTTTATGTTTTTCTATCATCAATAGGTATAATATTATTATTATTATGCGTATTGTATCAATGTTCTGTGTATAGATTTTATATTTTTCTAACAAAAAAAAAAAATGAATTAACAAAATATTAAATATGTAGGCGAGTTTATGGTTTTTTTTTTTTTTTTAATATAATTATTTACAAAAAGAGTTCCTTTCGTTCCCAATAGAAATAATTATAGTCAGAAATCCTTAAATAAAAAATAAAAAAAAAAAAAAAAAAAAAAAAAAAAAAAAAAATGTAAAAGAGCTCTGACCCCTTGCGCCTTCCCCCCCAATTCGAGTACCGACGAAAAGTATTCGTGTGCAGCCTTGGGTGATGATCAGATATTTATAAGTAAATGCGGTGCACTGTAAAGTATAGTACACCGACACAAATTCGGTAGTAATCCATTTTTTTCTTTTAAGCCTACAGACATAAGGACTGTATACAAAACATAATTACTAAAAGATGGTCGGTCGAATTATAATCTTAATTATTTTTTTTTACTTGAAGAATGTTTACCGATCTTCGCTTCCGGGCAACACAATAAGCAAATAAGACGACACTGATACGATAAAATTGAGTGTAAATGTTTGCAATAATAATTATTATTTACTTTAGCAGGTAAATTATATATATTTTCGACATTTGATGGATAACGTTTTGTTGCCCGTCGTTTTTTTTTTTTTTTCGTTATTCTACTATTAAAAATTTATTAGACATTACGTTATCGGTTCTGCACGATACGGGCAATCGATTTCTTGGAAATTTTGTGTAGAATTTCAGTAACGCGACAGAATGTCTCTGCGGACGTGCAGTAGGTAACGTATACCCCCCCCCCCCCCCNCCCCCCCCTCAACTATAACTAACCCTAATCACGTTATCGTCACTTGTTATAAGCCGAGCTGCTTGTCGCTGGCGTCCGCGGGTCGGAAATACCACTCGAAACCGGCACCGAAATTGGTTTACAGCGACCCCGAATCCAAACACGCAGTAGGACCCTGCGAGGTATTAATTGGGTTTTCGACTTTATTAGAAAATAAAAAAAAAGAAAAAAGTTTTCGGATGTAATAATTGTCGTCCGGTGAGACGGGGTTACCTGCTGACGTGTAGGCCATAATTCGTGTACCGATTTCGTATTTTTAATCGGTTACAAAACTTACACCCACGCCGTGTTCGACTATTGTATTTCGACCGGCGTGTCCGGTAGAGTTTTTGTTCGGTTTTTTTTTCACACCATCCGCGTTTCTGACGTGCGTTAAAATAAACGGTTCGGACGATCTACGGCCGCATAAAAAAACCAATCCGTTTGTACTGTACGCCGAGTGTTCCAAAGTGTGCAGCGTCGTTTGGTGTTCTGTAGTGCTCCAGTACCTGATCGATTTTATTTGGCGATTTTGTCCGGGGTACGATTACGGTTTTGTAATCGCTTCAAACGAGTTCGAATTCTGTTCGTTTCGTCCCGTATAAATTTCCATCGATAAATCGCCAAAAAAAAGAAAAAAAACGTCGAACACTGACCTATACTAATCGGAAACATCTCCGGAGGTCATTTAAAAAAAAAAAAAATACGGGTGCTTGCTATATTATGCAGTTTATTATTGAACGGTGGAAAATTTCTCGCTTCTAAAAACCTCGTCGACCGAACTCCCAAAAGATACAAAGCGTAATTTTATGATTTTCATTCGCGATTCAAACACGTCGTTCCGTCGACGTAGAGATTTTCCCGTCGGGCCCGCCGTTTATTTTTATATCCGTTTTCGGTATTGTCCGTAAATACTAATTCGAATATTAATCAACGTCATTCAGTGTCCGTTTTTGATTGATCCGTTTATTTCAATGGACGCCCCGAAAAACGTATTGTAGGTGTGAAAGACGCGACTAGACCTTGGGGGTGTTAAAATTATAGGCCCGTCACAGACCTATGGTAGAGGCAATAACCCCACAATCTCCTTTGCACGATAATGGTTATAATAAGCGACTGCACGTTTTATTTACAATGTTTTATATAAAAATTTATCATAACTAAGGATCAACGGATTTATGTGTACTAAAATAGCGCTTAAAAACGTCATAGAAACTCAAAAAAAAAAAAAGTCACTTAAAAAATATTTAAAAGAGCATTAATAGCAGAAGGGTTTAAAAGGTACCCCATCAATTGTATCTAACTTATTAATAATAATTTTTTAACAGTAAAAAAACGATCATTATAGAGTAAATTTTCTTCAAATATATTTGTACGTGTTTAAAAAAATAAAAAATGCTTTGTGTTAATCATTATTGTTAATGCCAGACAATTGTATTTAATAGGGTTAGAATCGTTAGCATGTGGACTTTAAAATCCCTCACCACTTTTGCTTTTTTGAATACTTCTAAGCGCTGTTTTGTGGATTTTAAGTACATATAAATCCGTTCCCAAATCATAAAGTTTTCATTTTATTTTTTAGACACGCGTGCATTGTCCGTAGGTAATTCGTATTTCGTTCTCCTTATTAATCATGAAATACACCGGTAAAATGTTTCGTCAATACTATAAAACAACTTATCGGATATTTTCGGGGGCGCTAAAGTCCTTCTAGTGCCCCCGTAGTTGCGCCCAGGACCGGCGTTACGTTTTCCGAGGCCCTGGGAGTGCCTCGACACTTGGCCACGGCCGGATATACCGTTTGATGTTTGATAAGACAACGCGCGTGCACGTGTTTTTCCCAAAAACACGGTTACATTTCCAAAAAGAAATTATTTTTCCCAGTTTTACGCCCGTTAGATAATTATGTTACCCTTTTTTTAACCGGTCCGCAAGAGCGCGAGGTCGCCCTGGACGTAAGCCCCGCGTGCCCTACCCTAACGTCCACCCTGGTTGCGCCTGTGGAAAGACGCCTTGTCGGTTAGGACGGTTCGCGCTGCCGGGTAACCGGGTACGAATATAAATTTCGGCGACCGGGAAATAACGTTATGGTTATTACAAACGTCGTTTGTTTTGCGGAAAACGTTCGCGATAACGAAATTAACGAAAATTCCAGCGTCTTTTTTTTTTTTTTTTTATATTTTTCCTCGAAAATGTTTCATGCTCGCGTACAACACGATATTTTATAACACGAACGTTTGTCGCAGCGCGTGAACATACCGGACTCGGTGCCGGTCCGTTTCCGATTTCCCGTTCCTACACAACAGTGGGTACGTAGTATTTTTTTTTTTATTCGGGAAAAAACGCGTCGCCTCGTGTATATTACGTGGTTACGGGTAATTTTTTTCCTCTACTCCCGATGCGCTCTCGTCGTTTTACACCACCACACCACCACCCACCCGCCCCGAACGGGCCGTCCGAGATTCGTCGTCGTCGAGGAAGTGCCTGTACGCCTACCGGAGATCGAGAGAAAGAGAGAGAATGATATTATTATTATTATTATTATTATTATAATGTTGTATTATAGTTGCCCGCGTATAGGAATGTCTATCCATTACGTCATTTGCGTCAACCGAATCCGATTTATTACGTAGGTATATATGTGTACAGACGCGTGGCGTATACGAGTACCGACAAAAAAACCGGTATCGGCCGAAAACCGTTTTTGTTGAACGGTTTTGAGCGCGGCCGGAGCCCCGAGCCCCCGCCCCCCCCCCCAAGTGCCGGCGGCCGCGGTCTCTCCGTCACTCGTAGGTGTGAACGCCGCTTCCTACGTGCGGCCGCGGCCCCCGGCCACGTAGAAAAAAAAAAAAGAAAAAGCCGCGGTCACACACACGCAGCAGGCGTGCGTGTGCATAGGCGTCGAACCGTGAATAAAGACACACATTTCGGTAATAATAATAATATGGGTAGGTTTAGTATGTAGGAGCGAGAGAACGACGACGACGAGGATCGTAGGCAATAATGAAAACATTTTTCGGATACACTCCTCGCACACGCACACGCATAATAATAATAATAATAATACCGGCGCGGCGGTGTTCATTCATATTTTAATGAACGTCGTCGTCGTCGTCGCCGTCGTATTATTATTCATTCAATATTATAATATTATTATTATACACGTAACTATATAATAATATTATAACATTACGGTCGCCGTTGTCGATTCTCGCGCGCGCTCGCCGTCAGTCCGTCCGTCCGCCGCCGCTGGAAACCTTCACGGTCATCCGCGGCCGCGCTCGGTGCCCGTCCTCTTCTTCTCGACTCCGGAGTGGAGAGCAGCCCGCTCGCCGTGTAGGTGTTGTGTGACCTAATCAAGGTCGTCCGCGCGACCGGTCGTGGATATCGCGGTGCGCGCGCGTGTTGCGTTCGTTCCGCAGGGTGCGGCGTTGTCGTCGTCTTCGGAGGTTCCTGGGGGGGGGGAAATCACGATGTCCGTTTTTCTAGGCTTGTAAAAATCTTTGCCTTTATTGTCGTGGTGTACCGATCAAAAATCATCTATAAAGCACTCGGACAAGAGTGTGCCGGATAAAATGTTAATCGACAGGCCAAACATAGTAATAAATACGTGTGTTTGGTCGTTTTAAAAGAAAATTAACTTAATCGCTCAACTCGTTAATTGCTCAATATCCGGTTTTTGGATTGAATATTAACATCAAACATATTATTGAGGAAAACTATTTATTAAACGTATTTTAAACAATATGTCAATATATCATACTACAGTTCCACGTACAACTAAGCGCTACTTATACAATTACTTTATATTTTTAACACTGGCCAGTATGGACGTATATCTATTACTCGTATTCAAATAAATAATGATAATATAACGAATTTATGTTTAAATTAATAATAATATTTAAAATGTATAATAATATATTATATCTCCTTATCAGCCAAATCAACAACCGTAATTAAGTACTGGTAACTACGACGGACAAAGCCGGGATAAAAGGTGAATAATAATAGGTATAAACGAGAATTTATTATTAGAAGGGTGACAATTTTTGATTTTGATAAGAGGAAAATGTCCGAAAATAATGTAGTAATAATAATAATACAGGCACTAAAATAGCGAAGTATTATTTTTTAATCATGTTGAATAATGAAACGTAATATGTTAATAAAACCCTTTACATCCATTTTTTTTGAAAACTTTATTTTTCCACTAGAAAGTTTTCGAATTCCAAATGCTTTTGTAGATTCTTAAAGGTACCTGTAACTTTCGACTTATCGTTCGCTTGCCCAACATTAATTGAAAGTACACTTAACCTTCTCCTCTTCCTACTCATCCTACTTGTATCATCAGTCAAATCTCTCGTTTAAACGAGGATATCGTATTAAATGTATTTTATTAAATTTTACCTCGTGTTTGACCTTGGTGATATTTTCTTACTTTCTTTATCGTAATACTTTAAATAAATAGTTAATAATACACTCTGTTGAATTTACTAGATGGAGGGGGGGGCTTGGAAGCTGAAGCACCGGCCGTTTCGCATATTCAACTTTTTTTTGTATATCATAAATTACTTAGACATCAGATGTCGCGTTTAACTAAACGTATTTATTGCAGTCTTGAATGGGTAATTAAAAAAAAAAAACAACTTTTATGATTACCCCTTATCGAGTTATGATGATGATTGAAGAAATAACACACCTATCTAACATTTAGTCCTTTGATACAACTACGTATATTATAATATATTGTATTGTTTGTAATTATTCAATCATTTGTCCTTTATATTAATAATAAAATATCAGTGGAGGGGACCGAAAGGTTGAAAGAGCTCATATATTTCTATGGAGAATAATCAAAATACACGCGCAACTGTTTATTTATTTATTTGGACGGGCCAGATGCCCATTTATCCTGAACGTCTAAGTTACAAATTATTAATTCGTTTTCTCCCCGAAGTTGTAGGTACATAATAAGTACCTAAAGAGGTATTATTAGCAAGATATCACCTGTCATAGAAAATATCCTAAATCCTCCACCGATAGTACAATAATGTTATGTTAATCGTATATGTCACATTTTGTGTACACCATTATCTTCGTTAAATTCAACTTTGCGATTACCCGTTACTATTATATTTTTGTTTGCGTATGAATACTTTACAAATATTTAGGTCTCGTTGATATTGTGGTTTGGATATGGGTATGTATAGTAATTTTTTCCGTAAGTCGCTTGTTTTCGTGGGAAATATTTTCTTTTTCAAATTTGTTTTTTTGTTGGAGGGGGGAGGAGAGAAATTTTAAATAATATGAATATTGTTCGTGAAAATTTGAGTACTCCAAATTTTGTTCCGGTTAAAATTTCGTCGACATGTGGATTTGTTTATTAAAGGTTATGCGTCTATGTATTATCGATTTTGTCAAAAATTAAAGTTCTACCGTGATCGCCCTGTATAACCAATGAATAGGATATTGGATAGTCGTTCCACGCGCGAATACCGTTACCTATTTGAATATTGTTTTACTATATACTATACGGTATTTTCGTGGGTGTAAAAATGAGGTATTAGGCATATCATAGTTGGTGCGGTGTATGCGAACCAGACTGCATATTTGTACTCGTTTGGTCGGTGTATTACCTATATGATTTCCAATTTTACTCTGCAAGATGAAATCTAAGTTGTTTTTAAAGGAACGGGAACAACGCGAGTGGTTTACCAGTTTACAAAAAAAAAAAAAAAAAAAAAGAACCATTTAACATCCGCTTTGGATTACGAAGACGACGCTCGTTAATAGTACGTTAGTTTACGATTCGATTTGTCTGACTCGACCGAAAATATCTACGTGTGTAGTAGTGGTAGTAGTTGTATTGACGGCCTCTTTCGAATAGTGTAAATACTGTCAATAGTCAATATAGACCCCGGGGTGTGTTTTTTTTGACCTGCAAGGGGACAAAATTTCATCGAAAAACTTGTGGGGGAGGGTAGGCGTGAAGTGTAAATAGGGGTAATAAAATATGATATCGGGCCGGGGTCTACGAGAAACAGAATAAATGAGCATTTGGCGTACGGGGAAAAAAAAAGGTTTGGGGACCTCTGGTTTAGGCGGACCGTCGATCGTTTCTTTCCGGTGACCGTGTACGTTTTATTCGGAAAATACTAGGAAGGTATCGAATGCGAACAGTTCGATAGCGACCGTTCGGTCGCGTACCACTGTACAGTATTTTTCGTTACGGTCTCGGTTCCGAAACCGAAAACGTATAATACGATGCCGTGTGTTGGTAGGGCGGCGGGGGAGAGGGGGCGATATTTGCGGTGACGACGATTACCGAGTAGTGTATTATATATACAGCCGAATAGTCGATACCGTAGCGTTGTATAATAGCGGCCGGATAAAACGCGATCGACAGGAAGTCTTAAAAAGATAATATCGTATACGATTATTATTATTATTACGTGTATTTTCTCATCGCGCGCGCACAATTGGCACAGTCACGGCGACGTCGAACCGAGTGTACCGGAAATGGCGCGGTGGCGGCGGCGGCGACGGGCAGAGTCGCCTCATCGGGAGCTTGTCCCGCTCCCGTCTCCGTTGGCGTGTTTTTATCATTCATCCGTCCTGTTTGCGTGCGTGCGTGCGTGCGTGCGTGCCGCCACAGCACTCAATGGAAACGTCTTGCCCACCGCCGCCGCGACATCGCCCCCTCGCCGTACCCATACGGCCGTGTAAGGTTTCCGGCGCGCGCGTTCGCGCTTAATGAAAACATTATACCGGGTAAAACGGTTCGCGTGGGACTCTATTACCGGCGGCGGCGGCGGCGAGCTGGTGTAATTTTTTTCTTATAACGTACTATAAATGTGTGTACAGTGTTATTATTATACATCATACTATTTTTATTCTCCTTTCGTTTCTTCCACCTACCGTCGTCGGCCCATAATGTACCCACGCGCACGTGTTTCAATTTACAAATAACAATAATGTATTCGCGAAAAAAATAAATAAAAGAGGCGTAGATTTTATTGCATCGCGCCCGATTGGGTAACACGTGATTATTATCCGAGTCAAACGTCGCGTCGTTGTTTGTACCGGGGGACGCCCGGAGACCGACCCGTCCTCACGAAAAATAATATTGCTCGTTCAGTACCGGTTTTTTTTTTTCTGCTGCCACACACAAATAATGATTATTGGCGATTTGTCAATATAATATAAGTATTTGAAAACGGAAAAAAAGAACCAAAATCCAATTTAAATTACAAATATATCCGAGTCGCGTTAAATGACGAAAGCGCAATATAAATACCGATTACATACGATAATTACGTATGGTCTTATCACAGATCGCGTAACATTGTTCTCGGGTCTTTTTGGCTGGCGTTCATTCCCCCGTTGTCGTGCGGGCCCAATAGTCATAATTTGAATCGCGGCCCTCCGCAGAAGCCACGGGGGCTATAGCACCGCGCGTAGTGATTTCCCTCGAAATTCTTCCGAGTATAATTGCGTAAATATCGTATACATAACAATGTTACATTTTTATTTCAGTATCGAGTTTATTTTCGCGTGCAATTTCGTTGAATTATTTGAAATGCGCATAGATGACATACGTTATACGAAATCGTTCGGGGATCGGGCGGTGGTCGGAACTCAATTCCCGTCTTTCTTATTTTCGCCCGCGTCTCGTGCACAAACGTATTTATCCTCCTTACTCCCGTCCAAAGTCCTGGCCACGTCGCCGGGCCGCTGTCCGATGATCTTTCCCTGCCGTTTTGTCACTGGCGAACTCTCTCCGTATGGACCCGAGAGCAGTGTCCGGACTGTCCCATTCGCGCGGCGGCGTGTCTTCCGGCCCCTTCGCAACGAGACCCGAAACGCCGTTCACAAACCGCAATATTATAACAATAATAATGATAATTATTATTATTTCTTGTTCCGCCGACCGAACAAAATCGGGTAACGGCGGCGGTCCCGGTTTCGTTTGTTATCGTAGTATGAGCCGGTAAAGCGTAATAATACGTAATTCGCGACCGGCCGCGAACGTACGTATTCACGTGGGCGGGACGCGCGGCACGTTGATTTATTATTAAACGCCCGTAATAGGTGGTAATAATAACAATAATATAATATTTTATTTATAGACGACAAATAATAATAATAATCGTAATTGAATACAACAATATCGTCGTCGTCTCTCGTCGTCGTCGTCGTCGTCGTATTAATAAAACGCGTACGCACACCCGAACAATCGGGTCTGCCCGCAAATACAATGGCGATATTATTATTATCGTTATTATTTCGCCGTCGTCGGCATCGACGTGTGTATAGTACGCACGGTATTTGATAATTAACATGTTATTGGCGAGCGAGAGGGAAAACCAATTATTGTTATTATTGCGCGTGTACAGTGTTGAATTAATTAGCCGGTCGAACCCGGTTACCCGGTTTATAAATGCGGCTGTATACCGAATCGGGCTTGCCGCAATGTTAATATTATATTATTATTATTACAGTTAAAACGGATACGGAATAATTATAATAACAATAATAATAGTTTGCATATTATAATACGCCAAATATAACACGCCGCGTTTGTGTATTCATTTCGGTTTTTTTTTTTTTTTCAAAACAATTTTTGTTTTTGTTTTCGCCGCCCGCTCACGACTTTTCGAGACAATCGGGGAATTTTCCAGCTTTTTTTTTTTTTCTTATCATTCGCAATAATATGCGTGTAGATATAGGTAAGTATACCAATTACAAATATAATACGACGCGCGCGTTTTTCTAAAAATATTGTCAGACCGAAAAAAGAAAAAAAAAAGAAAAAAGACGGTTATTTCAGCGAATACTCCGGAAGGTGTGGCGAAAACTGTAGGGGGACAGGAACCGTGAATGAGGTTGTTCCGTGGACCATATTGATGCCGACATCCGAAATCGAAAACGGATAAGCATTAACGGGTAGTATTTAGATTTTAAGAAAAAAAAAAAGAGAAAATCGAATTCGGTTAAACAATTTTCGTGTTACGTGGTATTTTCGAAAAACTACCGTCCCCAAATGTCCTGATGTTCTCGTCTTCAAACCGTCTGCGTTATCCGCGTTTGAATACTGTGTAATATTTCAACCTACAATCGCCACGATTTATGTTCTGTACGGTAACGCAATATTTTTTCTACATCATGTCTCCCGTCAGTTATACCGAGACGGTAAATGCGGGTGTGGCGTCCACCAAAGTCCTAAGTAGGTGGCGATGTCGTCGACGACCGCTGTGACTGGTTTTGTTGGAGGCTAATATTATAACGATAATTGCCCGTCAAATGTATTTTCCGTGTTGGTAGTGCATTTTTCGTCGTTCGTTTCCAAATTCATTTTTTATCGTATCCGGTGTAGATATAATGCGCTTCCTCGTATCGTCGGATTCTTGCCAAAACTCATTAACGGCAAATTTCAATATAATGGCGATAATGACACTGTCTAGTGCTATAAAACATTATTTTCTTCTGATTTGCAAGAGGCGTTTCAATTGAATTTCCTACTCTACCTAATATAATAATCAGTTTTTTATTTTCACTAAAATTACACTGGATGGTGACCGTTAACACGAAATATAATTTACTGCCAATTAGTTTTGATGAGAACCCTACGCTATTATGTATGGTAATGTTCCTAATTCCGATTTTTAATGTTAAAACGTTCAACATTTGAAATAATTTATGTTAGACGTCGCTTTTTAAAGAATTCTAGAGTCTACTGCAATTTGGTTTTCTCTTTTTTCTTCTTTTACTGAAGGTTCGATCTTATAGCAAATTTAGACATCCAGCCATTTCAATCTTCTATCCTATGAATGTCTACAGTATTCTTTTTTGCGGAGTTTTTGTCATAGATTTTTTATTAGAAATTGTATAATGACGTTACGAAATTTCATTAATGTTTTTAGATTCTGAGTGTAGCGAAGAATGTATTGGTTTTAAAAAGAGGTATATTACAATTTTTTTGTTTGTGTACTATGTACAAGGTTTTACCAGAAATCTTACTCCGAAGTATCAAGTATACCACCTTTTCTGAAAGGAAATCTGACTGGGGTAGTACTTGAGGAAAGTGTTTTTTTGATTTTCCCCGTTGTTTTCCTAATCAATAAGACAAACATGGTAAAAACTGGGAAAAAAAGTTACAATATTAAACAAATATCAATAAAGAAAATATATAATGCATATGCAATTATTTTACCATAATATGACATAATATATTGTCGGCAAAGCAACACTGAACTTCGCTCGGATTCGTTTTTTCGTTAGCAATGGTGTTTATCGTTGCTTTCAGATATACATTAGATTTCCCTTCTATTATATCTTCCCAACTTCTCACCTACAACAGTGGCCTACCCACGTGCCTTCGCACGAAGTGTCTTTTTTCGTGTCGTTTCATTATTATTTTTTTCGTTCTAATGCCGGGCCTTAATACCGTTGCTATTTTTACAAAGATCGCATTAGCATTTTTGACCTTTTTTTTTTTATTTTTTCATTAATTTATAGTGTACATATAGTGTTTATATCAATTTGTTTAAAAATTAATTTTATAAAAACAAAATCTTGTCGTAGCCAATCCTCGTATTTACGCATCTATACCGTATAAGCCAGTCGACGTATTCGCGCACACGAATTTATAACCGATCGGAGCTACCTATTAGGCGGGCAGGCGGGCGAGCAGGCAGGTAGGCAGACAGGCAGGTAGGTAATAAGCGATGATAGTAAATAACAATAATCGAAGTTCTCTTCCGACGGGTCATCGTTATTTAAACAACGCGTGTAAAAAGCGGAGATAGAGAGAGAGAGAGAGAGAGAGAGAAAAAAAAAAATTGAAAAGAAAAACGTTACGCAATGGTTCTTTCTGTACATTAAATACCCATTATCGGCGCGTAAATACATCGTAAACGTATTGTATACTCCGCAATCGTGTGTGTGCCTCCACGTTATAACGTATTAGGTATTTGACATTGCCGCCGCCGGACGTTGCTCAAACGATTCGGAATATAATGCGTGCGTGTGCGTGTTTTTTTCCATAATAACATAATATACGAATTGCATTTACGTCACACACACGCACACGAAAGACGTGCGCCGCTTTTGATTATAGTTAATCAACGATAAACCGGAATCGTCAATCGGCCGGCGATGCACGGAGTCGTACAAGTACCCTGCGCGGTAGTAGTGAAAAAAAAATGGTAGGTAGTAGAGTGGTATAGCGGTGGTGGCGGCGGCGGTGTAATAATATTATTTTATTATATTATTATTATTGTATAGGTAGTAAAATAGCAGTTTCCCACGCGAAAGACGACACGAGTCAAAGAAACGGAAATTGCCGGTCTCCGCGCGCGGACGGACGTGTGCGTTACCCACGCGCGGGGCGTACGCGTTTTCAGTCGTTTTTTTTTTTTTCCGCATTACGTAGTAAATCGTTATTGTCCGTTAATAATAGATAGAAAAAAAAAAAATTAATAAATAATAATAATAACAACAATAAACACCGGAGGGTTAATTTTAGGTCGGGGTTTTTTTCTCTCGAAATAACTGAAAATATTATATTATGCCCAAGTACCCGGCGATTGAATAGCCGGAACCAGAGCCCCGCGCGCGTTTTGTCGTTTCACGACCAAACTGCCGGTATCCGGCGCGTGCGCGTATCCTGCCGCTGCCGCTTGTGTGTGTTGTTGTTTTTTGTTTTTTTCCTCTCTCCAAACCGGACGCTCGTTTCCGGCATTTCGTGCGCATAGGATCCGCCGTGTTGTGTGCCGCGACGACGACTCCTCTACAATACTATTACATGGGTCCTTTTCGCGGGGCCTCGGTGCGCGCGTGCAAGGCGTGCGGTGCAGCGCGAAAAACCAGTACCCCGCGCGGACACGCCCACTATATAATGCGTATAATACAGTCCGAAAATAAGTCGTTCGGTTTCCGTTTCCGCCGCCGCTGGGAATAATTCGAAAAAACATAATAATAATAATCGTCGGTATATATTATAGCGTATACGACTATACGACCTATTTTAAAAACGCGCCGACCGGTGCGGATTTCTCGCACTCTGCCGACGTTTCGTACGACGGACGCGCGACGTAGAGGATATCCGGCGTGGCGCGTCTACAACATAAACACCCGTTTTATATTTTTAGACGCCTTCTGAATTATTTCCTATTCGCAGCGTTAAAAATATGCCACCGCGCGTCCGTTTTCTTCGTAAAAATCCACACGTATTATAATATCGCGCAGCCGTAAAGTAATACAATTAACGAGCAACGAATCGAAACGTGTAAATCCGTTGCAATAATATTGAGTGTTGCCGGCGACACGTGTTTTCTCTATATTTCACGCGAATAGAGCTTGTTTTATTTTTCCCCCGCGGAAAAAAAGACCGGGGGGGGCAGGGGGTTGGAGGTGGCAGCTACTCGAAATGTAATACAACCGTTTCCGAAAAACGAATAATCACAACGATAGAGCGAAGTAGTAGTACGACACTAAACCGTGCACGGTTTATTGCAAACATATCGGTTAGGTTAGGTTCGAAAACCCGCGGGAAAATTTAATTAACTATTCTGCGAATTTATGGGAAATAAAATAAAAACCCCGTATAGCATTTTGTATTCTACGTCTTTTCTCTCCGCGAATTAATGTATGACAAACGTATCGAAACGGATTTCAATTAAAATCTATAATCATACGAATTATATTTACTTTTGCTGGATACATGTTATTATACGAACTATTGTAATATGTGTTGCGACAGAATTCATTTAGCACGCGAAATATGCGCATTAAAATGTACAAATAAACACGGAATCGTGATTATACTCTTGATTATATTATCACGAACCGGCAAAGATTTCGAGTCAGTTGCACTTTTGTATTTTTATTTTTGATATCTTCCCCGTCTCTTCGTCCCGGGTTGTTCGAAAAGTGAATATTTTTCCTAAGGTTAACGTAATAATAATACGACGATTCAAGAAAATTATCACCCCCGTACTCTAAACCAGTGATTTTCGACCTAGAAACGAGTTAGCCTCCCCTTTTTTTTTTGTTCACGTAACACGACCTCATGAAAAAAAAAAAAATGATTAATACCCTCGATTAATAGTATGACGTCATATTGTCTGTTCAAAATCCTTATCAAGTACGATTGGACCCAAAGGAATAAAAATGTACTTACAAATACGACGCAAAGTAACTACATTTTAAGTGCTTATATATTTACTTATTTTATTCCAAAAAATCTCATTTGAGTATCTCTTAATTTATAATCGTCAAATCTTAGTACCCATTTAAATACTCATATATTTTAATATAATATGAGTCTTGGTATTATATTATGTGTTTTTAATTGTACAATTAAATTGTTTGGATTCCAACCATCAAATTGTTACTTACAACAGTCTGATAAGGAGTACATGACGTGAAGTTGTCTAACGTTAAACAAGCATTTACGAACTTGAATAATATACTATATACACTTCACGTGATTCACTTATGGTTTTTGGTGAACCCAGGTTGAAAACCACTGTCTAAACCATGTTACATTTTTTAAACGAGTTTATACATTGGAACGGCTCATTCGATTGTTTGAAATTTGGGTTCTCGTTAAGTCGTCAGATAACGCCGGGATTTTTTCGTTTTAAAATTTAAAATAGCGAATGCGTAACACAACGATAAACGCCTGTATTCATGCTAAAAGAGGATAACCGTGGTAACCGACGGTCAATATATTATGTATTGGGTAGGTATTGAAGTAAAAGTTTTCAATGGGTGTACATCGTAGTCAATATACAAGGACACGTCTGTTGAATGAAATGCTTAGGTAAATACTTTCCAAGTCTACGCACTACGTTTATTGTACGCCCTTTTTCTTTCTTTCTTTTTTTATTCTATTGATTGTAAAATAATAATTTTTTATTGAATTGTCCGATTACATTATACGTATTGAATTAAAATGTAACAAGTCGTTTCGTTTTGTTTTGGTTTTTTTTTTTTTTTATTATTGAAATGTTTACTTGCATACACTTTTTGTTCTGTAAAATTTTGACGATATACAGGATAAAATATATACGTCGTAAATCAAATTTGCAGAGTAAGTAGGTAAGCAACAATAATTAAATACAGAGTTTTATTAATTAAATTCGGTCGTTTTTGGTGCTGGAGGCAACTGACGTTCGATATAGACGATGATAGACTATAACATTATAGTATACGAGAATCAATATATTTTTGACTATGAGCTAAGCGAGATTTATTGTTTTAGATTTGTTTTATTTGTAAATAACTTTTCAATAGCATAAATCTTGCTCCATGTAGTAGAAAAACTTTAGGTACCTATGTATAGGAATTTTCTTGTAGCATTTGATTTGATTCATTAGTTGGTGTATCGGGAAGGTGATTTTCGATTTTTTCCGGTAGTAGTTTTCTTAATAAACGGGAAAGGCTGGCGATTTCGGTTTGTTTGTGGGGATATCTCGGCGGAAAAAATACGAGTAAAATTAATATTCCGCTCAGAAAGGTTTTTCGTTTGGAGTGGTTTATCGTTGCGTACGGATATAAATTAAATTACTCGTATGTCGCTATTGCTATATCGATTCCCTTCCAAACTTCTCCCCCGAAACCCAGTGACGCGACCGTTGTCAGCGTTGTCAGTCTTTTATAAATCGGCCAATCACAAAATATCAGTCTCACGAATCACCCGCGATTGGTGGTGATTAATGTGCAGTAGAGGATCGCCGGTGACGGTTGATTGGTGGCTCTGTTATACGACGCTGTACAGCGATAGTTTATCAATCGGACGAAAGTCTACGTAACGCGAGCACACTACTACGTATACGCGTACGTACACGTGCAATAATAAACGTATAGGCGGTGGCGGCTCGAAAGGGGGATACATTTGAATCGCGCGATTCGCAAAAAATTAGAGCCGTGGGTGCCCGGGTGCATCAGAAATGTGGAAAAAAAAATCCCTTTTATGTTTTTATCAAATAAAATTCATTATGCGAATTTGATTTGAATTGGTTAAATTTCAATACACTCGCGGTAGGGTGAGAGTATTTCGGGTCGGCGTGGACGGTTGGAAAATTAAATGGGTTATTCGAGGTAAAAATACTCCGAGCCGCCACTGCGTAGTATAGGCAACGGTGATAACAACTTTACCCGGTTTCGGGGTGACGGGAAGGAAGAGGAGGAGAGTGACGACGACGTGATGCGTGTACCCGAGAGCATGCGGCGGCACATTGCGTTCGGAACGCGTGCGGTGACCTATATAATTGTTATGGGCCTCGGACGGGACGAATCGATACGCGAAGCTCTGAGCCTAGAAATAGGTCATCCCTGTGTGTAACGGCCGCGTTGTCGTCGTCGGCAGCAGCAGGCCCGTGTATTTTATTCGAAAACCCCGGTTTTTTTTATTATTTTTTTTTTTTATGACGTTAATAATATTATATTCATTGATTTCCTCGACTCCTTGTGTTCGGTTCGAACCTCGGCTGCCGTAAACAGTCGTCTTCGGTTGAAAACTGCACTCGGCCACAGCCCAGAGTGCATAGAATAATTAGGCGGTCGGAAAATAAAAAAAAAAACACAGCGGCTCTTATATATCATACAGAAATTAAAATCGCGGAAAATAATTACCGGGAACATAATATATATATATATATATATATATATATATATATATATATTAATAATACTATTTAATAATATAACGTAAAATGATTGTAATGAAAGATAAAATGTCGGAAATCCAATGTAAACGAGAGATCATTTCTTTGGAAAATGTGATAACCTCGGTCGCTAACCGTTTTTCCGTAGTACTTTTGTGGTCGATCTGCCGTGATTATCACGTTTTCCATAAAATTATCGTTCCGACGTTTATTTATCTTTCAGTAAAATTAATTCCCATTCAAATTATTTTCAAACACTTCTTTACTTCCGGCTAATTATTTACTATATTATAGACCGTTTTCCACGTGCAGTACATTTTCGCCCGTTAATTGTTCGTATTGTATTCCATATTTCCATCAGATTAGGTTTCTCCGGATGTATATTCAGTGACAATAGAAGCAGTCGTTTTCAGCATAGGTATTTTCCCTGACGTTATTTTCCAACGGATTATAGCCACGTGCCGTATACGGCCGGCCGCCCTCTCCGATGACCCTTTTGACGGTACGGGTTTTCTCTCGATAGACGGTTTTTTTGTTAAAACTATTTTGTATAAAACAATAATAATATCGACCGTGTGTGGGCGATTTTCAGTTCACGATAAACCGGTTAACGTCGTCCGTTTGGTCGTTTACCGAAAAAAGAGTCACATTTTCGTAATTGCCGCCGCATCATCGGTAGGCGTTCTCGAGGGGGTAGGTTATCCTGTACAGTATACGTAGGTTGTCGTTATAATAATAATAATAATAATAATAATAACGACGACGACGAGAAGTGTTTCGGTCGCGGTCGTGACCCATTTTGTTTTTTCGGTCCCCATCACGAGAAACCGGCGTGAGGAGGCCTCGCGAAGACGAACGGATGCGTTTGTTTATTTATATAATATATATTTTTCGTGTATTATCCTAACCGCGTAGTATACGACGTGTTGACGAGCTGTTTTTCTGAGTGTTGTTTAAAATAGCGCATTACATAAGTCGTATATAAAACCCGCGTATACGCTGCAACAATAATAATTGGATCTGTGTTATTATTATTTTTTCTCTCCCGTCCGGGGATTAACGCGCACCCGGGACCATATGCGCGCACGTAGGTAGGACGTACCTATATATATATTTATAAGTATTATGTTATAAGTACAAGTATAAGGGGTCGTTGTCGTCGCGTGGTCGTTAATAAATCATCCGGTTTTATTGGCAGCCGGTTTCCGGTGGGCCAATTTTGATTTCCGGTCGGGCGTCCGCTATAATGGGGACCGCATACTGTATACGCCTATATAAATAATACGTATAATACTTAGACTTATACTTATATTGTATACGTGTAGTGGCCGTGTGCGTACACTCTCGTATATAATATTCGGCTGCAACGGCGGCGGTTGTTATATAGGTGGCCCGATCGATGCCGCCCGGTCCAGATGACGGCGACGACGATGACGACGGCAAGAGGTCCTTTGTGTGAAGCGCCAACGTTATAAGAGCGGCGGCAGCGGCAGGAGAGTATAATATTGTACAAGCGTAGAAGGGGCGGCGGAAAAGACAGAGAGAAAGAAAAAGAGAGAGAGAGTGAATGAGTGCGGGGAAGTTAAGAGGAGTGTGGAAATGAATAAGGCGGCGGCGCCCACTCATCATCGTGAACCCACACGCGTACGTACACACTACACATACACACACACACACACACACACACACACACACCAAATATTCTACGGAATGTTTTCTTTACTGACGAAATAAATGAAAAAAAAAAACGAAAGTCTACGAGCGTGGGTGGCGGAAAATCTGATTTGAAGTGTATACACTTGTACGCTGTAGTATATACGCGTTAAAAATATACATTTTGATAAATCTCTGTATATACTTAGAAAGTTTTGAACGTTTTTCTTTAAAAAAATATTATTGCATACGCACACGTAAAAAATTCCTTTTAATAAACTTCGTTTAATACATATGGGACGGGTTTATGATCGATTCTGAGCAACGAGGAATTTATTAGTGTTTTACTTCGATGTGTGTTTTTTTTTTTTTTTTTTACTGTTAACAACTTACCGGAAGTCATGCTCCAATCGAAAAACGACAAGAGGGGTTTATGTGTAGTGTTTTTGATTTAGATGACGCATTGGCGGGGTCATTTTTTGATTTTCGAGCAGTTTTCATAATAATTGAGAATACAGCATAAGACGATTTTTGACTTAGAGGCATTTGAAATTTTGGAGTTTATATTAGTTTTAATTTCATTTTATGCGGACAACATTTTTCAGCTGATCAGAGCTGTTTATGCATTTTACACGGGGCTCATCATAAGTTATACTTAGTGGTAAAAAAAAGTTTAGTGTAATATTATAGTTTATTTTTATGTACATGTACGAGTATTTTGCGTTTTAATTTTAAATTTTTATGGAAATCTTAAAAATCACGCCATTTTGCATACTATTTTTTTATTTATGTGAATACGATTTTTGGCGAAGCCAAAATGTTTGAAAATCGAAACCGAGATTTATTACAAGATGTATTTTGATGTTTTTCAAAACAAGTCGAGTGTAATGTAGTAATTTGTTTTCATAATCATATTTTAAGTTCAAATTTTGACGAAAATCGTAAAAATCATCGCATTTCAAAACATTTTTAACATGTTTCGTTCAGAATCGTATTTTATTAGCAACGTTAAATCGCTGTGTACAGATACAAATTTATTAACTTTACGTATACTATCTTTCCAACTTACCACCAACAACAGTACACACATTAACAATATCAGTTTCTTTTTCTTATATATACTTATACTTATTTTTACTTAAAATAACAGCTTTTTATTTGGAAACTCAGTAGTAGCGTATTTATAAGAAGAGATGGAAGGAGGGTAGAGAGAGGGTATATATACCCTCTTGGCTTTTTTTTGGTATCTATTATTTATATGACTAGATACTTATTTTTAAACTCTAATTTCTTTACTTTTTAGTCAGATAATTCAACAATTTAATTGTGTTAGTATACAGTTATTTTTTTTAAAAAAAAAAACACCCTGAACATATACGTTTACTTATAAACTATCGTTTCCGAACCACTATAATATCTGATGAAGGAGGTTAGATAGGTTATAATAATTTTTTGCTTATAGTTATTTGATTTCGATGATAATATTGTTGTACAGATTGAATTTTAATTTGCTTACGTACATTTGTACGTGAATTATTGGAAATAGATCTTTTTTTATTGCTTTTATAACGCGTGTAATATGATACGGATAATTTCCAAATTCAATGTCGCCTCCTTGGCATAATCCTAAACACGCACGCCACTGCAGATGAGAACGAGTACAGTATATGTACCCAAGTCGTAATAATTTTATATAACCAAGTCGGATCCAAAATTTTCAAAAATAACTCTGCGTGTTACAATATCATAATGTATAAATCATGATATAATATTGTATGTATCGATGTAAAGTTACATATTATAATAGTTTGACTGGACGCCGAATAATGCGTTACAAAAAAAAAAAAAAAAAACCGCGTTCTATGAATAGGCCCCCGAAGCGTTATATAGGATTTCATCGTGTTATACCATGTGTTTGTACGTGTTGAAAGACACCTCGAGAGTCGAGAATATTATTATAAATTACCACTTATATACTTATTAACAATACGTACATAATATAATACGAACTCGACGTCTAAATAAATATCGTCCATGTGTTACGTGTGATACATGCGTACTATACGTACGATAACACGGTCGTATAATGCGGGCGAAGCGTTTAAAAGACGTTTGACGTTTTTCAATATATTCTCTGTACATAATCGTACTATAATAATAAAATTATAATAATATATTGTAATCGAATTCCGGAGTAAATAATGATGCGCATAAGTATAATAATATAATATTATTCGTATATCGGTCTGGTGTAAACCCATTGAAAACTATATAAATTATAATAATACGTATGTTAAGTATTGGGCATTTAGCTTGTCATTATACATACCTACGTTTATTATTTAGGGGGTTTTTTTGTGAAGTGCCTAATAAATTAAAACATTAAACCTATAACCGTGTTTTATATGCGTATATAATATACAAAATAATAATATACTGTTGTGTATATATCGGAACGACACGAGGAAATAATAAAATTGAGGTTTTTTTTTTTCTTAACCCTTCACATACTATACGCATTAAATACATATTATATGGTATTTTTGGACCTAGTCTCGCGTCGTAAAGGAACGGAATTCGTTTTTATTATTATTGTTATATCAGCGTGTACTGCATTGTATAGAGAGATGCGTTCCTAAAATAACAATTTTGTATATAGGTATACAATATTGTCTCCGAGTCTTTGGCGAATAAATGATACGGCGTAATAGAAAAGCTTTGTTGATAGAGTCTATTCGTTTTTTTTAGAACGGCGTGTATTTGTTTAACATTAATATTATACGGAAATTTAAAGTTTGTTTACATTTCATTCCGAAAACTACGCCCCGTCGTCGAAAACTCGATAGTTGTATATTGTACGGTCGGTACATAAACGATTATATTTTATTAACGGTCATTTATAAGTTAGGTATAGGTACTTAAACTCTGTATAGGATTGTGTACAGAATTTCGATTTATGTGGTTTTTATAAACACGTGTAAACTTCCATTCGACAACCACGAAAATACCCATATCACGTTTGTATATTCTAAGGTCTTTCCAGTAGACTTTTTAATTTTGGTTTAGTACTATAAAAAAGTAATTACTAATTATTTTTCTGTAGTAAGTATAATGGCGTATATTCAATATAAAGAAAACTATCGTTGGTTTAGAAACGTCATCACCGTACAAATGAAACGTACTTATATAGGTAATTGGTCGAAGTGCGAAGCTATAATATTTTCTCGTGTACCTTGTGTACCGTTGTAGAGTTGATTTGTTTAGAAAGGATTATATTGTTTTTATTTTTATTTTGCTATTGCAACTACGCATTTTTTTTTTTAGAGTTTTATTACTACTTTTGATATAATCGATGCGTCGGAGATGTCGTTTCCCTTCTCTACTTTTCTTATTATTACTATAGTATGTTATTATACTAACGAATCTCTTATTGTAATTTTTCCAGAGAATTTCGACACCTTTCAACAGTCATATCCGGAATGGTGCGAGTCGTTTTTGGAACGTTGTGCCCGAGCTAACGACGACATGACCGGTTTTATCGGCGACACGGACACTCTGATGGGTCTGCGGTCGTTGCATATCACCCCGTCGCTCGTGCCCAACAGTCGGCCTTCCCGTCGCCAGCATCAGTTGTTGTCCATGCTCAGCACGTCCCCCGAGAGCTCCGGAGGTTCAGACATCGATAGCCTGTCGGACGTGGACAGTTCCAGTTCGATATTGGGTTTCGACGAGGACCGCGACTTTCCAGTGGAAATACTGCCAGACCTGTTTCTCGGCAACGCGGCCAATTCCGAAGACTTGGAATGGCTTAAAAAACACCGGATAGAAGTAAGTGCGATAACGATATTCTGTCTGACCGCAGCCGTGTACACTTTTTATCTACTACCACAATAATATGTCATCATTGCAGTAAATAGCGCAAATTTCACATGACTGCGTAGTGTCATAATCTCCAAAAAAACGACACCGCGGTTGGTTTGGACGGTGTAAATTATGTTTGAGAAGTATTTCGTATGTGATCGATACTTCAATTTGATAATGAGTTGTCTACGAAAATTATATCCCACTGCAGGTATACTCGTATAGTGTGGTATCACTGAGATATTTACCGCGTGGAGTGTACACGATGAGTGTAGTCAGATGGAAAACGTTATTGTATTCATTAAACATTATAGTGAGTCGTGTTTAATCGGCGATTCGTTCGTTTTTTTACATAGTATATTTTGAACGTTACGTCGGATTTGCCGAACACATTCGAAGAGCAAGGTAACATTAAATACATGCAGATACCCATTTCCGATCACATCGGACAAAATCTTGCCAGCTTTTTTCCTCAAGCAATAGAATTCATCGGTGAGTAGTTTTACAATGTATACCTAATTATTTTCTGTTCGATATATTATTATGTTTTAATACGATCTCTCGGGTTTGTTAATTTACTCCGTTAGGTTTCCCCGTCATCACCATGATCATATTATGCTACCCACAATGTTATACGATATTTATTTGTATTTAGCGGGCACGGAAATAGTTTTTGAATGGTTTTACGGTTTAATTTTAAAGCTCGAATTTGTATTGTTGAACATCGGCATCTTTATTCTATTGCAGATTAAGGTTTAAGCACCGTAAATTTAAAAAAAAAAATTGATAGATTTTTTACGTACCTACGAATTTTAACTTAACTTTTTAGTTGTACAATGCACGTACATTCGGTTCTTTTATTAGTCGATTAAAAAAAAAAAAAAAATTCACATATTACGCTGCATTATATTACTCATTATAAATTTAATACACACCGCTCGTTTATGTTTTATTAATTACTGCCGTTATGTTCTTTTTGAATATTACTTTTAGGTCGCCGCGGCTAATTGGTCGTAATATTAGAAGTTAATAGAATATTAATAAGAACGACAGTTAACGAAATAATATACGCGTGTTGTGTTAACATCACGCATTATATTAATGTATATTGCATATAAGTTAACGATGTGTATATTATACATATATACAGGGTGATTATTTTTATCACGAACCATCTACTTGTTCTATATGAGCAAATTTCGGAGTAACTGATTTTGGTTTTTTCGGCCGTATTTCTATTTAACTTTCTAATTATTTCTATTTACTAAATTGTTCGAAAAAAAAGTATGTTTTGTTTTTAAATGTTACTATATCCGTGACGTAAAATGCGGAAATGTAGCTGTAGCGAAGAATGACGACGGGATCAATATGGACCGAGACAAAATCAAATGAGAAGGTATTGCGAGTGATCGGGAGACGAAATAAGTTTGATAACACATATCTCGTAAAGAAAGACTGGATACAAAGAGAACGACTAAGAGCATCTTACTTTCAAGACGTGAAGACCGTAGTGAACTGCAACGCCCATATAGAGGTGAAGTCCCTGGCAGTCGACAGAGACATTTGGCTATGATGTTGCCTTTAGTGTATAGATAAATAATAACAGTCAAAAACTTCAGCCGGAAGGATTTGTATAATATAAACAGTAAACACGGATATGAAACGCGTATTGCTCATGTTTAACATTATAACCCGTATACAACCATAATATTCCGTTTTCGATTTTAAAGGTCGCTATTTGAAAATCAATAGTGTATTTACGGCGGTATACGAAATAAGACGAAAATTATATTATTTTTAGAATCAATCTTAATCTATTCGTAAACATAATCGTTCTGTTCGTGATGAACAAAAATCATCGTGTGTATATTATGGAAATGTGTTTGCGGCTCGCGTGTATAATACGCAATAATAATTGTGCTGAGAAGAGAAAAGAATCGACACATCGTCGGAAAAAATCGACTTACAGACGCCGAGAAAATCGAAACACACCGCGATCGTTCGGGGGAAGAGAAATCTTGGCGACTGTGTTTTTTTTTTTTTTTTTTTTTTAAAGCCTTAAATAGACCCCGAAAAGAATTTTAATTAATACATATACGGGCGATGTGGAGTGCAACAGCAGCAGCAGTAGTAGTTCAAAAGGAGACGTTTATTTTTCTCGACCGCCGTATAATTAAACACGTATTTGAAGTATATTTAAAAAAAAAAAAAAAAAAAAGGTCTAGCGTGTGATTTCTTGGCAGTACGACCACGATGACGATCATTTCGTGAACTTCTTCTTATTACTCGGGGACTTGAGACGTATTAAATTTAGTGGCGGCGGCGATGTTGTTATGTCGAGTATTATAATAATAATAATACTCGTCTCGTAACGCCGCCGCCGCCGCCACGCGTATTTCGTGTGACCGGGGAGAATCCGTGAATGAAGACGCCCACGCAGCAGCAAGTCCGACGCCGCCGGTGTGTATACGCGCCGAACGGGTCGCCCACGCGCGCGTCGCCGCCGTGTCCGGATTATAACGCCGGTGTACACGCTATATAAGTATAACAGGTACGGCACCCGACTATAATATATATATGTGTATGTGTACAGGGTGTTTCTGGAATTACCGAGAAAACTGTATGTCATATTATACTCGAAACGAAAAACACCCCTCTTTAAAAAACCGAAACTGAGTAAAAATATCTCCGGATCTATAATATCCGAGTAAAAAAAAAAGTTAAAATAATAATACCCAGTAATAAAATATAAATAACAGTGTTTTGAAAATCTTTTGTTGTCTTCGGATATTGCATTATATTAACTATGCAATCAAGAATTACTTTTAATGTATACGTATATGAATAACAACATGATTATTTATCGATTGTTATACATTTATACTTTGATATTATAGATCTGGATATTTTTACCAGTTACCATAAAAAGTCGCGGTCGGTTTCCATAAACGCGACGGGAAATAACATACTGGATTCGGCCTTTCGGAAGATTCGGCTTTTCGAAAATTGTATAAAATGTCGATTCGTTTAGGAAATAATCTGCAATACGGATTTTACGATTTTTTTTTTTTTTACGAAGTATACGCCAAAAAACAACATTTTTACTAATTTTGCATATTATATTACTACGAACCCAAAGCTCGAATCCCGGTTGGTCCGGTCGAGCTCACATCTTACGTAAAATTCCCCGAAATTGTCGACTTCGAAAATAACCGAAACCCTAACGTACACGGTGCCCGAAAGACGCGATAATTTTGAAATTTTTTTTGTGCCTCAAAAACATTCACTTTATACACTTGTGAATATTCGGGAAAGTTTCATAGAGGAATATTCCGCGATATTATTTGCCGCTTAATTCTCGTACGATTAGCTTTCGATTTAGAATTTACTGTGTTGGTAAGGGTGTATAGTATAGGTAAATTATATGCCGGCCACGTGACCGAAAGCCCTTATAAAATATCGTTTACTATTCAGTAATAACCGATTAAGTTAAATACTATTCGGCCAACCGTTAAGAATAATTGCACCATCAGCACTCCGTTTTGTAGAACACGTGTATTTGCATGTATAATTTGTTTGTCGACGTCTATCGTACCTAATTATAGTCAACAAGGTTAGATTTTCCAATAAAGCGTATCGCGTTTTTGTCAATTTTACTACGCCACTTTTAACCGGATGCGTCTGCGGTTGTCGTCGATACACATAATCCGATCGTGATGATATTCTCGGTAAAATGTTCGTATAAACGTACAGATGTGTCACTTTTTTCATTTTGACGACATTAAAAGCGTCAAATGTACGACGTGGTGTTATATCGATTCGGTGACGAATACCGCGGAATATTTATTTTTCAGTTATCGCGCGAATATTCCACGAGCGTAATAATAATGTTAAAAAGTCTAGGTTCCGGCGATAAACACATTATCGTCATTCGGACGCCACGCCGCCGCGGGTACCCGTATAATGTTATAGTATTTCTCCATTCATTTCCGAAACACTCCGTATATATTATATACAATTACGCGGCGGCGGCATTTCGGGGAGTTTGGCGTTCCCATCAACAAGTTACGAGCGGTCCGCGGCGTGGTCGGGACGGGTGATGGTGCGGGTTTACGCGGATCGATCGGCGAAGGAGTGTAATACGGCGTGCGGCGAGCGAGAAACGAAATTTTATCAATGAACGGCGAACTTTTGAATGAGAGGAGGAGCCCCGCCGCATGGCATTGTAATGTGTCGTCGCACGCGCGCCCCGGCGCCTCGTTCCGATCAATATCCGGGTCAAAGCCGCCGCCGCCGCGCCGCCCCAGCAGCCGTGATGCGAGGCGCGTGTGTGCTTTACGGTTTCCGTATATGTGCCGGCACCGTTCCGGTGCCGTCCCACGCGGGGACCGACGCGATGATGATGCACCCTCCGTCGTCGTCGTCGTCGGCGTTCGCGCTCAAAAACGTTCGACGCGCGTGCGCCCCGCCGAAACACCCCGAACGATATCGGTCACCGTGCGACGGGGAAACGTCTCGTTGGCCGCCGTCGCCACGCGCCCGTATGCCGGCTTACGGGTGTGCCCCTGCAATAATACTATACTATACGGCGGCGGCGGCGGTGGCGGCGGGGTCGCGACGTGCGTGACGCGGCGGCCCTTTACGCCGACGCCGGATAATTATGTGTGTCGTCGCGACGACGTTACGATAAAATAATGGCTCCCCGAGAGAGACGACCCTGAGACGACACGTCTCCGGACATTCGCGATATAGTTACAATGACAGACGGGAATTTTCCGTTGGGCCCTTCTTGTGTAGGTAGGCCTTGATTTATACACGTTTTACCACTTGAATTTCCTCAAATTGCCTATTGTAAATTTGCGATTTGTTAAGGAAGGAAGGAAGGAAGGAAGTAAGCAAGCAAGCAGGTGGGTAGGGACAGCGTGTGACGGCTGGACAGGGCCGGTACTCGGAGAATGTTTATGATTTATGTTTGTAAGCGAGGCCTACTTAAAAATAACTGCCCGGCACAAAAATCGAATCCAGTACGCGCCTGTTACAAAGACGCGCACACGATATTATATAATAACACACGCGTTATATATTGTTTTTCGTGACGTGCCAAAAAAAAAAAAAAAAAAATAAATGAGAAAAAAAAATAGTACTTCCGGTCACTTTATCGCGATGTATATAATTACTGCAATCTCGCGAAAAAAGAAAAAAAAAACCGTGTCGGAGATTGCACGCTTTAATACACCACCGTGCGTCGCGATGTAGAATGAAACACAGTTAATTCGCATTTGCCGAGGGTTTTTTTTTTTTTTTCAGTTTTTCGTGTCGCATTCGTGTTTTATAAAAATGTGTACTGTTTAAACTCTCGGTTTTTACGTTACCGATCGTTCGGATTTACTATTTGATTGTATGTTAACGGATTGATAAATTCCGAAAAAAAAACCGTTTAGACGCCGGGGCGTGTGATGCGCATAGTGGACGAAGAAAAATATCGACGGATTGATGTACGCCGCATCTAGGGATGGTCGGAAAGACATAGAGGCCGCCGTGCAAATAGTTTTAGCCGGTCCGCGGGATATAGCCGAACGACGGTGGTTACTGTCGCGAGTTTCGTTGCGACTGTCGTACGAAAACAAAATTCAATGGTATATAGTGAATTTCTGTACAGTATAAGCGTCGTATATTACGTGAAAGTAGTGCGAAACGACAGTAAAACAGCGTATGATACAATGTACAACCATAATATAACTCGGGATGGTTGCTTTCGCGATTGATCAGCAGTTAATATCGCCCCTTGTTTACACTATGCGGCACCAGAATTCGTCAACGAAACGGGGTCCAAACATGATAAACGATTTCATTGCACGGAAAAATACGCATTTTAGATTCTGAGCTAAGCCAGTTGGTTTTATTTGTTTATTATAACAGTTTGTAAACTTTAAACTCTAAATTTTTTTTAAACTTTTCTACCCGAAATATTGCTCCGATTTTCAAGTGTAATACCTTTTCTGAAAAGAAATTTTATCCGCGCGATACTCTAAGGAAGTTGTCTTTTGATGTTCCTAGTGGTTTTCATAATAATTCACCACCGCGGTCGCGACACTACGCACTACGGTGACAGTTCGTAATGTGATAACATACGGTAACCATAAAGGTTGCGGATTTCGCAATAATCACGTTATAGTGTAGCGTACGACCTAACTTCGTTGTAGTAATTATCGCTCGGACCGGCCGCATTATGGCGTTTCTCTGTAAAAATGTTACGCCGCACGCACCACCCGCGGGCCCGGCAGTGTTGCTCGGCGGAAGTTTGCCCGTGGAAACCGAACCGCGCGTAGGCCGCTCGGCGAACGAAGACGCGAATAACTAACAAAGTTTGATAAAACCCCACTCCCGGGCTATGCGCGTCATAATGTAATATAATTGTATTCATTTAAAACGTGTTCGCGCTCGCTGACGACGGACGATGATTGTTATATTATATTAACGCTGCAATAAAGGCCGGGGGATTTGTTGCGTACTGTTTGCGTTCACGCTTTTTCCATTAATTAGTTTAAAAATCACGCCACGGGGATAACGAATTTGAATAATCCGCGAACGAGTAGCGGGCGGGTTAAATCGGATTTCTTTTCGAAAACTAAACGCGTACCCCGCCTACCGTGTTGAACGAAAACGTTCATTGGCGCCGTCACAATCGACGCGACGATCGGTAAGTTGTGTGACGTCACATTATGTGATAACGAAATCCTTATCGGGTACGATTGGTTCCAAACGAATAAAAATGCGTACACACTTGACGCGTGTTGCGTAAGGCGACTTTTCAAATTCCCACGTTCTACATTTTAAGCATCACTTCGATGTTTATCTCGTTGCTAAAAACCCCGTTCGAGTATTTCTATGCATTTTTTTTTTTTAATAATAGCGAAATCTCAGTATTTGTAAATACTCGTGTTTGACGTATGCGTCAAAAGAAAAATATTATTCTTGTTTTTTTATGACATGACTATAAAAACCGTTTGGAACAATTAACGGTCTAATTGTTGTATTGATAACAGACCGATTGGAAGATTATGACGCACGCACTGATCGCCTCCGTAAGGTTTTTATTATTTTTACGCGCGCGTGCCGTATATTTTAGAGAAACAAATATTATAGACGTGCCTCTATAGGGGATTCGCCTCGTTTTTCGCCCTCCTTGTAGATTTTCAAAAAAATCTCATTTTCCCCCTATAAACTAAAAATATGAACTTGTCGTTATTAATTTTAGATAATATGATCTCTCGCGTGAAACTCGCGTGTTTTATATTTTATTCTTACAATTTTTGTGACCGCTATATTACCTCCCTCCCAACGCAGTGCCTAAATTCTAGTGGAAATCGATGGGGTTTTTTTTTTGGTGATTTACTTTTAAAAACTATTATTCTACTATTAAACTACTATTATTTTTTATTATCTATGGATCGACCTGCCGAAAAAACGTTCACGATGATGAGAGATAAGAACGTGAATCGCGATACTGTGATCTGCGGTATCGCAGTGGTTACACTGTGTTCTTTTCCGTCACAGATGAGGTAGGACAGCCCATTCGTTACTTTATTATCTAGGCTGTATCCGAGTTCAGTCCTAAACGTAAAATTATAATTTATGAATATACTAATTCCGTCCAATAAAATATATTTAGTTATAAAAGATCCGTTCCTTTTTGCATTTTCTACACTATATTAATATAGTATAAAATGTACGACTTTTATGTTATTTAGAAATAAAGATAATACTATTCAACAACTTTCCAGTCGTTATTCGTGCCTCTGCGTGTCTAGATTTCTTATTTTTTATTGTACTGATTTAATAGTATTATAATTTAGTTAACCTTCTTTTTATTAGGGACGTAATTGGTATATAAACTTTTTACCCTGGACGGAATCGGTGTATATTTTTTTCGTCACCCAGGAAGGAATTGGTGTAAAAAAAAAAAAAAGGTTATTAGGACGAAACTCGGATGCAGCCATTTATCTATATGGAGATTTCGCGCGTCGAGACTGTTTTACGATACGTATACATTGTTAACCTTATCACGTTAACTCGAATAGTTATTGATAATAAACTACTCTACTCTACTGTATGTTTTCGAACGCAGCCCTGGAATTGTTTTAACATATTTGTTTTATCTGTTGAATCACTTTTAAAAAATGATTTCCATTTGTCCGTGACAACGACTTAACGTAGGCTTAGCCCCCAATTTCCGTCTATGCTAAAGGGCAACTAGGCATACAAAAAATGTATTTAATTAATCTTATCGAACGGTTTTTTTTCGATTTTGATAAAACTTTGTACACTCGACATTCAATACAACGTATACTTTTTATCTTGACATTCCGCCCAGAAATTTTAATTTATTTTTTTCCCGTGTATACTATATACACGTCCGAAACAGTGAACATTCGAAACTTTTTGGCTGATCGGCAACGATTTTAATAATACTCGTGTTGGCGGAGACGCGTGACTCGACGGCTTCGCCGAGTGATGCTGTGCGGCAATACTATTAAACGCGCTGCGGGCTTATATTATAGTTCCGGTGACGCGAGATTTTTGACGTTTTTACGCGGCTACCGTCGAGGAATGCGATCAATTTCCACGTCGTTTAAAGTTCAACGCGTGTAAAACAACGTGCGCGCTATTAATTACGGTGACAACGCCGCGAATATCGTGTACGGAGCGGAGGAGAGAGCCGCGTCGTCGTTTTCGCGTTTATTAAAAAAATAAAAAAACAACTTAAAACGTTTTCATTTAATTACTCGGTTGTTGTTGTTGTTGTTGTTGTCGCGGTCGTTAATATTTATAATCGGTCCGCAGAGGTATACGCAATCATAATAATAATAATAAAGTATTAAAATCTTTTTGATGCGCGCGCCAGCGATGCCAACAATTTTATATTTTGGAACACAATGATGACACGGGGCGACGACGACGACTAAGTCGCGCATAGATCATACCGGCGGTTTGTTAAACATCATCATCGTCGTCGTGGTGTTTTTTTAAACCACAGGGGGAAGGGGGGTGGTGGTGGAGATAATTTACGATGATAAGCGGCCGCGGCGGCGGGCCGTGTCGTCGTCATCGTCGTCCGCGGAGGAGGAAGAAGAAGCGCTTTAAAAATAGATTTCGCCCGCTGACTTTTCAGTATATAATACAAATAATATACAGTTGCGCTTTTTTTTTTTTTTTTATATCGAGTTAATCTCCTGTCGTCTCGTTGAATAGAAAAAAAAAAAAAGAAGAAGCATTTTCGGAGAACTACTGGGGTGAAGTAAACATACCGCACCGCCGCCGTCGCACAGACATTTTTTGAACGTTTTCCCGGATCTCTCCGTAAATTCGCCGTTAGTATTTTATTATAAAAAAAAAAAGTTTCGCTTATATTATTAAACTTTCACGATATTCGAGTGGGCCGCGCAACATCATCACGACCGATATCCGACGAAATATCGCGAGCCTCAAGACTTTTTATAATATAATACACGATAAAATATTTCTCATTCGTTATAGGACGTACGTTAAAAAAAAAAAAATTTTAAAACTCAGTTCAAAACCTCGCAAATTCAAAATATTTGTTTTCCTAGCTCTCTATAGGCCTTTTGCTGCTTCAATCCTTCCGTTTATCTCGGTTATTTTCGCTTTTTCCAAACTTGCTAACTGGTACATTACTCGTGTGATTTTTCCCGGACCACCAAATATGCTGCCGCCCGTCCATTATATAATAGCTTTTGAGTACAAGCCATTTCATGGTATATATTGGATCCATTGAAATTGCTCTCGATATCTGCGTTAATACTTTCTTTTGTACCGCTCTGTTCCCGTGTTTTATACTCTTTTAAGAACCTTTCTTTCAAAAGCCTCAATAGTTTTATCTAATCATATTTGTGCGCGATTAACAACAGCATACACGACGTGCCATCGTCAGTGGACAGTTCTTCCCCCAAATCAACACGCCACTGAATATTGTTATTTTTCTCCCTTTTGCTTTTTGTTTCACATACGAACATATATCTTATATTGTTTCGAATAGTAAAAAAATAAAATCAACTGTATACAGGGCCGTAAGAATGGAATATACAAATGTTCTGGGTCTTTCTGGACACAAATGTTTAGACTTAAATATTTTGTTCACAGCTGTTTAATGATTATTATGATTTATACTCAAATATGCACTTGATAATAATAGAAAAAAAAAAAAAAAAAAAAATTATTAATTTAATATAAGCGCACCGGATTATATCTGGCGGTTCTTTGCTTTCTACTCAAGGGGGAATGGGTGATGGAGGCGTTAGATGGACGTACCTTATCCATATTTATAATAAAAAATAATAAAATAACGTACAACATTATTATGTACGGATTTATTTTTTTTTTGTTTATACTCTACACGACGGAAATGAGAAAAAAAACAATAGCTATTCGAGCTGCTCGCCGACACATCACAATGGCCGCACGACGCACTCCGAGCGGATTTCGTCTTCCTGTGTCGTATAGTGTGTAATACGTCCTGTTGATATTTCTGTTTTTGTTTTCCTGCTGTAACTTACACAATAATTATATATTTATATAGCGATACGCCCGAGAAACAATAATGCGATGACTAAGATTCCTCGGATGTTGTTACATATTTTGTAACTTTTTTTTTTTTTTTTTTCCATAAGTGTTTATATAAATACCGGTCATTGCCCAGGAATTCTAAATGGGAATCGTGATTCATAAATAAATCGTGGAATTTATTTCTGTTCTACCGAAATCGTTAATGTGAATTTAAAAACCGGATTAAAAAAAAAAAAAAAAAAAAAAAACAATTTGTACTTGATAAATCATCAAGCTTTTTCCTCGTAACTCGACTATAATATATAATTTCAAAATAAAATTACGTAATTATCACTTATATTAGTTGTGTTGTATTTTCAAGCCGACGGGGGCGAGGATATAAACCTTAACCTTCCCGCGCGTACGACACCGGTACTAAGTTTCAAGTCCAGTTTCTCCGTGCGGTAGAATGAGATGCACTATAAATAACATTTCCACTGCGACTTACATGCTTTCTCCGATTTTCGGTACTCATATTTTCAATTTCATAACAAAGTTGCCGGCAACAAACACACATATTTTCTATTTTACTGGTTTTTTTTTTTTTTTTTTTTTTTAAAACCATTATCGAACGATAATTTTATGAAAACTGAGTATAGTTAATGTAAAAGTAATTCGGAATCAAAATTTTTATTACGTTTAACGATCCCGAATCAAACTTTCAACGGATTACATTGAATTTGTTTGCATTTTACAAAAGATAACACCCAGTATTCGTGTATCAAAAAAAAAAAAAAATAAATAACATTGAATTTTCGTATATCTTCGATAAAACGGGTTCGATTATTTATTGGTCTGCTTCGATTGTATATTTGCAATTTTCAATGTGTAGTTCGTATAATGTTTCTTCCTACTATATCGGCTTTTACAGTCCACGAATGAGACCTTTGCCACACAGTATTTTGATATAAGTTTTAGAGAAATGTGTCGGTTTTATCATATGATGTTTTTTTTCTGTCTGTGTTAAACAAGTTTTTTTTATCTACCAGAAAAATTGCTCAGATTTTCAAGTGTAGTATAATATTTTCTGAAAGTAAATTTCATCTAGTCGGTGAGGATATTTGTAGTTTTTACAACAATTACGGGAAAACTGAAAAATGTACTAAGGCAATAACGCTTTCATTATTTTTGATTTTTTTTTTTTTTTTAAATTGAAATTCGGATAAATATAACCTTTTTACAGTTGTACTTTTTCGACGTGGTAAAATATTAAGCTGTTTAACGGATATTTGTAAATTCTTTTTTTGGTTTTACGCGGTTACATTTTTTTTTGGCTAAACTTCAATGCTTGATAATTTAACACGGCGTTCATATAATACGTTGTAATATTAGTGAAAAAACAAAAGTTAAGCTGTAACGTATAGATTTTATTTTTTAATAAGCGTTTAAAATTAATGAAATCGAAATTTCAATTAAGTATTTTAATTTCGCGATTGTTACATTATTATTATTGCAATCAACGCAATTGGTTTTACTTTTACACTGTTTATAAGAGTTTTTTTTTTTTACATCGCATCAAAACATATTATCCGACGAGCAGCAGCCATAGCGACGACTTTAATAACAATATTATTATTATTATTGTGGGTGAGTCGTACTCGTATATTATAGTCGAACGAAACAATTATTCTGTTGCCGTAGGAAGATTTTCATGTCGCAAACGACTTTCTTGTTTGTTTTTACGTAATCGCCGTCAGCTTTATTATTATTATTATTTTTTTTTTTTCTTCGGGAAATCTACCGCCACGATGATTGTTGTCGCGTCGTATTCTCATTGCTGCTGTTGGTTGCTGCTGCGCGCGGACGGAGGGGAAAAATCGTTAAACGTCTCGTTCTGTTCTCGCTGTTCTGTTTGTTATTTATTTGTTTTTTTTTCGCTTTCAATAAGGACAAACACACACACACACGCACGCGCGGACGCACACACACACACACACACACACACACACACACAATATTATATTATACGTGTACGACTGACAAATAATAACGTTTTACAATGTATTTAACCGTGTGTACGGCTACGAAAGTGTGCGCAATTTTATTCTTCGAACGCCGCGATAACGCGAAAATTGCGTAACCCGCGTTCCGAGATTTTCGCGATTCGTGTCCATTGTTCCGAACGCGCGTGTACGACGACAACAACAACAACAATAATAAAGTGGATTTCGAAGTCGGCGTACGCCCCCTCCCCCCACCGCCGCCCGGCGTCGGCTGATTTTCTCACGGCTCTTAAAACAACAAAAAAATCTTCCAATTGAACGTGTTTCCATTTCACACGGCCGCGCTGCGGTTATTCCGGCTTGCTTTTAATGTGTGTTTTACACTAACCCACATTTTCGAATCGAACCTATATTTACGCCAAACTCTCCCGTCGCGTAATGAGGCGGACGATAGTGTGTGTTAAATGTTATTTTAAAATTAAAAAAACACGAAATCTCCATTGTATTATCATCATTGTTACGGCGCGAAAACTTGGCCATATTTCAGTATTATTTTCCGTTTTTTTTTTTTTTTATACGTATTATTTCCGTCGACCGGTATTTTTATCTCTAAAACACGATTACCGTATTATATATACGCGCAGCTCGGCGCGGGAACGAAAGTAACGGCACGGAGGGTGGGGGAGCGATATAAAAAGGTTTTAATTATACACCCGGCGGGGTGAGCGTTTTTATTATTACGTTTTCCGTACGCGCGGGATTGCGGGAGCTCCCGGCAGGTTCAGTCGCCGGCGGGCGGTTCCTTTGGAGAATTTTCGTTTTTTTTTTCCCCCCTCCCATCACAATAAAATTCGATTTTCACGTCATATCAAAGCGGGCCGCAACAGTTTTCCCCTGTATATCGCAACAATCCGCCTGTGTATGTATAGTACGGGGAAAACGCTCGACGCGTATTATTATTATTATTTTTTTTTTTAAGGTTTTCCGCAACAGGAAATCTTTTATAAACGCCTAACAGCTGACCCTTGTTTTTGATTACATAATCGAATCGTTTAAAGTCCCGCGCGAAGTTTTCCTCTCTCCGACAGAAAAACAAAAATCGACTGTGTTAGAGGAAATGAAAAAAAAAAACCACCGCGTCGCGTCTGTTTAATATAAAAATCAAAAAACCGATTGGACCTATCGTGTATGTAGATTTTCGAAGAGTCGTTTATTGTTCAATTGTTGTTAACGATAATTAATAAAAAAAAGTCACGAGCCGCCAGTTTATACCCTTATTAATGTCCGCGCGTCACCAAAAGTCAAGTGTGTCGGCGATAAATCCGCGGGTAGAGGGACGGGGTGCACACGTGCAGCTTCCGTCGAATTCGTTCACAGTTTTTTTATTATTATTATTATTATTCGAACGATGACGCCAATAACCAGCTCGTATAACTACGTAACGAAGTGTATAACAATATTGTTAATTATAATCGTCAGCCGCCGCCGCGTGTTATTATATTATAAAGAAACTGTGACCGAACAATAACGCGCGTTTATACGGGCGATGGTGTTAAAGATCCCATAAAAAAAAAAAAACAAAAAAAAAAAAAAACACTTTAACGAGTAGCTAGTAAGACAATAAAATATATTACGCAATCCGGAATCGTTCGAAACGTTGAAAATCGTCGCGATGGCGCGGGCGATACCGCGAAGAAGGGAGCGTATCCGTTTCGCCCGGACCCGACCACATTCCCGTTTCGCCAAAACCGATTTTCGGCGTTTTGAAATTAAACGGGCAATGGTTTTTTTTTTTTTTTTTTTTTATATCGAATTGTTCGCGACGAATTCATTACAGTTGTTTAACAGCATATTGAACACGTGCCGTCCACTCATTGGTTTGTACCACGGTTGTTTTTAAATAACCCGCAAAGACGAATAACACACAATATATTTTATTATACGCTCGTTCCCCCCTTGTATTACAACCAAGTATATCGCGACCATTTTTCAAATGTTTTTTTTAGTAAAAATAATGATTTATATCGTAATTAATAATGTATGATTCGATATTATGAACTTCCGAGTGTATTTTCATAATGTAATATGCGACACTATTTATACCGTGCCGAATTTTTATAAATTAATAATTCGCGACAAATTTGTAAATATTATGATTAAAATCCACCGTCGACATAATTTTAAAACGACCGGAATATGTTTTAGGCGAAACGGGTCCCCGCCCAACCGCGAAACCGTCCGAACCGGCGGCGGTCCCCGGACTTTGACGGGGCCCGCGGCGGCGCTCTTAGAGAATAATTTCGCGTTTCGCGGAACATAACTGCGACGCAGTTTTGACTAATTGAAAAATAACATAAAATCGTAATGGCGACGTGTGCAAGGCGTGTGCGCCGAACCCGTGGGACCCTCGGGAACGAACTTAAGAAACGCGCCGGTGCTAAACACACACACGGGCACGACACGTTTTACCCTAGAATCACGGTCGTTCATTCGGTGGGGGGGGGGGTGGCGAGGACATGTCCCCACTCCTGGCTTTTCCGTGTCTGTTTTACATAAAATATTATAATTTACCCGTATTAAATGCATATTGAACAAACGAAAAATCGATAATCGTATAATATATTATACAGTGAGACTATAATATTCACTAGTGGTTTCCCGTTTGTTGTCGACGACATAAAAATCAATATAGCACGGGCGATTGGGAAATATTGTTGAAAAAAATACAGTATTTCCCCCCCCCCGCCCTCTTGGATTTTCAAAGACCGGACTCCCTTGCCTAGAGTCGATGTTGGTCGCATAGTATTCGTGAAAACCGGTTAGGTTATAGGGTTGGTTATAAGGGTGGAATGACGTTGAAAGTGTTGCGTAAATAACATCTGCACATTATATAATGTCTTTGGTTTCTGGGTGAAAAGTAAATTGTTGACTTCTTTTTTTTAATACATATATAATTTTGACTTTTTTAATTGTATTCCCCTCTATTCGTCCGTCTAATAACGGCATAAGTGTGTATGTGACTGTATTCTAACACGTGTTTAGTATGTTATACTGAAAATCGAAATATTTCCCGTCACTGGATGACGTGATGGCGGTAGGTACTTTTTGTTTGGCGAAATGGCATAAGTCGCGTATACAAGTCGAAGCAATTTATCCGTTCGGTAATAGCGCCGTTTTAATTATTATCCGAGCAATTTTCAAAATTGAATTCGCTCTTATCGATTAGAACTGTACAACGGGATAATAGGCTATAGTATGCCGTGCACACACGAAAAATGGCAAAAAATAAAATACAAGTATAAATACAGCTGATGAGAAGTCATAAATGTAGGCTGTTCGGTGGGTCAATACTAAATAATAGATTATAATATTAATTTTTTTTATGGATTCACATAAACGACAGATTTTTTTTCTCTTTATTATTTATGATAAATACAAAATAAATCCGTATAATACGTATAATATTAGCGACTTTTTTCTGGACTATAGTCTCTTTCAATACTATAAATACACTCTATCGGATCACATTCACAGAAACGATTCAATTTGGTAAGTCGTTGACCAGCAGTTGTTTTGGTATCAACTGTTGTCATTATTGCGAACTTCAAAAAAGGTACCTATTACTCGTTTAGTCGTGTATATTAATTTTAAAATTAATGAATGGTAATAGCTTCTTTTAGTAATCGTAATTGAACAATTGAGTGGGTTGTGTGTGATGTGTAGCCCTTTATTGGGTATTATTTTCAAAAAAGGTCGCATGAAAAATTGTGTAAAGGTTGAGAACCGCTGTTTTATCACACCCGTGATGATGTTCGCCGAGAAACGACGTTTAATATTTAAAGGCCCCGGAGAAATGGGGCAACGCGGGGTAGTGTGTCATCGGCACGTCGTAATACTGTCGGCGGTGCGCCACAGCCTTTGCGGACCGAACTTTCGCTTTGCGTGCGCACGCCGTCGCCGCCGCCGCCGCCACGCCGAGGGACTTTCGCTCTCTTCCCGTTCTCGGGGATACCGCGCGACTTCCGGATAACGGCACTCCTTTGAACACACACGCGCGCGAGCGTGCGCTCTCGTACGGCAATTTACATTGTTTTAGGCATTATAAAATATGTACAGCGTGTTTCCCTTTTAAAGGTAACGCGAAATATTTCTGCCCGTGCGACTCCGGATCGCAAGCCCGGATTAAGGCGTTCAGAGGTAGGCGAGCGTGTACGAGGGGGAGGGTGTTTTCGGGTTTCAACCTTCCCCCATCCCTCCCACGACATTTCGCGAAAATTGCGATGAACGTAAGTTTTTCATATATAGTCTCAAAAGAGGTTTCTATGTCAATGCGGTAGATAAATACAATTTCGGTTTTATTTTATTACTATAGATTGTATATATAGGTATCTATAAAATATATTGTTATTATTGTTATTTTTAATTTTTCGCGGTTTTCTTGTTTTTAGAAAATCATATCTGATACGGCGATATTGCTTTGGCCGTATTACGTAATTATAATTTAGGCTGTATTCACTATATAAAAAAAAAAAATTTAAACGTAAAATTTAGTAAGTAATAGTTTAGGTTAGACTAAAGGTTAAAATTGAATGTTATAAAATATTGAAATTTTTAAAGAAAAATGAATAATCCTACGGTTGAAAGTGTATCCAATTCTTTGTTACGAGTATATGAAAGTGCACAACCTTAACCCCTCCCCCCCCCCCCGAGAAATAATTTTTTGTGAACACACCTGTTTAGAGGCCCCGGGGCCGAATTTTTCGACGAGACATTCGTCCAATATAATATACATTTTTAAGAAATGTTTACTAACCAGTATGTTTAACAAAAGAAAAATAATAAATATTGTTGACATTATATAATATATAGATTTCAATTCAAAAGTCACAAAGTAGTTTTGACGATTTTCGGACAGCGTTCTTCTGTGATTTATATTTTGTTTATTTTATAATAAAATTGTTCAACGCCAATGCTTGTATCTTATAAATTGTTCGAAATTTAGCCCATCATTATGTCGTGGCTGCAGTCAGCTGTTTAAAGTTTTCTTAATAAATGAATCGATTTAAATTTAAAGTTTAACTCGTTGTCATTCAGTCAATTTCGGTCTTAGAGCCGCGGTGAAATGATCGAAATGGTCGGAATTTTAATGTGCGTACCTATATACAAAATGCAATCATAAAACGGGACAAGCATATTTAATGAATCGCTCTGTATATTAAGTTTTCGGTGTTACACTCGGAATCCAGGACTAACGGAATATATTTGATATCCGACGAACTCGGTTCATATTTTATATATAAAAAAAAAAAAATGGTGGTCTGATAATTCTACTTTTACGGACCGATAAAGCGATAAATAAAAGTTTTCTACACGCGAAAATCGCCATACTTTTTGAAACGCTGTAGATATCATTAGCATATATCTCCGTATAAGTTAATAGTTCGAAAATCTTGTATATGCAGACGCGGGCTGACTCGGGTGTGCTACAACATCCCACGCTTTAACGTTTATCTGTCACGTTTAGTAAAAATTTACCTTTGTAATTTTATTCAACGTTTAATTACTCCGTTCAGTCGAGAAAATATTTTTGTTTTTTTTTGTCGTTTGTATTATAATGTTTGCGTATATAAATAATTTATTTGAGTGTTTACTTTCACTGTCGATAATTGTTGATAAAGTCATAAACATAATAAAAAAAAATAAAATATCGAATCAAATCATTAAAAATACACTTCAAAAGTACCCGCTTTGAAGAACTGTTTAAATTCTGTAATATTAATTAACGACGAACATGATCTCATAGCAAATTCTATAATGATGATAAAAACTTTAAATACAAACTTATCAAATAAAACATTTGGTAGGTAATGATTTTCATGTCTTTGTATACATTCTGCAAACTTTTGTTGTATTAATTATTAATAATTATACATGTTCAAATTGACACGGGACGTATTTTATGCGATTTTTGGTATTTAATACATTAAAATTTATAGACTATTGAGTGTACCTAAGAATCTATTAGTATTAAAAAAATTCGGTTTTTTTTTCTCAAAAAACAGCTTTTTGGGTTGATAAAAATTTTCCGGATTTTTGCCTGATGGTACATTTTTCGAACATTTTTTCGAAATCCCCAATACTTTTTCCACGACACCGATTTGTATGTTTTTTTTTTTTCCAAACACTCGATTAGGCAACCGCTCCAATTCACGCAGTAGGTACTCTCTAAATGTGCGAAATATCCGTAATTTCGGGTCTCAATATATTTTAAACATTTATTGCCACGTTCAGAGGTTTACCCAACCTTTAGGTCGGTTTTTTGTCGGTTTCCGGGTTACTCGAGAAGGGAATACAAACACAACCGATACTATTGCGCTCAGAATCGTTGGCAGTTTCATTTATTGTTGCGTACAGTGTAAAAGTGGAAAAAAAAAATACCCCGTGCATCCTATGTATACCGTTTCAACGCAGCTACTCATCGACAAGAGTGGCCTACTCGCGATTAATATCGATTTTTTAAAAAATTTTTTTTTTTTTTTAACTGTCCCTAGAATATCTTTTGCTATTCGCCCTAAAATTACGCGTAGCGTCCTAATTTCGACCAGTCCGCGCGTCGAAAATTATAATTATCAGCGTTGTGTGGACCGTAATATTCCGGACTCGGATCACTGAATGTTGTCGATTTTACCCAGGATCCGGGGTCAACGTTAAAAACGCCTCCGGCGCGAACCCTCCGGCCCCTGCGTTCACCGCGCGCCACAGCGTGTTGATACGTATTATCGAATGCGCACGAGCGCGCGGCGCGCCCCGAGACGCGGTATAATAATATTATTATGTTATTGCAGTCGATGCGGACTTTTGTGGCGCGTGTACAGACGCGGAATAATGTAGGGCGTCAGGGCCCGCCCTTATGTGCCGATCCTGCGCAGCGCATGCGCCGGGGCCGCAGCGACATCCGAGTCGATCGCGGTCTGCGGACGGATCGTCGCGGCGGGCGCGTAACCCTCTCCGCACGATCGCCGCCGTTGTACGCGATATTTATTATTAGCGTTCGGATTTGACGGCAATGTAATCGATAAAAAAAAAAACCATTTAATTTATATGAAAAAGCAATTACAAAATTTACGAAAAAAATTTAAATAGAGATTTCAGTTGGTTTAATTTGTTCGTATTGAAAAAACAATTGACTACCACGTACTTAGCCTTAAACCGCCTTCAGTAAAACGTTGACGGTTTGGGCTTAAAATATGTTTGTCCGTAGACAATTATTTTTCTACCTCTACGTCGAAGGTATTGGGGCGTATTTCATACATAAATAATTATCTAAATAATTAAGATTACTAATTATTGAATATCGCTCGTTGTTTCTCCGCTGATTTTTTCCAATTAAAAAAGGGCGGAAAAAAAAATACATCCATTGTCTTCGTTATTAAATAAAACACATTTTTATGCACAAAAATTATTTTTCTATTATTATATTTAAAAAAAAAAAAGAAAAAAAAAAAAGGTTTTTGCGAATCCCATTTATTACCATTGATGATCGTACGCTATTGTAGTAATAACATTATAATTTATAACAATTATAAACAACCAGTCAGCCGACGTTATCGTAACACGGAACTATAATAATAATTAGCGGAGACGTGAACAATCTTCAACAATTGAAAAGACCGAAAAGTTTGTTTATCCGTTTATACGCTAAAAATCGCATTTGCTTCAAACTCGCATCCCCGTGACGAATTATATCCGTTCTCCCGCCCCTCCCGTTTCGTCAGATTCGGTTAAATAGTGTACCAGTATAAATACCAGTGGTGTGATGTAGTCAGTGGCGTAAGCGATCACAAAAAAAAATATACACCTTCATAAACCTTCTATTTTTACTATCCCCGGAGAGCCGTTCACGATTTATTTAATACAAATATTATCGAAACCGATTTAAATAAATAATTAACCATAGCTCCCTAACTAAACAATACGAGTAATAATAATATTTTGTACGGTTTGAACCTAAAACGAGTGAAGGTGACCGATGAGAGTTCCAATATGGCGGCAGTGTCGTATGGGACCGTACCAACGCTGATAGTATAATAAATAGCATCATGCTATTGATATCACGATGATTGGTCGTGTAACACATTTGAAAACGACTCGTAATATATCGTCTCCTTATGTACTATTCCAAAAGTCCCAAATGTAATATATAATATTTTACATTATTAAAACTAGATCATCGTGGTTTAAATTGTCCATACACGCTACTCTACTGACGCCTGCATATTAAAAGTATACATATTTTTTGTATATTTTTTTTACGCATAAAAACCTACCTGAAGGTCACGTTCAGTGCCTTAACCGGGCATTTTTCCACAGGTCATATAAAAATACTGTACGCCCTATGCGGCAGTAATTCTTTCTTTCACTCTTTTCGGATCGTAATGTCTAAAAAAATGCAAAACATTAAACATCATAGTCCCCTAAGATACCGAAAACTAAAATAAAAATGATGTAATATAAATATTATACGCATACCTCAAAATAAGCGATTACGCCTCTGAAATTTTACGCCCGGGAGGACTAACTCCCGCATACTCCTCTCCCCCCCCCTAATTCCGGCCTTGTCGCTGAACTCTATAACTCGATAAGACAGCTGAACAATAACTGCTTTCGATAAAAAAATGTCCACTCACTCATGGCAACCCGAAAATACACCCCACCATGGAATATTTTGTTAGATTTACATAAAATTTGTCGAATTTTTTCGAATTTTCGCAAGCTAAAATTCTTTTAACACACTATTGTTTTATGTAAAAGCATAATCGGTTTTTGTTATGTTTCTGAACGGCCGCGTGGCGTTTTGTGAATCACGCAATTCATAAATACCTCCTCATCCGAACCACCACTGATCAGAGCCCCGTAAATGTTTCGCGGGGAAAATATGTAATATACTTTCCGAGATAATTGGCGACAATGGCGTATTTAGGATTTCTTTGCGGAGGGAGAGGAATATACGAATACAATTGTCGGTGCTAAACGTCCCAGCATTTTGTTATACCTACCGATAAAATGATGAATGGAAAAAAAAAAGAAGAAAAAAAAAGTGGGCCATAGGGAGAGATATATTATCCTTATTCTCCCCCGCCCCTCCGTGTAAATACGCCACTGACTGGCGGCGGTGACGTACACGCCCGTTCGGACGGATCGCCATCGTTTTGTATACACAAATTGTAACGTTAATTTATTCAATAACGATGGTAATAATACGCGCGTATACGTAAAAAAATTATCACGTACGCCGAGCGTGTAAAATATTATTATTATTATTTTTTTTTTCAGTAATCTCGCGCGTTTCGGGGGAGGAGCGACGAACGCGGTGGTTCGTAAATACGCGCTAGTCGCAATTAATTAATTGGCCGTATAAAAATGAGGAAAAAAAAAAATTAACGATAATCCGACGCCCGCGTCCTTGACCGTTGTTTGCGGGCGGCGGCGGTTTTCGCGTGGGCGCCGCCGTCAATGTGCGACGACGACGACGACAATAATTATTGTTATCATCATCGTTATTCCGCACGGTTTCATAATAAAAATAATAACAATAATAATAATGATAAAATGATAATGGCGGAGATAACGCGACGATATTTTATGTTCCCGTGTATTGCATCGGACGCCACTCGTCGGGCCGGCCGTGTTACCTATATCGTTTCTTTTTTTTTTTTTCTGTCCGTTGTCGAGTAGATACGACGGTAGTAGACTCACTGTACGTCTTAGACGGAACGTTCGTCCCGAGGATTCGGGAAGCGCGGTCGGTCCGAACCGAGTTGGGTTACACGCGTTTTGTTGAAAGGCCCGTAGTTACTTGGAAATAATACATTTCGTAAATTTCCCTATGTTTTTCCCATTAATTACGAAAACCCTTGAGTAAAAAAAAAAAAAAAAAATGACCTCTTTTAAGTCAAGTTTCACTTCAGTCAAATTTTCTTTCAGAAAAAGTGCGCAACTTAAAAATCGGACGAAATTTCCGACCAATACAAATCGAATACAATCAAATCGACATGGATTCGTTTAAAAACAAGAGTATAATAATAATTTATTGCGCACCGGGATTTTAGTTTTCGGTAAACCGTCGCCGGAGTTTCCGAGCTCCAATTTTTGCAAAGTATTAAAATAGCTATTATATGAGTGTTTATTGACGTCGACGAAAACAGTTTTGCAACTTTTTGTGTGCGAATTTCACACGAACAAAAAAACAATTAAAATAACTATAAATAGCCTGTAAACAACTAGAACGTTTCGAAAATTTACCACTCCCAGAGGTGGCTAATATAATTATTAATGGACAGTTTCAGATTACTATAAATACTGAAGGACAACACCAAAAAAAAAAAAAAAAAAAATGGAATATTAACAGTCGCCGTTATTGCGAAAAAATCATGTCAGTTTTCCTATACTTTTCCCGATTATTAAGAAAACTAAAAGGACCATAAAAACAACAAAAAAAAGTCCCTCCTCAATGCACTTGAAAACCAAACGGCACGATCGGATCAACATTTTTGATCGTTAAGTCACTTATAGGCGGAAAAAAACATACGAAAATGTTTTAATACAAAACGTAAAACTAGTTTCGGGTAACTTTTGATGGCGTCGGTCCCGCCGCGCGGGTAGGTTCAATCGGGACCCGTGGTATTTTCGGGCGACAATTATTAATTTTTTGCATTTTGTTTTCCTCTATCTGTGAACAATTTTTCTACCAGAAAACGTGCTTCGAAGTGTAAACTATGGCACCTTTTCTGAAAGGTAATGTCGGTCCATTGGAGAGGTCTTTTTTTGGTTTTCTCGAAATAATCGGGAAAAGCGGCAAATATTTATGGCTGGTGGGAGGTATCTGGGAAAAAAAACAAACAGGTTTTGTTTCAAAAAATAAAATTGAGCGCAATGTAGTATTTTTTTTTTTATAAGTTTCAAAATCAAATTTTTGACGAAAACCGTGAATATCACGCATAACCGTCAACCGGTGGTTTATCGTCAGTTACAGGTGTATGAAAATTAAATACCTAACTTTATGTATCCCGCCTTCTCCACTGTCCGCCTACAACAACAGTGGCCGCACCCGTCTCTTTTCGAACGATTAATTTCGCGTGGACCAATGTAGGTGGGGAGGCGGGGGCACCCGTTCAAACCCGTCGCGATCGTATTGAAATTCATACTGGCGATTTTATCTTTGTAGTTTTAGATTTATAATTGGTTTTGTTTTTTGTTTTTTTTTTAATTTTTTTCCCCGTGTCCAACAGACAACGGCCGAGCGCAGAAAAAGGGCGTCCTGGTGCACTGTTTGGCGGGCATATCGCGTTCGGTGACCGTGATGCTGGCGTACCTGATGGCCCACCGGCAGCTGACGTTGAACGAGGCGTACAACATGGTGCTGAAGCGCAAGGCCAACATCGATCCCAACTTTCATTTCATGCAGCAGCTGCACTCGTTCGAGAAGCAGATGCTGGACGCCCGCACGCAGCCGAAACAGTCGGCCAACTCCACCGGCTCGTCAGCGTCCAGCTACCTGAGCCCGTTGTCCACGACCGTGCAGAGCCCGGACAGCGGCATCGAGTTCGACCGGTGGACCCCGGGCACGGGCGGATGAGAAACGTCCGAGGGCGACCACCGGCAGTCGCCCCAGACCAAATACCGTTTTTGACCACGGAAACGGTCGTAGTGGTTTTTTTTATTATTTTTTTTTTTTCTCTCTCTCTCTACTGTACATCTGTCTTGTATTACTACTATACTTACATTATTATTATTACTTATTATTATTATTGCGGCGCACGCACAATATTTTATATCGATTATACTTATCGTCGTCTCGTTTTCATCGTTTCCTAACGCGTCGAATCCTTTTTATTATTATTATTATTATTATTTTAGACGTAAAAAAAAAAAAAATACACCGCCCCTTGAATATAAAACACGAATCCCCTCCCCCCACCCATTCCGCGTATATAATATTGTAAATGTATATTTTTGTTTTGACCGCGTTTTAAATAGGCAACGGAGCCGTTTTCGATTGTTACGACTCCTTCTCCCCCACCCCCCCTCCCCGCTCCTTTTATTTTGTGTTATTTCGCGTAGCGCCTCGTACATAATATTATTATTATTTTTTAACCGCGCAACTTTTACGTTGTTGATTTCGACATTTAAGACTAATACTTTTATTACGATTTATAATATGTAAAATCAATACTAGGTAGGTACCTAGCTAACATGATAATACGAAATCGAGGATTTTATTATCGCGCGTTTTACGGAGTGCCCGAAACATTAATATTAAATAATAATATTTTACGTATAATATTTTCATTCGAGTATTATTATTATTATTATTATTATTATAATATTGTTTGCCTGTATAAATAATGTGAAGAACGTATTTTGTCTGTATTTTAAAACAATCGTCATTGTTATATATTTTATACTTAATTTATTTATTATGTTGTACTATAATTAATGTTTATTTCTAGACTGATTCATGGTCTGATGCCATTTTTTAATATTTATTTATTTGTTCGGTCGACTTTAAATTAGCGATATTATTGATACGATCGTACAGATTATTATATGTGTCAATCGATTTTTTTTTCCTCATTATCTTCCTTAATTTTTTTTTTTAAACATTAAAATCACGTGTTTGTATAATTAAGTGTTGTATATCTATATTTATTTTAAACAAATTCAAATTTTACAGTGTTTCGACCTTATATATTATTACTATAATACATTTATATATGTTTTTTTTAAAGTCTATTCCATAATAATTATTATATAATATTAACACGGGTTACCACTCAATGAAAAAAATTAAAGATTAAATGAAACGGCCAAATGTATAAAATTTAAGATGTATAAAACAAAAATAATTGTATTTTGTAATAGGCCCTATATTTTGTAATTATAGTGCCATATAACCAACCTCGGACAAATGAGGTGTACAATTAAATTACATATGTGTAAATGATATTATGAGATGAAATAAATACATTTTAAAGTATATTATAATATATACTTATAACATATTATTTGGTTACAATTTTTTGATCATAAGCTAGTATTTACAACTTATGCATCGTAAAAAAATAAAAATAAAATAATGTACAGTTAACACTAACATTTTACATCTTTAATGTACATCTTAAACTTACACTGATATAAATAAATTACTTGTCATATAAATAATATACTAGATAGTAGTACAAGTACAAAACAAATAACAGAATACTAGGTTTTACGGGTATATGTACAAAATAAATACATTTGATGAATCTTAACAAGATTTACAAAAAAAAAAAAAAAAAAAATATACAACTGAGAATAAAATCTATACAAAATGTACAAGAAATTTCACAAAATAATTGGTAGGATTATTTGTAGCAATTCGTTTGGCTTCAAAGCATTATACCTTTGCCAGTGGTCATGGGGGACTAAGATGGGCCCTACCGCGTCCTCTTCCTCGTCCCCGACCTCGTCACCTTCTCCCATCGCCCATTCCTATATTGCTGGTGGTCTTTTCCAAATAGGCCAACGGTCCTTGCAACAACGCTCCTGGTCCTCCAGCCATTTGTCCTCCACCCATCGATCCCCCAGCCACAGGACCGCCGGGCCTTTGTTGTTGCTGCTGCTGTTGTTGCTGTTGTTGTTGTTGCTGCTGTTGCTGTTGTTGCTGCAAGAACATTGCCTGTTGCGGCGATACCATACAACCGGGTACTTGAGGCGACGGTTGTTGTTGGGGTGGTCCGATCGGCCCGGACAGAGGAGAAGGCATCGGTGCAGGCATGGGACTCTGGCCCATCGTATTCTGGGCAGGCGATTTGGCCACTTGTTGTAGATCAGCCAATAGATTTTGCCAAACGCCGATTTTATCGTAGTGTCGCCGTATGAGGTCATCCTTGCGTGCTAATTCCAAGCGCAGCTCGGATATGTCTTCTTTTACGATCAATTCGGGCTTCAGTGCCGACAGGAGAAATCGTTTTTGAAGGAAAAACGCTTCTAGTTGTCTGGCGATATCAATAAATCGTATCGTACACTGATCTATGTCTACTCTTACTTCTTCTTTATCACCCGGCGCGAACGTTTCTTCTTCTTTCGATATGATCTCGACGAGCGACATGAATGCTTCGTCGAATTCGTCCACCAAATTGCCATTGCCACTGGTCGGTGTGGCCATGGCGAATAATTCGTTGTGTTACAAAAGAAATCTGTACAATTCGATATGAACTTATTGCAATTTGAAAAAAAAAAAAAGAATTTCGACAGAACGAATTTGTAAAAGTAAACATAAAACGTACAACGTAATATCTAACTAAATTGATAGTCTGATAGGTACTTTGTAATCGAGATTCGAGAATTGTGTTTGCTGTTTAGGTTAGATTGGTCAGCGCCGACAACTTAATGTTTGCTCAGGTTGGTGTTACCGAGCGTTGAACCTTCTTATCTATTATCATTAAAATATTTAAATGAAATGCAACAACAATTTTAAATTTTATAAAATATGTAAATACTGGATATGTTCAATTTGTTTCTCTTTATTTCATTGTTTATTAGTGAAGGTATTGAATTAATTTGGATTTAAATCGAACTCGAATCAAACAGTTTTCTTAATAAGTGTTGCAGACATACTTGTTCAACCACTGTCCACTTCGTGGCAACTCTGCCATTTCAACCCAATCGGGTAAGTTCAAAATAAATTCTTTTCATATAAGTTTTAGTCTATTAAATTATTAAAATATATTTCACGCGACAAAACGAATTTGCCGGTGTTGTCTATTTCGATTATTGAAACTGTAAATGCAACCAATAATATTGATTCCTATATTATTAATACGTTGAAAAATTAACGGGTGTTATTGTATTTCATAGAGTAACATTATTCTATGTTTTATTCACAGATATTTGAGTGTTTGCCATACCTAAGTACCACAGAAATTAGAAAAATAATTCACACATTTGTCACAATTTAATTTTTATATCGTGTTATTGATATTTGTCTTTTTTTATATCTTTATTGATTTTTAAGGAAAAAAATTGTTATTACTATTACAGTCCAGGTAGATACAAACAATATGAGTGTTTGGTACCTTAGAAATTTAAAAATGTTTTCATTCAGTATCTAATAGATTAACAATTTGATTCCATTGTATCCAAACAATTACTTTTGATTAATTCAAATTCAAGGGACTATAATATTTCGCTTGATAACTGTGTATAATTTACATGTAAAGAACTAATGAAAATATATTTAATGTGTATTATTCACTAATATTTTGTTAAATAAATATTGTTAAGAATATAATCTTATTTCTTCAGCAATACAAACAGTACTATATGGTTCCAAAATCCAATGTACAATTTATAATGTAACTATTTTGTTCAAAAATATTGACATATTTTATCCGTTAATGAGTGATAAATTACATGATATTATTATTTTTTGTTTTACTAATGATAATCATGAAGAACAATGCAATAATTATTTATATTCAATAAAATGTAAAGTTTTCAGTGTATGCAGTTTAATTTAATGTAACATAAATTTCCAGTTTTTCTAGTACAATTAAAGTAATTTTTTTTTACTTTTAAAAATAGTATAAGTACAATATATTTCAAAAATGAGTGTTTCTAATATTGATTGTAGTGGATATAAGTTGACTCTTAAATCGTGTTACCGATTAATGAACTCGTTACGTTCCAGACCGGAATATGTGGTCGAAAATAACCTTTGTGATGCGCCATTTATCCATTACATTGATTGTTTAAAGGTAATTTTTATTTATAATATTTTTATTATATTATAGGTATGATTCAATTCCTATGGATGAATGTAATTCTTTCAAAAAAGAGTATGAAAAGTGTTTTAATATTTGGTTCAGGGACAAATTTCTTAAAGGAATTGATGACGACTCTATGTGTTCAAAACTCTTGAAAAATTATACGAATTGTGTTAAGGTGGTATATAAAATATATATTTTTAGCGTGTATTATTGACAATAATATAGTGTTTATCCGTGGGGGCCTTAACAAAGTGAACTAGTTTGAAATAATTATATGGTAAAGGTAGGTAATGATTTTATGTAGGTAACATTTTTATTAAAATATAAAACTTATACAGACCTACATATAAAAAAAAAATAATATCAATAATAATAAAACAATAGATTTTTTTCAAAATATATTTATAACTGGAACATACAATCTGTACCTTTTTGGCACAATAAGAATATAATTGATGAATGAGTGTACAGCAGGTAATTGTATGGAAGAAAACCATCCAGTGGTGAAATTACCTTTTTTGTTATTTATACCAAAAAATATTAAGATTATATCTAAAATCTTTACCAATTATCATTGCAACCTCCTCATAATATCTTATAACATAGCTACACCCTCAGAAATGGCTCAATAGAAATCGGTGCCATGATTTTCTAAAATAGTAATTAAAACATCAATAAATTAAATAAAATTAATATTAAGGTAAACAATGTTTAATGCTTTTTATTCCCTAAAATAATGTATAACACTCATTTTTATAATAAAAGTAATAATATTTTAAATTAACATCAAAATATAAACTAATGCTAAAAATGTAAACTTAAATATTATATTTTATTTCTTAAAGGGGCTCATGATCTAGAATAGATTAAGAAGTCCCTGGTTTACAATATTTAGGATTATCATCAATAATATCCAATATTAAAAACAAAAATAATGAAGCGAGTAATCAAGTTTCCATAATTTGTTTGTCTTTTATCACTATTTTCTAACTTAACTTATCAATACGATTTAAATTTAAACCAAATCTAATTGCTCATTCAGTTTTTGTCAAAAGCAAATCATGTTTAATTAAAAATTTAAAATAGTTATTACATTATGATTTCTTACAATTAATTTTTTTTTTTTTTTTTTAGAAAGCAATGGAAGGTAAAGACATAGATATCGAAGAACTGAGGTCATATCATTCTGAAAAAATTGGATCCAAAGATGAACCACTTACAAAATAGATAATTTTTAGCTTTGCATTTTGCGTTTATTTTGTGTGGTAATACAGCAATGTGTTTGTTTTATAGAAAGTTATTTTTGTTTTTAATTTAGAGAACATGATACCCACATGTGCTGTTTTTGTCGAACTATTAGATAAAAAATAGTTCGACAAAATATATAAATAATAAATAACCAAATTATTTTGATACATCAAAATTATATTACTTAGAACATAAATTTAGGTGTTCATGTTTAAAAAAAGAGTTTCAACACAAGTAAAAAACTTTCAATTGCTCTATGTATGTTTTTTTTTTAATTTGCCATCCATAATTACAGCTAATTAAAAATAAATAAATACTAATAAGTCTATAACTTTTGTATGGATATTTTTTAGGAAAAAGATAGATATGTATAGTCCTCGGGCATATTCTTTATGATGTTTGGTTTCTTGTGTTCAAACTAAAATTCACAAATTATATTCTAAGTAACATAATTTTGTTATGCAGCTTGTTAGTTTGGCGGAGACAGCACATGACGGTATCACATGATCTAAGTTATTATTTGATTATTGTTTTATTTGTATAATAAACTAAAATGTATAATACGTGTTGACATTTCGTTTTTTTATATTTGTTATATGTATTGGACTGTTTTGTTCTATTATCATTGAGTAATTGTCCGGCAAGATTTCTTCTGTAAATTCCAAGTAGAATCTTTCTAAAAACATAAGTTGATTAAAGTAGATACATAATTAATATGATACGAGATAATTTGAAATTTATAATTTATATAAAAATAAAAATCAGTATAATGCTTACCAAGTGTCTCGAGAAATTTCTGATGGGTTTCAGGATTTCTTACAGTAGAAAACAGTATTATTTCAGTTGTATTGTTCGCAGCAAAATATTTTAAAGATGTACATAATGATTCAAACATTGTACGGTCATAGATCACGTCTAAAATATTTTGTGAAAATTTGTTTAAAAAAAAAATAAGGTTTTGTAATTTACATTTCATTACCGGCAGCTAGAATTAAATCTGGTTTTTCCTCGTCGAACCGTTCGCTTCTTTGAACATTTTCCCAGGGGAGTTTAATTACTTCGTACGGGCAATTGAACGTGTGCACCATATCGTTTATATCAATATTATTTTTAATAACATCCAAAACTCCTGCATGGCAGTCGGTGAACCAGTATTTACGCGGTTTGCAATTCACACACGCACTTATTCCACTCAAACCTGTACCTGAACCCAACTCGACAATAAATTTTCCTTGGAGTTTCTCTTTATTTCTAAGAGCCCAAACACCCAATGCTACACCAGCCTAAAAAAATCATATCTCTATTAGATTAAGTTAAACTACAATATTATATAATATTAATAATGTTTGTTCCAAACATTTTATGGTACCTCATTACATTGTGTTTTTCTGTTTGTCTTGCAAAATAGAGGAATTTCATAATTCCAGGATTGCGATTCACTAGTTGAGTTCAGGGTAAAAGGACTTATTATAAATTTTATAAAAGATACTGTTAATCATTTAAAGGTGATTCTTTAAATAATAATTCATTTTTTGAAGTTATGCGCGTTTTATTTTATTTTTTTAATTTTAACAATTAAGTAATAAATTCACAAGATATATAAACAAATACTCTTTATAAAATGTATGATAGGTCCTTTGCCCTAAACTCAACCAGAAGTCACAAACATGGACATTTTTATTGATATATTATGAGTGAGACACACAGAGAAAACTTATGTTGGTGGAGAAACCATTAATGAAAATATAATAATGACCTCCCAAGTACAGAGTCCAGTAGTTCCATCAGAAACAAAAGTAGCAGTTTCCTGAATGGTTATGACAGAGTCAATCGTTAATCCAGGCTTTAAATCTATATCATCATCAAGTATGTAGTGTTTATAAAATATAGGTCCGGCAGGTTGTGGCAGCATGAATCGAGCGTATCTGCAATACATATATGCAATGTCGTGGTCGCACACCTGATGTTCTTCAATTTCCACCTGCAAAATAATTTTTTGTTCATTAAATGTGTATAAATTGAATTCATTTGTCCAATTTAACTAAAACATATATATTTATATATATATAGTAGGTATTAAAATACGTTAATGATATAACATTTTATAACTATTACATAGATTTATATATTAATTTTATAGGATAGTCCATTTTACTCATGTTTTTAGATGTGATATTACTTATACATTATACCTGAGAGCATGATACATTTTTCCTAATTTTATTAATCGCAAAGAACTAACATTTATGGTAGATGTTTATACAATTGAAAAAATTAGTACAGATAATATTGTGAAATTCTTAAAACCTAAATAACATGTACAATAATGGGTCGATGCTTTTTATCCAGCACACTTGTAGGTTAACAGTATTAACAGTAACTTACTGGCCTAATAATAAAATGGAATATTTGTTTAAACTTAGTACGCGGAACAACAACTTGTGTCAGGTAGTTATTCAATAATTTATATGATGCTAGTTTAGACAATAACTAATAAAATAGTTAATTAGTTTGAAAAGTTAAAATCCTAATGGGAAAAAAGTTGGCTTTTTTTTATTAGAAAAGAAGCAAATAGACTCACTATTTGTCACTAATAAGTAATAAAAATTTTGTAGATTTTATTGGGTTCATAATATTTTTAGAAATTTAAGGTACAATTTGGCTATAGTTTGTGCATTGACGAAATGTTGTCTTCTTTTTAAAACGTACCTATGTAATATGTTTTATAATAAACGCATGTTAAAATTTTATATTTTTCTTAAATATTTTGTTAAACAAGTAATTTAATATGTAGGTACATAATATTTTAGATTTGCGAAAATTATTGTATAACGCACGTATGTAAAAAAGTGGACTTTATTAATTATGCTGAATCGCATTATACCAGTTATGTTTTCAATTTGATATGTTTCATATCTACCTGTTTAGACAGCATTCTGATTATCACAACAAGATATGAAGTTCTCAAAGGATATTTTTCCACTATTGGATGTCTAAGCAACGTTATTATAAATTGGATGGTATCACTCGTTAAGATCTGCAAACAAATACACAAAATCTTTACCTACTTTATCGATTGTTATAATATTATTATTATAATTACAGATTTCTCTAAAATTCTTAACTTCCCGGCACACATAAATTGTCTAATCAAGCCATTTTTCAACTTTTCGACGTACAACTGAACCATAGTTATTTTTTATGTTTTGCCACTCGTTGGTCAAACGATTTGTATTGAAACAACACCGGTTTCTCCACACTATTGTACGGTGCGAGTGTGAGACGTGCTCAATGCTCAATGGCCGTCAAAACTCGAAAGTGTCAGCAGGTTAGGTCAGGCTGACTGAATACTCTATACTTTCATTGTCTGAAATCTGGTCGTTTAGAAGCAAGTCGCCAGCAGCCATTAGGAGGGTGGTAACTGAGATCATATGATCCGAGGGTGGGTACATTGATGACGTCGTAGTCGAAATGTGTTTTATATTGTCTTATCAGTGCGGCATTACGGAGTGATAACCACGGTTTTAGATATGAGTTGTGTTGCCTGATCGGCAGCTGTTTGGGCCGCGTCCAAAGTGGTATGTGGGCCGTCTTTTGATTACAGAATCCGGCAAATTCTGGCTAATTTGGCCGCTAATCGCAGGCAATGTAAAACCAAATCGACGGCGGGACGTCGTTTCCATCGCTTGTTGTACATTTTATTATTTTTTTTTTTTTATCTCTTGTTCGTCATAGATAAATTGGTTCATCACATAGAGCCACGATCACCGTTTAAAATAAATTCAATGACGTGAAACGCCGTATTGTTCCCTTCCCGAAACGAACTATACACTAGGTACGAGATACGTGAGGTGAACGAATACGTAAATTTGGCGTCAACGTTATCTTATCAGCGACCAGACGATCCTGCGACGGCCAAGGTAAAAAATGGCTGTCCAGCGTTCGTGATAACGCCAACGACGCAATTGATTCTAATGCTGACCGATTAGGCAACACGCGCCCGTGGCGGTTACCACGGTGCGCGGTGATTACTGATTACAATCAAATTTATCATTTTTATCGTTATCAAATAATATTTATGTCTACTTTGATAACAAATATACGAACGGCACCCGTCCGAGAAAACGATAAGAATCATTTTCGGAAACCCGACCCGGTCGCACATTAGCGGGAAACGGTCAATTGGTCCTGGGGAAATTTTGTTTTCGCGTTTTCGAATACGATAATTAACAACAGACATATCGGAATCATTGAACAATAAATCGCAACGTAATATGCTGTGACAATATTATTGTCCAGATGAAACATCCACGTATTTGCATGCGTATTGAATCCGTACAGATTCAACAACAACGATGTCTCTGACCAAAAACAATGAAAATGCATTTTGAAACGATTTTCCGAAAACCGTCACTGAAAAAGAAAAATTTTCCTATTGATTCGCAATACTTTTATTACGAATGTTTCAAACGACGGGCTTTTAAATTATTTGCGCAGTCAAAGTTTCAACGTTAAAAATTGATTATTTTTTTCCCGCATTATTATTGAAATTATATTTACATTGTACATTTATCGAACGTAATGGCACAGCTCAAAAATATTTTATTAACGGGCTCCGGACTAAGCGATATTGCAATTGCGCGGCGGTATTAGTTCGTGCTGCAATATTACAAACTTAAAATACCTAGGCATAGAAATCACGTTTACGGTTCCGTTATTATTTATCCTTATAATTATATTTGTCTTTATCGTTCTCGAACAGCTACCCCTACGCGTTACGGATATACACGGATAACCCCGGGCAGTAAAAACAAGACGGGAAATCACGGAGATCAAAGATTTATAATCTCCTCGAGTATAAACTTGAGTAAAAAAAAAAAAAACTGTTCATTATATCGCTATAGATTAGCATCGCTACTTAATTTGTTTCACGTTTCACTTTTTGTTTTAATAGACATTTATTCCAAAAAAGTTTCTTGTTCCGATTTCCAAATCACATTTATCCTGTTCGAATGTATTATTTTACGTTCTACGAAACAGTTTCACGGCTCGAGTTCTCGCCTCTAATTATCGCGACAACTCTGCTACGGTAATGTAAATTGGTCGCCTGTCTAAAATCATTTACGGCGTCGACTATGTTTTCCTTCTCTAACCCGATTTCCGTTCATACGAATGTATGTAAATTCGAAATCATCTTTACTGGCAAATCGTTTGTTATTAAGTATTTAAAATGGCCATTGGGTTTCTAATTAATTAAAACGAATTAACTTATTAATGTTGGGTTTAAAGGCGATTTTAACCATAGACATATTAATAATATGTGTGTCAACACGCGCCAAAAGGGTAATAACTGTGTTAGTAATCCAGTTATTTTTGTATTTGTTAACTAAAAACAATTAAACCTTTAAAAACGTGCACACTAAATAGACAACATTGAAGAAATAACAAGATCATATTAGTCATTAAAACGCACGATTTTAGTTCCTGCCTACTTGTGACAAATGTTAGGTTCTGATTTTTTCCCTGTACCATTGACAAACAAAAAAAAAAAAAATATGATACGCGATAGTAGTATAGTCGGTTAGGTATAACAACAAAAATCAAATCATATTGATTAATTCGTATATTAGTAAATATGTATTTTTATTCAACAACAATGTCGATATGTGCAATAGTTGTGCACGTGCATTATTATTATACCTACAGATTGTTATTAAAAATAAATGTATACAAAGCACTAGGTGTATAGCATGGTTTATAAAAAAAAAGTCATAAGACATAATAATGTGTATAATTGTATCATTATAGTTTATAATAAATAATTTCAATCTGAAATGGAATAAATTCCCGTCTCCGAAGACAATAATATAATAATAATATTATCGTAGTCCAACTACATCGAAATATTTTCGTATATTATAACAATACGTTTAGAATGTCTGTGGAATCAATTGTATTTGTGTTAGAATATTATTGAACTCGACGTTCCCATCGATAATAATAATAGTAATAACAATAATTAAAAAAAAGAAAAAAGATATTGGCGCAACCTAAGTATAACGTTGTTAAAATATGTTTAATATAATGTTCGGTGCATAACTTATAATGTAATCTTACGGTTCTATTTAAATATTATTATTATTTTGATTTTTTTTGATTTTTTTTTTTTGTCCAACAGCCACGATATTTACTGTTGTGCGGTTCAATATCGTAATATAGGTATAATAATAATTACATAGATTAAGCGTTGTAATAAAATTGAACAGTAAATTTTCGCGTAACAATTATAATAAGTATATGGCTAAAAAACGCGTGCGCGAGTATAGTAATATTGTGTGAGCATAAAATATTACCGCGATTACCTAGCGTAAATGATAATAACATTTAATAAGTAATAGTTTAAATCATATGCTCCCCGTTTTTTATTTTATTATTATTATTTTTTTACATTAACGTTAATTTACTGACGATTTTTCGATTATATAATGTAATTAAAATTGGTTTTGCGTTTCGAGTTTTTCGGATTCTACGAACACAACAATATGACAAAATATTTTGTAAAACTGGACAGAGTCGAAACGAGTACAGGGCTCTTAACTCGACCTCAACTGTGTCCAGTTTTCTTTTTTAAACGACTAACGTTGCGCACGACCGTTTGAGTATTGTTGTTTGAATGATTTTCTTTTTAAATTTGACGTAAATATATATATAGATAAAAAAAAATTTACAATAATATTTATGACAGTATAAAATCCGATTAATTTGATGTTTAAAAAATAATAATAATATTATTACTAACTAACGAATCATTAATATTATTATTATTATTATTTTTTTTTTACTTAATATAATAAAACGTATTTACGATTTAATTGTAATAATATTATAATACATATTAAAAAAAGGAAAAAAATGTCGTATAGACGATAATTTTTGTTTGTTTTTGTGTTGTGCGTCGGGTAACGATCTCAGAACAACGGAACACAGAACACATCGTCGTCTAAGAAACGGCTGCCTTTGTTTTGGTTGTGTCTGGAAAAAAAATATATTAAAAATACTTTAGTAGTAGTATAACCAAATCTACTATATCATACGAGATTTATAAACTGCAGCTATAAGAAATTCACGACAAAAGTCAGTTGAAATTGTATGTATGAACAACTTAAATTGTAATCCAACCCCGTGTAATTTTAAAATCTTGTGACGGTCACCCAACCAATAAGTTATTACAGAATCGTTCGTTCGTATAAACAATAACCGGTCATTGCATGTTACTCACCCGTCTTTCCACATGCAGACGTCATTGCCGTCGGCTGCGTTTGCGTTGGGCACCTCACTAACGGCGAAAACAAATATCCGTTACATTTATACCAATGTTCCCGACGGAAAACCCGTCTCTTTTTTCGCATCAGATTCGTAGTCAGCCACCAGAGGCGCCATGTACAAGGAGTCGGGGGCTCGGGGGCCGCAGCCCGCACCTCGCGAAACGTGTTAACCGCAGCTATAAGAAATATACGACAAGAGTCGGTTAAAACTGTGTATACGAACAGCTACAATAATAATCCCTCCTTATGGAATTTGAAAATCCCGGCGCCTGTGACGGTCACCCAACCAATAAGTTATTATAGAATCGTTCGTTCGTATAAACAATAACCGGTCATCGCGTGCCATACTCACTCGTCTTTCCACAGGCAGACGCCGGTGTCGTCGGCGGCGGCTGTATTGGGCACCTCACTAACGGCGAAAACAAATATCCGTTACATTTATACCAATGTTCCCGACGGAGAAACTGTCTCTTTTGTCGCATCAGACACGTAGTCAGCCACCAGAGGCGCCATGTGCAGGGGGTGGGGGTCTTGGGGGCCGCAGCCAACATCCCACGAGATTTATAAACCACAGCTATGAGAAATACACGGCAAGAGTCAGTTAAAACCGTATATACGAATAACTAAAATAGTAAGGCCCCCCTTATGACATGTTGAAATCCGTGCGCGTGTGATGGTCACCCAACCGGTCACTGTGGAATCATCCGTTCGCATAAACAATAACCGGGTTTCCGCATGTTACTTACTCGTCTTCTCACGGGCAGACATCGTTGTCGTCCGCGACAACTGCGTTGCGCACCCCTTCGGTGGCTGGTACGTTTTGCGGCCGTTGCCGACATGGCTGAACCGAAACATTTGGCTACGGCGGTATCCACTGCCGCTTCGCCGGCCGGAAACTTACCGCTGTCTCTGTCCACCGGGCTCGAGTTGATCAGCGGCGTGACGCTCCGTTTCCTGGCCAGTGACTGTGATTTGAGCGGTGCTTTCCGGTTAGGTACGGTGTCCGGCGACGACAACAACGACGCGACCGCTGCGGTCGTGGCGCTTGTGGGCGACCGATCCGAATGTGGTGACGCCTGCTGCGGTTTTTCCGGCGATCTGCTCTCGGGAGACGGTCCGCGGTCGGAATCTCCGGTCGACGGTACTAACGGCCGGTCGACCGTTTGCTGCGACGCGTACGTGGCCGACGAACCGCTACGCCCGTTTTAGGTGCCGTTGCGACCCAGGCCGCAACACCAGTGCGGCCACTGCAGGATGGTCACTCAGGCTGACTGGCCCTCGTCGGTGCTCGCCGAATCGTACGCTGCGCTGTTGCCCGAGTTCTTCCGGGCGACGAGGTAGGCAACCACCGGTCGCGTTCTTCGGCCATGGACGTCGGTATTGATCGTTTCTTGTTAGCCCCAGTGTACGAATAATAAACTCGTTCTGGAAAAATCGTCTGCCCTGCCGTACTTTGCGTCACCCGCTATCCTTTTCGAAATGCTGCGCAGCGCCAATTCCTATCTCCCCCGGGCACATTTCGATTATCTGTTTTTCAAATCCTATCGATTAAACGCGTTTTATACGAAACTAAATTCTCCCGGCTTTAGTTTTCAACGTTTTCATAGTTAGATGCTAATTTTGTTTCGCCAAACCGACCCACTTTTTCGTATGGAACGTTACGATCTCCGAATCTGTTCAGCGTGAAATTGGCGACTTTTTAAAAATAATTTTTACTTTCAATCATTGTATTCTTGAGTAATTTATACGTCTTATATAATGAATAAATCTATAATTGTAAAACCCAACGTAGACAATGTTTTTTTTTGTAGACAACGGAAAAAAAAATAGTTCTCCAGTGGTGCGCCCGGGAATTTCCTAAAGAACCCTAAAAAAAAAAGGAAATTTCTTTTCCTAGTTTTTCCTAGTAACTTGGCTGAAATATATGCATTTCGATATGAGATTACAATTGTGGGATATATCGCCTCTCTCTCCTTGCGCACGACACTATAGTTCTTAAATCGGATTTTGAATTTCGTCACGTCAAGCTCGTTGATAATAAAAGTGGAGGAAATTTCGTAGGTGTTTTTTTGAATTATGAACTATTAAAAAAGTTAAAGTTATTTAAATACAAAAAATAAAAAGTTTTTATCTTTTATATCGAGCTGTTAATTTTGAATAATACATAAAATAATAATACATTCCCTTTAAAATACGATTCTCTATTAATTTTATAATAAGAATTTTAACTCTAAAATCAAACTTAAGCTGGTTTCACTTATTCTGCGTGAGCATTGTTTTTGAAGTAATTGTACTGAGATGCGGGTATATTATATAATATTTATTCCAACGACCATTGTGTTAACGGCTAATATTCAATTGTTCTTTTTGTTCCCAAGGCGCATGTTTTCAAACTATATAAATTTATTCTTATGGTTTCTTATTCCCATTTCCCAATCACATTTGTTCAATATTAATGTATTATTTTATGTCCCACGAAAACAGTTTCTTGGCTCATGTTCGTTTTGGTCATACTTTTTGAACGACTTTGAAAAAAAGAATTTTTTAAGGGTTAACTAAATTAAACTATATTGGTAAATGATTATAGTTAAATTATTCAAAGGTTACCTTACAAAAAATCAAAAAACTTAAAACATTAATGACGTTTTATTAAAATGATTTAATAAGTTATGATGAGAGTATCTATAATTTATACAAAAATCAAACTTTATTAGTACGCATAGATGGTAAAGAAAAAGTAGCGGAGAAAGAATTAACACGCTGAGATTTGCTGATGACATTGCTTTTTGTGCAGGAACAGAGGATGAACTGCAAAAGATTTCAACTAATGTAAATAAAATGAAGCAGTATTAAATACAATAAAAGAAAAGAGAGTACTATTGTATGCCATAAAAGTTAAAAGAGCTAAAATGATAGGACATCTACTACGCCATGATAGTCTATCGAAAAGCGTTATAGAAGGCGACGTTGAAGGCCATATCAGAAGAGGAAAACCAAGCATGGATTACACGAAGCAAATTCTAATTGACACGGGGAAGAATAGTTATAAGGTATTAAAGGAACTGAGTAACGATGCATGGAGAATTGCAGCAAACCAATCAAACGAGTGAAGACGTAAAGAAGAGAAAATGAGATTATATTATGAAAAAGCGTGATGTTCATCATGGCAGTCACAATAAAGCTTGATCGAATCTAAATCTCGTACCTAATCTAATTCTGTACCTTTGACAAAAAAAATAAAAAAAATATGAAACGCGATATTTGTATAGTAGGTTAAGTACTACAACAATAATAACAACATAGATCACATAATATTAATTAATTTGTATATTATAGTAAATATGTTTTTTTTTTTTAATCAACCAAGGTACAATATTGGTACCAGAATGATTATTATACCTACAAACAAAAACTGTTATTAACTATAATTTATACAAGGTGTACTAGGTGTATAATATGGTTCATAACTAAAAAAAAAAAAGGTCTAAGACATTATAATGTATTATGTTATAGTATAATAGTGTATAATAAATAATTTTAATCTAAAATGGAATAAATTCCCGTCTATATAGACAATAATATAATAATAATAATAATAATATCATTTTAGTTTAACTACTCCGAAATATTTTCGTATATTTTAATATGTTAAGAATGTCTTTGGAATTAATATATTTTTATTATAATATTATCAAACTTTACGTTAACATGGATTATAATAATAAAAGAAAATTATAAGAACGCAACCTAAGTACAACGTAATTATAATATTTGTTATATCTATATATTTTTAATATAATATTCGGTGCATAATGTATAATTTAATCTTACGGCTCGATGTAAATATTATTATTTTACAATTTTTTTTTTTTTTCGGCGTCTTTCATCGTACAGCCATAATATTTACTATTGTGTCCCTACAAACTTATATATTACGTGTATTTCGAATACCTGCCTATGGCTCTTTTCCGGACAATCCATCGATACGATATTTTTCAATAATTATTTAAACTAACCTAACCGTTACAGTTTACTTATACCTACGTATATAGGTACCAAGTACTAGTAAAAACAAAAATGTATAATAATATTTATGACGGTATAAGATTCGATTAATTTGATATTTAACAACAAATAATAATAATATTATTATTAACTAACGAACCATTGATATTATTGTTTTTTGTTTTTTTTTTAATTAATAAGATAAAATGTATTTACGACTAGATTGTAATAATATTATAATATATATTAAAAAGGAAAATAAATCCTAATAACAAGATGTTATATAGACAGCGGTTTATTTTTTTGGGTTGTGCGTCGGAAAAACGATCTCAGAACACCTGAACAAAAAACACCATCATCGTCAGAAAATATCTCTTACATTTTTAAGAAATGGCTGCCTATGTATTTGTTGTGTCTGAAAATAAAAATATATTAAAAATATTTAAAGTAGTATAACCAAACCTAATATATTACAATTGCATGCGTTCTCGTTACTTTTGGATATTTCTAACGGCTTCATTCGGATCACAAATTAACTCAAATCAGGGACACTATTGGAAATTAGAGTAGGTTTTTTATGAGAATTCGAGTGATAAATGTCGAAAAGGATTTCAGTATGATTTAAACCATATTATTACGTGATGAGAATTATTTTCAGATTAAAATGCCCCTACTTATCCCATTAATTAGGCTATTGTGGACGACATTTTGTCTACGCAAGTCGTGTATGTGTTATGTATGAGACAATTTTATTTTTAGATAAAAAAAAAGCTATTAATAAGGTTTATGTTATATGTGGATCAAACAGTTAGTAATTTATTCTAATCAGTAATTAAATCTCAAAAATACGTTTAAACGAAACTAAATACGAATAATTAAAATGTATAAAATACCCGGTGAATATAAATCAAGACAATTTTCGATTTAAGTTCATCGACAATGTAAAATGTAAAATAAACATAGAATAGAATTGTTTTTCATATGCAATTGTACATCATTTCCAAGAGATATAAAACAAATTATCCTATAAGCAAATCTATCAAAATATCCTACTAAAAAATGATCTTCCATTGTGCAAAAGTATGTCGGAAATTGTATGATACTAATTATGATTAATGTCACTAAACAAAGTTAGAGTAAAATGAAAACAAACATCCGTTATATATAAGTCAAAGTTCATAACGGGAAAACCGACTACTGCGTAAGATCAGATACATAGTCAGCTAATAAAGGCGCTATGAAAAAAGGCCAAAGATTTCGAAGTCGCATAAAAAATGACAAGAATTTAATTAATTGGGGGTATAAAAAATGAACGAGTGAATCAGTTAAAATTGTAGATATGAAAAACAATAATGGTAAGCTCCACACAGACATTTTAAAATCCGTTTAAAAAGTGGTGGTCACGTACCCATGTTGTCGTCAGAGATATTTCAAAGATATTGTCTCTCAGTGCGCATAAAATACAAAGGCAGACAATAGCGACGCTTTATTCGAATAGTGGGATTTTCAGAGTTCTTATTAAAAAACTGATGAGATTTTGAAACCGCAGCTATGAGAAATAGAAAATGAGAGACAGTTAAAACAATATAAATACATAGTTAAAATTGAATGCGATTCAATGAAATTTTAAAATTCTGTCAGTTTTCTAAACAACAATATATTAAAATGAATACATGAAAACAAGGGTGTGACGGACAACGAACCATTGGACCATCATTAACTTTTCCTAACATATAAATAATAAACCATCCATCGCAAGTACTCACACGACTTTCCTCAGGTAGCCGTTATTGTCATCGACGGCGTTAGCGTTGGACCGACTTAAAAGGCCAAAACTAATATCCACCATATTGGCACAGACGTTGTCGTCACAAAAATCGTATCTCCTTGCGCATCAGATACAACGGACGCCAACTGAGTCGCTATATTCGGATGGTTGAATTTACGGAGTCTTCATTACAAACCCCGTAAACTTTTATAAGTCACATCTATAAGAAATAAAGTTCATGATAAGGCAAAAAATGTATATACATAAAAATTAAATTGTACCGTAATATTATGTGATATTGAAATCAATTTGGGTGAGACGATTAATAAGGCAATCGTTTAATTTTCTTAACATATAAATAAAAAACCGGTCATCGCATGTACTCACACGACTTTCCACAGGCAGCAGTCATTGTTGTTGGCGGCGTTTGCGTTGGGCACATTTAAAACGGCCAAAACTAATATCCGCCATATTGACACAGACGTTGTCGTCAGGAAAATCGTATCTCCTTGCGCAGTAGAGACAACGGATGCCACCTGAGTCGCTATATTCGGATGGTTGAAGTTTCGGAGTCTTCATTACACATCCCGTGAACTTTTATAAGTCACATC